GCCATGGAATCCTCCCTTAGTGATGCGCACGCGCCGCAGGATTATATGTACCCGGCAAAAGTCACATCGCTATTGATGTTGGCGGAAGCTAGGAGTTTATTTCTGCTCTTGAATTGTCCGAGAGAGAACATGATACATCCCAATTGCAACCACAATGGCGGAGCGGACTTTAATGAACCTTCTCGTTGCACGACAAGATCTGCTTGTATGTAGCCTTATATGGCACAGGTTGACTGTTATTCTGATAATGGAGACTATAGGATCCCAACAATGATCCCAATCTCGGGTCCTCGAGAGGAAACGCCTCCTCAACGACATCTGAGACACTAGACACAATTACTGGTGGAGGAGACTCTACGTCCCTATCCTCACTTCTATCTACTCTGCTTCCAGCATTGGTGCTTGCAACCATCTGGTTCTCAATCTTTCTAATATTCCGCCGAACGCAGCTGCGATGGTATGCTCCAAGGAGCCATTTGCCTTGCTGGCATCAACAGTACGTTTGCGTCGTCAATCAATGTGGCTCCTAGTGCAGTTGCTGAGACAAAGATAAATAGTGAGAAAAGTCCACAGCTTCCTACAGGGTGGGTGAACTGGGTTGGACAATTCCTCAAAATCTCCGACGCCCATGTCCTCAACCATCATTCAATGGATGGCTACCTCTTCCTGCGTTTCCTACGGATCCTCTGCGTAACATTCTTCGTCGGATGCCTAATTACATGGCCAGTACTGCTTCCTATTCACGCCACAGGTGGCGTGGGGAATACTCAGCTCGACGCTTTGAGCTTCAGTAATGTGAAGGATAAAAGCCGTTACTATGCCCATGCCATCATGGCATGCGTGTACTTCAGTATGATTGACCAAGTATCAGTGTATTTCCGGGCTAATTTCCACAAACAGCATATGTGTTTTATACTGTAACCAGAGAAAGTATATTTTACGCAAACCTGCGGCAGGCATACCTTAACTCGCCTGCATATGCCCACCGGATTTCATCCAGAACAGTGCTTTTCATGTCGGTTCCAGAAGACTATAAGAATGAAAAGAAACTACAACAAGTCTTTGGGAATAGTATCCGTCGAGTTTGGATCACGGCCGACTGCAGTGAACTCGAGAAAAGGGTCCAGAAAAGGGACAAGTACGCCCACCGGTTGGAGAGACTGGAGACAAAACTGATTCGATCGGCTAATTCCATGCGCTTGAAGCTACTCAAAGCTGGTAATTTTTCATGCACAGATTGTGCCGATGGCGAAGACAATGGCTCAGCAATGTACCATAAGCTTCGACGCCCGACTCACCGTCCCAAGCTCCTTGGAGAAAAGGTCGACTCTATACGCTGGCTCCGCGAGGAGCTGGTCAATATATCCAAAGAAATCGAGGGCATGCAGAAGAAACACCAAAATGGGGAAGCACGGCTGCTCTCTGCTATCTTCATCGAGTTCAACTCTCAGTCTGATGCGCAAGTCGCGCTCCAAACACTATCTCACCATCAGCCACTTCATATGACACCTCGATTCTCTGGTATATCTCCTGACGAGGTCGTCTGGTCCGCGCTAAACCTCAGCTGGTGGCAGCGTATCGTGAGACGGTTTCTCATCCAGGGTGGTATAGCAGCAATGATTATATTCTGGTCCATTCCTTCCGCGCTTGTTGGTACCATCTCTAATATTTCCTACCTCACGACTGAGATCCCATTCTTGGGCTTCATCGATGACCTTCCTGGGGTGATCAAGGGCGTGATCGCGGGATTGTTACCGGCTGCGGCTCTGGTCCTACTGATGTCTCTCGTCCCTATAATTTGTCGATGTACGCACACTCCTCTCTTATTGCTCTTACAACTGCTAACGAGTGCCCAGTTTGCGCCCGGCGTGCCGGCGTTCCTTCCGCAGCCCGTGTTGAACTCTTCACTCAGACGGCACATTTCTGCTTCCAGGTCGTCCAGGTATTTCTCGTGACGACGTTGACATCCGCAGCCTCCGCAGCGACAGCGCAAATTATCCAAGATCCGCTTTCAGCAAAGGACCTCCTTGCCGAAAACTTGCCCAAGGCAACCAACTTTTACATTTCCTACTTCCTCCTCCAGGGTCTAACCACCAGCTCCTTAGCCGTGGTGCAGATCATGAGCGTGCTCGTCTTCAAGTTTATAACCACCTTCTTCGACGGCTCCCCTCGTCGCCTCTACGAGCGCTGGGCCGCACTCAGCCAGATAAGCTGGGGAAATGTCTTTCCCGTCTTCACAAACATGGGCGTAATTGGTGTGTCCTCCTGTCCTTCATCCCTATCACTAAAATACATAAGCTAATCTAACAGCACTTACATACTCCTGCATCGCCCCTCTAATCCTCGGCTTCTGCTTCGTCGGTCTGTACCTCGTCTACCAAGCCTACCGCTACAACTTCCTTTTCGTCTACGACATCCGCATCGACACAAAGGGCCTCGTCTACCCACGCGCCCTCCAGCACCTCCTAACAGGCATCTACCTGGCCAACATCTGCCTCATTGGTCTCTTCGCAATCAAATCATCCATTGGCCCCCTGCTCATCATGGTCTTCTTCACGATCCTCTTTATATGCGCACACCTCTCCCTCAACGAGGCCCTGGCACCACTCAACTCCTTCCTCCCACGCACCCTCGACGTCGAGGAAGAACTGCAACAAGCTAAAGAAGAGGAACTTGCGCTCCTCCAGACCGCACCACGGAGCAGGTGGTCCCGCGTCCTGAAATGGTTCCATCCGAACCTGTACCGGGATTTCGCGGCGCTGAGGCGCAAGGTGCGCAGGGACCATGTGGAGATTAGGTACTCGGATGAGGAGAGGAGGAATGCGTACTTTGAGCCGTGTATTACGGCTAAGACGCCGACGATCTGGATTCCCAGGGATAAATGGGGCGTGTCGAAGTTGGAGATTGAGGAGAGTGACCCCAGTATACCGATCACGGATGAGGGGGCCCATCTCAATGAGAAGGGGAAGATTGTTTGGGATAAGTTTGATCCGAATTTGCCGCTTTGGCAGTTGAAGACGCTTTATTAGGGCTTGGGTGGGGCAGGTATATCGCGTGTGTCAATGCTTCATGATGTTATGTATGGCCTGGGTCCAGGTGAATGTTACGATCGGATGCCTGGTGGTGTGATCTCAGAATGCGAGTTATGTCTGTCCTGTTCTTCACGAACCCTACCTTGTGGGAAACATATATCTAGTGAGAATTCTCGCAATAAATGATTTCTTCGACTTGAGTTGAACTTGTTCAGTCTCGATGGTCTTTACCTTGGTTTCTGATGTGCTCCTCCTCCCTGTGGCCATCTCTACCATCACCATTAAGCCACCGATCAACATCCCTCGTCAACCTCACTACCCTCCAATCCACATATCCTACATAAACATGCGCCGCCAAAAACACCACAGACCCCAAGATCACGCCTGCTAAAACATAAACCACCAAAAAAGCCCTCAGCCTCTCCGCACTCGCCTCCTCAGCGCCAGGATACTCCGAGCCCGCAAGCAGCAACCAGAGCCCATCACGGAGAGGCGCGCGCCAGAGCTGATATATTGAAATATGCAGCAGATATACCGCAAACGAGAGCCGGCCCATCGCCTGGACGGGACCCTTGCACAGCAACCGCTGCAGCCACAGCGCATTCGACGCGCCCGCGAAGAACAGCACGGCCCCAACAGCCTGCCACATCCGTTGCGTATCAAGCCAAGGCGACCACTGCGTCCAATGCCACGTGGACAAGACGCGCAGGAACCCGTATCCCGCTGGATAGGAGGAGTCATCCATGTCCTTCGCCGACGGAAGACAAAGGAGATACACGCCCGCAGCGAAGCCAACGACCAGCAAAGTGCGTCTCGCACGCACGCCGACACAAGCGCGTTGCGTCGAAACCAGCTCCCTCTCCGCCTCGACTTCAGCGAGAAACAAGCCGGCCATGAAGCTCAGCAGGTCCCAGTACGCATACCAGCACATATACAGCATGAGGGCAACGAGACTAACGAGCCGCGTGGCAGGCGACCAGGGCGCCTGAACGAAAACAGTGAGCATGGCAAAGCAGGACCCGCGGAACTCGTACGACATGGTCCACAACTGCTCGTTGATGCCCTCGTTATACTGCAGGGCGATGCCGTTCAGCCCGTCCATGAGGAACTCAGCCGCGTAGCGCACATGCCGCCATGGCGCAACACCCGGCTGGATTTGATGCGTCACTTTGGGCCTGAAGCCGTGGGCGTAGCCGTCGAAGTAGTACACGAGATGGGATGGGATGGAAAGGAGCAAGACGGGCAGGAAGAGGCGTAGGGGGCGGCGGCAGAGTGAAGAGCGGATGTGTGCTGTTAGGAGTGAGGGATGGGCTTTTCGCGTTTGGATAAGGTTGGTGGCAATGGAGTATCCGGAAATGACCATGAACAGAGGGACCATGGCGTCTTTGGCCCAGAGGAGACGGATGGGGGGAAGCTGGATCAGGTGGCGGTTGGCAGAGCTGGGGTCGGCCCAGAAGGAGCGATAGGGCGTTTGGATCTCGCCATTGAAGAAGTGGTTGAAGGCCACCAGGAAGGTTGCGATGCCTCGCAGGCCATCCACCCATCGCTTTCGCTGCCTTTGGGCCATGGTACGCCTTATTTCCTCTCCCGTGTCCTTGCTAGGAGATGCGATTGATGGTGGTCGTTCAGGATAATCAGATTCTACGCAGGCCGTTACTGGAACTTATCATGCACCGCATCGGGGGATCTATCATATGCAGCTGGTTGGAAGATTTAGGACGATTGTTGGTAAAGAAAACACTCATCACATTATTCGACATCATAGGGATGGAATCATCGACGGCATACACAGAGGAAAAAGAAAAGACAAGGCCCGAAAGTACCAGCCAACCAGTCGACATCCTGCGTATACATATCCCGCAATGGTCAACCCAGCTACATATCACTCTGTCCTGCCCCTGCTCCAATGACGATACTCCCTAAGTCTTATCGATGACAACGTAGCCCTTCGAAGGAACCACCAGTGCCGAGGCCAGCGCTACCGTTTGCAGAATATGTGCAAAGGGTGACAGGACCACCGACATCATAGCATGATACACAATACTTACAACGGAAATATCCTTGACACTGAGATCTTGCAGAATCCCCGCAACAACGAGGACGTGCAGATTCGACGCATCATTGAACAGCATCCAAGTCCAGTACCAGGATGGGACCACAGCGCGGAGGCCGAAGATGGCGACAATGGGGCTGCAAGGTGGTGTCAGTGGCTGTCTGTATGAGAAGAAGAAACGAAGAAACCCACAAGACGAAGATCCCAAGCCCGCCCAGTCCAGCTGCAATCAGCGCCAGCCGCACGGTGATTTTGTTCGTCGCCCAAATACCAGTATACCAGCGGCGACGCTGCCTCCAAAAATCCATCACGCTGACCGGGGGCTGCTCGCGAAACAATGCATGCACCCATTCGAACTTGAAGCCATGTTTGGCAGCCTGCGGACCAATCAATTTGGACCCTTGTTAGCTACTCCGATAAGGTCTCATGCGTTCGGCCCAAGGATCTTGCAGGATCTTGCAGGACGTACGTGATAGCCAAACCAGTAATCCTCGCACACGTTGTCGGTGTCCCATCCAATGGTGTTCTCCACCTCGCCATTGATGAGCATCCAGCTGCCATGGATCCAGCCCAAAAGTGGGCGCTGGAACGTCTTGAACGGGAGATGGAAGCGGCCGTAGTCCTCTGCCAGACGGACGACTTCGGCTGCAGATAAAAATGTGCTTGTCCAATGATTGGTCGACGTGTAGTAGATGGTTCCCTGTGCATGAGGTCAGCTTATTTCCAGCTGAAAAAAAAAGAAAAAGAAAACAAAATACGTACATTACCGAACAGCGCTATTCCACGCTCAATGAAGTCTAACGAAGTAACCATGACGTGCTCATCGATCTCGGATTCTTCGTCAAGGTGCAGCACCCAGTCTTCCTTGGATAGCTTGTATTTCTGACGGAAATGTTCCAAAGCCCGCGCTTTGTACATGGCTTTCTTCGAAGGGACGTGCTTGGGCACTTGGTCCACAGTGATGTACGACGGCAGCTGCTGGCGAAACTCGTCGCCATTGTCGTTGTCCACCAGGACATGGAATCGCACCGAGGGATGGTTACGCTGAGTGAGAACGTCCCAGCAGCGTGCGGACTTAATTGCGGCCTGGAAACTACGAATCAAAATCGATGCTGCTCGTGAGAAGAGGACAACCGTACCTGCACGTTGGTCCCCTTGGTGACGAGGCAGACCCTCAGAGTGCCGAGGCGTCTTGTCTTTGGGCCTTTGGAGTATTTGTAGGGCTGCATGGGCAAACACAAGCCGATAGTATTCGCATACGGAGGGATCTGAATGAAGAAAAACAACGCAGACAGGGCCGCATGGATAGTGGCGGACCTCGTCCAGCCCTGCTCAGATACTTGAGCATAGTATCCGGTGTAGTCAACTAGCTTGTTGAGCCCTGATCGGAATTTTCACATCAGCTCATAGGCACGCGCGACGCAGATGCGGGAGTATACCGTAGAAGGTCAGCAACAGAGTACAAGGAAAGACGATGTAATTGTATCGGAGGATGGCATAGATGCGGTTGGAATGATTCCATGAAGCACGAGAACCATTGGGCTGGACCTGTTTAATCGCCATAATGGAAGATCGTCCACTCGCGAAAGGTTGTGGTAATGGATCTTAGGCGAAAATCAAAATGTAAACCGAGCTGAACGTTGAAGACTGATATATCGAACGCGGACAGCCTCGGGGGAAACGATATGATGCAAGTAGTACCAGGTTATGGAGTCGCCATATTGGCCCCTGTAGCTTCAAGTCGTTCATTTTGGAATTCATGTAGAATACGCATTCTTTCGGACAACACACATCCTGAACAGGAATAATGCATGAGATACGTGTCATCTGGGCTCGTTGTAATGGCCTATCCCGAGGCGGAGCCCATGACGTGCAGCAATCTCATGCCCATCCAAACCCAGGGTGGTTTTATAGAGCTGTCGTACCTAGATCGAGGCTGCTACACACCATCACCAAATATCATCAACCACATAATAATGCGTACCGTGGCATGTATTGGGGCCGGCTTTGTTGGTAAGAAAGACCATCCTTATCAACCCATCCACTATGTCTAACGCCGGCCAGGCGGCCCGCTGGGCGTCGTGATAGCATACAAGTGTCCGGATATCCGCGTGGTGGTGGCTGACAGGAATGAGAGCCGAATCCGAGCATGGGCAGAAGGGACGCCCTCTTTCTACGAACCTGGTATGAATGAGATGCTATCAACGGTACAGGACCGCGAGGAGCCCCAACGAAACCTGGAATTTGTGACTGTAGTAGAAGCCGCCATCGAACAAGCGGAATTGATCTTCATATGTGTCGATACTCCCACCAAGTCTTTCGGAGCCGGTCGAGGGTGTGCGGCGGACCTGACGAACATTCAGGGCGTCGCTCGTACCATCGCCCAGGTGGCTAGGGGGCCGAAGATTATCGTGGAGAAATCCACCATCCCATGCGGCACTGGAGAGATGCTTCATGATCTGGTAGGCAAGGCGGATTCTACTACGCCACAACCTTCCATAACTGACAATGAAATCCTAGTTGAGCAATTGTGGCACCACAGAGGCCGAGTTTGAGATTCTCTCCAATCCCGAGTTCCTGTCTGAGGGATCTGCCATCGAGAACCTGCTGAGACCCAGTCGCGTGCTGATTGGGTCTGCGCAGAGTGTGTCCGGCAAGCAAGCGGCAAATCTCCTAGCGGCGCTTTATGAGATCTGGATTCCCCGATCCTCGATCCTGCACATGGATCGATGGTCGTCGGAATTGGCCAAGCTTGCCGCCAACGCGATGCTCGCCCAGCGGATCAGTAGCATCAACTCCCTCAGCGCCATTTGCGAGGCGGTCGGTGCTAATGTCGATTCCGTGTCGGCAGCTTGCGGTCTTGATCCACGCATTGGACCACACATGCTGCGCGGGGGTATTGGCTGGGGAGGAGGATGTTTCCAAAAGGATATTCTCGATTTGGTGTACATCGCGCGTAGCCTGCATCTGCATGACGTCGCCGAGTACTGGGAGTCTGTGATTAGCATAAATGACTGGCAGCAGGGTCGGTTCGTGCATCGTATTGTTGCTTGTATGCATGGGAGCATTTCGGGGCGCCGACTGGCTGTGTTAGGCTTCTCATTCAAGGAAAACACCTCCGATACAAAGAACTCCCCGGCCATTGCCGTCGCCCGAGGCCTTCTCGAGGAAGGAGCCAAGGTGTCGATCTATGATCCGCAGGCTCCATCGGACGAGATCGCATTGGCAGTGGGGGAGATCGGGGACAGTGCGCAGCTTCGGATCTGGCAGTCCCCCTATGAGGCATGCGATCTGGCAGACGCCATTGTGTTGGTAACTGGATGGGACCAATTTCGAACTCCTTGCAACGAATTGGATCTCAAGACAGCTTCCTTGGATTGGCCGCGCGTTGTCAACGCCATGCAGCGACCAAAGTACGTTTTCGATGGCCGAAACCTGCTGGACGGATCGTTCCTGACGCAGCTGGGCTGTCGGTATGTCCGGGTGGGCAGCGCATCTGCTTGGGATGGATCGAGGTGGACCAATGGATGGCACTAGAAGACTGCATAGAGTCATATGAGTGTAAGCAGTGTAACTTGGAGCTGGGAGTTGGATTCATGTTTTAAGAGCCAAGCAGAGCAAGCAGAGCAAGCAGAGCAAGCAGAGCAAGCAGAGCAAGCAGAGCAAGTAGAGTCCCTGCACCAGTTGCCCCAGAGTCACGGGACTTCCTCCATCAGCTCCGAGTCTGACTAAGTGGTTGCTGCTCTCTGATTCGTCAATCAATCATTGCCTTGTCTGCTCTATACACCCCCTACCTACCACCCCTTCCCCCAGTTCCTAGCTACAGAGTATTTCTAGAGATCTCAAGCAATTCCTCTTGAGATTGATACTCCCCTGCTTAGCAAGAGTCGACCAGGTTCTGTGTGTTGACCACCAAGCCATTTCTTACCCAGGGACGTCATTCCCTGCGTTTCCCTCTTTCTTCCTCACCTTCGTCTCTATCCTATTCATGGATTCATTCGAGAAGCCAGTCCTTGTCACAGGAGTGAGCTCCGCCTACTCCCCGGATACTCAGCTCATCTTGACACTACTTAACTTGTTCTCGCTAGGCTGCTGGCTTCCTGGGCTCGAACATGGTCGACCACCTGCTCCAACAAGGTAAGACGGTAATCGGGATAGACAACTACCAGACCGGCACACCATTAAACCTCCGCCATCTGCAAGACCATCCGCATTTTGCATTAATTGAGTGAGTCCTGAACCTCCAATTTAACCCCATCAACGCACGGTTCTGACATCAAACTCAGCCACAACATCCAGAACCCTCTACCCGTCCTACCACGCCTCCAGAGCATCTACCACCTCGCCTGCCCCGCTAGCCCGCCCCAGTACCAGAAGGACCCAGTCGACACCCTCGACACTGCATACCAAGGTACAAGGAATCTCCTCGTCCTAGCACAGCAGCAGGGCTGCCGCATCCTGCTCACCAGCACCTCCGAGGTCTATGGGTCGCCGCAGGTTCACCCGCAACCCGAATCCTACTGGGGGCACGTTAACCCGTATGGGCCTCGAGCCTGCTACGACGAGGGCAAACGGGCGGCCGAGGCTTTGGCGTGGGCGTTCCGGCAGGCGCCGCGGAGCGTGGATGTGCGAATTGCGCGCATTTTCAACACGTATGGGCCTCGTCTTGCAGCGGGGGATGGGCGCGTGGTCTCTAATTTTGTGGCTGCTGCGTTGTCTGGCAAGGCTTTTGTTATTACCGGCGATGGATCGGCTACGCGCTCGTTCCAGTATGTTGATGATTGTATCCGTGGGCTGGTCGCCCTGATGGAGGTCGAGGCCACTGCTGTCCCTGGACCTGTAAATATCGGCAATGACGCCGAGGTGTCCCTGACGGAGCTGGCGGGGGTTGTGCGTCGTGTTGTGAATGAGATCAGAGGTTTGCAGGGACCGCCGGTCATAGAATACCGGCCATTGCCGATTGATGATCCCCCGAGGAGACGGCCGGATATCACGCTTGCGAAGGACACGCTTGGATGGGCACCGGTCGTTTCGCTGGAGGAGGGGCTGCAGAATACGGTACAGTGGTGGTTGAGTGGAGGCTTTAGAGGGCCGTAGTTAGAGAAACCAGCAGTACATGCGGAGATTCTGTGCTTACACGTAGGTTCTTCCCCCCCTAGACGTCCCTTAACCATAGGCCGAACCTTGTATCTCATGGAGAGATGGGCTGTTTATCTCCATAGTTCTGATCAGCAGCATTTGATCTGTGCATGTATCGGCGTTTTAAATAGATGTTGATACGGTAGACGTCCATCCACCTCGCAAATACTCACAGACAAAACCAGATCGTCCATACCAGGTCTATACACTATTATACAAAAGAGCAGCGAGTCGCAACCCACAACGCAAATCCAACGCCATGCACAATGCATCCCATCTACCAAAACGCCAATGCCCACGAAAACACAACTCAATCTCAACTCATCCCATCTCCTGGGCTGAAACATCTAATCCGACTCCGGCATCCTCATATAAGCATCAATCGCCGCACTGAACGCCGCAAAACCAACACACCCAAAAGCAGCAGCCTGCGGCCCCGCCTTGGCACCCAAAATCCCACCGGTGATGCAACCCGCCGACACACTGTTCGTGAGGTCGTTCTTCGCGCGCAGGCCCTCAATGCAGCACTCCGTCCCCGAATACAGCGCGCCAACAATACCGAAGTTCTTCGCGGACGACCAAGAGCGCGAGCCCATGTCTTTGAAACCGTGCTTGAGTTGTTGGCGCCAGGGGAGGTTCGCGATGTTTTGGCTTTGCGGGGTGAGCGAGGAGTCGTAGGACATCTGCAGCGCGTTAGTTTTTATAAGAGGGAAAAGGGGAGGTTAGAAGGTACGTACACCCGCCATGAACATTCCGAACATACCACCCAGACCGAAACCCATCACGCCGGAGATGACGGTCTTGAGCGGGCACGATTCCATGCCGCTTTGCATCTGTGACTGTCAGCGTCCATACACGTCTGATTTGCGATAGGCGAGACAAACCATCTTCACCATAGCCTGCTCCTGCTCCGTCATGCCTTGCGTATTGTTGCCTCCGAGGCCACCGAAGCCGGTCATGCTTGCGGCGGAAGAGCCGCTCATCCCGGGGAAGTTCATGATAAGGTGTTTTCTGGCGAGGGTCGAAAGAGAAAGAGAGACGTTTCTCGGGTATGGTTTTGTTGAGCTCTAGATAGCGACTGGAGTGGAAGGCTGAGGCGAGGGGGCGAAACGAACGTTGATATGATTAGATGGCGATATCGCGACCCCGGACTCGATGCGGAGAGAATAGAATTTATTTCCGGCGGGTGGCGGAGACCTTGAGCGCAGCTGCTCACGTGCGCATACACTGATCTATGCGGCGCTTACAAAGCTATGCACCAGCACAATCTCCTCTAGCCCTAACAAGTGCCATCCTTGAATGCCAAAGCTCGCGAGGGAAGCACTTGCATACTGAAGGGTTGAACGAAGCTTAGTCAATCTACCGACTAACAGGCTCATGCATTTTGGCTTTTATAGGATTCGGGCATGGATGCGTAGGTCAGACCTATGAGCTATGGTGGATGGATCCGACAGGAAGTTGACTACGATTTGGAGATAGGATTTTTGTCAATTCGACTTTACTACGTATGCTGCGCCGCTATGAGTGTGACTGGCGGTGATGCGGGTGCAAGTGCGAGTGTCAACTTAGGGCTAGACTACCGGGCAGGGTCTTGATCTTGATACTCGAGAGGACTTCAGGGCTAGCTAGGTATATTCTTAGCAAACATTAAGCTCGGAGGAATGATCCTTGCTCTTGGCAAGGGAGCTTGGACAAAGAAAATAAAGCCCCCCTCTCTGTCTGCATACGTTGACCTTTCTGCATTTCAAGAGTGGTGAACTAGCGACAAGCGAGTCGGGCATATTGAGACTGGAGTACTCCGACTCCGATGCTCCGGATTGATGTCACGACGGGAATATTATTGCACCAGCGTCAGAGGACTTAACTAATCTCCGGTATCTCCTTTGCGCCCATCGACAGCTCGAGGCGGCGGTTGCAGCCCGCCCAGCCGGCGGCGGGATTCGTCCAAATCCGCCGTGCGCAGAAACAGTGCCATCCCGGAGATAGAGCCATTGCATCCTCTGTCCCCGCGCTGCAAGCTATAAAGGACCTATGCCTCCTGCACGATGGACTCCAGCACACTTCCGTCGCACTTGAGTTTCGAAAACATCGTATCTTGACTCTCCAATCTCACAATGGCCCAGAAGTACGCCAAGGACCAGCCTGCCGGCTTCACCAACCGCATTGAGCGTGTCGCTGTCATCGGCGTATGTCCTCCTCTCTTCTCACCTTTTTATTCACTAACAATACCAGGCTGGCGGCTCTGTTGGCAAGCGCATCACCACCGAGCTCCTCAAGACAGGCAAGCACACCGTCACAGCCATAAGCCGCAAAGACAGCAACACCCCGCTCCCCTCAGGCGCAAAGGTCGTGCGCGTCGACTACGACGACGAAAACGCCGTCGTCGCCGCGCTTACGGGCCACCAATTCCTCGTGATCTCGCTGGCCGTCAACGCGCCCCAAGACCTCGAGGCCAGGATCATCCACGCCGCCGGCCGCGCAGGCATCCCCTACATCATGCCCAACACCTACGGCGGCGACCTCACCAACGAGACGCTCATGAAGGAGATCGTCATTGGCGCCGCGTACCTGAAGGCTGCCGCTGCGATTGAGGCCGTCGGCGCGCAATGGGTCGCGCTGGCTTGTGGGTTCTGGTACGAGCATAGCCTCACGACTGGGGAGGCGTGGTTTGGTTTCGACTTCCCCAAGAAGCAGGTTACCTTTTACGACGACGGTGCGACAAAAATCAATGTTAGTACGTTGGAGCAGTGCGGGCGTGCCGTTGCCTCCCTCCTTAGTCTTCCCGAGTTGCCCCAGGACAGCAGCGACAGCTCGCCGACCCTGAGCAACTGGGCGAACAAGCCGCTGTTTATTGACAGCTTCGTCGTCAGCCAGCAGGATATGCTGGAGAGCTGGCTGCGGGTGTCGGGCGACAAGAGGGAGGACTGGACGATTGTCAACGAGCCCAGCCAGGCGCGGTGGGCACGGGGCATGGAGCTCCTGCAGAAGGGCGATTTCACGGGTATCGGGATGCTGATGTACGCGAGGGCGTTCTTTCCCAATGGCGACGGTCTCTATGGGGCGAAGCATGGGCTTGCTAATGACGTGCTTGGGCTGCCCAAGGAGGATCTGGATGAGAGGACGGCTAATGCTAAGGCCATGATGGATCGGGGATACCACTACTTTGGAAACAGGAACTAGATTTATGCTTGCTAGATTGGCTTTTGGGTGCAATCGCTCTATGGAAATGTAAGGCTATGTAATGGAAATATCTTTGGGATTCTTATTGATCCTTTTTTGGATTAAGAGCTTACCATGTAAATACACATCTGAACCCGGACCGCGTGTCTGGATTCTTTTCGACTGGTAGTATGCGGGCTCTAACCTCAGATCATAGAAACTAGGTCGCATCTTATATGTACACACGTGTTCTATATATCACCTCTTCGACCACTCCAAATCACCCACCCTCCCGCGCTTCCTCTCCCGCTCTCGATCCCTCTCCAACCCCCTACCCTTCCCGCGTTTCGTCCCAGCAAGCTCCTTCTCCTTCTCCCGAGGATCAATAACCATCAAGGTATCCACGTCCTGGTGTTCGCGTTTCCATTTCAGGTCTTTGCCCAGCGTATCCTTGCCAAACTGCAGCTGGTGGCTGAGCCAGCCGCTGTCATTGGCGTCATCGTCTGCAGCCGTATCAGCGCCGCCCTCGGCGTCATTGTCCCACGATTGGCAGGATTGGCAATTTGCGATAAAATGCAGGTCGCAGAGTTGGGATTCTTCGTCTTCGTCATCATTCTCTTTTCCTTCGGGCTTGGTTGTCGATGGGCGTTTGGTTGATGTGGTGGGCTGGGAATCGGAGTTTTCTAGTTTAGACTTGAAGGCGTTGAACATCTTGAGCGCTTCGGCTTCGGCACTGTTGCTGCTGCTGAAACCCGCTATTCCGTTTGTCGCTGAGCTAGCATTAACGCTTCCTGGGAGAGGTCGTTTGCGGCCTCGGATTGCGGTCTGAGGAATCATAGCCTCGAGGGCAGACTTTGGTTTTGTTTCTGCGGCTGGGGCATGGACGGTGCGACGCATAGAAGCCTTGAGGTTCTCGATTTCGGCATTTGTTCGCGATAAGAATGATTGCTTTGTCGGTGGAGAAGGTGAGCGAGCTGGTGATTCGGGGTCCGGTAACGGAAGCTGGTTTGCATGGTCTGGTGTCTTTGGTCGGTCTTTCGGTGGAGGGGAGGGTTGCCGTTCTCGTTTCGGAGACGGGGACCTAGGCCGTTTCCGCGCTTGTGATGATGAGTCTTTCGTTGACGGCCCCTTCTCTGGAAGCTTTGTATCTGTGACGAGCGTAGGATTGAACTTTGGCTTCGCAGGCCGAATAGGAATATCCTCCTCACCCTCCTCATCGTCCCCGCCAAAACTCAGCAAGGCCTTACCAGGCTTGGCCTTCTTCTTTTTCTTCGCAGCCGGCTTCTCCTCCGTCTTCGCCCCTGTAGCGACAATCTGCCTCTTCTTAACCTTGTCCACAAACGGCCCCAAATCACCCACTTCGCACGACGTAACCTTCACCGGGTATACAGGTCGTTCGGTTCCTTCAATGCGCTCCGCATCCGCAATCTTCAACATATTGTACAGCGTATCTCCCTCAATGCGCCCGAAAAGCGTGCATTGCCCGTTCAACTCGCGCTCGGTATTGGCAAGGGTGATAAAAAACTGGCTCCCATACGTGCCATCCTCGCTCTTCGCCATCCCAACCAGCCCGCGCCGGTTGAACCGCAATCTACTGTGTAATTCATCTCGCAGAACGACCTTCTCGTTCGGATCGCGCGCGTCGGGATCGTACTCGAATTCGGGGTATTCGTAGATGGATGTTCCGCCAGAGCCTGTCCCCTTCGGATCGCCTCCTTGGATGATAAAGTCTGGGACGATTCGGTGAAATATGGTACCGGCGTAGTAATTGTCCATGCAGTGTTGGAGGAAGTTGCGACATGTTAGCGGAGTTTGCTTCGCGAAGAGCGCGATGTGGAGAGGACCGAAGGTAGTATTGAGCGTCGCGGATGCGGTGGGCGCCGGTTCCGTGGCATAGTGGGCGGACATTTTGGTGTGGAAAAAGGATGCTTTGAATCGGGATTTGCGACCTCGAGAACGACTCGCGAGGGAGGCGGGAGCAAACGGAGCTCAAAGGACGCTCCTTGGCCACGGTAGAGTAGCGATGGCCGCTATGCTTGAATGCAAGTTTAAGATAAGTGACGCAATTTGACAGCACGGATTGTTTGCCCCTTCAGGAGCCGGGTTTCGTGGAATGGGAATGGGCGAGACCGGCGAGTGAGAAAAGTGGTGAGTTGAAGCTTTTCGGCCAAGTCTCGGAGCCAACTCACGTCACGTCAGCCGAGGCCAAGCATTTTATAGATCGCCAGCATCACAACACCAAAGCATGAAGTCAACACTTTGGAAGGTAACTGGTTCAATTCGCATAATGAGAGATGTCTACTGTACGAGGCAGTCCATAGAATCTCCTCGGCTTGCTAGTGCTGTGCAGGGGCTTTATGGATTCAATAGTTCCGTCCACACAGAGGGAATCACACCAGCCGGCCTGTGAGTTACCTAGTGAGTCAGGCCATGGGCTACTCCAATTCAGCTCCAACCATTGAACGTTCCGGTCCTGAGCTTTAATAACTCGACTCAGCTGAAGGATTGCTGGAACCCAGATGGTGGCGGTGCAAGAGCCCTATATCGCACAGCCACGGCTGAGGATCCAGGCCACCTTCCTAATCGAGCTAGTACCCTCAGCGCTGCTGGCATTAAAGTCCGCAAGGCTGCAGTATTTCTTGAGCCACAAGCCCCTCGACTTCGAAAACCCATCTCCATTACTCTAAATACCTACAACCGAAAGGACACCAGTAACAGTCAACCACCATGGCCTCCGAAGAATACTACAGGGACAGCAAATACCTCAGTCAAGGCCATGGCCAGGGCTATGGTAGCCAGAGCCCCATACCTCCGGCCGGATACCCCGCGTGCCCTGCTGCATACCTCGCCGGACCCCAGGAGCATCGAAACGATGCAGCGTATCCGCCACAGAATAGCAGTGGCTATCAATACCCACCACAGGAATACTACGGCGGCTACCAACCTCCGCCACCATACCACGACTACCCTACGTCGCAGACCCCAGGACAAGCTCCGTATCAATTTGCATACCCCTCACAGCCCCAGCAGCCCCCGCATCCCCAGCAACCTAAGCCTACATATCCCCAAGACACCCCTCAAGGCGGCCAAGGCCAACCCCAAGACCCCAATGAGCGCGGAGTCCTGGGAGCCCTAGCCGGCGGCGCAGCAGGTGCATACGCAGGCCATCAAGTCAATCATGGCATCCTGGGCACAATTGGAGGCGCAATAGTGGGGTCACTAGGGGAGGACGCAATCAAGCAGCATTCCGGGTCCCACGAGAAGAAGGAAAAGAAGTCAAAATCGAAATGGGGGCTCCATCGGCGTGATTCTTCAAGCTCATCTTCCTCGTCTGATTCCGACAAAGAACATGCGAAGCCGCCAGTCCCACTCCCGGCACCAGTCCCAGCTCGAGCTCCAGCTCCGTCGAACCACCGCGGAAATTTCTCCCACTCATCCAGGGATATATCCCTCCAAGGGAACTATGAGCTTGTTGCGTCATGCCATGCGGTCTCTGGACGGCTCAATGCCTCTAGGTTGCCGCTGAATAGTGTCCTGACGAATGAGTTTGGACGTTTCAAGTGGAAGAGCGGAGGCAATTTCGGGGCATCAGCTAGGAATGCCCGGTTGACGGAGGGTGGGCGCGTGCTGGAGGCAGAGCTGGCGGATGGAAGGGGTGGATGGAGTAGGGACTGGGTAAGGCTTGATGAAAGAATCTCAAACCGGGATGGGGTCTTGGTGTTTTTGGATTAGAGTTCCTACCATGTTCGTGGATGACTTTCAAGGCTCAGCGACGAACTGTCAAGTTCACAATGTTTTAGGATGCTCGGTTGGATCAAGTTATGCTTATCATGAATTCATTTTTGCAGGCGTTTATCATAAGACGTTCCGTGATACAAGCCGTAACAATATTAGACGAACACTTATTACGTTTTCATGTCACCGCTCTCACATTGTAAGAAATAATCCGGGCATTCTACCCACTTTAGTCCTTGTTCTCTTCCACAACCGTCCCCTCAGGAGAAGCATCGGCAGCCCTTCCCTTCTTGCTTAGCCTGAACGGTCCCATCAGGAGGAAAAGCGCCTGCAGACCCAGCACCACCGCGAGGGTCACCATAGCACCAATGACACCGGCCACAGCCTTGGAGATTCCACCGCCGTTACCACCGTCAGTAGAGTTGGTAGAGGCGTTTCCGGAATCAGACGAGCCACCGGACGAAGCACATTGTCCGTTTGTGTTCCCGCAGACATCGCACCACTGCTCCGTGGTCATAACAGCAATTTTCTCCGTCTGCTCAACGAAGGTGGACCAGGGGATTGTGGCACTGGACTGGTCATAGAGAGGGAACTCTGTCGGGCTGGAAAAAGAGCTCGTCATGGTACCGTTGTGGAAGCCGAAGCGGACGCTGATCTCGTCTGTGGAAGGGAAAGAGTCCGAGGTTGAGTTGGTGACGAGCTCCCAGACCATGGACGAGGCGTAGTCCGGAATACCGGTAAAGTTGACATCCGCTGCTGGGAGATGTGCAAGGCCAAAGTACGAGAGAAAAGTGCCGTATGAGCCAAACTCAACGTGGAGCTTCACCTTTCCCTGAGAGGTAACGGTTTCGTTGAGACCCATGAGCATCTCGGCAGCGAGAGTAGACCCTGCGATGGCGCGGACGGTCTCGGAGTCGTTGTAGGCGAGGTTGTACTGCTCAATGTTGGCGTAGAGGAAAGCTTGGTGGAGCTGGGATTCTGTGGGGGTGTTGGTCTTGTTATGAATAGAGCCGACATTGAGGTAGTCGTAGATGGAGTATGCGTTTCTAAAGGTCATGTCGGCATCCGAGAAAGAGGTGTTGATGAGCGGAGCAAGGGACTTGTAGAAGTCCTTGGTTTCGTCAAGCAGTTTCTTGTACAGAGCGGACTCGTAGTAACTGTCGCTGCTAGTTTTGGCCTTGTTACAGTCTGTCGTTCCTTGCAGCCAAGTGCTGTCTTCGCTGCTAGCGCCAGAATCGATCAGGGAAAGTGGGATGAGCTGGTAGCCGTTCAATGGCGATTCAACGGTTGTGTCGTTGGCAAGTTCCATGCTGGACATGGCCCCGACAGGGGGGTAGACGCCCTGCAGGAAGCCGGTTGCGGAATTCTGGAGCACAGCGTCGGCCGGGGCCGAGGCAGTGAGCTGGTCCAGGTCGACAACCTGCTCCTCGATGCCGTCGATGTAGTGCGAGGAAGTCGAGTTGATGTAGCGGTCATGGTAGGCAGTGCCGGTCTGGTAGACCTGGTTGTAGCCCAGGACAGTGAGCTCGGTGTTCTTGAGAATCTTCGCTGTGCGGTCTCCATGGCGTGCAAAGACGTAGGCTCCAAGCACCTTTTCAGCGGAGGCCTGAAGAGGGATGGCCGAGAGGGCGATGAGTGAAAGAGAACGCATAGTGGCAGCAGACAGTAGATGAGCAATTGAGCAAGAAACAAAAAGAAAGCCGGACAGAGTAAAAGGTCGGTGGGGAGGCAGGGCGTTAAATAGAAATGCGGGACACAACTCCGTCGCTCTCTCAGTGAGGCCTGGACAGCGGGGACCGTCAGTCCTTCTTCCTCGGGTCTCTATCTGCTTCAAGCAATGTCCGCGGAAGATATCATGCAGTGCATGCACGCTAGAATACGGAATAGAAAAGCATGGATGAGAGAAAATGTTAGCTAATGGGGTGCATTGAAGATACAGAACGAAGCTGCCATTGGACGATGGAGCTGGGCCTCGAGTCCGCGGGATGGAGTTGGAGACTCCAAGTTGGCAGCCAAGACCCTGCTTCTGGCGTGGAGAACCAGACCCTGGCACCCTTCGGCCATGTCCGCAAAAGTCTCCAGCCTCCGACCTCCGGCCCTGGTGACTCGCCAGATCAAGAAAAAGCCTCAGAGGGAGGCGTAAAGTATATCTAAATATCTCTTGTCAGGGTTGACTGTGTTACCGCTTGGCGAGCATGTAGCCAAGAACAAGGCGTGCTCTGCACCAAGATCTGATGATCCACGAAACCCCACTCTTATCTAAGGGCCGGCCTCCCACTTTTGACTGGGCGAGAGAGCCCTATGCCGCTATGCAGGGTACTGGGGACAGAAAACGTGGATTCGTAATGTACTAACAGCCTTATGCCGCACTCACACCCTTGTCTCCCATCAACTCACATCCATTTCGGATAACTCCTACAAGGCCGCCTGTCTGAACGGTCTCTGATCCGCCAGCGGACAGACGCCATTCAATCTCTGCTAACCCTTCCAGCCAAGTGATCCGTGTCTGTGCTGGAACTTCGAGTCGTTGCAGCTGCTCTCCAAGAGCAGCAAGGATATCCGCTAGGGCAAGGCCCTTGTTGATCTTTAATGTATTCAGGGTATTGAGACACGAGGTGACGTCGCTGGTCGCGAGGAGTGTGGTCATAATCTGCTGGATATCAGCCGGATGAGGTGCGGCAATACAGTCGTAAATCGTCTCGTTCGTGATCGTCTCCGGCTCGGGAAGGGCCTGGTGTTTAGGTGCGTTCTTGATGGGGAGTGGTTTGCCTAAGATGGTTAGTACAAGACCTGCGCAATGAAATGAGGTACGTACTGCTTGCATGGCAGGCTTGAAGTACGTTTAAAGCACGGCGCATATCACCGCGGCTCAATGTGACCAAGCTAGCAACAGCCTCTTGTTGAATACGGACGTCTTCCTTTTCAATCACCTTATCGACCAGAACCCTGATATCTTGCTCTTTGAGCGGACTGAAGCGGAATCGAGTACATCGGGAAAGAAGGGCAGGAGAGAGCTTGTGAGTATAGTTGGCAATGATGCAGAACCGAGTGTTGGCGGTGTATTTTTCCATGATCCGGCGAAGAGCCATCTGCGCCGTCGATGTCATGGCGTCGGCCTCATCCAGAATGATCAATTTGAAAGATGCAAGCGACGATTTGCCGGTAGCGGACGGTGCCATTGAGAATATTTGTTTTGTACCTGCGATGGACCCCGTAAGTCCGCATCCTCACAATTAACTCGACATACTTACTCGCAAAAGTCTTGATCTGTTCACGAACAACATCAATTCCTCTATCGTCACTAGCGTTGAGTTCAAGCACCATCTGCCGCATGTTCTTGCTGCCATATATCCTTCGAGCCAAAGCGAGGATTGTAGAAGTTTTACCCGTACCCGGGGGGCCGTAAAGAAGAAGATGTGGTAATTGCTGGATAAATCAGTGACTGGAATGGCAGCTCCTGGGCAAACGACGTACATTCGCTTCGACAAATCGGTTGATCGTAGCTAAGATGTCCTTGTGACCGGAAACATCATCGAGGGAGTTCGGACGGTACTTTTCTACCCTGAGCCTAGTTAGTTGTTTGTTTTGGAGAATTGAACCAAGTATAGTCTTACCAGGGCAAGTTATCTTGAGCTTCAACTGGTAGATCTGCTGCAACTCTCTTGTGCTTTGCGCCGGTATTGTCGGAGCTGAACTGGATAGCATTCTTGGACGCCGGAGCGTCTACGTCCATGTTGTCCTCGTAATCAGACATTATGCTCAGTGATGCAATATCTCACGACGTCAATTCAAGTCCCGAGGTGCAAGTGCGATATAGTAAGCAGGAACAGCTAATTAGAGCTTCTCTAGAATCCTTCTCTAGAATCCCGACGCGTCAAGATGCCGCAGCGCGTAAAGAGGTTCGGCGCCGGAAAATCTGCGGAGCTCCGTGCCAAGCCCTGAGGCCTCGCTGTTGCTGCGGCGGTGATGACAATGACATGCGGCCTCCCGCTAGGTAGAGCTCCGCCATCAACATCCGCCAGCACGGTTCTTATTCTCTGGACAGGTCTGGGGATTGAATTACTTCTATAATCGCCATAATGCCCGTAAGTGGCTTCCGGGACACTTTCCATGAGAGTCATGCCATTGAGACAACAACTAACCCCCGACTAGGCCTACCATTCCATCTTCCTCGAGGACCGGGATGTTCCCGTAATAGGTACGATCGCAGCTATCCCCTTTACGAAGCGTCAAAGATATCTCTAGACAAAGCTCTAGCGAGTATATGAAAGGCACTTGAATAACCCCATCTCCTCATCCTGCAGGAAACTTCCCAGTCCTACCCCTCCGCACCCGCACTCGCGGCCCCGCATACACCCTCCCCATGCTCCCACCAGGCACCGCCGACATCGACGTACAGCCCGACAACGAGTCCTACGACTGCGTCGACGAGATCCTGTCTCTCTTCCGTGCGAATGTCCTTTTCCGAAACTTTGAGATCAACGGCCCCGCCGATCGCATGCTCATTTACGGCACACTGTTCATCACCGAATGCCTGGGGAAAGTCAAGCCTACAATGTCAGCTCGTGAGGCGGAGAAGGTACTATCAACTCAAACCAAGCTTTGATGAAATTGGATTTGGTGGGGAAAAGATGTTGACGTTTACAGGCCCTGACCAACGTCGCACTCGATAACTTCGCTATTCCCGGCGATGCGTCCTTCCCTCTCAACCAGGCTTTTGAGCCCCCGCGGGACCGCCAGGATGCTGAATCTCTTCGAGCGTGCGTCTCTATATACTGTTCCTTTTCTGGTGGTTGTGCTGACAGCTTGTTTTTAGATACCTTTCCCAAGTGCGGCAGGAAATTGCGATCCGGCTGCTTGCAAGGTTATACCCCGGCGGTGTTGGACCTTCAAAGGTTTGTCTCATCCGCGCGCATTGCTGACTTGATCGTTGCTAACAATGATTGTAGTTCTGGCTCAGCTTCACGAAGAGAAAGTTTATGGGAAAGAGCTTCTAGGGTAGACTTCATTTTGTTTTGTCGTACCTAGCGTGACTTTGGTGGTTACAGATTCGTATCGTATATAACTGTTCACAAGACCATACCCCTGATACAAATACCAGATAGCAAGAGTAAAGTACGTAAGGCTTTGTCACCAGCTTTCCGGAGCGCGTTGAGGACACAATTCAGGGCCTCGAAGACCATGCTGGGGCCCGACGTATCAAGATATGGATTGGTATCGGATTACTTTTATTTGATTAGTTTGGTCTATCATGATTTCATCTCAACATCCGCACTCGTACTCCCAGGCGTAGCAGTTGATTGCTCTACAACCTTTCTCCTCTTCCGGCTCGGATTCCCAGCAGCCTGAATGAACCCAGTCGACGGGATAACCCTGATACCATGGAAGACGTAGCCCTCCGCTCCTCCACGGCCAGACATCATGGGATGCGTACGGCCGGGAAGAACTTGCCACTGTCGCACTCTGACAGTCTCCAGCGTAGGCGCTAGCATCAATGTAGGATTCAAGTCGAATTCAGCAGCTAATTCAGGAAACTCGCCATCCGCCGGTTGACCGTGCTTCTCTTCCAGTTCACGCTTCTTGTTGATGTACGCCGTTTTCCGCGAAGTCGAATAAAGATCTGCGATTTCGGTGAGCGGCTCGATGGTAGGCGAGTAGACGACGACTGGAGCGGATCCCGCAAGGAGGGGCACGGCGTGCTTGAGCACGCTATCTGGGTCCATGAGCGTAGCGACGACGAGGCCATCGTATCCGCCTGCGCGGACTTCGTTGACAACGCTCTGGACACGAGCCCAGCGGTTGCGCTTCCGGTGATACGCGCCGCGTTTGTTGGTTTTGAGGGCTGCGAGCTCGGCGTTGGGAATAACGGCGGGTTCTTCGGCATAGATGGGGTCGGCTTCGGGGTCGAGGAGTTGGAGCCAGGAGACGGATTTGAGGTGGGTGTATAGAGGGTGAGATTCTTCGGGGGAGTTGTGGTCGTAACCGAAGTATTTCAAAACAGAGACATTCGGTTGTTTGTTTGGGTGGAGGACGGTGATTGTGTTTCCGGTGGCGGACATTTGGCCTGGACGGTCCTTTCTTGGTGGTAGGCTTGAAGTCGGTGCTTCTGTGCTGGCGTCCTCGGCGGGCACATTTCCTCCGCTCTCTGCTTCTTCATCAGGGTACAGGATACCCATTCGTTCTGCCATGGCTGCGACGACCAGGCCTCCTGTTTCGTCTACCACGAGGTAGCGGCCATTGGGTCTAGACAACGTCTCTTGTAATGTGGCATCACCGCCATGGTGCACATTTCCCCAGCTCCCAATAAGACCCATTAGTTCATCCCGCAACTCCATGCTCTTCGAGGCTGAATCCCTGTTCTCCAGCATGTAGTTCGTGAGGCCGCTGACGTCCATGGGGAATACCGTAAACCGCTTCATATACTTCTTCTGTTTGCGCAGCGTATATTTGGCCAGCGAAAATGCCGTTTTCTGGTCTATAGTCGAATGCGACTCCAGAATCTTTGCGATTATATCCTTGCCCGCGTCAGTTGATTCCCTTTTCAACGCTTCAATCTCCTCCAGCGTCAACTTTTGCGTTGAGGCATCATCGACTGTGTTCTGGTTCGTACGGATGGGCAACCCCTCCTCATTTACTTCAACATCATCATCACCTTCTCCTTCCGTTATTAATGACTCTGCGTGTAATTCTGCGGCGGGAACAATGCGCAGGCGGGTATTTCCGGGCACTTCGAGAATCTCGTATGTCACGTATAGAGGACGGCCAATGATCTGGTTTGCAGGAAAGGATCCGAATTTTCCGCAGTTGATTAACCTGGGTTATACAGTTAGTTTATCAGCATCGAAGAGAAGTAGATCTGTCGAGGTACATACGTGTTGGGGACGACTTTCTGGATCTTTATGGTCTCCGAAGGTAGTCGCAGAATAACGAACTGATTTGAGCGAATTGAAGTATGCATGGTTGGATTCGCTATGACCCTATACCGAACAGATCATACCAAGTAAAGTATAGAACCGTCCGTCAAGCACCGCGGTTTTCTTCACTTTTTTTGCGATACGCACGGACCATTGGAGCTGCCGATAAAGAGCGCCTGCATAGCCTACGGGTCTTTGTTATTCCGTCCGTGTCACATGCGCGGCCGTCCCTGTTACGGTACGGTACTGTCTTAATGGCAGCCAGGCCGCACAGTTGCTAGGGAAATTCATTACCGGCTGGTACGGAGTAAGCAAGAGTCCCCATGAAAGTGGCTGTGGGGGACACGAATGGAGCCGATGGCTGGAATCCGGGTGCCTGCTATCTGACTGATCTTATGGATTGACGTATATATGCTTGGTTCTATTGGAATTGGGCTCCTCCGCTTCTCTTCCTCAAGACCGGCAAGGGGTAGCGGCATGGCACATATAAACCTGCGCTTCCATGCTTCTTGGAGCAGCTAATTTGCCAACTTACCACTTACCTTATTCAGGAGTACTAGTGCTTCCCCCTCAGCCTTAAACTTGTTGTCTAAGCCACTGGTTACGTATAGCCCCAGGTTTCCCGCAACTACGCCAGTTCGCGCGCCCTGGAGAGTCAGTGTCTCTGATCATATTGCCCCAGTCCGGCCGCAATACTTCTTCATCCTGCCTTATTGGTTGTTGAGCGTGCCCAGCGCTTCATACTTTGCCCGACTGGCCCGAGACTCATCGTCGTCTTCATGGTCCTGCGAAAACGAGCTCCTCCACACCTTCACAACCTCAGTCAAGGGAATGCCCGCTTCGAACTTCGCTCTTCGCTCTCACGAACTTCGCCGACGTCCTTTTCTCTCAAATCCACATCGCCCAAACGCCTGACACGTCCTACAAGGGCTCAGAGCTCTCCGCATCCTCACCGCGTTCCATCGCAGGACTCCATATTCTCACCTGATCTGAACACATCACCAGCATTCGATCTGATGTCTTTGGAGCAGGCGCAACGGTCCCCGATTCGGACCGCGTCCACGGACGCTCCAAATCCTTGGGCGGACGAACTGGTCGAGAACCCGAGTCAAGGTCCTCGGGGGAATGGAGACTCGGCGCAGCCGCAAGTCATAAACAGTGACCTGCGAGATGGAGATGCAGCGGATAATAGAAAGGGGGTGCCTTCGATAGTTCTCGCAGGTACTCAGCGCCGAATGGCTGCGAATGAACTCTCGCCGAATGAAGGGGGGGCCGATACCTCCGATTGGGAATATTTGGGCCCTTCGCCCGTCCAGCTACAGTCGAACAACCCGTTTCTGAGACCATCGCAGCTCGAGAGCAATGCGTGGGCGGACAGGAACTCTCACACATCATCTCTGTCGCGAGATGACGCGAGCGGCGGATTAGGCCAAGGTAAATCCCCGTTGTTTACGTCTGGTGATATTGTTGCCTATGAGACTAATGCTGTCAGATGAGGGCTATATTCCAATGACTGCTCGCTTATCTCTCTTTGACCAGCAGCTGGAATCCGAATCCCCTTGGGCGAGCGAAGCTAGCCGTAGCCAGGGTGCAGGGATGAGTAGCCAGGAAACTGGCGTCACAACTCGCGGTTCTCAGGAAGCCGATGCCCCTTTTGATAATGTGCAACCGCCACTACTCCAGCCCCGCCAGGAACAACAGCCTCCACAACCTAGAATAAGCACACCAGGAACTACATCCACCGCCACTACTGAAGCATCTCATGTTCTGATTGATTTCAATGACTCTCCCACCCAAGAAGCTGTGTCAGTAACTCAGCCTACCAAGGACCAAACTACAATCCAAGGATTTGGTCCACCTGCCGCGCTCCAGAATGTCCAGCCTGGTGATGGCGCTTCTCAGCAAGGCGTCAACCCGCCCCCGGGACTGGGTGTGCCGCCGCGTCCTCATCAACCTCAACTTCCCGTGGCCCCTGACGACGCTGCGCAACAACAAGAGAAGCGAGCAGAGACATATTCCATCAGACATATCAGTTGGAAAGATAGTTCGGGAACGCTACGCGAATCTCCTATGCTCATCCAGAATAAGAACGGGCCATGCCCGCTGCTCGCATTGGTGAACGCCCTTAGTCTACGTGCAGCGGGCTCTAGTACCCAACCACCCATTGTGAGGGCTCTCCGAACTAGGGAGCAAATATCATTGGGACTATTAATCGAGGCACTGTTTGATGAATTGACCACGCGTTTGGGACCAAACGACGAGCTCCCAGACATTGAAGCTCTCAGTCGATTCTTGACAATGTTACATACAGGGATGAATGTCAATCCACGGCTAACTCTGGTATGTTCCAAGATAATCACTTCGGTGGAAATCAATACTGAAAAATACAGGAATCGAACGCTGCAGCCGGCACGTTCCTTGAAACAGAGGACATCAAGTTTTATAGCGCTTTTGGGGTGCCTTTAGTACATGGTTGGATTGCTCCACCATCAAGTAATGCCAGTGCGGCATTGGGGCGGGTAGGACAATATCACGAAGACATTCAATTGCTCCCATTTCGCAAACAAGAGCTCGAGGACCGAGTCTTCCAAGGGACAGCCCTGAGCGCAGAAGAAGAAAGCGTTATGGCCGATATCCAAGCGGTCCAGTATTTTACCGACTTTGAAAACGCCACACAATTGAGCAGTTTTGGACTTGAACAGCTTTCTAGAACGCGTTCACCCGCTTCATTCTCGATCCTATTTCGTAACGATCATTTCTCTACCCTTTACAAACATCCGCAGCTCCAGCAGCTATTTACTCTTGTCACTGATGCCGGCTACTCGGACCATGCGGAGGTTGTATGGGAAAGCCTTGTTGACGTCAATGGGTCGAATGCGGGCTTTTACGCGGGCGACTTTCGACTTGTGAGCCACAATACACCTCATGAATCTGATCCATCCGGGCCGCGGACGTCGAGTCATGACACCTCCCAGCACACAAGTACACTTTCAGCTCAAGAGCAGGCGGATGCGGACTACGCCTACGCTCTGTCGCTTCAGTACCAAGAAGAGGAACAGCGGCAGCCAGCGCCTGCCCGTGGGCGCTCGCAGAGTGCAGCCAATATTGGGGCTAGCGCAAGTACTCCTGCTGTCAACCGCCAACAGCGTCAATCATACGGCCATCGTTCTCAGTCCCATTTCGAGACTAGTGGTGCCGCGCACGAAGATCAGGAAGACGGCCCGCCTCCGTCCTACGAACAGGCAGCCAAGAGTCCAGTATATACGCCCCCGCAACGCAGCCCTAATATCACCGATGCACCCCCTCGGGGCCCATATTCCAGGAACCAGCAAGCTAGGCAGCCGGTGCGGGGCAGAGATAAGGATCGTGATTGTATAGTCATGTGAAAGCCACATTTCTCGACAAAGGCGTTGATCTAGGAGCCATATAACTGCAACATACCATACGAGTGACATCTCGGTGGCGCATCTTACGGATTTGACGAGGGAACGAACATGCATGACTGTTGATGTACTGCTTATATAGACGCCTGCACCGGCGCATCTAATGTATCTTAGCTACTAACGACGAATATGACCTATGATTTTACCATATTTTGTTTGGAGATTGTGGAAGCCAGATCACGTTACCCCTCTTGAACGGAGTTCCGAGGCCGATGTTTCTCTTTTCCTATTCCACCACGGCCCAAGTCTAGTATCAGACAAATTCACCGACCACACGCTCTCTTGGCAGCGGGGTAACTGAAGTGAATGCGGGGTGCTTGAAGAAATAAATCCGGTAAATTCTGAGTGGCTTGCCAGATTCCCGCTGAATGACTGGCATATCAGAACAGGCACAGCTGCAAGGCACTAGCTGCAGAATGTCCACAGCTCGCCGGATGTCATGGTTAGAGTCTTGCAGTCGCTTGGCACGGAGTTTCCTCACGGCTGTTATTGGAGGAAATATGTCGGTTCCTGATACTGTTCGCACGCTTCTTCGCTTCCTGGCCAGGCTGAAGGATTGTGCTTGGCCCCATCAATATGTCGACTACGTTCTCTGTACAGAACGGTCCGTTCGTCCGTGACTCGAAGGCTCGTGGATATCTTCCCATTCGAGAAATTCTCCGTTTCAGACCCCTGCAGTTGCAATGCCTGGCGCACCCTGTGACAGTTTCGACATAGGAGAGATGGTTTGGGTGATCTGGACAGTGTGGCAGCTCGCGAGATAAAATGAGCGAGGAGCCTCTATCAGCTCACCAGGGTGATCTATGTAGTCGGGTCAGATTGGTCTAGACTTATCGAAGTATCTTACGCCGACTCAACCACAGTCAGGATGTACACACTGCTATGTTTCGCAGGGCTTTCTGCTCTTTTACAAATTGCGCATGCGCAGGTTACGTGCTCAGGGAGCTTTGCTTCTATCACCGCCGAGGATTTTGTCGCAAACCTTCATCCGGGATGGAATCTAGGGAATACTTTGGACGCTATTCCAGACGAAGGCTCTTGGAACAATGCCCCTGTCCAGGCGGCAACGCTTGATCTCATCAAAGAATCCGGGTTCAACAGCGTTCGTCTTCCAGGTGAGAGATGTCAAAGCTGCTCCATCTACAACCTACTCACTTTCTTCAGTGACCTGGACGCACCATTTCACAGGAGGCTCTCCTGACTGGACCGTCGACCCAGCATGGCTGCAACGCGTCTCCGATGTACTAGACTTGATCACTTCTCGTGGTCTATATGCTATCGTGGATGTCCACCATGGTGAGTAGCTATGCATATTCTCTATTCGAATAGCTATGTGCTAATCACCTGCAAAGATTCATGGGAGTGGGCCGATGTCACTGCTGCCGGGGCGGACTTGGCCCAAATCGAAGAGAAATTCTATCGGCTCTGGTACCAAATTGGAACCACACTAGCGTGCAAGTCCAGCTTAGTCGCATTCGAGTCCATCAACGAGCCACCAGCAAACACCGCCGAAGACGGCGCTGAAATCAACAAGCTGAACAGCATCTTTCTCCAGGCAATCGCTGATGCCGGAGGCTTCAACTCCCAGCGCGTTGTCAACCTTGTCGGAGGTGGCCAGGATAGCATCAAGACATCGCAGTGGTTTGAAGTTCCAGAGGGTATCACCAATCCTTGGGCTATTCAATTCCATTACTACAGCCCTTGTATGCTACCCTCAAACATATACGGTGGACCATGGTACTAACAGGGCACCCTAGATGACTTTATTTTCAGCGCATGGTGAAATTCATCCACTTCTTTTCCAAAACCTGATACTTACAACTTCACAGGGGTAAGACAATCTGGGGCTCCGACGATGACAAAGACATCCTCACCACAGACTTCGAGCTCATTCGCAACAACTTCACCGATGTGCCCCTAATCCTCGGCGAATACGACGCATCGTCCGTGAATACCGAGCCAGCCGCGCGCTGGAAGTACTTCGACCACATTCAGCGAGTTGCGTCTCAGTTCGGAATCTCAACTATAATGTGGGATAATGGTGCAGACCATCTCGACCGTACGACGGGTCAATGGCGCGATCCCACAACGTTGGACATCGTCGTTGGCACGACGGAAAATACAGCTAACAGTCTCCCTGATAGCACGGAGGATGCGTCTGCGGCAGAGCAGCAGTCTTCTGCGTTTATCTTCCACCAGGTCGGAACGGATGTTACATCTCAGAGTCTTCCTTACCTCTTCAATGGTAACTCTCTCGTCTCCATTACTGAATCCGATGGCTCGGTGTTGGCGAGTGGTTCGGACTACTCCGTTTCTGGGAGTAACATCATCTTCTCAACCGCATATCTCGCAACGAAGTACACAGCGTCCAGCGCGCCGGGTGTCATTGATACTTTGACCCTTCAGTTCTCCGGTGGCGCAGCGTCCCCTACCATTCAAATTGTTCAATGGGATACACCCGTCCTATCTTCAACTTCCGCATCTGCATCCGCAGTATCAGGATCTGATCTCTCCATCCCTATCACCTGGAACGGCCTTCCAAAACTGGCTACTGTAAAAGCCCTTACAAACTCTGGTGTCTATCTTTTCGATGATTGGACTCAATGGCTTGGTCCGCTTCAGCAGGCTCGTGCGGTACGTCTACTCCTGCTCCTATACCTGAACAATTCTCTAGGCTAGTGGTCTAGCTAATTTCTCTTCTACAGACATACAGTAATCACTGGAACTGGGACACCAACAACGTGATCATCACCGCTGCCTCTATTGATGCCGTTGTGGCTGCGGGACAGACATCTGTATTCACATTTGAGTTTTACCCTCGTGTTGACGGAGGGGGAAATACTGTTGAGTTTACATTGACTGTCTAATGAGGTCATTTGTTCTATTGGCTTTGAGTTATGTTGCTCTCTTGGGTGCCTGATTTGGTGTGGGTTAGGGCTTGGTTTACGTCCCGCAAAATTCATTTGAATATGTAGGGATTATATTACTCACACGTTTGTTAGGTATTACCGTACTCTGAATCTAGCCTGAAAGGATACTTTTTAATCATTATGAGGACTATAAGTTCCTGTTTTTGAAGGCGAGTGGACGATCTGTATCATGACGTCAAGCAAGCCAACAAAGATATATCTCCATCCACGCCGGGTTCAAGCCAATTGATCATCTGTCGAACAACACACGCACGAACAACATGAGCGCAACAGTAGGTTCATTGTACACCACTTCAGCATACTGAGTTTACATTAATAGCACACAGAATACTCCACGGAGAATCCTCTGAACCGAGAGCCTCCGGTTAAGGAGCTCGTATCGAGGTATGAGTCGAATTCATACGTTACGTATCTGCTGCAGTAGACATTAATAAAGCCCCCAGTTTTATAACACCCAGTTCAAAATCCTACAACCGGAACCACGGTCCCATTCCACATCTCTCCGCAGAAACGCACACAGTTAATGTGGACGGCCTCGTCGCAACACCCCTCCGCCTCAGTGTCCACCAACTCGCCACCGAGTTCCCGCAGCATGAAGTCCTCTGCGCGCTTGAGTGCGCGGGTAATCGACGACATACGATGCGCACGATGCTAAAGGAAGTCGAGGGCATTGACTGGGGCGATGCGGCAGTTATGAATTGTAAATGGAGGGGTCCGAGGCTAAGGGATGTTCTACGGCGCGCAGGGGTAGAACAGGGTCGCAAAGGGCTACATGCTGCATTCTCGTCTTTCCAGGTTCAATGCCAGGAAGATAAATGGTTTGGGGGCAGTGTCGAGTTGGAGAGAGCACTCGACGAGAAGGCGGACGTTATACTAGCGCTGGAGATGAACGGCGCCCCGCTCGAACCAAACCACGGGTATCCCGTCCGCGTCGTCCTCCCCGGAATCGCGGGCGCGCGGTGGGTGAAATGGCTTGACAAGATCACCGTGCAGGACGAGGAATCCACGAATTTCTACCAGCGCCGCGATTACAAGGTCCTGCCTGAGGAAGCCGTGGATCGGGACGCCGCGGAACCATTCTGGGACAAGACGCCGGCTATGTCTGAGGTGTCGATTAATTCTGTTGTGGCGTTGCCCGAGGACGGGGAGACGGTATACTTGTCGGACGAGGGGAAATTGGTGGTGAAGGGGTACGCGGTTCCGCAGGGGTCGAGTGGGCCGGTGGTGAAGGTGCAGATTTCGACCAATGGGGGGAAGAAATGGGTTGACGCGCAGATTGGGGAGTTGGGTTCCATTGCGGGTGGAAAGAATGCAAGGAAGTGGTCTTGGGTTTTGTGGAGGGCGGAGGTTGAGATTGAGGTTGGGGAGGGGAGGGAGGTGGTTAGCCGGGCGGTTGATGCAGGAGGGAACATACAGAAGGAGCATTCACAGTGGAACTTGAGGGGCGTCGGGTATAGCGGGTATGGACGAGCGAGGGATTTGAATGTTCGACGACAGTGACTATCGCTTGCGTAGATGGAATGAGATGTACATATTTCCTGGATTGCACATTGGTCTATGATAACAAGACAGCATGGTATATACAGTTGCAGACAGTGTTCACGGAAGAACGATGTACTTCTCCAGGTGCTTGGGGATGGCGTTGCGCAGACCCTTGCTCTCAAGCCATGACTTGGAGAAGAGCCTATCTGCATACCGATAGGCACCATCAGCAAGGATAGTCACGACAGTGCTGCCCTTGCCGAGCTTCTCAGCAACCTCCTTAGCGGCAACGACGTTGAGCGCGGAGCTGGCGCCGAGGTAGAGACCCTCCTCATCGAGGCAGCGGTAGATCATCTCAATTGACTTCTCATCGCTGATGTTCAATGATCCGTCCAAGGTGCCAACATCAGGCTGAAGGTTATCCGTGATACGGCCCTGACCAATACCCTCAGTGATACTGCTACCGGACCGCTCGGTCAGCTTCCCGCCGCTCTGGATGTAGCTGTGCAGAACACTGCCAGGAGGATCGGCAAGGAAGGACTTGACCCGGCCATTACTGGCCTGCTTCAGGTAGTATGTAATACCAGCAAGCGTACCACCCGTTCCAGTCGAGCATGTAAACGCATCCAGCTTGCCGCCCGTCTGCGCCCAGATCTCCGGGCCTGTCGTCTCAATATGCGCGCGGCGATTGGCCGTGTTATCGAATTGGTTCGTCCACACCGCGTTATCTAGGGACTCGGCGTGTCGGCGCGCCTTGTGGTTGTAGTTCTCCGGGTTGTCAAACGCCACCGCGGGCACAGGGTACACCTCCGCGCCGAGCAACCGCAAGAGGTCAATCTTACCCTGCGACTGCGTGTTCGGCATGTAGATGACAAGCTTGTACCCCTTGGACCGGCAGACGTGCGCGAGTCCAATACCCGTGTTTCCCGCTGTTCCTTCAACGACGGTACCGCCGGGCCTTAAGAGGCCCCGCTCCTCCGCATCCTTGACGACGTAGAGCGCCGCTCGGTCCTTAACGCTACCTCCGGGGTTCTGGAACTCGGCTTTGGCGAGGATGTTGCTGCCGGTTTCTTCAGAGAGGCGCTTGAGGCGAATGAGGGGAGTGTTGCCAATAGCTTAGAGAAGAATTGTTAGTCGTAATGGAGTAACTCCGAGAGCGTTGGCCAGTTACCTTCGGTTAGCCCGTTGACGAAGCCTTGCGCCTGGGAGACTCGGACGCCGTAGGAGCTCTCGGCCGTGCTGCGCAGAGCAGTCGTAGCGAACCGTCGGACACTTTGTCTGAACATACTGTGAATATCAATGCTGCTATCCTCAAAGAAAGAAGTTCCCCGGACTGGCCTCCGAATGAAGACCGATTTCCGGCTTTAGTAATCTCAGATCACGTGAGCGATGGCGTGCTAGCCACCGGCCAGGTTTCGGAGTTACGGATGCCTCAGGCAGAAATTAGTCATGTGAGATTAGGATGAGAATCAAGGGGTAAATAAAACATGAGATTTCTTAGGATTTAAGATAAATAAGAATATAAAAGTTTAATAGCTAAATATAAAAAAATTTAAGCTATATTTATTTTTTTTTTTTTTATATTTTATTTTTTAATTAGGCCATGAGATCTAGCTAAAGTTAAAGGTTAATTTTTTTTTTATTTTTAAAAGTTAATTAAAGTTATTTAACTAAGTTTACCGCGGAAATTTAAAAAATTTTTACCTTTTATTTAATATATTTTTTAATACTTAAAAAAATAAAAATACTAATACTAGGTATTAAAAATAGCTTTAATTTTAATAAAGCTAAATTAATAAATAAATATTTTATAACACAGGTTATTAAAAAGTTTAATAAGGCTATTTATTAATTAATTTTTTATTTTTATTTAATTAACTTTAATTTTTTTATTTTAATACTTCTTGCAAAGCTAGTAATAATAAATATTAATATATTAAAGTTATATAATAAATATAGGATTATTTAAGTTAAGTAATTATATAATTTAGGTATTATTATAAAAAAGGTGTAATTTAACCTTTAAATTAAACTTTATAATATTAAAAAGTTTTTTTTATTATATAAGGTTTTTTACTCCCTTGGTAATAGCAAGTAATTTAGCTTTAATAATAAAGGTAATAACTATTTTTTACTTACAAGTATTTTAATTAATTAAACCTTTAAATAACTTTATAAGTTATTTATTAAAGCTATATTAGTTAAAATTATTATTAAAAAAAGTATTAAATACTATAATAATAATTTTTTTAATATTAGCTAAGTATTTAATTTTTAGGTTTTTTATAATAATAAAATATTAAATAATATATTTAGCTACCTTAATATAAGTTTTAATAGGCTATATTATATACTAAGTAAGTTTACTAGCTACTTTAAAGGTATTAAGGCGTGTTATTATAGTAAAATAAAAAAATAAGTTAATAAGTTATTAATATAAAAAAATATCTTGCTTTATAAGCATATAATTTAAAGGTATAAATATTAGTTTTTTAATAAATAAAGGTATTTTTAATATTTTACTTGATATTATAAGGTTATATTTAGCCTATAAATTATTAATATAAAAGTCTTAAAGTAACTAAATTTTTTAATTATAATAATTATAAATAATTTTAATATTTAAGAATTACTTTGCTTTGCTAAGATTTTATAATTTATATATATATTTTATATATTTAATAAAGTTAGCGGCCTTTTTTTTAGCTTTAGCTAATTTCTTGCTTATAATAAGTATATTATTAATAAAAAAAATAATTATAAAATACTTTATAATAAAAAAGCAAGGCTTTTTTAGCACTAGCTTAAAGCTATATTTAAAAAGTATTAAAAATATTTTTTTTTATTAAATACATGGTAATTATTTAAGGCTATATAAGGGTTAATTTAATTTAAATACTTTATTTTTAACACGCCAGGGGCTGGGTGGTGTTTTAATATATATTTTTTTATTTATAAAGCCTTAAATAAAGGTGTTAATAATATTTAATTAAATAATATTAAGGTTAAAATAAGTAACAAGCGCTATTATAAGTTAAAATAATTAAGTAGTAAAAGTTATTATTATAATATTAATATAATTACTAGGTTAAAAATCTTTTTTAATATAAAAACACGCTTTAAATTTATTTAAATACCTAGTAATATTAAATTTATATTTAAATACTTATATAAGTGGTATAATAATTTTACCTTTTAATATAAGAATAATTTTAAAGGTATAAAATTTTTTAAAAGTACTAAATTTAACTCTAGCGGCCTTTATAAACTAGTTTTTATATAAATACTTTATAAGTTTTACCTAATTTTTTAGTTTTTTTTAAAGTTAATTTTAGTAAATAACTTTACCTAGTACCTCTTGTAATAGTCCAGAAGGCTTAAAAATTATTAAGTAAAAAAAAATATAATATTTAATAAAGTTTTTTACTAGCTAGTAAAAAAGTTTAATATAAAAAACTTTAAAAAAAGGCCTTTATCTTAGGCGGTTTTTATTTATAAAATTTTTTAAATCTTGCTTTTAGTACAGGCGGTTATATTAAGCCTTTTTATTTAATTTAACTTATGTAATTAAAAGTTTAGGATTAGGATTTTACTTTTTTTTTTATATTAGTTTTATGCGGTTTTAAGTTAGATTTTTTAAAAAAAAGTAGTATTAGTATTTTTTTTTATTATTATTTTTATTTATATTATTTTTTAGTTATAGGAGCCCTCCAGCACTATTATTTTTAAAATTAAGTATTTTTTTATTTTTTTTACTTTTTATTACCTAGTTGGGTGTTATTAAAATAATTTTATAGTTATTATAAGTTTAAAAGCTTTAATTAATTATAATATTTACTAAGCTTGGGCTAGCGGCGGGAATAAATAAAATTATAAAGTTTTTATTATTATATAATATTAAATTACTAGGTAAGTTAAAAATAACTTTATTTTAAGTATTAATTTTAGCATAAGGTTTATTATTTTTAACCTTTTTATTTTTACTTATTTTTATGTTATTAGGCTCGGGAGTAGGCTTATTTTTATTATTAAGTTTAAAAAAATTATTTTTAAAGCTAATAAAAAATAGTATATTAACTAGTTTTTTTTTTTTTATTAATATATATTAGGATAGTGTATCTTAAACTAGCTATATAAATTAAATTATTCTTATTATAGGTTCTTGCCTTATTAAATACTATATTTTTTATTTAAATAATTAAATATTATATAGCTTTGGCGCGAGGGTTTTAAATTTTTTAAATATTATAAGCTTTTTTATATTTATAAAAATATTTAATAGCTGCTCTTGGCTTTATTTTATAAAAGTTAGGGATTTTTAGCTACTAGTAAATAAGTAATTTAAACTTAAAAATATTAGCTATATTTACTAGGCAAGTATTACTTATTAATACTTAAAACTTTTAAAGTAGTATAAACTATTTATTTTTTTTATTTTTTATAAGCATGTAATTTAGTATATAAATAAATACCTTTATAACTTTAAATATAAGATTTTAGGGTATATTAGTAGTTAATAAAAATATTTTAACTTTTTATAAAATAATTTTTTTTAATTACTTGCTTGCGCTATTTTATTTAGGTGTATTAAAAATAATAATTTTAAAAGCTAAACCCTATTATTTTTTAATAAATTTAAAGTTGTTTAAAAGCTGTAATATTTTATTATTTATATAAAAAAATTAAATATAAAAGTTAAATTACTTAAAAATATAAGTATTAAGTAATTAAATAGCGCGCTAGTAATTATTTTTTTTAGCATATAATATTATTTACCTTATTTAGGTAGTATTATTTAAAAAATAAAAAGTGTATTTTATATTATTTTAAAATGCTTTAAAAATAAAAATATTAAAATAAATCCTTTTAAAGGATTAGGTTACTTTAGTTAATTTAATTTATAATATTTACTTAGGAAATTATAAGAGTTTACATGGCGTGTAAAGTAGTTTTTTTTTTTACTTTTTATTAAAAAGCTAAGGCGCTAGATTAATTTATATATTAGTTATAAATATTAGGAGTTTAGATACTATATTAATGTTAAAGTAGCCTATATACTTATACTAAATTTTTAGGTTTTTTAATAGTATTTTTAGAGTTGTAAAGCGTTAAATTTTTATTTTTATTATAATATAAAAAGCCTTAATTTTTTTGTTATTATTAATATTAAATTTTTTATAGTAAAATATATATAATTTATAATATTATTTAAGTACGCAAAAGTTTATTTTTTTTAAGTTTTTAAAAGTTCTTTTATAGCTATTAAAATATAAATCTACTAACATGGCTTTATTAAGAAATATAATAGTGGTATAAAAGCCAGGAATATAGGTATAATTTTTAAGCTTTAAAAGTTTTTTTAAGCTGTTTAGTCTCTTGTAAAAAATATAAAGTATATTAAACTTTTTAATTTTATTAATAATATTACTAATAAAAATAATATTATTTTTAAAGGCGTCGCGGATGTTAATTATTTTGGTAAGGTTATTAATAACATGTATAAAAAATCTAGAGTTAGTAATAATACTTTTATATAGGCTATATTATAAGCTATTAAATAATAAATAGGTAATTATTATTATAACTTTTTTTAGGTTTTTGGAGTTATTCTTTTTAGCCTTAATTTTAAATATTATAGTATTAAATTTAGATTTTTTAAAGGTGCTTAGTACTTTTTTTTTAATAGTTAGATTTTATATATTTTTTTTTACTTTTTGTAAAGTTTTTTTTTAAGGCTCCTAATTTTTTGGAGCTTTTTTAATATTAAAATACTAGTAAAAAGTAATAAAATATAGGTAGCTACATGCTAGGCATGTTAATTTTAATTTATTATTTTTATTTTTACTGTTTTTTTTAAATTTTTTATTATTTTTAGTATTTTTATTTTTTTTATTTACTAAGTTATTTTCTCCAAGCGTGGCAAAGGTGCCATTTATTAGTTATTATTTAAATTTACTATATGTAGTATAAACGGCCTAAAGTGTATAAAATACTTTAAACTTTTTAATAGTATTAATAAAGTTTTTTTTTTTTTTTAAAAAAATGGCCATATAAAGCCTTTAACTAAACTTTTTATTAATAATTATAATAGTATATATAAAGTTTTAAAGCGCGTTAGTATTTTAATTATTAATAAAAATATTAAACTTTCTGGCTTTAGTAAATATATTAACCTAGTAATTATATTAATTATTAATTTATTTTTTAATAAAAAGGCCTTGGTAAATAGCTACCTTTTTTTATTTTATTTTAATTTTTATTTAGCAGGTAATATTAAATTATATATAATACTTTATAAGAAGTTAAAGTATTACATGTAAATATTTTTAGCTATATAAAAGTTACTAATAAAAGCTAAATATAATTAAGATTATATAAACTATTATTATATTTAGCAAAGCTTTATATTTTTTTTTTTAAGTAAAATATTTTTTTATAGTAATATAAAATTTGCCTTGTTTATTAACTATTAAATAACTTATTTAAAGTTTACCTTTTTTAAAAATATTAAAGTAGTAATTTTTAAGAATTAGCCTCGGGCTAATAGAAATAGGTAATAAGTTTTTATTATTAATTAAAAAATTAATATAATTTTATATTATAAGGCTTATAGCTATTAATTTAGTAATTTAATATTATAAGCGCTATGTATTAAAATTATTTAAGGTAATAATATTAAATTAGGTATTTATAAGTAAAAATTAAAGATTTTTTATAATATATTATATAGTAAATAAAAAAAACTCTAGGAGTTTAAATTTAGGTAGTAAATAGCTTTAAAAATAATTATATAAATAATATTTAAAAAAGTAAAGTATAAACCAGGCTTATAACTTTTAAAGTTATAAATATTTTAGGTAAAAATTAGTTATATAAAATTAAAATAAGAATTAAGGGATAAATAAAATATAAAATTTTTTAAAATTTAAAATAAATAAAAATATAAAAGTTTAATAGCTAGATATAAAAAAATTTAAGTTATATTTATTTTTTTTTTTTTTACATTTTATTTTTTAATTAGGCTGTAAGATCTAGCTAAAGTTAAAGATTAATTCTTTTTTTATCTTCGGAGGTCAGTTGGAGTCATCCAACTAAGTTTGCCGCGGAGATCCAAGGGATCTCCACCTCTCGTCCGACACCAGGCACTTGGACATCATAGTATTGTAAGCATCTTCTAGATGACGGAGATTTGAAGGGAAAGTGTGTATTGTATGATAATGATTAATGAGAGACATCTGCTCAGAAGAAGAGCCTAGTCGTTGAGTAATCGGAATCAGGTCAAGACTCAGCACGTGCTGCCCTAACCCTTATCAGGCTGCCAGTTTGGGGTGTTTGTTTATTCTTTGCCCCGTGACTCTCAGCAACCATCATAACAAGCAGTGCCAGGAGCCAACGAACTCTTCAGCTATCGACATTTCACCCCAAACGCAGCCTTTTACTAAGGACGGGTCAGCTAGCAAATGCAACTCTACTAGGATGAGTTGAAATTCATTCACGGCCTTTGATAACTGTCCAGTACCCCCTACTCCCGTCATTACCCCTCTCAAAAATGCCCAGTCGAGTTGCCGCCCGTTCGACTTCCGCCGCCTCGCGCAAAGGCTCTGAGCAGAGTACGACTTCCCGTGGTCGCGCTGGATCTGCGACGCCTTCGTTCGCTATTCCAGAGGAACCTCCATTGCCAGAAGCCATACCCAGCTTGCGCCGGGATGTATGCGCGATCTTCGCAGACGCCCAGCGCTCGACCACAGGTCATCGCAAACTCGTTGTTCGACTAAGAAAGATCCAGGAAGTATGCTGTGGCATCCCTCAGAAGAACACCAAAAAGGCCGGCAAGAATACCGAAGCCCCGGATGAGCGATTGATCCCAGGCGAAGAGACGCTACCAGAAAAGGAATTCAATGTCGAAGTGGGTCGCTGTTTATTGCGCATCTTATCGATCAAAAAGACAGAGCCCGTTGGCGATCGCATTTTACGATTCCTCGGCAACTTCCTCACTCATGCCTCGGAGAAGGATGCTGAGATTTTTGGCTCCGATGAGGACGAGGACGAGCTACAGAACACGCACGAGAGACCGACCGCGCATCTAACGACCAGTCTGGTTTCTCTCCTGGTGCCTTTGTTATCTGCCAAAGACAAGATTGTACGCTTCCGTACCACACAGATCATTGCGCATATCGTCAACTCGCTCGATACGGTGGACGATGAATTATACCACACTCTCCGACAGGGTCTTCTGAAACGAATTCGCGACAAGGAACCTTCGGTCCGAGTACAAGCTGTTATGGGTCTCGGCCGCTTAGCCGGAAATGAAGAAGACGATGATGAAAACGACGATACCAGTGCTCTTGTTGAGAAGCTTGTTGAGATTATGCAAAATGACACAGGTGCGGAGGTTCGGAGGACATTACTTCTTAACCTGCCGTTGATCCCAGCTACGCTTCCGTACCTCCTCGAGCGCGCCCGCGACCTCGATGCACCCACTCGACGGGCGTTGTACTCTCGCCTGCTTCCAACGCTTGGAGACTTCCGACATTTGTCTCTATCGATGAGAGAGAAACTGCTCCGCTGGGGCCTGCGTGACCGTGACGAAAGTGTTCGAAAAGCCACTGGAAAGCTGTTCTACGACCGTTGGATTGAGGATATCGCTGGAGCGAACAACGACCCTGAGAAAGTCGGACAGCGCTCGGAACCCAGCATTCCGGCTCTACTGGAACTGTTGGAGCGTATTGATGTGGTGAACTCTGGAATGGAAACTGGCATCGCGCACGAAGCTATGCGCAGCTTCTGGGAAGGCCGACCAGACTACCGAGAGGCTGTTCTCTTTGATGAATCATTCTGGGAATCGATGACAGCCGAGTCCGCCTTCCTCCTCCGCTCATTCAACGACTTCTGCCGAGTTGAGAATGAAGGTAAATATGACAACTTAGTCGATGAGAAGATCCCGGTCGTCACGGCTCTCGCAATGTATCTCCATAAATACATGACCGAGCTTTTACAGCGGAAGAAGCTCTCAAAGGACGCTACTGACGTTAACGACGACGACACTGTTGAAATTGAATTCATCGTCGAGCAGTTGCTCCACATCGCAATGACTCTAGACTACAGCGACGAAGTTGGGCGACGAAAGATGTTCTCTTTACTCCGTGAGGCGCTTGCTGTGCCAGAGCTCCCCCAGGAGTCTACTAAACTGGCTGTCGAGACACTGAGGTGTGTTTGTGGGCCTGATGCCGCCGCTGAAAGTGAATTCTGCAGTGTTGTTTTGGAAGCGATTGCTGAAGTCCACGACACAATCATTACCGAAGACAGCTTTGTTTCTGCAAAGTCCGAGATTAGCGATGATGCTAGCAGCCGTCAACGGTCTGAAACTCCCATGAGTGAGGATGATAAGCCTTTCAATAGGGAAGAGGCCAAGGCCAAGGTCCTTAAAGAAATCGTGGTTAACATGAAGTGTCTGCACATTGCGCTTTGCATGCTCCAGAACGTTGAAGGCAACCTCCAGGCCAACATGAACCTGGTGACTATGTTGAACAACCTAGTTGTACCTGCTGTTAGGAGCCACGAAGCCCCCATTCGCGAGCGCGGTCTCGAGTGTCTTGGGCTGTGCTGTTTACTGGATAAGGTTAGTCCCGGTCAATATCGATGGCATATTCTTTCTGACCCTTCTCAGACTCTCGCCGAAGAGAACATGACACTGTTTATTCATTGTTATAGCAAAGGACACGAACCTCTGCAGGTCACTGCAATTCAGATCTTATGTGATATGTTGACCAGTCACCCCTCCCTACTGACTCCTGTCACCCAGGCCGATAAGGAGACGGTTGCGCCACCAGCGTTTCAGAAGCCGTTGCTCAAGGTCTTTTCTAGAGCCCTCAAGCCGAGCTCCCCCGCTTCTGTACAAACAGCAGCTGCGACAGCTCTATCTAAGCTCTTACTCACTGGTGTTTTCACTCCCTCAGCCGCCAATATTCCAGAGGCTATTCAAGAATACAACCAGCATGCCATTGAGACGCTACTACAGTCCCTCGTCGTGTCCTTCTTCCATCCCCGAACTCGCGAGAACCCCGCGCTTCGACAGTCCCTCGCCTACTTCTTCCCAGTATACTGCCACTCCCGGCCAGAGCATACTCAACATATGAGGAAGATCACCGTGCCTGTTATCCGAACAATCCTGAACTCGGCGGAGGAATACTACTCGCTTGAAGCTGAAGAAGACAGTGATGGCGAGATTGACGAGTCTGTTGGTGAAAAGGAACTGAAGGTCCTGATGAGTGGAGTATTGGGTATGATCTCAGAGTGGACCGATGAGCGAAGAGTTATCGGTTTGGGCGATGAGCGTGTTCTCGCTGGCGGCCCTGCAAGCTCCAATGCTTGTGGAATCATCCACTTGGAATTGATCAAAGATATTCTAGAGCGAGTGCTTGGGATCAGCGAAGGCAGTAATCGCTGCTCCAAGGAAGAACGGAAACTCTTGTTCTCGCTCATGAGCAAGCTCTACATTGCCCCGCCAACGACGCCTTCACGCTCAGCGTCCGTGGCACCGGAGGACGATCCCTTCCGTTCCAGCGTCCGAAGCTCGCAAGGCGAGCTTAGCCCAGAAAACCTTGCTCTGGCACAAGAAGTTAAGGAGCTCCTAGACCAGACCATCGAAGAAGGTGTGGCCGCCGATGCTGCAAGCCGAAATGCCCTCGTCAAGGTCAAGAACGTGGTCCTTAAGCTGCTGGCGGCTCCCATACGACCTGCCAGTGCTCGTGGTCGTGAGAGCAGCGTTGAGAGTGATGTTGGCAGTGTCCGATCCTCCAGAAGTATTCGGCCCTCGGTGGAACCTGGATTTGGGCGGCGGGCTGTTTCGATCGAGCCGAGTATCATGGAAGAGGACGAAGAAGAAAGCCGGTTGACGGTCGACAGTAGGATGACTGTCATCAAGGAGGAGGACCCTGACGCCATGGAGGAATAACATCTCGGCTCTTATGATTTCTGTTGTCTTGTTTGGCGTTGGAGGTTCTCGGTTGGGTTTCGGTAAGGAAATGGATATGATTTTATGTTCGGTTGCAATGTACCTATTCGATTCTTTGGTTACGATCGAAGATGCTCTGTATATGCTTATTAAACTGTCGTATCACCTCCCCATTCGAGCAGTCCGGGTACACAGGCTATCATAGTCTAGCTCATCTCTTGGCGGAGTTATTCCAGACTGACAGCTACCTCCAGACCAGAAGAGGCTAGCGTTTAGCCTCAGCATCCGGGCTATCGCGTGGTATCAACAGTTGACCGACCATTCAATCTTTCTTACGTTCCGGGATATTGAAGGTTGGTCTCTCTGATAGCAAGTGCTTTTGAAGCCCTCAGGACAGAGCAAGGTGAGCTCGAATCGGTGCCAGTCAGCCTTATTCCCTTATTACACGAGTCAAGTCCGGCGGCATTATTATTAAACATCAAAGCGGGCAAGACCGCATGTGGAGACTCTTAGCACTCGGATGCGAGGCTTCCGTTCTAATTCCTAGTCTCCAAATCGCCTGCCTGAATGCTTGGAAATACTCCGGAGATACCAAGTATTTGCAGAGAACGACATTGAAAGTAGATACCGACAGCTGCTTTGCTCTCCTGATTCATATCGGGTTTAGCCCGGGAGGGGGCCAGTGAGGTTCTGAGGTCATGTTGAGGCCAATGGGTACACCGGAGATACGATACAAAGAGTTCCGATACCGTCGACACCTCAAGTACCTTTGTAACAGCTGGTTTGCAGCCCTATCGATCCAATGGATTGCGTGCTTAGAATTAGAATGTCTGAGATGTCGTTCCTCTATTCGATACAGCTGGGTAACTTGGTCAAGGACTGTAATAAGCGGCTCGGCAGCAACGTACGGTTGATGATGTCTGGGTAGATGGGATCACTCGTAAAATCCAATGAAGAGGCAGCTGGACTCATCGAGGGAATTGATTTCGTAGCTATAATGGGCACGCTATGGTACTAGACCAGAACAGTTGCAGTGGTTAACTTGTTCCCCTCAGACCCGACCCTGTTCTTTTTAATCTCGACGCTCCACCAAGAGTCCAGCTTGACTGGGCGACTATTCTTTTTCTTCCCCATCCTTTTCCTCTCCCACTCCTCTCCTCCTCTCGCTTTCTCTTCCTTTCGCTGTATGTTTTTTGTTGCTTGATTCACGACTCTCTTTTTCCTTCTGGTCGTGAATCTGTGTCTTCTGCTCCCACTCGCAGAGGCACGATTTTTCTCCCTCCTCCCCCCTTCCGTCCCCCGAGCCCCTGCTCTGCGCCTTTGGCATCCAGAGCCAGCGTCGAGACCGTGAGCGATGGCCTCCGTATCAGCTCCCACGCCCAAGCTGGACCGCTACATCGTCGTCCATGTGGCTACTACCTGCGATGAGCATGGCGTCTACGTCACCAAGGACTCTGCAGAGGTGATCGAGTTGGGGTGGATCTTGTTGGATACCAAAACCTGCGAGGAGGTACGCAGCGATTCCCTTCCTGCATCAAGCCCTGCCCCTCTTTTCTGTTTCGATTCTCGTATGCTTGGCCGGGATCCTGCCGACCGACATTCCTCACTCCAACTCTGGTGCATGCCGCTGACCGGGATTTCGCTTCTTAGTTGCACCGGGAGAGTGTCCTTGTCAAGCCCGTCAACACTCCGATCACGCCGCTTTGCAGTAAGTACACTCTAGAAGCGGCTCTACGCCCAGACACCAATCCAGCCCCTTTCCTTTTATCACCGTTTCCTTCTTATATACCGGCTTGTTGCTGCAATGGCTGACAGTCAGGGAAAGCGAGCCTGACGACGCTGACCTGGGAGCACGTCCGCTCAGCAGGCAGCTTCCGCGATGCTATCAACCGCTTCGACGCCTTCGCCCAGGAACACCTCTTGGATAGGAAACTGGAATTTGCCTTTGTGACGTTGGATTCGTGGGACCTCCGTGTCCAATTGCCCCGTGAGGCTCGAGACAAAGCGGTTGTCCTTCCCGCGTACCTACAACACTCGCGGACTTTCGACCTTCGCACCGAGTATCAGAGATGGCAAACCCACCACCCCGAATCCCTTCCCTTCGGTCCCAGCTCCCTCTCCAACATCTGTGCCGCCCTCGAAGTCGAACCCGTTCAGTCCTCGGCCCCGATCAAGCACAACCTTCCTTTCCACCTTCAGGCCTTGGCTCCTGCTTCTCCCCGTCGGGCTATGGACGAGGCTGTGACATTGGCCCGCGTTCTCCGTGGGCTGATTCGAAAGTCCCAACCCCCGCATGAGCACCCGGAGATTCTTACTCGGCCAATGGATGCACGGGCGGATGTTCGTGCTTTCTTGGCGGAACGTAGCAAGGTGCTTCACTTGAGCGGTCTGCCTCACGACACTACCCAGTCAGAATTGGAGAGCTGGTTCACCCAGTTTGGCGGTCGCCCGATCGCTTTCTGGACTCTCCGTACTCCCGACCAACATAAGCCGACTGGCACTGGCTTCGCAGTCTTTTCATCCCATGAGGAGGTATGTTCCTGTCATGTGTCTACTGTCGTCTTGTTCCAATCTGACCCCTTAACAGGCTGCCGAGAGCCTCTGCATGAACGGCCGTGCTCTCAACGAGAAGGCCATTGAGGTCTCGCCATCCTCTAGCCGTGTTCTTGACCGAGCGACTGAGATCCTAACCCCCTTCCCTCCGTCTAAGAACCGTCCTCGACCCGGCGACTGGAACTGCCCCTCCTGTGGCTTCTCCAACTTCCAACGTCGCACAGCATGTTTCCGATGCTCGTACCCTGCGCACGTCGCCCAAAACGACGCCATGGGATACGGCTACGGCTATGGTCCACCCCCCATGATGCCCCCTCACGTCGGCGGCCACGGCCACGGAATGGGTCACTCTCGTGGCGGCAACGGTGGAGTGGTCCCATTCCGTGCGGGTGACTGGAAATGTGGCTCCGAGGGCTGCGGTTACCATAACTTCGCTAAGAACATCAACTGCTTGCGCTGCGGTGCTCCTCGATCAGGAGCCGCCGTCGTTGCCGATTCAGCATTTCCCTCTCCCATGGACCCTCCGTCCAACTTCGGCCACAGCTCCATGAGCAGCACCCCAGCACCTGGTCCATTCGCTTCCACCGGTGCCGGATTCGGCGGTTTCAACCAGCCTTTCGGAGGACCTCCTACCAACTATGGATTGCCTTCTGCCCTGGCAAGCGGACCAGGTGGCTACCCGCCGATGGGACAGATGACCCCTGCCTATGGCTCCGCGAACCCCTCTCATGCCGCTGCTTCCTTCGCCAACCCGGCTACCCAGGCAGCGTTTACTGGTGCAGACCACACATCGTCCACCAGCGCCTCAAACGGAAACTTCTACGGGAATGATGGCTCAAACGACCCTTTCGCCTTCCTGTCTTCTGGTCTGGGAGGCTTGACGGTATCGGATGATGCTCACTCTCGCCGAAATGGTGCTGGTGCTAGCAAGTCCCCTGCATAAACCATTGCTTTCTGCTCAATTGACGGATGATACTTATTGTCTGCACTTATTTGTTTATTTGTCAATATGGAGATGCCGGTATGTTGGTGCACGTTTATTGATGCGTGTTTGTATACGGGTTCTGCAGTTCTGGTGCATCAGGTTGGGAGGAGCAGGCAGGTAGCGTGTCATCATTTTGCCCCCTTTGATCACTGTTTTTTATCGTCATTTCTTCTGTCATCTGTCTCAACTTCATTCGACTGTTTTTCGGTATGTGCTTGGTCTTATGATTTGAAAGCGATGTTCCAAGGTATAGACGATGGTCCCGGCAGGTGGGTGCTGGTGGCTGTCCCTCGATTCCCCGGTTTGGCGCGATCATCGCTGTTTTGGCTCTTTTCCGTCGACATGAGCATTGCCTGTCCATTTTCAGGCTTGAGGCCCCTCAGGGCTCCCCGAGACCTTATTACATACCCGCGCGCCCTGACGCGGTCTCCTCAAGCATGATATTGCATTCTAGATATTGGTTTTGTTTTTGCTTTTCCGAACTCATCTCTGCGCTCTTCGGCAACAGGACTTTTTGGAGAATTACGGTATTGATCACGGATGGGATACATGGAACGGACTGTTGGGGGTGTTGGGGTATTCCTTTTGATCCAGCAATGACAGCTTTGGGACATGCGCGGCACACGGATCGGGAATTGTGAGAACCGCGAGGTTGCTTTGTTTATAATCTCAACCTTTTATTTGTATCTCTTCTTATCCTGTCTTTCATGTATTGTTTGTGAAAAGTCAATGTGTGGTCATCTCTGCATACTACACCTCAAGATACTATTTAGCGAACATCATGTACAGAATCATCTAAGATTTTGTTTAAGCTGCTCTGTTTGTTCATTCCTAGGTATATTACTGTACTGGGTAAATCCTCCTCGCGACCCTGGTTGACTCTGTTCTATGATATCGAAAGCGCATGCAATTTATGGCTATTATGGCTATTATGGCCATGAATCTCACCTGAGACCTAGCTAGACTCCTATTTACCTACATCAAAAGACAAATCTGCCTTGAAATAATGTCTGAAGCGACATTGAACTGAGATGTTGTACGGAGTAGCTGTGGGACTGGGCTGGCCAGTTAGCCGCCTCTTGGCATTGAGCTCTGAGGCAACCGCGGGACTCGCGTTCACCTCCCATCTGTCATCGCCCAAGCTGGACCTCTCATTCCAGCATCTCACGCCCTTTCCCCCACGCATTGTATCTCCTTGCGACGCCTTGTACCGCATAGACTCACGCTCCTTATTCACTGAATTACCCACGGTTCCTAGCCATACTGACCGCTCATCATGTCCGGATACGACCGAGCTCTTTCAGGTAAGATAGCTTGGATCCCTCTGTTATGTGCTTCGTTGATCTAGGACACAAAGCTAACACAACGATGCAGTTTTCAGGTAGGCGGTTACTTCTTCTTCAGCTCGCAGTACTGTTAGCTGACAATCTCAAGCCCTGATGGGCACGTCTTCCAGGTGGAATATGCTATGGAGGCTGTCAAGAGAGGTAAGTTTGGGCCGCGGTCTAGCAAGATCTCCCATGTTGACCATATGCTCAAAACTATAGGTACATGTGCCGTCGGTGTAAAAGGAAAGGACATCGTTGTGTTAGGATGCGAGAAGCGGTCCGCTCTGAAACTCCAAGATACCCGTATCACACCATCGAAGATCGCTGTCCTGGACAACCACGCCATTCTCGCCTTTGCTGGCCTAAACGCCGACGCTCGGATTCTTATCGACAAGGCCCGGTTAGAAGCTCAGTCGCACCGCTTGACCGTCGAAGACCCCGTCAGCATCGAATACATCACCAAATACATTGCTAGTGTGCAGCAGCGGTACACGCAGAGCGGAGGTGTCCGGCCCTTCGGTATCAGTACTCTCGTTGTCGGATTCGATCCGAACGACCAGACACCTAGGCTATACCAGACGGAACCTTCGGGTATCTATTCTGCCTGGTACGTCATACCTATTGGTTGTGGAATTCGAGGATGGTAACTGACTGGGGCGTTGTACAGGAAAGCGAATGCCATAGGCCGTTCCAGCAAGACCGTGCGCGAGTTCCTTGAGCGTAACCACCAGGATGAGATGGACCGAGAGCAAACTATCCAGCTTACGATCAAGTCGCTGCTGGAAGTGGTGCAGACTGGCGCCAAGAACATCGAAGTTGCCATTATGTCACCCGGCAAAACGATTGAGATGCTGCCGGATGACCAGATAGAATCTTACGTTAAGAGCATAGAGACGGAGAAGCAGGAGGAGGCAGCCAAGAAGAAGACCCGCACCGGCACTACTACGGCGGCTATCCTAACACGGTCCGGCGGCGGGGAGTCCAGCGAGGCTCAGTAGGCTGGTGTGGTTATGTGATTAGAAGGGTTATGTGGGCTACTTTAACCTAAGGATAATGATTTGATCGTTCAGTCTCTGGAAATCCATGTAGAAACGAAACATTTACGATCATGGAACCGCTCTTGAAGGTCTATGTCGGATATTCTGTTCGCTTCCGCGGTGCTATGGAAGCGTCGGAGGCGTAAAAGTCGTGAATTATCGTAATCTATATGACGCTTGTCTATCCTAGACGTTCCGCAGCATCTTTGGCGCTGAAGATAGAGCGTTCTTGATCTCCGCGCACACGGTCGTCCTTGAGCATTCTATTTTTCGATCAGCGCATATCATTTGCTTCAGCACGAGGGGCCTTTCGTACTTTGAGTTTATTCGCACATCATCACCCTCCACTTGTAATGACGCTTGTGGGGTAACGGCGTCGAGGACAAAGTGGTTATCGCAATGGGGACAGTACTCGTCGCTGCAAATATTATTAGACTTTAAGTCCCTAAACCGGACATTGCCGCGTACCTCTCTTCAAACTCTCCCGCGTCCTTGCGAAAGCACTTCTTGCACTTTTTGCAGGCAAATGTCTGTCCATCTTAGCCATTGTCCTGCCTGTCTATCGTATATGCATATAGGGGGAAAAGGTGGTGTACCATGTCGGTTGTTTTCTGAAGGGGGTGGGACTCTTGTTCATGGTGGCATTCGGCGCAGTCGAACCATTTGCGGCCTGAGAAGACGACTGTAAGTTGGGCTTGCGGCTTGTTTCACGGACTCGGGTCTCTGTATACGCACAGCATGGGGATCGGATGGCCACTTGGGCGTTGAGAATGTGTTTACTGCGGTTGGATTAGCATTAGGGTTGAAAAGAGTGCCAGGGAACTCACCACATAATGACAAGGGAGGGGCAACTCTAATATGCGACGAAAAGGAGCAAAGGCCACGGGATGGAGGGGAAGGAGACTGCACCACGAACAGTCCGGTCTGGGTCGGGGATACCGTCGACAGTCTGGAGAAATGCGGTTCTTCAGGCGGAAACCAAAACTAAAAATAATCCAATCCACGCGACTCGACGGTCACTGAACCTCAATAGTCGCCAATAATCAGACGGGCCGCCCAGATGATGTTGCTTCTTTCTTGCTGCCTCGAAATTTGGACCCAGTAGCTCTGTTGTCTTATGCTCTGCCGACTCCTTTTTCTCCTCCTGTTCGCGTGTTCGTAGTCCGCAGCGCATCCCCCACTCCAGGTCCGCTTCCTGCCACTTCTTTCTCCCCCTCCAGGCTAAACTACGTACTCACCTCTAAGCCTCGTTTCATCTGCGCCTTTAATCTTCTTGGACTCTTGTCCGCAGCTCTTTACCTCTATTTAACCTTGCATCTCTCCTCAATCCTCGCCCACCTGTTCTCCGCGTCAAACTCCTTACATCGAGCTTGGCAAACAGACCGTGGCCAGGCAACTCCATACCCTCCGCGCATCTGCTCGGTATTCCTTTTCATTGAACGCTGCTGCACTTCGGACTGGATATTGCAATTAGCCGTGACCGAGAGCCTATGATCAAGCTTCCCGACCGATCCTCGCTCCGGATTTGTCGTCATGGAGGGAAACGACAAGGGCAAAGACGCTACGGATAGCGCCCCCATCGTACGTCATCCGCCACGATATACGAGGTACAAGGACTAACCAAGCCCGCTCTTTAGAGACCCGTATCCTCACTTCTTTCCCACTTCGAGAACCTCTCGCATCGTCGTTCCCCGTCCGCGGTCCCAAACGGTACCCGCGATTCCTACCTGCTCAAGGCCCCGGAGCTAGGCGACGATCTCCGCTCATCGCGAGCCTCTTTGGACCTACCTCGTCCGTCCCCTTGGGTTTCTGGGGCCGATACACCAAATGGTCAACGGAATGATTATACGAACGGTGTTGCCCGGCGAAATGGTGGATCTCCGGGGATATCACCTGGAAGGCGACAGAATAGGCCGATGTCGATGGTCTTCCACTCGTCACCGCAACTGGCACCTACCTTGACGGTAGACTCTCCCCGTTCTCCGCCACGTGGGTTTAGTACCGATGGCGCTCGTGGAGATGGTACTCGTTTCGCTCGCAGTCCGCCCAATGCCTCGCGGGAATCACTGCACCTTTCGTCTGGGAAATCGTCGTCCAGTCGTCCGACCACCCCCAACAATGTGATATCCACGGCAACGGATCGGCCATCCGGACTGTCCCCGAGGTTATCGACCTCTGTAGGATCGAATGGCGCAAGTCCTACCTTGCCTCCTCTCAACCGAGCAACGAAACCTAAGATTCCGGCCAAACCCGCATCCCTATCGTTTCACGATTCGAGCGCCTCTCTTGCACCACAAGCGTCGTCACAGGAGCATGTATCGCCTTTCAGTACGCCGCCGGGCAGCCCAGAAAAGACACCGCCGAGCCGACCTACGGGTACAGTACCAGTACAACCAGCACGACGGCCCCCTCAGCGGCAGTCTCCACCTCTGTCTGCCGTTGATATGCCAACGCGGCGGTCAATGGAGAGATCACCTGGTCCCGTAGAATATTCACCAGCCCCTAGGGCCTCGTCAGCTTCGCGGCGCTCTCCGGCTCCTGAACCTCCGTGGCAATCAAAGCCATTGACGGTACAGATCCCTCCTAGGGGACCTTCTGCACAAGCTCCCCCTTTAAGCGCGCCACTATCTGCACGATTGAATCAGAGGAGCGACAGCCCTCATGCGCGACCGGGCCTTCCACCACGGCACCCATCAACGACCCGACGAAGCGGTAGGTCTCCTTCAAGGCAAGCCTCGACTGTCGAGCATCCTGCGCCCTCTCGACCCGCTCCAAGAACCGACCCAATTCCGACACCTAAAATCCAGCGTCAGCCGTCATTTTCTCGAGAAAACAAGCTAGCGCCCCCACAATCAGCTTCCCGCCCTGTCTTGAGCGAAGAAGAACCACTGTCTGACGAGCCGCCATCACGTACCGATTATCCAGACGCCTCGAATACGAACCGGCGGCCACCAATTCTGAGATCTGGCCCTAGAGAGATTAATACGCGCTACGATACTCGGCTGATGGACGTGTGTGGGAAACATGTCTGCACCACCGGCTATATAACACGCGTCTGGGACCTTACGACAGGTGAGCAGATAATGAGTCTGAGTCATGGTGAAACGGTCAAAAGTCTATCGCTGGCCTTCAAACCCGGCAATGGGCTTGAGGATGAGGGCCAGCGTGTCTGGATCGGCACCAATGCCGGGGAGCTCCACGAAATCGATATTTTCTCTGGATCTATCGTGGCATCGCGGTCGTACCCGTCGCGACGGGAAGTTATCAAGATCCTGCGACATAAGAAAGACATGTGGACTCTTGACGATGAAGGCAGGTTGCTAGTGTGGCCACCAGATGAAACGGGGGTCCCGAATCTACAATATAGCTACCACAACCCTTACGATAGGGTCGCAAGAGGTCATACCTTCTCCATGGTCGTTGGAGACACACTTTGGCTGGCTACGGGAAAAGAAGTACATATTTACCGACCGAATGTCCCCGACGACGTTTCCTTCAGAGTCCTGAAGAAGCCGCTGGGTTCGCATCATACGGGAGAAGTTACCTCTGGCGCCTATACCACGCGAGGTGGCGGTCGAGTGTATCTGGGTCATGCCGATGGCAAAGTTACTGTCTACTCCGCAAGCAATTATGCCTGTCTCAGCGTGGTAAACGTCAGTGTATACAAAATCAACTGCTTGGGCATTGTGGGCGACAACCTATGGGCCGCCTACAAGACCGGCATGATCTACGTGTATGATACAAGTACAAATCCCTGGACTGTCTTGAAGGATTGGTGCGCACATTCCAGCCCTGTATGCGGGTTCCTACTCGATTCAAGCAGCGTCTGGACGATGAATCGGCTGCAAGTTACCTCTCTCGGGACGGACAATTGCATCCGTCTCTGGGATGGGATGCTCGAAGACGATTGGCTAGGTAGGTTCCATTGCCCCCGGTACGTTTGACTAGCTAACAGTGGTGTAGAAATCCAGATGCAGAAGAGAGACGTGGAGTTTTGCAGCTTCCGCGAGATTAGTGCAGTGATTATGACCTGGAACGCCGGTGCTTCTACCCCCGGTAGTGTGCGCACGTCTACCTTTATCCAAGATGCGATCCGTCCGGAGAATCCGCCAGAGATTCTAGTATTCGGCTTCCAGGAGCTAGTCGACCTCGAAAACAAGAAAATAACAGCCAGTACGTTCTCGGTATTTCAATCGGGAGATCGGACGCTAACTATTTACAGAGAGTTTGCTTCTGGGAAGCAAGAAGAAGGAAAGCGGCGAGAAAGAGCATATGAGTCGTCAGTACCGTGTGTGGATGGAGCACTTGACGCGCTGTATCAACGATTGTATGCCGCTCGAGGAGTCCTATGTGCTCCTGCATAGTGCGAACTTGATTGGTCTTTTTACGTGTATATTCGTCAAGCACAAAGAACGGCCGAAGATCAAGGATGTTAGTGCTGCTGAAATAAAACGGGGTATGGGAGGATTGCACGGTAATAAGGTAGGTTTCCCAAGGCTCTACGGGGAACCACGAAACTAAATCTACAGGGTGCTCTTGTTTTCCGCTTTGTTCTGGACGACAGCTCCCTCTGCTTTGTGAACTGCCATCTAGCAGCAGGACAGACGCAAACCACGCACCGCAACAACGACATCGCCGCCATTCTTGAGACCGAGTCGCTACCTGTGGAGACAAGCTTGACATCTCGGCTGAACCACTTTGTCAGTGGTGGGGATGGCTCAATGATCATGGACCATGAGATCTGCGTCCTGAATGGAGACCTCAATTACCGTATCGACTCGGTGCCGCGGCATGTGATCATTGAGGACATACGAAATAACAATCTCACGAAGCTGCTGGAACGCGATCAACTCAATGCGTCAAGACGTAAAAATCCAGGTTTCCGGCTGAGGGCGTTCCAAGAAGCGCCAATTACTTTCGCTCCGACATACAAGTATGATGTGGGCACGGACGAATACGATTCCAGTGACAAAAAGCGATCACCCGCTTGGTGTGACCGGGTCCTGTACAGAGGATTAGGCAGGGTCAAGCAACTCGAGTATCGACGCCATGAGGTTCGAGCGTCAGATCATCGGCCAGTGAGCGCAACGTTCAAGCTCCGCATCAAGACTGTGCTTCCCGATAAGCGAGAGGCTCTGTGGGAAACTTGTCAGAAAGACTTCCAGGCTGAAAAACGGAGGCTTGCATCTGAGGCTAGGTGAGTATTAGTTTACCATATGCTTCCGAATGTTCAATCACTGATTTCGCTCAGCATTGAGTACCTCATCAGCATCCTCGGAACTGACCCAAAACAAGCGCGAGCCCTTATTCTGGGCAACTGAGTCTGCTCATAACTTGATCTTTACCCTTTGCTTCATAGAGACTTTGGGGTTTGATTGTGCCTGTTTGGAGGCACGAAGTACTTCATAGCATCACGGTTCCCTGGACAGCTCCCAGGGGTGACCTGCACGACTAATGACTCACGATAGACATGTATCACGATAGAACTGCCAATGGCGGGAGGCAGCAAGACTTATAATCAAATAATGGTGTATACTAGCGTTAGGTATACATAAATCTGAACGTCAACGATCTTCATCCGGAAGGAGCTCGCCCAGGGGTGCTCTAATAGCACTCCTTCCCATTCCAGGAGACTTACAGTATCCATCCCCGCAACGTTGTCTCCGGACTTGTTTCACACAACGCGCACCCAATCTATTCTCTCCTTTGCCGTTCATCTATACCGCAAACCCCAGCCGTCATCTCGGCACGTTTAGTCCATCACCTGTCGCACTCACACACAATCTTAAATGCCACTTGCCCGTCACTATGTCTACGATGCAGGAAGACACCGATGGACAACTAGAAATCCAAAATCATGACGAAGCAGAAGACTTCCAAGCACACGAGGATCTCGCCCTCTGGACGGGCGGTTCCATAACTCTTCGTCGGAAAGAATTGGCGCACAACCTCACCAAGTGAGCTCGCCCCTAATACTCTTTCAATACGTTTGTTTATCTGACCGTGGACGCTTTCTTTTCAGATTCCTACAAGAACCCGATAACGCCGACTTCTATGACTTGATCATCAAGTGCCGGGACAGATAATTTCCCTGCCATAGAGCGATTGTCTGCGCCCAGTCACCGATCATCAGAGATATCGTGCGGGACAAGTCTGACAGAAAAGTACAACATCTTTGCCATGCCATATTCTTCTTACGTTCGCGTTGTCGGATTCTAATTGTTTTGTAGCGCTTCTGCAGAGTCAAGGTCAAATGTCATCCGCTCGTTGTCCGCATGGCGATTCAATACTTCTATACTTGTGACTACCAGTTTTGTTTAGGCTATGGCTTTCCCAGCCGGTTCACAGCGGCGGGGCAGACGGTGTCCGCTGACCCTATAGGTATGAATATGAACCTGTGCTATGCTTTCTATATGAATACGGGAAAATAAGCAGAGACTCATTACCTCGCAATCTAGACCGGTTGGATTGCTGTGAGCTTTCCCTACACCTTCAAGTGCACATAATGGCCCGTTCCCTTCTCATACGGGGGCTCGTATATCTCTCTGCGTCGAAGATTGTTAGTGTCCTACAGAGGACATCATTCCCCACTGTCTTCCCGCGGTTCGTGCGTGAAGTGTATAAGACAATCAAAAGGAAAGATGCGCTTTTGAAAAGGGTTGTTACGTACCACGCGGACAAGGTAGTTCGTCAGGTGAGGGAACGAAATCACTTCGATGGGCGGTTCCCGTTGTTCATATTAGAGGAGATTGAAGAGTTCAGGATCGACTTCCTAGCGTGGAGGCCCGGTTGGGATGACCCTTTGGATGGTGATTTCAGCAGCGGTGTCTTGGCCCCGACTCATTGGTATTGTTGAAATGATGTTGCCTGCTAGATTGTACGTTTAGGCTTAGTTTTTGTTAGAGGACAGGCGGCGCGAGTTAGGGCTGCTGCAAACTCAATCTATCTTTTGATCACTCTATATGAATCTCTTTGGTAAATAAAGACCAGCATATACTCTACTCTCTCCATAATCAAGTGGTATTCATGTGTCAAACAATATGAAACAAATATATGCATATCACATCCAGAACCATAATCAACAACTCCTAGTCCATAAGAAAAGAAAGATAGAAAGAAAACAAACACTACCGCCATAAATCCCCCCGACTATCTCTCCTAAACCCACCACTGCTCTTGGGCCTCCCATCATCAACAGGCACAGCCAGAAACCCACCGAACCCATTGCCCACAAGCACACTCTTCCTCGCATCCCCGCCCCAACTCCGACTAAGCGACGCCCCGTGCAAACTCACCGGCCTCGTCACGCTATCCCTCCTCCCACCGGTTGACGGGCCGAGCGGCTCATACGGAGTGAAGTTCCACTCTAGCTCATCGAGACCTTTACTGTATACATTCAAGGGTCTTGCAAGGCCTCCACCCATGAACTGCGGACCGGACTCGCCTCCCCCGTACAGTCGTGGAGGCGGGGCTATAAGCAGCGCCTCTGGGAAATCTGCGTCGCGGACGTACAGGTCTGCCAATGCGGGGAGGGAATTGGACATGAGCGTTGAGATGAGGTAAGTGTAGTAGCTCGCTGCCTTGGGTGGGACACCGTAGGTGCCTGGTGGCGAGGTTATTTCGTAGTGTAGAAGGCGGAGGGAGTTTGATGCTAATGGGGGTGTTTTTTCGGGTGGGAAAGAGCGGGTTACTTCTTGAGTTATTTCGAGGCCTTGCAGGCTGGGTGCGTGCGCGAGGATTTGGTGTAAGGTTGCGGGGGCTATGCCCGTTGAGGAGAGGGTTAGGTGGAGGAGGCTCTGTCTAGGAAGTGGGTGTGAGAGGAATGATGTTAGGCCTGATGTTGTGATTGCTGGGGTGTTGCGGAGGGTAAGGCGTTGGATGGGCGGAAAGGGCGGGAGCTGGCCTGGGTCCGAGGTGAAGATGGAGTCGTCGAGGTAGGGCGTATTGTCGATTGTGAGGGTTTTAAGGTATGGGAATGAAGCGAGGGAGAGGCGGAGTGTCGATGGCTCGATCTGGAGATTCTGGAGTTCTAGGATCTCGAGGTTACCCCAGAGCTGGGAGTCGGGAAGCTGTGCGAAGGACCCCTCTGCGCCGGAGCGGTAGGTCATGCGCCGCAAGTCTGGGCACCGGGCCATGAGCTCTTGTTTGAGGGTTAGGCAGTTTGGGTCGTCGGTGTAGATGCCCGAGGGCAGGTCGACGTAGCGCAGGTTCGGGAGTACGGAGATGGTGCGCGCGATCTCGGCCTTGTTGGCTTCGCGCATCATGTAGGGCATGCGCAGGGAGAGGACTTGATTTCCAAGGTCGCGCGAGAGACGGACGGTGCGCATGAAGAGGGAGAGGCGCACTTGTGGGGGATCGATGGGGACCGCATTGCGGTCGAAGCGGGAGCGCCGCTTGCGCTTCGCGGCGAGGATCTCTTCTAGTTCGCAGTAGTGGACGGCGTCAATGCGTACGTGCGAGTAACTGCGGTTGTTAGTGGTGTCCATGTATAGTGGGGGCGAACGTACAGTAGAGACCGAGCGATAGGGTACCAGCGGCGGGAAACCAGCGCGCAGTGCGCCAGATCGCGCATGTCGCAGAGCATGCAGCCATCCTCGGTCATGGACTCCTCGGAGGTATCGTAGGAATTGTCGGCAGCATGGGGGCAGACGAAGGAGAAGATCCGGGCAAGAACCGGGTCCGGCAGCTGTTTGGTGAGGTCGCCCAACCAGGACGGCAAAGGAGGGACATCGCCGTTCATGCGGAGGTCGTAACTGGCGGCGTTCCCCGCACGGCTCTGGCTCTTGGAACGCCCGCGAAGTCGGCTCAGTAATCCCATGCTGGCGGCGAGGACATCGGTATATCAAGGGTCCAAGGGTCCGGTTCGCAGTAGATTGACTGATTGACTGAAGGGCAAAACGTAAAAGTGGCTGATAGATGAGACGAACTGGCAAATGCCGGAAATAAATGAAGGATGGAGCGGGGGCCAACTAAGCGAAAGGCGATCTGGAGGAGGCCCGCGTCTCTTATACTCCGTGACAGTCAGTCCCAATTGTCGCGGTTGTCCCAATAATTGTCCGAAGATCGTATCCTTCACGCCTGCACTCGTCCGTCTCACATCCTTTGTTGGTGTCGTTTCTCGGTCCTCCTGGGCCTGTGGCTGCAGGCCTCCATCATTGGCTGCGTCTGCGCTGGCCATATTTAGAACTGCGAATCATCGCGGATGACAAGACAAAGAGGCGCCGCGTGATGATGCCAAGCGTCGAAAACGGTCGGTCCAGCAAACCCGCAGCTGCTGCTTCGTCGAGCGCTTCTTTATGTTCTAAGGATATTCTGTAGCAGTGTAGACTAGGCTAGGCAGGGCAATGCTGCTCTCCTGAGCCCTGAGGCTGAAGCCACCAAGGTCCGCACGTGCTCAACACCATCTACAACCATGCATCACTGGACATTCTACAACCTCTTTCATCGTCCATGCCAAACTTCAGATGGTGCTGTCATCCCGAATCATCAAATCTGAGGCTATTCGGAATGCATCCCGCCAAACAAAACCGCCATGACATCACCAATCGCTCATGCGAGTCTACATCTGGACGCAGTCGACGGAGTATAAAGATTGGCAGAAACAATTCTCTCGGAGCAAGACATTCGGATTGACTCTTCAGCTCCTCATGCTACATAACCGGCTTCTATCGAACTCGTCGAGGATACTCAACACTCTCCCACTTCGCTGCTCCGGACTCAACGCTCGACCTCTCAGCTACTCCCAACCTCTTTACAAGCCCGCAATGACTGAGAAGGATCCCGGCTTCAAGGACCGACCCCCATACAAGATCCGGTCAGACGAGGAATTCGGTCCCGTCAAATGGCGTGCAAGCTGCAATTGCGGCCAGGTCACGTATAAGATCAACCGCCAGGAACCGCTTAACGCAAAGTACTGCCACTGTCGGGGTTGCCAAGTGACGCATGGTACGTCGAGCTGAGTTGTTGGTGATATTGGCCAGCCTGAAACTAACCTGTTGGCGTCTGCAGGCGCTCCGTTCCAGTGGTGCGCAGTCTTCCATAAATCCGACCTCCAGTTCACCAAAGGCACCGAGGGCTTGTCATTCTACTCCTCCCAAGACAAGTCGAGGGACTACCAGCTACCCACAAAGGTGGCATGCGAGCACTGTCGCAGCCCGATCATGGACGAAGGGCGGAATGTCTGCTTGATTTTCCCGGAGTTGATTGACTATGAAGTGTCGGGGACGGATCACGACACATGGAGGCGGACGTTCGAGTCAAGGTACCTCTAATCACTTGGCCGTGATAAATGAGTGGCTGCAATGCTAACTTTGTTATCGCAGGATGCACATCTTCTACTCTGCTCGCACAATGGATATTCCCGATGGAAAGCCCAAGTGGGCTGGATTGGACGAGAAGAGCGATGCGCTTGATGATTATGGAAAGCCCAAGGATGATAATGCGCGGATTTAATCGCATTATGTACATTGGTTACAGTATGGAAATCAATAGATCACGTAGTATGAGAAATGCATTATTGTTAAGCACTCGAAAATGACGTCGACGGAACTTCCCCACCACGCGTTTTCTACAAAGTACAACGTCTCTCCACAACCTCATATCCAACTAACCGCTATCCAAACAGACAATCTCAAAGCCGTAAGTACCCAGTTCTCTGCCTGAGTACCAAAACTCTACAGCTCCCCTCCATTCGCCGTATTCCCAACTCCCACCAACCATATCTACCCCGCAACGCAGCCTCACAAAGTTCACCAGCCTATCCAATTCGAAATCCAAATTAACCCTCCTCTTCCCAGCATAATCCAACCGCCATCATGCCCTGGACCCAGAAGACATTCACCCTCCCCTCCAAATCCCGGGGCTCATACCTGATAACCGACCACATCACGTCCTCGCTCCCCGAGATCCGCGAGTACAAGGTCGGCATGCTGAACCTCTTCGTCCAACACACTTCCTGCGCGCTCTCGCTAAACGAGAACTGGGACGAGGACGTCCGCGAGGACATGTCCGATGCGCTGGACCGCATTGCGCCGGCTGATAAGAAGGGGAACCTGTACCGCCATAGTGCGGAGGGCGAGGATGATATGCCGGTATGTAGCCGCTTGAGTGTCTTTCTGAGAGTTACCTCGGGAATGTGCTAATGTATGCGGGCAGGCACACATCAAGTCCGCGCTCATTGGGGCGTCGGTCAATATCCCGATCTCGAACGGCAAGTTGGCGACGGGGACGTGGCAGGGGATCTGGTACTTGGAGTTCCGGGCTATGAGGCATACGAGGAAGGTTGTTGCTACTATTCAGGGCGAGAAGGAGTGACTTGATGAGAATGGGGATTGCCGTCTTTAGAGATTGGGGCGCGATAACTGTAGACTGCAGTCATTCCAATGAGCATGTTTATAGTTATGTAGGCGAGGGCTGATGATCGAGCCTGCTTAAGCCTGCTTGGCCTCGATCTACAGTAGATAGAATTCCTGGCAATTCAGTAATTGACAAGCTTTTGATAGCTTAAAAAGATGTAAAGAATATATTCTAACTTCATTGATTGGTACAACTGTACAGGCCCAGCCAGGCGACATAAAAAAAACATGCAACAACGCCAAAAACAATACCTTACCGCTGCTCATATCCAGCGGTGGCACCCTCAGACACACGCTGGTTTTCGTTCACTTCCGCAACATCGCCGGTGGATTCGAGAGGGTAGCTAGAAGAAGGCAGAGACTTGAGGTAGTCGCGGTGATGTTCGTGAGCCTAATCGCCGGTCAGCATCCAGTGAGTCGTCATGGCAGATTCCAGATGACGTACAAAAGGAAGTCCGCAGTAGCCGCAGGGGACAATCTCGGGCTTGTCGGTGTTGATGAAGATTCTGGGGTGACCCAGGGGGCCGCCGCCACCGTCGCAGCTGACGATCCTGTCCTTTACCCAGCGAACGGGCTGTTTGTGAATGAGTTCGATAGCGGCCATGGGCGTGGGCTATACGCAAGTCAGTCAATGCTCCATTCATGGCCCAGTTCCCCGGTTACTCCGTCTCGCCCAGGAACTAGCCACCAATCCATTGACGAACCTGAAGGTGCATAATCGTCTGCTCGAACCGCGGTCCGCTCATGGCATCTGCTCTAGGCTTCTGGCTCGCAGCCCAAGTGCCCACCCGGTTAGGAGCCTGCATAGTTCGAACTTGCTCGGCGGCATTTGTAGATTCCTGTAGCGCAGCATCCCACGCTCCCATCGAGTCGACAGGCGTGGCATTGGTCTCGGAGACGTTGGGCTTGGGCGCCCGCGGGGTCGGGTCGTTCGGCATCATGGTGTCCTCGAAGCGGGTGACGGTGGTTGAGAAGGCGGCCCGGGGGGCAACGCGCGGCGCCACGGCGGACGAGAGCGCCGCGATCCGGCTTCGGACGGTAGGGAGCAACATCTTCCCTGCAATTGACGTGAGAGCGGGGGTTGTGATGGCGGAGGAGGAGATGACGGGGAAGCCGTTCGAGGGTTGAGGTTTGGAGGTCCAATTATTTGCGGGAGCTTTGATTCGACGGCCGTGGTGAGCCAATCGGCGGCGCGGGGCGGTGGGATTCTGCCGGCGATTGCTTTTTCTTTAGATCCTGAGCTGTTGCTGGACTCACTGTGTTTCTATTCTTGCCCTTTTCTCTAATTCCTTAGTATTGCCTTTCCTGGATACTCGCTCTGGGAGTTTCAGCTCTGAAAAATCTACAGTCATGCCTCCACCTTCTAAGTCACCAGGCTCCAAGCCTGAAAAGAACATGTCATCCCGTCTACTAACGATGAAGGTATGCGCTCTTTCTTTCTAGTATCACTAATTGTACTAACAAACCTCAGTTCATGCAACGAGCAGCTGCTAGCGCTGCTACTAAAGAGACTGCACAGCCCGAATCTGGCGGCGAATCCACAGAATCTACACCCAAAAAGCGCAGAGTCTCCGGCGCACACGGGAGCCCAGCTACACCCTCGTCGGACATGGAAGCTATCTCTGCTGCTCTCGCGGAGGAAGAAGAGCGGCGCAGAGAGGCCATCGCGCGGCAAGCCGCAGAGGCGGGAGAAACAGAATGGGTCCTGGACTTTGGAGGCGCCGACACCGTGAGCCAATATGCGCAGCCGCTGGTGCTCGCAGACAGTTCTTTGGATGCAGATGACGACGACATGGGCTATGGGGGAAGGCAACTCTACGGTAACTATAAGAGAAAGAACAAAGCCAAGGTTTGTAGTCGTATTGTAGTTGGATTTATGATATTATCCGATGCTAAGAATGTCCAGCCCTCGAGCGACGAAGCTCAAGACGGAAGCGATTCGCCAAAGGCCCAGCCAACGAACAAACCAAAGAAGATCCATGCGGAAAATCTTGTCGCTATTTCTGGAGGCGGGCGTTCGAAGCAATTTGGAGGCCATAATAATGAGAAGTCACAAAAGAAACGGAAGCACAAATGAATGTGCAACAACAGCCGTCTGTCCATGCAACAATGACTTTACCGAGAATTTGAGTAAAACAGAGGCAACTACCACTGCGAGTCGCCAACAGGCTTCCACTGCTGGTTCGATGTATTGAACTCCTGGTTTGACGAGTTCCAATTTTCAGTCGATGCATTCCACTGCTGGTTTGTCTGATGACTTGGCGAGTTCCAATCATGGGCCTGGTTCCGCTGTTGGCTGGGGGAACTCCAGTTCTGAGTTGACGTGCTCCATCCTTGATTTGGAGAATTCCACTGTTGCGCCGTTGAACTCGATCTCCAAACTGAATTGGTGTGGTTTCTTTTGGAGACTCCGGCTCTGCTGTTATGCACGACAATATCGCCCCTCCTGAATCGGACTTTCTCTGCTATGGTGTCTCCCCGCCGGTGTGGGATTGCATCTCGACCGCGTCCGTAAACGCGAATGTTGACGACATCAGATGCAGAAGAATCGGACCGGCTAGAAGTGTGACTGGACGACCCGACTTTGACACGGACATCCGACCCGTCATCTATTCCGAATCTCTGAACCGTCCGTGATCGACGAGGGCCATAACTGAACGGGGACTCGTCGGTAGGGACCTTTAGAACAGCTCGAGGCCGGCGATAGCCTCTGGCTCTGTGCCTTGGCCTCGATCTCAAATATGGTCCTTGCCTTGAGCATCAGCTAACTACTTATAATTAGACCAGTATACCAAATACGTCATTGACTTTCATACCTCTGGCTCCTCTGGAATTGGTGTAATCAGGATAGCCGGGACTTTACCTGGCCCTTGTGCCTGCCCATAATCTCTCTGCTGCAACTCTCCCCTCGCCGACAGCGGTCGAATCTGCATTGGAAGGGGAGCGCGAAAACTCGAGCTCGGGGCTTGTCTGTCTCTAGAGCGTACAAGGCGCGGCGTCTCCGTTTGCAGTCCTTCGACCGTAAAGTAAGACCTAGCGCATGGGCAGAACATGGTATAGGGCTATACCAGCGTAAAGGTAAGTTGTAGAGAGGAAGTATCTCGCGAGCGAGGCTTGAGTATTAAATGGCAATGCGAGGAGTGAAGGCTAAGGAAAAGCAACAAAGGCATTGTAAACGGATCCAGGCATTATTGTAAACGGACGCTCCGTGTTCCCTATAAGGATGGTGAATCTCAAATAGGAAGGAATTATTGAACCCAAATTCAAGTCTATCGGTCCCTCAAACTTCATCTTCGAAATCCAGATCGGCTCCAAAATGTACGGTACGCCACTAATATAATGTTCATGAGTCATGGCCGTGATGAACCAGAACCGCAGATGCAAGTCATTAATGATCTACCATTCTCACGCCTCACTGAGGCATGCTCAAGAGCCAGATCAGACACCAGGTCTATCTATTGAGCGCTCCGCATTGAAATCATATGATCTTGTCTGTGTCGTTCACAAATTCGCCTTCTCCTTTCTCTCCCACTTCCTCCGAATCCCATAATTAACCGCCAGATTCCACGCCGCAACACCGACGCCCAGCGGCGGCGCCAACAGCAACCACCAAGCCCACCACCGCGGGCTTCTCCCCTGAATCGTAGAGACAGCCTTCCTCACCTCCCGCTCGAGCTCCTCCTTGTCCCCATCGTTCCAGACAATAACTCCGCGCGCACTCTCCTTCCCCCGGAACTCCGCCTTCTCCACCTTCCCCTTGACGTCGCCTTGGCTCTTGACCCGGTTCTCTGCGTCCTCGGTGGAGAGGTGTGCGTCGCGCGCGCGTAGCCGCGACATTTGTACAGCTGGGTCACTGACGCCGACAACAACCACGGTGCCGCAAATCAGATCCATCCCGGATTCGAAGAGGAGCGGTACATCGAGCACGACGGCCCAGTGGCCGTGGAGGTAGTAGTACAGTAGGCTCTTGTAGACTTCCCATCGGACGGCGGGGTGAACGATTTTGTTGAGGATCATGCGGTCGCGTTTTCGCTCTTCGGAGGTGCCGAAGACGCGCCGGCCTAGTGCGGGTCTATTCAGTGGGCGTGGCTTGGGCGGCGCATCTTGCGTTTGTGAATCTGATGGTTCGGCGGGGAGGAGGAGGTCTGGTGTGCTGGGGCCGAAGTAATTTACGATCGCGGTGTAGCCGGGGGTTCCTGGTTCGACGACCTTGCGGGCGAGTTGGTCGGCGTCGATGATGGTGAGGGAGTAGGGCGGGGAGGAGAGGAGGGAGGAGACGGTGGATTTGCCGGTTGCGATGGAGCCGGTTAGGCCGATTATGAGCATCTTGGCCTTCTTTTTGTGGTTAAATAGACGAAAGCGGGGATTAGGATTTGGGATATAGAGATGGAGGGTTGGTTGTATGGGATAAACGTGGAGGTACTATACAAGCTGCAGAGGTGAAGGTAGTTGAGGCGCCCAGATTTCCCGAGGTCCGTCGTGGATCTTCCCGTTCCGGGATAGCTCGAGCTACCCCGAGTATAAGAGCCCTGGTTTACCTCTACTTCAGTCCCAGGCAGCGTCTTGGCATTACATTCACCTTGCAGGTGGGTTATTGTGTCGCTAGATTTATCAATATCGTACAGCAGACTTCTTGCAGTCCGTCCGGACGAAGCGAGGTGGCGATTTCGTCATTCTGCAAGCTGCGGAGCTGCCTCCGTCTGGGGCAGCGGGGTGTTGCTGGTTCGGGAATGAATACCAGCTATCCACCAGAGTGGAGATGACGTGCACGTAGTAGGACCATGATTGCTTGTCGACTAGCAAATCAAGCAAGTGTTATGACTTCGGTTCGGGAAGCCCGCCCTTGCTCGGATCTTGTTTCTGTCCGTTCCAGCCGATATACGGCCAGCCGTTCGGAAGCGTCGAATATGGCGGAAGCTGGTAGCGGTCGTGGCACGCGTCGACGTTGGGACATGTCAGGTCGCACAGCCCAAACACCTTGCAGTAGCACTCTTCAGCCGAGGGACAATGGACAGGCTCTTTTCCAAAAATCACTGCAATTGTCAGCTAGATTCCGCCACCTGCTTGTCGAGTGAGAAACTTACTATGCCATGAATATTCCATGATTCGTCCGCTTAGATCGTCCGTTAGGTCGGTCTCTGACAACCACTTTCGGAACCGCACGTAGTCGCTCCTTGGCCGCTCGCGGATCTTCCAGCTTGTGACACCGAACTGGGCGCAACAAGAGACACCAACGGTCTCGGGGACTTCGACTCCAGGAAAGAGCTCCATAAAACCGTTCTTGAAGTATTCGCCAGCATGAACTGCCTCGCGGTGTGTATCGGTCAAGGGGTGAATCTCGGCCGGACATCCCAAGAGCCAGGCGCAACGCAGGTTAACGTATCCTTGTTTCTCGAGGTAGCCAAGCTGAAAATTGCGCAGCATCGGGACGCCATCGTAGTACGGATCGTCGTTGTGCCATTGATACCGCTGGGGATGGATAAAGAGGATCGAATCGGGGAGGTTATCATAATTATCGATGATGTATCTGTAGACGCACACACGCATGTTAGACCCGCGGAACGAGAGAGAGCTATAGCAACTCACGTCAAATATACCATCGACTCCCGCCCCTTGTTTTGGCTCACTGTCAACTGAGCCTTCTTATCATTCACCACATAGATGCTCTTATGGTAGTCCGGGAAGAACTTATGCAACCACGAGACGTCGTCGCTCTTCATACTAGCCACGACCATGCTTTTCCGGATGGGCGCTGACTGTCGCGCGGGCGTTGCCTGACCCGAGTGCGGGTCTCGATTCGGGCCACCCAGAGCTTCGGGATCGTATATCGTAGGGTCTGCATGTTTGTGAGGTGATGTGTTCGAGAAGAAGAGCAGGTATAAGGCGAAGATGATGAAGATGGTTAGAAAGATCGCTTTCTCTCGGTTGCGGCGGCGCGGGCTGTTGACTCCGCTGAAGAGGAAGAACATGGCTGCCGCCAGCGACTGCACAGAAATAGGCCCGAAACTCAGTGAAGTGACGAGTAGATCGTGAGTCGTACTCTAGTTTTGCTCGTCAAGCCAAATCGACTGACCAGCCGGTCATGGCTGTACAGCCGACCAGCGAGAATTGTACCTCGGAGTAGACGCCGTAAGGCCGACTAGTCCCCTGCGAAGGAGAAGGTAAGTTCGTGACGAGGGGGCAGGGCGTGAGACTTTTGAGGATGGAGACAGTTGGCAGCTAAAAATCGGGGAAATTGAGAGTCACGGGTGGAGCGGATCGACACAGCCGCATTCCACTGGCACCACTCGACTCTACAGTGTCTACTTCACTGTCCGCAGCTTCAATTCATGCTAACATTGCTAATCATTCATCATATATAGTTATATATCACCATCTCATCATTCGCAAGCATTGATATCGATCAGGTACCAGCTATGCGCGAGCACCGATTGGATAGCCTCGCCCGCATTCCCCTCCCTCGAACCAACCCCGTCAATCACCTGGACGTCCGTTGTGGTCGGGAAAATATCATTGTCGCTGGTAACCCAGTATTCCGGGCTCAGATGGCTGAATCCAAACAACATGGGCGGGAGTCTGGGAACGATATCGTTGGTGTGCGTGACCCGATAGTTGCCCCCCTGCGCTGTGATGTACTCCGCCAGGGCTGGGTTACCAACCCGCGGACTACCATACGGGTACTACGCTCGTTAGCGACCGATATCTACTTCAATACTCTAGAAACTTACAAGTTGAATGGCGTAGCCTGCGTTGCGGAGCTGCGCAGCACCCAGAGTCGCCAATGCTCCTCCGAAGCTGTGGCCGGTGAAGACAATGACATAACCGGGGTAGGTAGCGGTAGCGGACTCAAGTGCCGAGGTCAACGAGTCCGCAACAACTTGCCATGCCCTCCAGAACCCGCCGTGGGCTTCACATCCGCTGCAGATTTCGGCGACTGACTCTAGGCCAAAGTCGAGGTTTGCGATCCAGGTGTCGAGGGTTCGACTGCCGCGGAAGGACACGACAATCAGCTCATTGGTTGTGTCTGCAGCCAGGAAACCTGCTACGTCCCCGTACTCGTTTTCCCTGCGCCTTGTTAGACTGTTGGCTAAGTCCTGCCGGTGCGAACTTACTGATAGAACTCGGCCAGCGTTGTCGTGTCTGCTGCCTCGACTAATGGGCAGTTTCCAGTTGCGCAGGCCAGCTTGTCTCCAACTGACTCGATGTTCGGCGTGCAGTACGACGCCGCAGCGTATTCCGCGAACAGGGTCAGCTGGTCCAAGGCTTCGGTCGAAACGTCTAGCCAACGTTAGCCCTATCCTATGTTCCCATGCTCAAGAGCACATACCACGGCGACCAAGCGGCGCGGGAGCGGCAGCGCCTAGCCCAGCAAGGGCTACGGCGATGGCAGAGTATCCCAAACGGACCATATTGGCAATGTCCAACACTCAAGGGTGTACTATATGTACAAGAAAGCCGCAAGAAAGACCAGGAAAGACCAGGAAAGACCCACACAGCTGCCTCAGACACAAGAAACCACCTTCACGGATCTTCAGGAACATCGCTACTTATATACCAATCCGATCTCAATCAGGAGGACAGACCAGTCAAAACGTGAAAAGTCAACACGTCCTCGTACCGGTACATCGCTCACCGTCTAAGGAATGCCAGGAAACCCACCCCGCTCGCCCGGGACCCCAACGAACTAACCAGGCCCTAAGTATATCCTACATGCGCGATACAACCTCACCTCCCAAGATGGGCCAAAACAACCGGTCAAAAAAGCAAACCTAGACACCTGCCCCTGTCACCTGTGACGATCCTCCCTTTTTTAGAAAGATCCCCGTGGCTTTGCCGGCCTGCTTTGCCCTGGCAGACGGTCAGACCGGTTATCAACAACCCCCCGCCGGACCTGCAGTCGTAGCAGCACGGGGTAAGTCGCGTAGAAGTTAAATCTGACTGGGCGATCCCGGATGAGCACTCCAGGAATCCAACACTAACCATGTGCATTTATGCTGGGGAGAGCGGGAGTGAGTCGTGAAGAAAAAGAAACGAACCAGTCAGGTCGGCATCTCCGGCCCTGCTGTGTCCGCCAAGTACCGGGGCGTCTAATTGAAGCTCGGCATTAACAGCACTAACCTTTCTCTTCTTGCTCGAGGTAACGCTGGTGAGGGGCTAATATACTGAAGAAATCTTAGTGCACTAGCACAGCGCACTTGAATAAAGTTGCTGAATGTTGCAAGCATTGAGGTTATAGTCTACGCATATAGTCTACCTCGGCCTGCCCTCCTCCAAAGTCCTCCCCGAATGTTATGATATACAGCTACGTAGGTGTACAAATTAATCTCCGACGTAGCACAACCCAGCACCAAGCATACGGTGTACCGCGTAAGCATGAGCCTAAACCGGCTTCGTGGTCGAGTCCGGGCTCGACCCGTCCCTTGCGTGCCTGAACACGAGCACTGGCCAGGCGACTTCATCAATCTTAATTCAATCTAACTCCGTGTACGGAGTACTTGTACTGCAGTATGCAAGTCCGTCACATTCTGTGCTCGGTGCGCTCTCTCCGCACGGGGTACGTACTGTGCACTTACACCTGATGGTCGTCGAGTTTCAGCCTCTTTCTTGTTGATTGTATAGCAGCATGTGGGCGTTGAGAGCACCGATGGCCACATGTAATTCTCCAGAACGTATGAAGACAGCCGTTGTATATGGAATGGAATGAATTGCACAGGACGGTCGCCCGAAGCCAACCAACTTTATCAGACAACTGACGTGATCCACGGATTTTCGAAGCCCAAGACAATGCCATGGCTTTTCATGCAGGCACGCCCGCATACGCCGAGCAGTATCTACAAATGTCGGTCCCGTAAGACCACCTGCAAGGACCCCGCCGGTCTCTCTATGGTCGACGGCGATCCGATATGATGGGGAAAAAAGGTAGCCGAAAATAAAATAGATTGGTTGAACTGAATCATGCATAGATATCGCTCCTCAACGCCGGACGTAAGACCTAGAACATATACATCTCCGAAAGCAAGTCCAAAGTAAAAGGACAATCCCGGCAATGGTGCGGGCTCATGAGTAGATGGCATGACAGAAAAGCTGCCAGTAGATCCTAGAGCGACCACAAATGCATTAGCACGTAAGTAGTGAATGGGAAAGTGAGGGTACTAACCATAAGCTGCCAATCCCCCGCACCCCATCTGTGGCCTCTCCCAACCACCGCAGTCTGTCGCGGGGCAAACCGCTTACTGTGACCGTTGTCCTCCATTCCCCGCGCCCTCGGTATAATCTGGCATTCCCGAGTCTTCCTGCTTGATCTGTGTACTATCGTCGCCCGCAAGAACCTTGGTTCTCGGGACGTGATCTCCGCCTCCGGTCCCAGGCGTAGCAGCAACAATATTATCATTCTCATCGACAAACTCAAAGTTATATCTCGACAGCAGATGCGGGATCGAAGACAGCTGGGGTCCGTAGCGCTGGTTGTTATCGTAGAGCTCGAAGAGCGGCACGGCGAGGAGCTTCATGTTCTTGGGGACGGAGAGGACCTCTGCAAGCACAGCACATTAGCAACAACGGCGTCGGTGCTATGCATAACGAATGAACTCACTCTTCTTCGGCAGCTGAATAAAATACAACTTCTTGCACTCCTTCGGACGAGTAACATGTCCCGGCAAGAAAGGGTACATGAAGGTCTCAAAGTTCGGCCTCCACCACTGCGCAAGGGTATCGCCAACCTCCCAATCCTCATTGACGCCCTCACCCGAAAACTGCGATCCTACGGGCGCAAGACGCTCGTTCATCCTTCGCTTGAAGCCATCGATCTCGTCGTCGTCGTGGAGTAGGTAGTCGCCGGGCAATTTGAAGAAAGCGTTTGCAATCTGCAGCATCAGGACGTGCGGGTGGTTGTGTTCGTGGCAGACGAGGATGCCCTCGCAGGTGCGGCGCATGCCGTGCTTCTCATAGTGTTCTTCAAGGCGCTTGAGGCGCGCGAGCACGGACGGGTCTTCTTCTGGTTGTGTTTCCTTGGTGCCGAATGTGTAGTTGGAAAGGGGATAGAGGCGGATGGTTTCGGGCTGTTTGGCGGAGAAGTCGTTGGGCGCGATGGGGCTGGCATTCATGATTTGTTAGCTGGACTCGGATTTTGGATGGATGGATTGGAGAACACACGGGTGGCTGCTGTGCATTGCGGTAGTTGTCGTTGTCGACATTTTGGTGTGTTGGCGTGAAAAAGGATTAATTAGGTAGAGGGAGCATTAAGAATTGACATCCGGAGTTGATATAGCTGGGATGGTTGGAGCTCCAAAGTGTTGTGATTGGTGTTGGAGCTCCCGTCGCAAAAACATCGGCCCGTGCGGACTATATCGCCAGGGTCAAATGTTCCAATTGGAGTCTGGACTTGAAAATGAAACAAGTGTATTATCTTAAATCGCCCAAGATACGCATCGGACAGAAAGGATGACTTTATTTCTACACCCGAGATACCGTTCCCATGCCACCCACCCGCTCCAACCCAGCCAAAGCAATGCATAGGTACGTATGTGGATCAACCATAAATCTAACCAAAGAAATCTAAAGTTTAGCATCAAAGTCCTCAAGCTCACTGAGGTCAACGACGGAGCGAGGCCCAGTGCTAACAGCCAGGCGAGCCTTGAAGTCCGTGACGTTTGTGACATAGGTTGCGGCTTTAGTGCCGTTGGTAAGAGCAGTCTCCTCGGAGCCTTCCTTGGGCTCCGCGGGTACACCATTTTGAGCCTTCAAGTGGATCGCAAGCTTGCCTCGAGTAGGAGAGGCAGGGTCGATCTTCTCCTTGTAGAAGTCGAGGATTTCGGACTTGGTCAGGGCGCGAACACGAGCAGCATCGGTCTCGTTTTGCACGAAGTCATAGTCTTCAGAACCGATGTGAGTCCAGAAGCGGGATGTCTCGGAGCCAAGGTTCTTGAGCTTCTCGAGTCTCTTGTTAATGACGCTGCGTTTGTGGCCCTCGAACTCGTCCTCTGACATCGTCTCCAGAGTCTTTCCGAAGTTGGTCAGGAAAGAGTCGATCCGGGATTCCAGGTACTGAGCAGTGCGCTCGCTCTGAATAATCACACGGTAGCCGATGGTAGTGGCCGAATAGCGTGCGCCGCTCCAGACGACGTATCCGAGCTGCTCCTTGCTTCGTAGCTGATCGAAAGCAGGCTCATCGGTCATCTGGGCAAAGAGGAGGAGCTTCGAGCGCAGGATCTCGTCATCGATGTTTCCGAGGAAGAGGTAGTACTCGATACAGTGGTTGACGTTGGCCGGGTCCTTGAGTGGCCGTTCATAGACGAAGTTGGATCCCGGGGGGATGATCACGTTGCGCCTGACATACCACTGGGACTGGGGCAGAGTCCGGCTGTTCAAAATCGACTCTACAGTGTCAGTCATTCGCAGCGCATCTTCCTTGTAGATGTTACCATGGGCCAAAACCTCGATATGGTTCTGGCGCAGGATTTGAGGGAAGAAAGCTTTAACGTCCTCGGCCTCGACGTGCTCGAGCTCGGCGGCGTACTGCTCGTTGAGCCAGCCCCGCTCCGCAGTCAGATACCGAGTGTAGTCGCCAACCTGGTAGTACGGCTGCTGATACTCCGCATTCTTATAGCCCCGAGTTAGGCGCTCCTTGATGATCCGGAAGCGGTCAGGGTTGATCACAAGATCGCGCATGCTTGTGAAAACCTTCTCCAAAAGCACGGCCATCTTGTCGTTGTATCCTCCAACGGAGACATCGAGACCAAAAATGCTAGCGGACAGATTGTAATCCAGACCAGCAAGTTCTGCATCATACGAGTACTCAACGAGCGCATCTCTAACAAGCTCACAGTACAGCTTCGACTTTACCAGATTGGCAGGGGTGGCCCAGACCAGCGGGTTGCGCAGAGTAACTAAGACGGTGGCTTTAGGAACCCAGAATCGATCGTCCTTCTTGAACCAAAGACGGACATGGTCATCGTGGCGGATGAGCTTGGGGGTCTTCACGGGCTCCGGCACATCCTTCTTCTCCACGGAAAGTCTGGTAGGGACGAACTCGTTCTTATGCGGCATGTGCAATTCCGGCAGTCGAGTTTCCGGATTGGTTTTCAACGCCTTTTGAATACCCTCCATGAAGTCCTTGGGAACATCTTCAACCTTATACTCGGTTCCGTACCACTTCTCCTTGGTGTTTAACTCAGTATAGTCTTGCGCAACAACGATCAACTTGAAGTTGTCCTCGCGGAGGTAGGAGAAGGCCTTTTTGATCCCCTCCGGATCGAACTTTCTGAGAAGAGATCCACTGAGCAGCCACTCCCGAGGCAGTGGCTTCTGCATGACGCTGCTCAGGCGGCTGGTGAACCGGCTGGCGGGAGATTTTTGCTTGAACTTGAACTCTACCTCCGCCAGGTTCTTCATTTCCTCGAAAATCCATTCCTCCGGCTCACGTTCCTTGATCATCGCAATGTACTCGAAGATCACCTTGACCACCTGCTGATACTGCTGCAGTCCTTCCTGCGTCAAACGGACAGAAACCGTAAAGAATGCAGCTCCAGGGCAAACCGGCATCACGCCGGCCGACAGCCCATTTGCCCATCCCTTTGCTTTGATATATGCCAGGATACTACCGGGACCTTCATGGCCGATGAGATGGCTAATGTACCGGCTGGGTTGCGACTCATACAGCTTCTCCTCGTCCAAGAACGGGAAGTAGATATCCACGGAGCGGGAATCCATCACAGGCTTAGCAAAGATCTGTTTACTCATGTCGTCTGGTAGCCAGATGGGAATGCCATCCCACCGGTTCTGTGGCAGGTCCTTATTACTGACACCGGCAAACAGCTCCGACACCCACTTCTCCAACTCATCCAGCGATTCGCGGCCCAGCACCACCAGTTTCATCCGGTTGGCAGAGTAGTGTTTCTCATAGAACTTCATAAACTCATTACGGATCTCAACACCGCGTTTCTGCGGCTCCTCCTTTAATGTTTGAAGATTTCCGGTAGAGAAGTGGTTATAGGGGTGGTCTGGGTTGGAGAGCGACTTGTTCAGCTGCATCAAGCGCCATAGGTCACTCTGGAGGTTCTTCTTGTTTTCTGAGTCTACCGCCCGCATCTCGCGGTCGAGTGTGTTCTCTAAGAAAAGCGGCGAGATGAAAAACTGCGCGAAGCGATCGAGAGCACCATACAGGGGTGATCGCCCATCAGTTTTGGGCTCTGCTGTGCCGTTTGCAGTTCCGTTAGGAGTGGCTTGGCCGCTCGATTCTCCAGATGTACCTGTAGCAGACACCTCAAAGAAATAGTTGGTCTCGGTGCCGGCGGTATAGGCGTTAGACGAACCGGAGTGGGAAGCTAGGTACTGGTTGTATGCGTTCTCTACGGGGTACTAGAAAGTATGAGAAAAAAGTATGAGAAAAGTAAGAGAAAAAGTATGAGTAAAGCATACCTTTTCAGTTCCCATGAACAGCATGTGCTCCAGACCATGGGCAAGGCCCTGCAAATCCTCCGGGTCACTGAAGCTCCCGACGTTGACGTCCATCGCCGCAGCAGCCTTATCCGTCTCTGCATCATGAACCAACAGAGCCTCCAGCTTATTAGGCAGCTGTATGACTCTGTAGGAGCGGTCATCCAGAGAAGGCTTCTCCAGCCCCTCCGTCAGGCGCTCAGCCGTTCTCATCGTCATTTTCCTCGTGGTTGTAAATGTCTGAAGAGGGAAGATTCGGATGAAGGGGTAATCTCGCCGAGGGAGGGACGGCGAACGAAAACCAGGCGCGTGTGATCGTGTGGACGCGGAATGCGAGTGAGGGGCAGCCGGCACAAAAACGGGCCCTAAAGGAGCAAGGCGCGTGCGTTGATAAGCTGGGGATGGATATGAGGGTAGCAGGTGTTTGTTCCACAGGCACAGACGGCGGGCTGCAGGCTCAGAGTACCTTGGTGACAGCATGCAGTGGAAGCTGGCGCGGAGGAAGAAGTGGCGGTATTCAACCTGGAAGGTTGTCCGGACGATCAGTAACAGCTAGCGAGCGACTAGAGACGAACGCTGGAGCAATAGATGGCTGGGAATTGGGCGAGAATGGAACTAGGCAGGATGGAAGGATAAAGGGAGTGAGCGAGCTGAGATGGCGTGCAGATGCGCCTGGACGCACGCCACACGGCCGTACAATGAGGAACGGGAGCACAGAAGAGGCAAAAAGAGCAATAGAGCCTCCAATGGTACGGAATAGTGGAATGCACCTCTTTAATAGTAGCTTGCAAAATCAATGGTCAGTCAATTCAGGAATCTCAGGGCCTGATGTTCTCTTCGGCATCATCGGCGGGGCGGTGAAACTATACCGTACCTCGGGCAAGGCATCCTCGCCTGCTCCCGCCAAGATGAAGCCAAAATGGCTTTGCTCAATTTGGTCATTCGGGCTTAGGAGTAGACTCTGCCGAGCTCCCCGAAAAGCGCGAGGCTGGGGTTGGGCCTGGTCTGGTCTGGGGCTCGAGCTGCAGGGTGAAGAGCCTCAGGGTCAGGACGTCCTTGATGACCTTGACGAGGCTGAGGCTGAACAAATTGTTCAGAAGGTCTCATTCAATATCTTATACTCATATAGGCGTGACCTAGCCTATGGGCACTGCAGATCAGATCATACTACAGCCAGTTATTCCAATGCCGTGCCACCATTCTAAATACCCTGCCCACCACTAGTAATGTGTGTCTGATATGCTTTGATCTATGGAAAAGCGCGCTGGGACAGCACCATAATCATTGAATGCTATGGAATGCTTGAGTATTCTTGAAAGGGAAAAGGGACGTCTTTGTTATCTCTCAGAGTGACATCTACCTCATCATGTCTGAATAGCATTCATTATCTGAATAACAATAAACATCATAATAACAATACAATCAAATAAGTTCCATCATCATTCTCGAACCAACCAGAACAATGCTCGAGCCCAAACTAAGCAGGACAACCCTTCGCACAAAGCGTCAATGTCTGATCCGAAGCCGGCTCACAAGTCTTCGTCTGACTCCCAGCAGGCTGGGTCCCATCAGGCCAACAAATAGTCGGGCAGGCATCATTCTCCGAGGTAACAGTAAGCACTTGGCCCTGGAAGTCCGTGCCAAAGATGGTCGACAGATCGTACCACACCTGGCTAGGATCCAGCGTGTACGCAAAGTTCAGCTGCGGGCTGCCGTTGTAGAGCCCATTGCTCTGTCGAGTGATCTTGAGAGCAATTCCACCAGTCGTCGCGTCGCGGTGGAACTGCTCGCTAAAGGTCTCGCCGGGGTTGATCTTGTGCACGGCGCTGACGGAGCTGCCGACACTCCAGATGTAGAAGGGGGCTGCGCAGTTGTTGTGGACTTTGGCGTTGCCAACGGCGCTGGCGAGTGGCGCTAGGGCACCAAGTGTGAGGGCGGCGAGGCTGGTGAAGTGCATCTTGAGATTTGGTAGTAATCCTAGTTGAGAGATTGATAGTGCTGAAGGTGTGTTCTGGATGTCCTGGTCGAGGGAGAACAGCCATGTTTATATAGCCTTTTCGCTGCGCAGGATAGTTCTATTCTGGTAAAGGCCTCAGTCCTTGGACTCTGTCTGGAGCATCCTGCTTGGGTATTTGACGAAAGTGTAATCCGTCAACACCCTCAAGCAGTGCTGAGACTCAGCGATGTAGTCTGACGTAGGTAGAAACCACTTAGAGACATGCAGAAACCACGCATTGGCCATGCCGTGGAGTATACGAGCAGGAAGCCTTGCGAGAAACAGCCGTGCCCGCGGGGCTGTGGTGAGACAGTTACATCGGAGCAAAGTAACCAGAAGTACAGCAACCCGGTCAGAGACAGACAAGTCAGCCTGAATCAAGATCTGTAGGCTTTGGTCCGTATGAGACCAACCCGCCTTTCAATAGATGGAGTGTCTAAGGCTAGCCTCGCAGATGTCTCAGGATAGCTTCCGGGCGCTCTCGTATTGACAAATGCGAAGGGCTCCAAGATGTCTATGCCTCAATTTAGGCTCATTTTTGTCTCAGCCGTCATCTGACGTGAAGAAGAAATAGATGAAAGAGAAGAGGATGGGGTCAGACCACGCGGGGATGGTGTCGTCCCCGCGCCTAAAGCCAAGTGGAGCTTGCTGTAGGCTGCCAAAGTGTGGGGGAGCTAATCTAGTATCTCAGAACCGAATGCTAGTTATATTGTGCTCTTGGGAGTACAGAAGATGCTCTTTTGCCATGTTTCACTCTATGCGTTGATCATTCAAGCCATTTCCGCCGCTCCCGATCATGCGTAAGGTATCTCCATCCTCAAATAATCCAAATCCCAAAATAGAAGAATACAGGATGACCCTAATCATGCTGCTTTAGGAGCGGCCTTTGTAGGTGACCGTCTCACGGGCTTCTCTTCCTCCGTTTCCTCGCTGTCAGGCTCAATGCGGCCTTCGATCCACTCGAATACCTCGCTCTTATGATGCATCAGCATCTCACTGAGCCCTTCTTTCGGCGACTGGAGGAGTTTCCCATAGCGTTTGGTTGCCTTGCGCTCACTCTTCCAGAGACCGTGCGCGTGAGAGACAAACACGAGCGAGTTCTGCTCAAGTTAGCATCTGTGGTTATGAGGATGGCATACACTTACATCTCTGTACCATCGGGATAGCCAGGTCTGAGTATGCGAAGCCACCGCACGAACTGGGTCCTTGGCAACGAATGAAATGACACCATTGACCCGCTTGTAGAGAGTGTCTGCACACGTATTAGCTTTGTCTGCACTAGGCTGCGCGACATCCACTGACCTCTATTAATCAAGAGGTTGGCAACCCCGTAGAAAGCATTGCCAATTCCAACCAGGAATATTTCAGTCGCTTCATTAGGACTAGCGGGCCATGTTAGTCTTGAAGCCGAAGATTTGAAGTTCAGATCTTACTCGATGTAATTGTCCCACAAATACCCGGCCAGTTCTTCTGTTGCTGTTGGTCGATTCTCGTCTTCATCCTCGAACTTGCTTGACGACTAGTCCAGTTAGAACTGCAACAGCATCTGACACTCAACTAAACTCACCGGTTCCGTTGTGACATGTTTGGGAATATTTACGTCGATTACAGCGTAACCCTTGTTAACCGCCCATTGAACATAATCCTTCATGACATCAGCCTTATTCCAGTCAGCTTAGCCGCCGCAGGGCAAGGTAGCATGTACTCACAAGCCAGCAGTTGTGCGCCTCCAGATTGTTGGTGACTGGATGCGGTAATCCCATAATCTCCGGCCTGCTTACTGTCAGTATTTGTAGTCATATCGGGACGGCACTCACGGGTCATGAAAGATAACTATAAGCGGCGTGTCTTGATTGTAGTTCGGACTTTACGGAGTTTAGCTCGCCTCCAGTCAGGATGAGGGGGCACTTACCTTGCCAAAACCTGATTCTCAAATGATTTAGAGATGGCAGTCCGGTAGATGTATAGAGAAGTGAGCTTGAAATTATCATAAAGCTGCTTGGCCTGGTAAGCTCGAATGACATCTGCAGCTTTGTTAGTTTCAATGCTACGATTTGTCTCTAACATACCATGAAGCCTATCAGTCCAGAGTCCTTCGGTCTTGATTGCTTTGGGGAACATGCACCCCCAATGCGCGGACTGGGTCGACATGACTCGCCGTACGGTAGAGACCGCCGATTCTGAAGGAGAAGTGGAGGTAAGTCGATCGGGCGGATTTCCCATGAGTGTTTTCGTGACAGCCAGGGCAGACTTTGAGATTGATCTGAAATTATAACCACCCTGTATTTTTAGGTCAGCGGGCGACGAGAAGAAAAAATCAGGATGCAAACAAACCTCCAAACAGACAGCAACCTTGCCTTGAGCCAATGTCATCAACATATGTGTCATATGAGCGTAGCAAGCTGGAGTGACGAAGCATCCCCCAAGTGTATCTCCCGCAGCGGCGTCGAAACCAGAAGCAACTGTAGACATGTTAGTTAACTATCCTGGGGCCAAAAGCGGATTTCATACTGATCACCAGATCAGGGTCAAACTCTTGGGCAATTGGCATGACGACCTGCTGGAACGCATAGATGTAATCTCCATCACCCATTCCTTGACTAGGCCAGGGTATGTTGACATTCCTTGACAACCATCAGCATAAAGTTATGGACCGTCGGTAAAAATAAAAAAAAAGGTGACTGACTTCCCAACTCCCGCTCCTTCTCCACAGAAATCCAAATCGCCATCTCTCTCCCCAGGGTAAAAACTTCCATTCTGGTAAACGTGGAGCGAGATGTACAAGACGTTGGGGTCATCATAGAAGGCCTTCTGGATTCCGTTTCCTAAGATACGTAAGTAACGCTGTCTTTGTTGTTCGCAGAGGCTAGGTATTATTTATTTATTACCATGATGGACATCCCTGTAAAAGTTAGTAGCTTTCAGAACATCAAACCAAGAGTATGACGTACCAATCAAGGATCATGATTTTTCTGCATTGTGATCCGAGCCGTTGCTGGCAGACACGGGCTGCGACAGAGACATTATTGAATAGGCAGAACCCCATAGTCTTATCGTGTTCAGCGTGGTGCCCGGGAGGTCGAATGACAGCAATCGCATTCTTCACTTTGCGGGTCGCAACAGCAAGGCATGTTTCGATGGCACCGCCGACAGATAGTAAGGACGAAGCAAATGTAAGGCTGTTGAAGTAGATTGAATCACGGGTATGCTCCAGAGCGATCAGTTCCTCATCGGACATATCTGCAGGTATGTTAGTGCAAGTTGCTAATAAGAATAGGAACGTACGCCTCGTGCTCTCTACAAATGCATAGTGTGCTGCGGTATGGACTAAAGATATTTCTTCCTCTGTTGCATTGCGAGCATTAATCCGCTTCAGAGGGCGTGCGACAAGAGGCCTGGTTGCTTCGGCATCATCAACAAGCCCTGCCCGGCAGAGCTCTTTGAAGATGTAGTAAATTCTTCTTGGGTCTTCCGGATGCACATCTGAAGTTGGCCGAACTTCACAGTGATATCGCATCTGAACATCGTAGCAAAGCCCAGAAGGCAATGAAGCAAGAGGAAGCCCAGGCACGTCCTTCGCTTCCTCAGTCTCAGAGTACCCATCAACAAGGCTATCCTGATCATCAGAGACGGGATCTGCAGAGTCTGCAGGGGCAGTTGTCTTCAGGGCACTTTTTGGTGATGACGGCCTCTGTTTGTCTGCTGTGACAGTAATATCCTGCGGCTGATTCCCGTCTGTCCCATCCAACTGCATCGGTTGGCTGAGAAGTGGTGGCGCCAGATATGGGTCAGACGCCCCATTTAGGTGGCCGTATGTTGTTTGCTGGCCGGTACCGTTGGCTGCGTGAGGATTGGCGGCCCTGGCCTGAAAGCCTGCCTCGCCCATCACGGTGTCCTCATCCACTGCCATTGTCGCTGACGGGAACTTAGAAACTCGTCTTTGTCTTCCCGACCACGGCCAATATATGCGTCGTACTAACGCTTCATGACCAGTTTGGCAGTAAGAAGGGTGATATCCTCAATGGGCCCAGAAAATACAAGACAGCGAAAGCAGCTTTTGAAAGTACAAAAAGGGAGCCCAGTGAGTGTTGGATTGTCCAAAGACAATGCAGAATATAGAGCAGCAGATAAGATGGACTAGTAGTATGCGATGAAAAGTGGAACAATTGAACAGATGGGGAGGGTCTGGATCTAGATAGCTCTAGGTGTGAAACCGAAATGCCAGCAAATGAGAACCGAGGCCTGGGGACTGGGACGCCGCGCAAGTCAAGAAAAATGACTTATTTGCTGAGTAACAGTTTCAGTTTGGCACAGCAAGCTCAGAGAGAAGGCTTGCAAGCCAAGGGGCCCCAGAGCGTGCAGGGTGTCTGGCGTAGGAGTTTGGTTGATGGAGCTCTTAAGAGAGTTTAGGTCCGGAGACTACCAAATGCGCCTTTCACGTGACTTCTATGTCCCGGTCAAAAGGACCAGATGCGCTCATCTGGATATACTAGAATGACATTGTTTTGGTCAGGAGCGCAAGGATACTTCCATGAAGCTATCGAGATCATTCGGGTCCTTGGTTATTCTGGGCCAAGTGGTGATAACCTCACTGTCGCGGACCCCTGGGCTCCAGCAAATCCCACAAGAACATGTACGTCCAGACTACAGGTAAAAATTGACGCATTGAAATGTGATCGTGTATTTGTCATTAAATAGTACGTAACAATGGGATTCTATGCCAACATCCACCACAGCTCCTCATCATTTGGCGATTGCGGAATGTTAGGATACGGACATAGTCTGCACAATCCTGCTGAGGAATGGGCAATTTAGTAGACTTCCGAGGAGTTATAGAGAGCTCCTAGCCAATGGTTTCCGACCTGTTTCCTATTGGGCGTCGACGCCGGCAATGTAGGCTAGGGTACGAGTCAGCAGAGCACAGATATATCTACTCTAGCAGAGGGACTTACTGATGAGGTCAACAACACGGCGGGAGTAACCCCACTCGTTGTCGTACCAAGAGACGAGCTTGATGAAGTTGGAGTTGAGGGCAATACCGGCCTTGGCATCGAAGATGGAAGAGCGGATGTCACCGTTGAGGTCGGTGGAGACAATGTCGTCCTCGGTGTAGCCAAGGATGCCTTCACAATGAGTTAGCGGACATTAATACCACAATAAGACAGCCACATACCCTTGAGCTCGTTCTCGGAAGCCTTCTTGACGGCATCCTTGATCTGGTCGTAGGTAACGGCCTTCTCGGTGCGGACAGTCAAGTCGACAACGGAGACGTTGGAGGTGGGGACACGCATGGCCATGCCGGTAAGCTTGCCGTTGAGCGAAGGGATAACCTTGCCGACAGCCTTGGCGGCACCGGTGGAGGAGGGGATGATGTTGGTAGCAGCGGTACGACCACCACGCCAGTCCTTGGCGGAGGGGCCGTCGACGACCTTCTGGGTGGCAGTGTAGGAGTGGACGGTGGTCATCAGACCCTCAACGATACCGAAGTTGTCGTTGATAACCTTGGCGAGGGGAGCAAGGCAGTTGGTGGTGCAAGAAGCGTTGGAGAGGACCTCGATATCCTTCTTGTAGGTCTCGTTGTTGACACCCATGACGAACATAGGAGCATCAGCGGAAGGAGCGGAGATGATGACCTTCTTGGCACCGCCCTTCAAATGAGCACCAGCCTTCTCCTGGGTGGTGAAGACACCGGTGGACTCGACAATGTACTCGGCACCGTCCTTGCCCCAGGGGATGTTGGCGGGGTCACGCTCGGTGTGGAAGCGGATCTTCTTGCCGTTGACAACGAGACCCTCGTCGTAGGTCTCGATGGTGCCCTTGAATTGACCGTGCTGAGAGTCATACTTGAGCATGTAGGCCTAGTTAGGATTAGTATCGTGTTCCCTCGCTGACCTAGAGCAGGCGGCATACAGCGTAGTGGGTCTCAATGAAAGGGTCGTTGACAGCAACAACCTCGACGGTACCGGCCTCGATGCTAAAAGCATGTTAGGATCATTGATCATTGGAGAGCAAGACTGTCCAACGTGGTACAGCCCAAATGCATGGGCTGCAAGTTGTCCGATCTGATGGATGGTAGTACTCACGCGTTACGGAAGACCTGGAAGTAGTGTTAGCCACGGGGCAGGCCAATAATTGGGTAATCAGCAGCACTTACGATACGTCCAATACGACCGAAGCCGTTGATTCCGACCTGGATGCAACGAGTTCAGTAAGAATTGACCTGGTGTTGATTCCCGTCTGTCTCAAGGCCGTACCTTGGGAGCCATTGTTTTGTCTGTTAGAGCGGGGTAGCTGTTAGTCAAGCTGCGATAAAGGAAAGCTCAAGCTCAAGCTGATGGGTCCACGGGGATGGAGGAGATCGTAAAACACTTACTTATGGGGAAATGAGAGATTCTTGGATGGATAGATGGGGATTGAGGATGGGAGGGAGAAGGAGAGAAGAAAAGAAGAGCAGCGGTGGGGAGAGGAGGAAAATATGGCAACAAATGCTGGACTGACGCAACGACCTTGTCAACCCCCGCCGACACACCGGGCGGACAGACGGGGCAAAGCTAGCTACAGGGACCTCAGCAAATGCGACAGCAGAGCACCAGATGGGTCGACTGTCAGCTTGTGTTCCCGGTCTGCGCCGCTGGCCAGCTCCTGAGCAGCCTTTCCGGTTTCATACACCGGGCAAAGCAGGAGAGGCACGATATTTGGGCCTGCTACAGATGCCGGATGAGCCAATTAGGGGGCCTACGTTGCCGGATACGCGCTCTACCTAGGTACCATCTGGTGAATCTTTTGCCAGCAGATCGGAATATTGGTCTTGTACCTAGGTTATGGCATGCTATCTCGGTGGCCGGTTATTTGCCTTCACGACCTTGTCTCGCTTACTGCCGGTGAAGAGCTTCATCTTCTCCGATGATGCAATGGTCTCCTCGACGAGGGGCAACACCAGCCTTTCCGCTTAGGGGCGGAGGGGAGCCCGGATCCGGGCTAACGATCATCCACTGCCCCTCCTTCGAGCCGCCAGCCAGCCTTGTGCTTATTCAGTCCTTCCTAAGACGTCTGTCGGTCTCTCCGCACGCCAGAAACAGTCACCGGTGCTTTATCCAAGCTCACGAGCTCATCACAGATTTTACAATTGGTGGGGATTGAGATTCTTAGGCTCAAATTCTGACTCTCTGGGTCGCTCCAGATCCCGCCGAGTCAACGAATGAGCATGTCCTGGCAAGAGATCCAGGCACCCAGTCAACCAGGATCTAGACAAATTTGGGAGCTCGGTATGAGCTCTCCACCATCTTGATACGCCCTCTGAGTCTGGCCTACATATAATAATGAATATACACCTGTCTTAATACTAGATAGTCACTGCGCAGCGGTTACGGCCATGGTCTATAGTCTATAGTACTTGGTATACTTAGTACCAGTAGTACAGAGAGATACTAAAAAAATATGTTCTTGCTTTACCTACTCTCGTTACTTTACATGCTTAGCTTTGGACCATGTCCAATTTATAGTAGTTATTTTACTATGGACATGGTCCATAGAATTAGGTATTCAACAAATCCTGTCTAAGTTCTTTACCAAAGAGCTGGATTGGCCTGGGTTGCACATGATTGATGAAATACTCCGTAGGTCTTCGTTCGGCGTCTTCCGTGATCGTAGTACCTCGAGATCCTTGCGGCTTGCGTCTGCGGCTTGCGGCACGGTTCTCTCTTGTGATGGGATTAGGAAGAACAATCATACCATGTCTGTTCATCATGACATCCATGGAGGTCATGATATTTGCCAATGAACTGACAGCAACGTCCGACATGCATTGTGCAGCACGCCCTGCAGACCAACCTAATGCTAGATGGAGCCACGTTCAAAACCTAACCAGAAGCCAGATCTCGGAACCCTCAAGACTGTTTCGGAAGCCCTCACTCGTGCAAAGTCAGATTGATGTTCTCTTGATGTTTGATAATGAAGTCATAACGTTTCATAGAAACATGTCAAAAAGGTCGATAAATTGGCAAATATCGATAAGCCATAGAACCTTCTACTCTTCAAGCAAACATCTCGGCCAGGAAAGCAATCCAACCTGGAGCTACCCCAGTCCCCACCGTCTTATCTATAATACAGAGCGAAGAATATGTTCTTGCTACCGCTCCGTCCTCAAATCTATGGAGCAGCTTACTCCTCCTTGACACCACCCCTCCAGTTCTTCTCCGCGTTCTCGAGAGAGGCCTTGTCGGTCTTGGGCTGGCCCTGGCTAAGGAAGCTGTTGGCAGCCTTGAAGGGGCGCTGGAGGTCGCCAGTGGCGGGCTTTCCAAAGACGTGAATCTTGACCAGGTTCGATTCAAAGGCACCCTTGAGGGGGATGATCGACTGAATCAGGAGAGGGTTGGTGTACTTGAAGTACAAGTGCATCACAGCCATCATGCCAACACCCATGAACTGGCTCTTGATGAGCTGGCGGAACTGGCCCTTGTCGTAATCCATGTTGGTGGTCGTAACAGGACGGGGCTCCTCGCCGCTTCCGAGCGGAGCAGGCTCGACGTACTTCAATGTCGTGAGATCTGCAGATAAAGTCAGCCTGCATTTGTGATAGTAAGAAAAGACAGTCGAACCATTCTTCTTGTTAATTTGAGCTTGCGTGTAGAGATACAAGCTGAGAATGATCACGTTCGACAGGATATAGAGGCCACGGACGAGGAGCAGAACATCAGGGTCGTCGAATGGCACCTTCTTGGCCACCTGCATCATCACGACGATGATCGCCAGGTTAGTTCTACATAGTGCATGTTCAGTCAGTAAGAGTCCATCGATGTGGGGATAAAGGCATGGCTTGACGGCTGTTTCATGCTGTCCAACATGATCCACAAACAGGAATGCGCAGGATTGACATACACTTGAGGAGACACCATTTTGACGACGTAAATTGAAAGCAACCGAAAGTGAGAGTCAATTAGTCGCGGTGCGATGAACCAAAGGGAGAGAATTGGAGCTGAGGACACACGAGCAGAAACTTCCCCAGGCTGTCGCCATCGGAAGTCGGACAACTGTCCTAAGCACGCGGCGATCACGTGCTCTGGAGAACACGCGGAGATAAGAAGATAAGGTTTGCAGCCTTAGGCTGCAGCTGGCGCAAAGGTCATCCGTCTGCTTATGTAACGGAGCCAGCACACTTCTCGACTCATGCTTGCTCCTACAACTTCTGTGCTGCAATGTTGAGCCCTCCAGAGGCGTCCACTTTGCAGTGTCATGCTACTAGACACCTGAATCCAAAGCGCCCTATGGGCCATGGCCCGTACTGACGCCCATCTTCTTTTTCTTATCTATGGTGTCCTCGAAATGCCTGGGTTTAGCAAGCGACTCGACCTAGAGGCGGGCGTTGAAAGTCAGTGTCAACTATGAGCTTTTCAGGTCTAATTTGTCTCTTTAAACGACCTCCCTGGGCTTTGTCTGTCTGGTTCTGAGAGCTGCGTTCTTTCTTGTCCCTCCTCAGCTTTCTTATGCTCTGCCATTCTTCGTTTCGAGTCATCGCCATGGCTGGGCTCTGGCCCGCCGCGCCGGGCGATCTGAGGTGGTTGCCTAATTGGGACTAGCGTCGTTCAAGGCTGGATGCCGTCTTTAGCGACCAGGATGGCTCTCACATTTCTGACTCCTTCATCCATCAACAACGCGCGTGCCGTCGGTCTGTCGAATCGCTTCAACGTCCACCATCCCGCTCCATCGGCTTAGAACCTTGATCGACGCGAAGTCTTATTGCCCGCGACTCCGAATCTCGACGCTTTTTCAAAATGCCTGGCGGAAAGGGAAAGTCTATCGGTGGAAAGGCATCCTCCAAGGACTCTGCGGGGAAGGCCCAAAAGTCCCACAGCGCGAAAGCCGGTCTGCAGGTCAGTATAACACTTGTTGATCTATCAATTCTTCCTTGCCTGTTTCATCCGACCGCGATGTCTGGAACGTGCGACAATCCAAAGCTCTTAAGCTACAGGTTTCGCCCCTCTCGCGCTTCTTTTGCAAGATGTCGGTGGCTCTTGCCAGCTTATGTTTTATCGCCTGTCCTTCTAAACCAAATATCATCGCTTCCTTTCATCATTGGCGAGATTCTTGGTTGAGGTTATCTCTAACTTAGTCACAGTTCCCGTGTGGTCGTGTCAAGCGTTTTCTCAAGAACAACACGCAGAACAAAATGCGAGTTGGCGCAAAAGGTAAGGATACCTGAAGTTCTTTCGTCTAAAACATTACCATGAACCGTACTAACACCCTTTCGTTTAGCCGCTGTCTACGTCACTGCTGTCCTTGAATACTTGACCGCTGAAGTGCTGGAACTTGCCGGAAACGCTGCCAAGGATCTCAAAGTCAAGCGTATCACGCCCCGCCACCTGCAGCTCGCTATCCGTGGAGATGAAGAGCTCGACACGCTCATCCGCGCTACCATCGCCTTCGGTGGTGTTCTGCCGCGCATCAACCGTGCCCTGCTGCTCAAGGTGGAACAGAAGAAGAAGAAGGACACATAAATCTCGCGGATACCCAACAAATACGGCGTTTACTGATGATTGAATGGAAACACCCCACGTACAGTGATCATGACGACTGAATCCGAGCCCTGCAGACTACACTGGAGTGAGGAGCATTTGCCCTTGCGCCCGCATCTCCTTTTTACATACACCACTGCAGTTCGACGTGCAGCTGTCATTCTTAACGTGATCTTGCTCTTTTTACTTGTTTCATCTATCTCCACTTGATGTCTGCTCTGTTCGTCGTTTGTCTCGAGTTACCCAGGGCGCTGTAATGGGAAAAGGGGTATTCTCGGCAGTGGGAATTGTTTGTCCATTTTTGATGTCTTGTTTATCTTGATCCTTACTTTAATCTCTGTTATTCTTCGAATCGCTGGTGTTGAGTGCGTTGCGACTACTTCTGGAAAGAAAAAGGAAATTCATTAAATCTCGAGGGATCGGTACTTTTGTAGTGTAGCTACTAGCTAGACCTCATCCGCTGGACAAAGTCCACTTCGGAAATATATTTTATCCAGGTCTATCTATACCCAGCATTCCACAGACGCACCAACAACGGTCAAAAAAGGAGAACTCTCATTAGCCACTGACACTTTGATTGCTTCACACAATATGCCCGTTGTTCACGCCAGCGCTAAAAGATCCTCCTCCGAAGCCAGATTTCGGGTCTGCTCTGCAGAACAGTGCGCTTAAGGCTTGCTCGATCATCAAGAACCCGAGGATATATATCAAGTTGTATTCTTGAAGCAGTATTTTTTATAGCTTAAGAATGGAATGCCCTATCCCATAGACTGCAGAGAGATGTGTATACGGATATTACATCGTTCGTATTCCCCAGCGCCACCCGAGTAAGGAGTCGAGATACTCTGATACATGGTGAGCTATCCATCCCAATACCCGGTTACGAGGCGTTTGTGAGTTGCTCTTGACTATATTGAACCGAGGGTCTGGAGCCGTGAACTCGGGCTCGTGGTGAAGGATAAGAAGCCACCACCAACTGCTATAGCGGAAATGAAAAGCTCAGAAGATACTCAACACCTGTCAACTTCCATAAGAATAAAATAGAGATACAGCAAAAAGTGGCAGAGACAGAAATGAAGAAATGAATAGAAAGAGATGAAAAAGAATCAGCATTAAACGATGCAAGTTTGCCCCATATACAAAAGATCCAAAAAGTAATGCAAATGCATGGTCATTCCTCTTATCATAGATAACAAAGACATTGGTATTCTTTTTGGGTCGTCCTTCGTGGTCTTCTTGATTGATATTGAGATGTTGGTTTCAATTTCTTGATTTTTGCTTTCCTTCCGGCAGACACAACTCGAAATAGAAAAAGAATAAAATAATAGGGGGAGAGGGGGGTGTTGGGGGGGTAAATGGTGCACCCATGCAAGGCGTCCGCACATCGCAAAAAGTCATGGCTTCAACTTGCGTGATTTCGTTTTTCGGCGAAAGAGAGAAACATAATCGAGTCCGTATAAACGGCGCGCCTAGAAGGGCTGCCCCAAAATAACTTCTAAACTTGGCTGGATCAGAGAAATACTTTCTTTTTGAGTGATTCTCTTAGTTGCATTGTCGTCTCATCATCCCTCATCGAATCGTAAGCCGATCGTCGCACAAAACGATCAGGCCTCGTGATATAAAAGGTCGTATGCGTCTTTCGGTAAAGCAATCTAACAATTTTCGTTGTCTTCATCTCCCATTAAACGTTTACTCCACAATGATTTCCACGCCGGAGCTGGTGCGCAGTTCGTCACTTCCGCGCGACTGATGTCCGTTGGGTCGTCGAAAACCTGGGCCCTTCTCGGGCATGGGGCCTCTCGGCTGCCTAATAGGCATGCGCTCCTGTGACTGACCGTCAAATCCAACTCCGATGGTGCGGTTACTACCAATGGGGCCAGCGCTAGAAGGTTGACTTTCCGGCTGCTCCCAAGAGAACATACCCCTCAATCGCCTCGGGCTCGCGTTCGGCCCTCCAATTCCAGTTCCTAGAGAAAGGCTGCTCAAGCTGTTGACCAGGAGGCCGTCGTCCCGCTGCATACCGAGGGAGGAGCCAGATGGCACAGGCGTCAAGGTCGGCGTGTTTGATGCGACACTGGTTGAACCATCGTAATGCTGAAGGCGTGCACCGTTTGATTGCAGGGCAGCCGGGAAGCTGGCCGAGGACGGGACAGGGGAAGGAGTATAAGAACGCAGATCGGCGAACGATTTAGCTGCGCGGAGGTTCTGTGTGTTTCCGAAACCGGCAGAAGAGTCCAAGACTCCCAAGAAACCCGAGGATGGCTGCCCACGAAGGGTATTGAAATGAGCAGCTCCTTCGTTGCGAGCTTCGCTGAAATCAATAGTCGCTGCGCGGTTGAGCCCGCGACGAGCAGTTTCCGCGGGCTGAACAGCGGCGGGGATGGCAGACAAGGGGGGGCTCACATTCTGGCCTGGAGCAACCTTGAAGACCTGGACCTGGCGTTGGTCTCCATTCCCGCGAGACGCGTGGCCGAGACCCATGTTGTGAGCGAGAGTGTGCACAGTGCGGCGCTGGACGGGAGTAAGGTTCGGCGGGAAGATGACCGAGTCGCGACCGGTATCTTCCTTGAACAGCAGGAGCTGGGAATAGTACGACAGGGTCTGAGTATCGTTCAGATCAACATCTAAAAATCAGAATAGCGTTAGTAAGCGACCAGAAATCGGAGTATATGTGGCGCGCTAACATAACTCACCAAGCTTCTGGCCACGCTGGGAGACCGGAGATGGAGAAGTGGCCGGGATATGTGATGTCAGGGACGACATGGAACTCTGTGTCTGAAGCTGCGACGTCGCCATAGGACGATGCTGCTCTTCAAGTTGGCCACGACGTTCGCGCTTCTCGCGCTCAATGCGTTCGCGTTCCTGGAGGGGAAGCATCTTCTTGTATTCAACCCGTAACTTTCGGCCTTGAAGTTCGAAATGGTTGAGCACTTCAATCACGGTTGCGGTCTCTTCAGCCGATGTGAAGTTGGCAAAAGCCAGCCCGCGGAATACACCATTGTCGAAGTGGTAATTGAACGCATACGGCAGGGGCAGGTTCAATTCGGTCATCAACTGAACGAGCTGCTCCTTCTTGACAGCGAAGGGTATGTTCTTGATAACGATCGCGGTAGGAATCAACTCGTCATCGGCCTCTGACGGACCCGCATCTCGCATCGAGGCTTGAAGGGGACCGGACCCAAGGTTGGAGAAAGGGCTGGGAAGTCCTGGCTGTTGATCTAACCAAGTCTAGCACAAGAGTTAAGAGTTAGCAAAAGCGAAAACAATAAAAAAATCAACCATCACGTACAGTTGGCAGACCGGCTCGAGTGCTGCGAGGGGCAGTCTTCAGGCTTGCGGAAGCCGAGCGAATACCGCCTAGTGCCTGAGCGTTGGCGAAACCATTCGGATTCCACGTCTGCGAGCCAGGGAGATCATAGGCATAGGAAGGGTTATGTAGCGACGGGTTCAGCCGGTCGAGATTGCGATCGTAGCGAGCCATGGGATCGTCGTACAAGTTAACGGGCATCGGACCGTAGGCATCAAACTGTCGCGAAGGTTGGCGATGAAGAGGCTGTTGATGGCGCTGGGAGCCGGGAGAACGCGAGGAATTGTCGTGATACATTTCCTGGGCTTGTTGATAACTCATGGTGGCAGAAAACGGAGAATTCTCAACAAGCAGCCAAACCGAAGAATGTGGCGTTGGAGCCCACCACAACAATCCCGATGAATACGATGCGATGAAGTGCGAGCGGACTACTCAGTCATAGGAGCGATCGAGCAGGCGGAGGATAAAATTTGACGAGTCCAGAATGAACCAAGGGATGTTGACAGCCACGTTAGGGCGAGTGACGGAAGAAACTCAGCGGAGATTTTCGACTCTGGGAAGGGGGATGGGTGGCCGGGGCTTGTCTCGAATCGGCCCGGGGGAGGGGCGTTGCAAGAAGCCTCTGATTGAACAGTGCACCAAGGGTAGAGTGAAACCGAGTCGACGATGCGAAGTTGATCAGAAAGTCCGATCAAATTCTGAACCGTCTCGTGGCTGGCGTGTCTTCAAAGCCTGGGGAGTGAGGACTGAGGAGTGTCTGGCCTTCTTTCTGGTACGAACATCAGAAAAAAACAATAAAAAAACACAGCAAAAGAGAGCAAGGCAAATATGGATAGCGGAAGAAATGAGCAGCGAAGAAAAAAGAAAAGAAAGATCGCCACAGCCTGGGATGACCGGGAGGATGGAGATGGATGGGGGAGAAGGGGATAAGGTTAGGTTGAGACGAGGGGAGGAAATAATGCAAATTGTTACCTGCTTGCTTGCTTGCTCCAGTCTCAGTCAGTCAGTCGCCGTGACAAAAATATGCCAAAATTCCCGGACGGCACGCCCAGTCAGTCCCGCAACCACAGTGACCACACAGATGGACAGGTCGTTTGAGGCAAAACAAGGACGCTCAGGAACAACCAACGATGATCGGATCCCTAGAAGCCGGATTATATGTCTACCAAGCAGACAGAGTAGGCGAATAAAAGGGGCCGAACGAGGTTATCCAGTGACCCGTCGCTAGTCGCTTTTTCTGTTTGGGTTGGTTGTGGGATTGTGGATCGATGGATGTCCTCTACCAAAATGTCTTCAGTGTCTTCGACGGGAGAGCGTATTCGATCCGTGGTCGGTCGAGTCGGTGGCTGATGCTGGTAGCAGATGGCAGATGGCAGATGGCAGATGGCAGAGGCAGAGTATGCAGGTTGCAGAATGCAGCAGCAATGAAAGAAACAAGGGGCTTGTCGTCGAGCAGCTTAAGAATGTGATTATCCAGGGATAGGCGAGGTATATGATTCTTCAAGGACTGAAAGTCTCACAACAGCAGCATGAACGACTGCGGCAGCTCTATATAGTGTTTGGCCCACGGTACTTCTGGCACGAGCGCCTGTAAATCATTCTATTTTCTGCCTAGAACATTTCCCCCCCCCTATTCTTCTTCCTGTATTTTTGGGTCTCCTGGACGGAAATGACCTCGACTTGACGGCATCCACCTGCTGATTGCTCAGTGTCAAGTTGATGACTGCGTTCCTTCTCTTGTTGAGACTCGAACTGTTTGCCTACGCTGCCGGCTGCACCTCCTCGTCCACGGTCCTCTGTACAACCTCAATCTGCGCAGATGAGATCCGATGGCATCGTCTCCCAACCGCGTCATGGCCTCGATCTTAGCCTCAGTCCTTGTCGGCTCGGTAGCATCTCTCATCCTTCCGGTGCTAATGCTATGCTATTTTAGCAACCTCCTTTTGCGCGAGCGTGATGTGATGGGGCGGTGCTAGTTCCTTCCCTCAGGGGGACTCTATCTTTGCCACTCTTTGACGGCTCTACACTCAGTCTCAGCTCTGAGCTCGTCTCCCCGACTCGTTCCCAGATCCGGGCTCGCCTCCTGAATTCCAGTCGATCCAATCCGCTGCTGCAAACGCCTGCTTGCCGGTCCGGGCCTCGCGGGAGGTTCCATCTATCCCAAGTTTCCAGCAAGCTGAGCTCGTTGAAAATCCCAAACGGATTGTCGGGGATCCGCAGGTGTGGGTATGATGTTCCAGATTGACTTCTGCTTCTCCCTGAAAAGGAGCTCATACCCACTCGAGCTCCATGCTCTTCTCATTGAACCCCATTTTCCCGAATAGCTTAATTGCATTACCGCTAGCAACCCTCAGCTCTTTGTTCTTTGTCAGTCACAATACATACGTACGGAGCACGTATGGGGAGAGTTCCCAGGCAAGACGCACACCTTGTTTGACCTCCGTATGATCTCTCCTATGGAGATGAGATCTGCCCCTTGGACAGACCGAGACCCTCCTTACTTCCGTATCCGCAATCACCCAGACGCCGACGGAGGTGCTCGTTGCTGCAGCACGACAAACGGAGAATATTCGCTGTCTTTCGTTCTGGTCTTCTATTTGAGACACCCCCGAGTCTCAACTATTGACCCCAGACCCGGGGATTCCTATTCGAGCCATCTCCAACCCTTGCACTTCAACCTCCGCAGTACAGCGGTATTACCTTTGACAGCCCCTTTTCTTCAGGCTACAAAGAGATTCCACCTTGAGGCAGACTTTATTGGTGGTTGGGCCCCTTCTTCAGTGCTTCCAAATATGAGCTCATCATCTCAGCAGGTTCGACTGCCTGCCGCATACCCTCCTTCCTGCTCCGTTAATGATCTTTATGGCCTACGGAGACGGGTATGCACATGCTCATCATGCTGACACTGCTCCGTCGCGACCCGCGCCGTTCGCGCCTAACGCTCGAGCTAGAAGCCGCTAGATTGTCATCAGAACCCGCTGATGGAGTCGCCCCAGTCCCGACTATTTGTCGCTGGCGGGTCAGTTGAGAGCTCGAGGCGAATGAAGGCTGAATATGGAGAGTGCACATTGCACAATCACACCAGCAGGAGAGCTCTCATTCTCCACAACGGCCACGGCGTCTGTCATCTGCGCTACGCAGTGCGAGTTTTGAGATAATGGCCCCCTGCGGAATATTCTTCGGGGCTTCTACACTTCTATCTCGAGTTAGCCCCTCGGATGTTGGTGAGATGACCATTGTCCCGAAATTAATGAGAATCCCGGAATCGGAATACCGGGACATCCCATCCGCGTGGTTCCTGGATCCTGGGACATGGATAGTTTTGGGGATCCCCGGTCTGAGCAAACACTGCCACAGTCACCGTGACGCCAATCCCCAACGCTCCGTAATCGTACTCCGTAATATAGCACTGCAAGAAAGGGGCAGGTGAACGGCAATCCCAAGGGCAATTCTCGGAGTCAACTCGCTTAGCCTAGCTGTTGCAATGCCGGATGGCCTGTATTCCGTAATTTTCTACAGCAGGACGTGAATGCAGTGTCCATATGACAAATCTGATAAGTGAGCTGATAGTCTCTCTTTAGAACGCGCCCAAGATAATATCATCGTCATCGTCCGTAAAGCCGGTTCCTGGACGCGAAACTCCCCATATAATAGGATCAGAACAGTCTACCTCAAACAAAAAGAGGCTTCATTTCTTCAACAACCCCAGAGCTCGACAATTGCTATAGAGAAAGCGGCTTATTGCGTTGACTAGTCCCGAGGCAAATGCAATATCTCAAAGATCCGACGTATCTCAACTTCTCAAGGCTCGAGCATAGCCAAGTCGACGCACCCACACGTCCCTCCTCACTTGCAGATGGGATCTGCACCTAATGCAATGCAATCTGCACCTACGCCACGCCGTCGTACCCAATCTGCGACCTAACATGCACGGTTTAGACGGGCTGTTTTGGCGTCGAATATTGTTGAAGAATGCTTGATGGTTCATTATACCACTCAAGTTGTAGTCAAGACAAGAAGTAGATGTATTTTCTGTGGTTTTTCTTCACTATAGAGAGGACATATATATTTCAGTCGCTTCAATATATATCTGACAACGGTAGGAACCTGTACGTGATATAGTTAGAACACCAGGATCCTTCAACTACTGAATCGTATTTCGCCATTTGAGTAAGGCCACGAAGACAACTGAAGGTTCATCACCTTGGAACTGCATTATATGGTATGTCGTGCATTCGCCCGGGTACGGGTACTGCGCTCCAGTTGGGCCGCTAAACTACAATCCAACACCGACTAGCTCTACGGAGTTTAACAGAGAGAACTTTCCAAGAGAAAGATGAGATTTAAGAAGCTGAACTTTTACGTCTTGTATATTGTACATATTGGACCAAGTCAGGAAAAGAAAGCACGGTGCATTCTGTGGAACCCACAAACTTCGAACGGAAGAGACTATGAACTTACCTACCGAGCACTAGACCAAGGGCTCGGCCGGACCTGTTTGCGAGATGCTTCAGATTGTCTTCAAGGCATTAGACAGCAATGGCCTCGTGACACTGGGAGTCTAATCGGTTGGATCTGGGAAGTCGAGATCGTCGTCGTCGTCGATATGGGTGGGCGAGTGAGTGGGGGTGCTCGAGGTGCGGCCGGAAGAGGAAGGACGAGCGGAAGAGGAGCGATGCCCGGATGATGAAGGACGTCTGGAAGATGAATGATGCGCACTGGAAGTGCGCTGGACGAATCTTCGTGAGCCTCCTCCGCCGCCACTGCTGCTGCTGCTGCCGCCTGAGGACGAAGGTTGGTAGGAGGTAGTCTGGAGGTTGCAGGCAGTGAGCATGTCATATGCGTCTATCGAGATACGTTAGCAAAGCATAAGCATTGCCAAGGATGATGTTCTCCACCATTGTCATGAGGGCCAGTATCATTGTTATCATCGTCATCGTCATCGTTGTCGTCGCCGTCATTGTCGTTGTCTTGCGGATGATCTGATCTGTACTGCGCGATGCATGCTTCACATCGAGGGATAATAGTTTGTGCATCATCCGCATCACAGATGCACCTGGCTTCGTCCGCGTCGTCGTCGCTTTGCCTGTCGCATCGTTGGGAGATGCTTACGAGCGGGTCGCAAGCTGAGTGGCAGTCACTGGGCAGGTCATTTCGGTCTAGGTCTGCCCCGAAAGCAACATTGCCCGCGAGGATGAAGCTGGAGACGGTGAACAATTGCTGAAGGCGCATGGCGGTAATTGTATTTACTGAATGCAAACAGAGGGCAGGAAGTCTCCAGGTAGCTTCGGGGCTCGTATATCATTTATGCTCGAGACTAGCACTCTATTGCGCGTCCATTGCGTTTACTTCAGTGTGTTCCAAATATCAAGCTTGGGAATGACGGTGCCGAGACTGGTTCTGCACGCTGATACGACATAGCTTGGTAGATGATGTGTAGTGAGATAAGGTATGTATGCTAGCCCTGGATAGTCTCTGGACGCAGATACAAGCTGGATGGCGGGAAGGATCCGGGTTAGCCAATGTCATCAACGGCTCGAAGCTTGAACGGAGCCCTGACATTCGAGAAACATGGGACGCCGACCCTGGTCGAGAAGTGGCTGAAATTGGACTTCGATTTGGTATTCTCACTCATGTGTGGGTTCTTCTGCATTGCATGGGCTTCACCAATAGAGCCCATTGTTAGTCTGGCCGAGAAACTTACATCTCCAGGATGACTGCCACTGACTTGAGGGCGCAGCCGACTAACTGCCAGCACTGGCGTGGAGAGTTTGAGATAGTGTGGTACGGTCTCGTCGTTGGCAAGATGGTACGACGGCGTGGGCCTCTACCACAACCATAGGTGGCTTTGAACAGGCTCATCAATCGCAGCCATGACATCTTAGGCTCTTAGCTGCCTGGATGGTCTCGAAAGGATCTTTCCTTATCCTTATTGTACTTTTAGTACATGTCAAAGCACCTGATTGGACCGGAGCTCCCCGTGGGTGGGTTGATAACCCCGCATCAGTCCTGACGCAGCGACGCCTCCTCTGCGCGACCTTGTTCCTCGAACATAATCGGGAAGAACAGAAGAATGGCTCGGAGTGCGCTGGCAAGAACGTCGTGGGAAGGCTATACCTTGCGTTCGCCTCAGCATGCCAACCCCGCCTTCATCCCGACCATTGTCTATGGCACAGCGTGGAAGAAGGACCGGACAGCGAACTTAGTGCATCAAGCGATCAGCAGCGGGTTTCGCGCCGTTGACACAGCAGCTCAGCCAAAACACTACCGAGAGGATCTGGTGGGTGAAGGTATACGTAGGGCTCTCGCGGACGGGATTGTTCGTCGCGAAGATCTATACGTACGTTGACGCCGAATAAACCTCTCGAACTAGGAGACTAAACGGCTGTTAGATCCAAACCAAATTTACCTCTGTGCATGGACAGAACCCAGATGATATGCCTTATAATCCCAATGACAGTGTGACTGATCAAGTCCACGCTTCAGTGAGGTCGTCCCTTCACAATCTTCGCTCGTCCGCCTCGCCTGAAAGTGCCGAGGAGACGTATATCGACGCTCTTGTACTTCATTCCCCTCTGCCAACCATGGCCCAGACAATCGAGGCGTGGTCAACGTTGGAGACATATGTTCCTGATCGCATACGCCATTTAGGTATATCAAACACCACACTGCCGGCCCTGAGAGAGCTCGTGTCGTTGGCCAAGGTAAAGCCCGCGGTGGTGCAAAACCGGTTCTATGGCGGGACCCAGTTCGATGTTCCGCTCCGCGCGTACTGCCGCGAGCACGAAATTGTATACCAGAGTTTCTGGACATTGACGGCAAACCCAGAGCTGGTTCAATCCAAGCCGGTTATTTCCCTTGCTAGAGACTCGGGGGTCTCGTCAGCTGCAGCCTTGTACGGCCTTGTCCTGGGTCTTGGGCAGACAACAATCCTGGACGGAACCACCAAGAAGGAGCATATGAAGGCAGATCTGGCCGCGCTCAAGAGTATGCAGCTGTTTTCCAGTGAGAACCCTGAAAAGTGGCATGATTTGCTTGAAGACTTTGCGCAGCTCACTGGAGACCATGTCCATTTACAATGAGCTTTGTATATAAATCAAGGAAGTAACGAATAAAATGTCGAGTCCGCACGTGAAAGACATGACTCAGCCCCTCGGCCAATCAGCGCTGCTCCCAACTTTGGCCTCATCGTCGCCCGCCAAGATCTTTTGACAGAAAGAAAATCTGTCCAGCTTTCTAGTTGCGTGCTTTGTTTTCCATTACCTAGTGACCATTGCGAGCTGCTCTGTATTCCACTATAGCCACACACTTAATTCCTGCTCTCCCCGACCTGTCGCTGACCGTTTCTGTCATCTTACTCTCTCCACCGCCCAGGCCAGTGGGACGTTCCATCAGCATTATTTTCTCCATCACCGCCGGGCTTTCTGCAGGCTGTCGATATCAGTCCAACAGACCAACCAGCCTTGGTGCTGGACGACAATTGATTCGCCTGCTGCACCTCGTTCTTACTGTTAGTCCGGTCGCTTGCTGAGCCAACAGTCATTGCTCTTTATCCACCTGTCACCTTCCTGTCCCCGTTCGCTCTCCGCCCCAGCGTTGATTGCGCCCGTCGCGTATCCGCGATCCATCATCTATTTCGTGCTATCGGCCCTCTTCTCCCTGGCCAGATCGTGTTTCTATCATTTGTCTCAGTGTTCTACATGAAATACACAAATACATTTTGACGGCACTACGGCACTACTCAATATACTGCCTTGTCGGATACTTTTGTCGAGTCGCATTCCTCTACTACACCCCCGCAATATCTCCCACTCAAGGCTAGGACGTCGGATTCGATTTTTCATCTTCGCCAGACCCTCACCCTGACTGGCGGCCTCTGGCAAGGCAACGGTCTGTTCTACGACACTAGAAGCATCCCCCGACCGTTGACCGTTTGATCGCCCGCAATGAGCCCTCAGGGAATAACTCGCAAGAGACCTGCCCCCGGCACGTCGCCCGTTGTCCACCCGCAGCTGGGCCAGCTGCCGAATTATCCTCAAACATCCGGCCCGTCTTTGTCCAACGACCAATTTCTACAATGGGGTCAGAACCCGTCGCCGAACGCCGCGCCCCCGTTATCCTTTCCCGACACGAATTCCTACAACCCCGGTGCTATGCCCGCATCAGCCCATGACCTTTCCGGTGTCTCTACTACATCCAACCAAGTCGCACGTAGGCAAACCCCGAACCAGATGGTGAGTCGAGGTCGCAGTTATGAACAGCCATCGGCACCTCTTCCGGACCAAAACAATGTGCCTGGAGAGTCCGGGGGTTGGACCGAAAGCTTGGAGGAACTTTACAAACGTGCGTTGGCTGCCAAAAGAGAGGCACAGGCGAAGAGGAAACAGATTCCGCCGTTCGTACAGAAGCTGAGCAGGTATGTTAGGCATTACTAGGTCGGTCATAAACTGCTAACTCTGCGCCCTTAGCTTTCTTGACGAGTCGAAGAACACCGAATTAATCAGATGGTCTGACGACGGAAACTCATTCATCGTGCTGGATGAGGACGAGTTCGCCAAGACGTTGATCCCCGAATTGTTCAAACACAATAATTATGCCTCCTTTGTCCGGCAGCTGAACATGTACGGTTTCCACAAGAAAGTCGGTCTCTCTGACAACTCAATGCGCGCAAGCGAAAGAAAGAACAAAAGCCCCAGTGAATACGCCAACCCCTACTTTAAACGTGGTCACCCTGATCTGCTGTGGCTCATTCAGAAGCCTAAGAACACAGCTGGACAGGGAGCGAAGTCTGGCAAAGGTTATGTCCGTGTGAAGACGGAAGATGCCGAAAACGAATCCGAGGACTTTGATGACAACCCTAGACCCAAAGACGACACCCGTAACCGACAGCTGTCCCTGATTGCACAGCAACCCTCTTTACCCAAGGATCAGTTCTCCAATGTCTACCGGGAGCTGCAAGCGATTCGCCAACAACAGCAGATTATCTCCAGCACCATTAGCAAACTACGGAGAGAGCATGAACAGCTTTATGCACAGGCAGCGAATTTTCAGGAGCAGCATACTCGCCATGAGAACTCGATCAATGCGATACTTACTTTCCTCGCCACCGTCTATAACCGGAGCCTTCAAGGCCAGGAAGGCCAGAATCTCGCAAATTCCTTTGCTGGTGCAATCTCACAGGACCAGGGAAACATTGTCGATATGGGTGACGGATACTCGTTTGGAACACTTGGCGCTACCTCGATGAACAGCCCTGGCGGACCCCGGTCAATGAAAAAGCAACAGCTGCTACTCAAGGCACCGCCGGGGCCTGGTCGTGCGTCGACGCTCTCGCCCGCGGCAAGTGCCTACGAGCGCTCACAGTCTCGCAACCACTCGCGGCAGCAAACCACCTCTCAACACGGGCAAGTCGAGGAAGTTTTTGATAGTAATAGCCCACGATCAAAGGACTCTCCTTCTTCACAAGCTCAGCAATACCCGCAGCGTGATATCATGTCCGTCATTCAGAATGCCAATGCGCGAAACGGGATCCCAACCTCTTATAGCGATTTTCCCAACGTGCTGTCGTCACTCGAGACATCTGGCGGCAACGTCCCTCTCACCTCCAACCAACGTGCAGACATGCTTCGTCTCATGGCCAACGAGACCGGCACAGACGATGCTGGCGGAACGTTGCCACAAAACAATGCTCTGATTAGCCCGGCACCACCGCCAATGCCGAGCAATTACTCGTCACGTCTTGCCGACACCCGGTCTGAAATTGACAACCTGATGAAGATGCAAGCCGAGCAGGACCGCTCCGTGCAGAACCTGACCAACCTGTTACAACCACTCAGCCCAAGCGGTACCATTCCCGGTATCGGAGCCGATGGGAGCATCCCACCGCCCCCGCTTGAACTAGACCATATCTTCAACAATGACTACTTTACGGACTTTGCGGACTACGACCAACAAAACAGAGAAAATATAGACCTCGGAGACTCGACGGGCGCTGGCCAAGTGCCCACAACAGAACCAGCAGCTGTAGATGACATGGCCATCAAACACGACGGAAACGACCTTTTCGATTTCGACCATCTACCCGGTGATGACCTCTTCCCAGGGACAAACCAGCACCAATCGAGCCCTGGGTACTTTCAGCAATTCAATAATAACGGCTATGGGGCCAATTCGACTAATGCTGCTGGCGCAAACTCAGGCATCAGCGGGCCCGGCCGGGTTGTGGAAACTCTGACAGACAGTGAAGCCACCAGCCCTAGCAATCCCGTCGATGACCCGTACGGTGCCGGCTTGTTTGACGCAGGAGACGGGCCACAAGGTGGAAAAAATAGCCTCGGAAGTGCGAAGCGGAGAAAGAAAGCTTGATGCTTTGTCTTCTATCAGTATATACTTCTCTCTTAATCCCATGTCATCCTCTTAACGAGACCTTCAAGCACAGCTTGAAAGTATCTGCACGAAGAGTATATCTAGCTTTGTCTTTCTAGATAGAATATCCATCTACACCCCATGCAGCCAAGTATACAGCGGCGCCGGGAAATCAAAAACTGAAGCACGTGCTGTACCTCCTTCCGATCGTTTAGTGACGGGCTCATCGTGTGGAAGGCGGCTGTCCTTGACTGCTGGACGATTGTTTCACCTGCCCTGGCAAGGCTGACTTCCCACTATCCTCCAGCATCTCATGATCGTTCGTCCAAGGTGGACTATCACCATGAACCTCGTCAACCCGCACCAGAATACCCTCGTCTAGTCCTCGAGTCCACCATGTCCCAAGTCACGAACGCCGTCAGCGATTGTTTCATCTACTAGTGCATCCTCGCCCCCTTCGCTCTCCTGTATTGTCTCTTCCCAACTCCCAAAAGAACAACAACCGCCCTCGCCGCCGCTTCTTAGAAAGTACAACCTCAGATACAGCAGCCGTCCTCCGAAGCCCCTCCCAAAGCCCCTCCCTAAGCGCCGCCGTTCTCTAACACCATGCCCAACAAGATCATCATCGCCATCACGATAACAACCACGGTTAGCTTTTAAGACCAAGACCAAGACAAACCCCAGCACCGCTCCCCGCTCTTCGCAAAACTATGCCCTGAACTCCGCCTGCGCATGTACGAGGAGGTCCTCACCTACCACGACTCCACGTCGCCAGCACAGATAGACGCTTCTGCTCCGTCCGCTGCAGCACCGCCTATCCAACTCACGTTCGCGGGTGGCAGCACGACAGCTGCTGGTTGCCCAAGACATGGGACGACGGGACACTGCGAGGCTGCGCTCGGAAAGCAAAACGCAGCGCACACGAGCGGACGATTTTCACATACGGCCTCCTCTGCTCCCACCGCCGGGTCTACGCCGAGGCCATCGACATCCTGTACACGCACGAGCTGCAGCTCCGACAACGGCGGACGCTTGCTGAATTACCGCTCGTCATCCGCACCTGCATTTGGATAGATGCGTGGAGTCGACATGGGTCTATCAGGTGGAGTTTGTGCTGGGAGGCTGGGAGGCGGCTTGCGCTGTGGTCCAGCGGGATCTGGGAGGGCTGAGGCGGCTGACGGTTTCATTTAGTATAGTGGCCTGTCGGGGTTTAAGGGCGGATGGTCGGATGCTTGTTGAGTCGCTAAGGCATGTAATGCTATTAGGCATGTTGCGGAGTTTGGTGTTGAGTTGGCGGGTGGAGGGGTTGGAGGGCGTGCTGGACGAGTTACGTGCCCTGTGTCCGTCTGGAGATGTCCCGTTTGGGGTCGAGGTGCATGATATAGGGGAGCAGTTCTGGAGCGCCTGGTAGGTATGGAGGCCCATGGTTTACTTATTGTATATTTCTCGGATTTTTGCATGCCCTCTACACTGTCTGTGATGACCAACCCAGCGTGGTTGGGTTGGGGGATCGTGTCTAGAGGTAAGCAAGATTTGATAGTGGTTGAATTTATCGATGTGGCTAGATAGTACATTCTAGATACACGGACATGGTCCAAAGGTTATCCAACTAGGGTCTAGGACATGAAGAAAGTAAACAAAAAAAAAAACACTCGTAAGGGTCTCGCGACCCGAATCATGACCCTGCGTTAAGCCATACATATTCAGTTCTTGTGCTTGTCCTCCTCGAAACCAAACAGATCAGGTCGGTCCACGAGCAGGTCAGTCAGGTTGGGTCAGGTATATAGAGCAGAAGGTAAAAAGATAGGTCGTGCATATTCGTGTCCATATATACAGCGGTTGAGTCCAGCACCAGGAAGGAAGTGAAGACGTAAAAAGTCCGGTGTGGTGATGATTTTCTTTTTGTAGAGTGGCAGATCAGTCGTTCTTGCTGTCCTTGCCAAGGCCAGGAGAAGCCAGGGGACTATGGTTCGGCGAAGACTGCAGACTCCGCTCCCACTCTGCCATCAAGTTCGAGGCCGTCCGGTTGAGTTTCGATGGCGCTGCCTGCGTCAGTGCAGGCCAGGGGATGCCATCCGAGACACTGGGGTCTGGGATGTCGTGGCGCCAGTCGCCGAAGCTGCGAATGTTAGTTGAAATGATACAAGCAAGAGCCAGGAGCAAGAAAAAAAAGGAAAGAAAAGTAACTTCACGCTTGCAAAAGCCAGATCAACCTACCTAGTGCTGGTCCTGGGACTACTGAACTGAGTGACCGGCGAGTGATCCTGTCTCGACTCGATGGTAGAGCGGCTCGAAGAGGGGGTGTGCGATTTCGGTTTTTGCGTTGGCTGCGGCGTATTATCCCAGTCATCCCAGGTTTCGTCCGCGTCGAGCGTGGTGGGAGCGCTGGGCTTGAGACTGTGACTGCGACTGTGTGACCCGCTGGGGGTTGAGGGGGTTCTGCGAGCGTTTGGGCGCTGCTGCCCAGAAGAAGAATCAATGCCGAATTCACTCCAGAACGACGCGTCTATGTCCGCCGACTTGGAGCTTTTACCAGTAGCTTTTGATGTTCCGGGGCTCCTGCCCGAGGATGAGCGCGACGACGCCTTGCCACTGCCTGTTTGCACGGAAAGTCGGTCTCGGCTGCGCGAGGTCGAGCTGGAGTCGCGGTTGCGAGGCTGCATTGTGCGTGATTCGGTGGCGTTGATTCCTTCGTCGCCGACAGTCGCTTGTCTGATGTCCTCCAGGAACGTCCAGAGCCCCTCTCGCAGGTCCGACGCCATCTGCTTGCCAGTCCGCATGAGGGTGTCCCGAGACGCAGGAGACCCTGGCATGGTCTTGCGCCACTGGGTGACCATGTCTTCGGTTGGCGCCGTTGGAGTGCGGACAGGAACCCGATCAACGGATGGCATGGTGGCTGATCGCGGAGGCCGGCCTACACGATCACTATCCACTTGGCTAGAGCCAGACTCGGACAGCTTGCTGCTCATCGAGCCGGTGGTGGGAGAGAGCAAGGACAAAGTTCGCGTATGAGAGCCCTGAAAGACCCGTCTACCATTCGATGACACAGATGTTCCATTTGAAGCAGCTGCAAGCAGACTCTGGCGTCGCTCCAACTCCCGGCTGAGTCGAACTTGAGGCGGGACTGTGGAGCTCACGCTGCCGCTGAAACTTGTCTCCCTACTATGTGTGCTCGCAGCGCTTGAAGTGGCAACCCTATCCGGAGACCTGAGAGGTAACATAGCCTCCGCGCGATGGTTGACTTCCGTGCGTTTCCTTGTCCTTTCTGACGTTGTCCATTGTTTCTTCAATGAGTCCAGCTCCGCTTCCGCCCGGTGTAATTCCTCGCGCAATTCCAGCACCCTCCGTTCCTGAGACGCAATTGCTGTCAACAGACTCGTGCCGTCATCTTGACCGTCGAATGGAGGGGTGGTTATAGTGTGGACGGGGGAATGTCGCGCGGCGGACGATCGAGTCACGGGTGTCATGGATCCAGACGGCGAGGCCGATGCGCTGGGATCAAAGGCTGCTGGATCGATATTGATGGGAAAGTTCAAGGTCAGGCGTTTCGTATGTCGAGCGGCACCGTGAGGACGAGGAGGGAGCGATGATCGCTTGGAGGGCATCTGCCGGGGCGAGGGTAGTAGTGGTTCATTATTCGTAGACTTGGTCGAGACCCCGATTGTTTGGGACGCTTCCGGCGTCGATGTCCGGTCCATTCCCGGGGAATTTTCCATCGCGGAACACCGACGAGGAAGCGGAAACAAATCAGGAGGATTTATCGAGGCGACAGCGGCACGATCATGGCATCCCTGCGGGCGACGGAGCAGCGGAGAATCGAAAGACGAAGCGAGTGAAGGCGAAAAGCGAAAAGACGAATGATAACAAGCGAGAAAAGAACGTGGACGTAACGAGATACGTTTGGGATGGAGCGATGGAACAGAAGAAAAGAAATCAGGAGAATTCGAAGAATAATTGCCCTCGCCGTCGCCGTCGAAGCCCAGACCGTCGTTAAATTAGTGTTGGTGCAGCCACGCGTATCCTTTCCGTTTCAGCTAGCTCAGGGGCCGATCGGCAGAACGGTGAGGCAGAGATAGCTATGTGACAACGGCGGTACTAAAATAACAATGGGGATCCATCCGGGAGATAAAAGGGTTGGATGGGCGCTGAGGAATGAGGTCGGTTGGTGGTGATTCGTGAACAACTGAGAAGCAAAGGGGTCGAGCCTCGAGGGAGCTCATGGTGACAGCTTCAGCACTGTCCACCTGGGGCTCTATCCTTCGCTTTTCGAGCCATTCCAGACAATGGTTGTTCGGCTGTACTATATATCGTGTGCTATCAAATTGCCTTCTCTGTTAACTATATATCGTGATCGAGGTCCTATCTAAATGTACAAGAATCAAATCGCAGTCCTATAAACACCAACACCAATGTATCTCACAATATAAACGGCTAGTCCAAAATGAGCAACGAAGGAAAATGGAGGTGCCCTGTCAATTAGAAACAGCGGCAGGTATTCACAAGCTCAAAGTGGAAAAAAATTTCAGGAGAACAAAACACAAAATCCACACAGAAAACCCAGTTCTGGGGATAGCACGCCAAATAGGGGCAAATTAGCTGTAGTAGTGTAGTATGGAGGGAATCCAGATAGCAGACCGCTATTGCTATTCGAGTTAAAGGCATCCTCGACTAGACGGGCGCCGGAACGAGGGTATTATACCGAGAAAGCGAGCGTAGAAAAAGCGAAGAACCGATCACTAAACGCCGGGGACCGTTTTGTACAGCAAAAAAAAAGGTCGATCAAACTCCAGGCCATCGGTTGCGAAGACCTTCGGACCATCGACCATAGAGGACATCTGATAGCTGTTTGATATGCTCCATGCCTGGAACCGACTGGGTGGGCGAGCTCGCAAGCTGTGGCTGGGGGATTGGTTCGGCCACAACTGCAGATTGCCGGCGTTTGTGGCTTTTCAGGTGTGGATTATTCTGTGCAAGAACCAGACGAGGCCTTTGTGGGGATTCGGGTGGTGGACCCTGTGGGACGAGACTTGACAGCTTGGGATCGCTGACCCAAGATCCGTTGTTAGCACACGCAGTTTGGCGCAAATCAAGGGTGCTGTGCTCACCTTAGGAGTTTCTCATTAGTGGCTCTAAGGATGTGGTATAGACCTTCGGGATCAACCATTTCCAGGTCACTCCAGGCCTCTGCAAGACGGGAAATCGCTTCTCGCTTCTCCTGGTCCCCGGTAGTCCCCAGAACCTCCTGGCAAGCGTGGCCTACCGCCTTGCTGTACGCCCGGCGGCCCAGTTGAGCTTCCTTATTGTTAGTTCCAGTGGATAGAGACTTAGGGCTCGCGTTCTCGTCTCCATTGAGTTGGTACGAGGAGAATGAGTCTTCGGTCGGCGACTTGTCAGATACACGGCGGAACTGGCGGACCGTGGAAGGACTGTTGCCAAATGTCAAATCCACTCCCAACGGCTGCTTAACCCCACTCGATCGTCGCTTCGGACGTCGTACGGAAGGACTGCGGTCAGCGGGCGGTGGAGCGCGGCGTACAGCGGTACCGTTGGCATATCTTTGCTGGGCTGATGGGCTAGAGATGCGCAGGTTTTCCATCATCTCTGCGGACTCATCATAGAGAGGGTCGTGAATGATAGATCCACAGTCTGAGACATCAGAGTCCTCTCGAATGACCATGGTGGGGGCTTTAACTGTATCAAAGACCCAACCATCATCATCCTTCAGGTGGGTAATCGTATTCCTAACAACGGTTAGCTGGGTTTCTTGACAATGTAGTTCAGTGTCGCATACAAAGACTCCGCATAGTACTTCACATTGCGCGACACACCACGCCCACCGTCCCAGTCCTGCTTGCGGTGGATGAGTTCCTGCAACGCCTCCGTTTTGCCAGCATTGCGGATGAACTTATGTCGCAAAAGTTCCTTTGCGCTAGGTCGGCGGTCCGGGTCCTTGGTCAAGCACTGAGCGATAAAGTCTTTGAAAGCGCTACTGTAGCCGTCACCCTGTAGTCGAGGAGCGGGCTCTTTGGGAATCAAGAAGAGCACCTTCATCGGATGGATGTTGGCATGCGGCGGCTCTCCATTTATCATTTCCATGGCCGTGATACCTAAAGACCAAATGTCCGCCTTGTAGTCATATCCGGATTGCTGGATTACCTCCGGGGCCATCCAGAAAGGGGTGCCGACGAACGTATTGCGTTGCGATTTGATGTTGGTCAGCTGTGCCGCGACTCCAAAGTCTCCTAGCTTCACCTTGCCGGTGTGAGAAAGAAGGACGTTGGCCGCTTTCACGTCGCGATGAATCTTTCCTTCGCTGTGCAAGTAGTCCAGGCCCTGCAACAGCTGTTGGCAGACAATAGCAACGTGCGCCTCGTTGAAAACACCCGGTTTGAGCTGCACCAACGTCAGCCAACTTCTTCTTCGCCATAACAAGCCATTATTACCAAGTCAAGGCATGATCCGCCGCCCAAATACTCCATCACAATCCACAGTTTGTGTCCTCGGAGAAAGCTCGCGTGGTACTGGGTAACGTAAGGGCTCGCGCACGTCGCCAGGACGGAGATCTCCTGCTGAATTTCTTGGATATCATCTTCGCTCGACTCGAGATCGATCTAGACAAGCATAAGGTCAATTGGGATGCAAGAATTAGCGAAAGACTCCGCAGATCTCACATGCTTGATCGCAACAATCTCCCCAGTAGACTTGTCAATTGCCTTGTACACCGTCCCAAAACTTCCACCTATGCGAACAAACGGTCAGTCAGCCAAATACAATTGATCGCATTGGTGCTGATCCACTCACTCCCGAGCTCCTCCATCATCTGGTACTGGCTCGCCATATCGTCGGCCATAGTTCGCGACATGTCTGCTAACCTCGCTCGGAGCTTGAAAGCTTGCAAGAGCTCGAAGTCGAGGCTCGAGGCTCGAAGCTCGATGGAAGTTCAGGGGTGGAGCCCAGAAAACCTGAAAAGCAAAAACAAGGCGCCCGGCGACCCGCACAGCTACCTGATTCCTGCCCAGCAAGAGGCTGTCGCGGAGCATGAACAAGCTGAAGAAACCAGCCGGGGAATGTGAGATGACGGGAGCTGGATAACTCAACTAGACTACGGCACCGGAGTAAATCGATACTCTTGATCACTGAGGGGCCGCTAGTCCATGGCATCCAATGGATAGCGACTCCGATCATCCATCGGCCGCAGCACAACAAGCCCGTAGTGCATGGCAACGGGGTAGCCTCGGCCCAGGGCTTACTAAGCACTTATGCAGGCGATATGCGACTACAAAATCAATTATCGGTCCACTTGGGAATGGTACAAAATAGATTCATGGATGGGTATGTGGCTGTTTATATGTACTTGTAAGGGTTGAGGATTCCGTTCTACTGCCAGTTAGCAACAATCACAAATGTTGATTGTCGAAACACTCACCGGATCATACAAATCCTTCAGCTGTTTCATGAGCTTGAGATTAGTGTCATTTTGGCTGTATCCAATAAACTCCTTCTTCGCAACGCCGAGACCGTGCTCGGCGCTGATGCTTCCGCTTCGCTTCTGAATCCACTCATACACCCAAGGCTCGATCGCCTTCTCGACGTCCTTGTTATACTGGCGGACGGCGATGTTGAGGTGGAGGTTTGAGTCACCCATGTGACCATACCCGACAACTGCGCGGACGGGGAACGAGTCGTCATCACCGACAAAGCCCATCTTTGTCAGGCGCTCGCGGCAGTCGTCGACCAGCTGGTACAGCTCGGGAAGGGGAATGGAAACATCGTACTTGTAGGTACCGCCGAGGTGGCTCAAGGCCTCTGTGATACCCTCTCGCCAGCGCCAGATGCTCTGAAACTGAGTCTCATCCTGGGCTAAAACACCGTCCGCGACGATACCCTCGCCCATGACGCTCTCCAAGAACGCTTCCAGCTTCTCCATGTCGTGATCAGCGTTAGACCCGCTAGTCTCAACCAAGCAGTAGAAGGGGTATTCGCCTTCTAATGGGTACTTGTTGCCCGTACTTGTGTGGACGAGCTTCTGACTGCGGCCGTCCATAAGCTCAAACGCAGAGAGAATCTCAGAAAGCTGCTTCTTAGCCTCGCCAAAGGCTTGGCGGACCTGGTCGTAGCTCTCCAGACCGAAGTAGGCAACATTGACGGCCTTTGGCCGGGGAGGGCACAGGATCGAAACACCGGTGATGATACCGATCGTACCCTCGGACCCGATGAACAGCTGCTTCATATCGTAACCGGTGTTGTTCTTGCGCAGCGTTGACAAACCATCAAAAATTGTTCCATCCGGTAACACGGCTTCAACCCCAAGAACTGTTCCGTGGAGACTGCCATACCGAAGCAGACGGAGACCGCCGGCATTGGTGGCCACGTTGCCGCCGATGTGGCACGAGCCTTTGGCACCGAGGTCAAGCGGGAAGAGGTGGTGTCGCTCGGCCAGATACTGGTCAGCAACCTCGAGGATGACACCAGCATCCACAACCAGTACACCAGAAGCCTCGTCGAATGACCGAATCTTGTTCATCCGCGAAGTGTTGATGACGATCTCGTCAAACACAGGTACGGAACCTCCGACCAAGCCCGTGTTACCACCCTGCGGAACGACGGCCAGTTTCTTCCCATTGCAATATTTCATAATCTCGCTAACCTCGTCCTTTGATTGCGGTTTCAGAACGAGCTTTGTGTGTCCACGGTACTTGCGCATCCAGTCGCCATTGAAGGGCTCGATATCGTCCGTGGCGTCGGTCGTTACACCATCAATTAGAGCTGATTCGGAGCCCAGAAGCTCCTTGAAGTACTTCACATCCTCCGCGGTAATCTCAGCGAAGTTAGGGTTCCTTTTCAGCGAAGGATAGGCGTCGCTCGTGTACTTGATCTCCTTCGTCGCTCGCAGCGCAGGTCGTTGCGAAAAGCTGCGAGTGGCCGGCACAGCGATCTGAGAAACGAGTGGCCGTCCAGTGAGGCGCGGCTTGGGCATGCGAGCCCGTCGAAGGGCGACTGCAAAGTTCCTGGTCCCGGACATAGCGATCGGTCGTTGACAGTGCCACAGCTGGATAAATGTCCGGACTTTTTTAAAGTTCACTGCTTTCGGAGTCGGCTCGGAACCAGTTGCTTAATCAGCCGCTTGCAGCGGGCCGGCATCGGCCTGAACTGATAACTTACCGATATGGCGAGGTCAAGCGAATCAGAATGCACCAATACAAAGCATAAATGTATTGGGATGTATTAGATATCCGCTTGTGGCGGATATGCTTGATTTGGGGTCTTGACCTGCCAGGAACATGAGCAGGTTAATGCCATCAATAATGCCCTTCCTAAAGATTCATTGCCAGCTTGTCATTCACATTTGGTGAGATGTTCTGGCGCCTGAAGGTCCATAACCATGCGCAGATGATCTGTTGCTGTTCAATTCCATGCAGATATGCTATGACGAGCACTGACGAGCCTTCAAGGAACAGGAGTTGCCTGCAAAGAAACACGAGTCAGACGTGAAGCTTTCGGGTTAAGCTGCTAAGATACTATAAAGCATCATGAGGATACCTGTAGGAAGCATGTGGACAAGCCATGAACTCTCTACATGGCTTGGTCTCAATGGAACCTGATCGAAAGCATCTTGTTAAACTCCGTTGAACTTGCACCATATACATTGCTGCAATGTTGGGCATGGTATACATCTAGAATCTTGGACGGAGGAGGGGGCCCGCGATATAAGGTTACGTCACTCGAGAGCCCCGCCGATGACAGAGCTCCGAGCTCCCTCATTCGAAATTCCCAAACTCTTCACTCTGCTGCCTCAACAAACACTGCGAAAATGGCGACTACAGTTCTCGTAACAGGAGCTACTGGCCTCTTGGGCCGGCAGGTCTTCGACCGATTTAAGCGCTCCGGCTGCCTCACTGTCGGCCAGGGCTTCTCGCGAGCCAACCCACCCACTATCCTCAAGTCTGACCTTGAGAAGCCGGACGATATTAAGGGACTGCTGGACGAAGCCAAGTATGTAGATTCGTTTGAATTTGGAGACTTGAACAGCTACATCCAGTGGCATTGAGTCCACAACCATTATCGTGCTAACACGTCCGGTTCTAGGCCTCAGATTGTTATCCACTGTACGCTCACTCATTTCCAAGAGACTCAGCCTCTCTGCTGAACTGGGACTGACCACTTTTCCAGGTGCTGCTAACCGGTTCCCCGATCTGTGCGATAAGAACCCCGAGCAAGCACGCCGAGTCAACGTCGACGCTACGCGCCACCTTGCAGAGTTAACAGCGGAGAGGAACATACTCCTAGTATACATATCCACGGACTATGTCTTCCCAGGCACCGAGGGAGAGGCACCATACGAGGCCGATACAGAGACGAAGCCCCCAAACCTGTACGGTGAGCTGAAGCGGGATGGCGAGCAAGTTGTGCTTGAAGCTACCAAGAAGAGTGGTATGGGTATCATTGTTCGTGTACCAGTGCTGTACGGCACCGCAAACGAAAACTCCGAGAGCGCCGTCAACACGCTAGTTGACGCCGTCTGGAAAGCTCAGGATGAGAATGCAGGCATCAAGATGGACGACTGGGCTCAGCGATACCCTACCAACACCGAGGATGTCGCGCGCGTGCTGCGCGATATTGTGATTAAGTATCTTAAGGAGCGCGGCCAAATCCTGAAGCTCCCCAAGGTTCTTCAGTTCTCATCCGAAGACAGGATGACCAAGTACGAGATATGCGAGAAATTTGCGGAGATCCTGGGCGTGTCCCTAAAGGGAATGGTCCGTAACAAGGAAGGAAATGACCCGAATGCGTCAGTACAGCGACCGTACGATACTCATCTTTCGACCAAGGCGCTGAAGGACCTGGGAATTGATGTGCAGACGGTTGGATTCGTCGATTGGTGGTGAGTACTCAATTGAGATCGGCCAGCTATTGGCTGCAGTCTGCCGGCAAGGGCTAACAAGACACAGGCGAAAACATTTGGAGACTCAGAAGAAATGAGGCGACTTCTGTGAGATGAAACTGATACATACCGGTACATAGAGAATGCAAAAAGCAAATTGCCAAGAATATAGTGAGCTGTTAACGCCTGGAAGCACGAGAGGACACGCAGTACGGAGTAAACCGTAGCATCGGAGCACAGTGGGTTAGCAGCGTATGAGAGGACTGGATTCGGATATCTGGCGTCGAGCCCAACATAATGGCGATTGTTTTAATTTCTGGATGTCTTATCGTGTCTTATCCCAGTCGATATTCCCAGCTTTTAAGCGGCGTGGTGAGAGTCGGAGACTCGGAGTCTTCCGCCTGCGCCAATCGTGTCAATCACTGGACGATCAGGAGAGATCAATCTGATCCAGCCTCCAGGACCAGGACCAGGATGCAAATGAAGTCATGCAGGAACACGCAGTTTTCCGTTATTAATTGAATCGGCGTGCTTTGATAGCGCGACACTTGGAGAGCCTAGGCGGCGGAATCGAATTCCATCCCCCAATGATCGCCCGCAGTGTGTCCCATCTCTCCCCGTTCTTCCCCCAAGTCTCCCACCAAGAATCTGGAAGCCTGATTCCCAGCCCTATTCCAAGTTATTTGGACTGCGATGCGATCATAGCTGGAGAGCTGGCAATCACTAGGATCACCGGCGTCCCTTTCATTTCGTCGGAGCGCCCCTTGCCTGGAGCAGGTGGTTCGCACTGCAGGTCCACCAAGTCGCTCGGCGTCGTCGCAAAGCGAGTCCCTGACTTAAATCTCCGCTATACCCAGGCGCCTAGTTGCGATTGCAATCGACTTTCTCGTTTTTGCTTTTTGTGCCCGCGATTCGCCTTTGTCTATTTCTGGATTGGAATCAGACCATGGACTGGTTATAACGATCAAACGTTTGTGAAACATTTCTGCAGGCTATAGGGGGAACTGGCTGCCAGTGCCTCTTTGTCTATTTCACATTTCCTTCTTCCTCTCACTCCTTAAACAGACTGTATCTGCACCTGCGATTTGTTTGCTTCGGATGCATGGCTCGGCTGTGCAGTGCTCTCGAGTTGACTACAGCCTACACCTACGGATCGCAAACGGAGAGCCGAAGCCGCATGCGACGGTCACGCGAACACTAGTCCCTCCTCTCGTATTCCTTTCTATATCGCTCTCCACGCCGACTCGCCTTGACAATCCTGCGACGGATAAAACGAAAAATGGCTACCGAGACTCAGGACTACACTGGAGTTGGAGGGCAGGGCCCGACACCCGCCAAGTTCTCACGATATCGCTCCGTGCGAAAGGCAGCGTCTAGTAATGCGCAGGGAATGGCTCCGTTGAACACCGCAATTACGCCAGTGCCAACCCGCCCCAGCGCATCGATGTCAGCGTCGCAAGACAATCTGGAGTTCGCTAGCTGTCAGCAAACTACAATCAAGAAAAGCATGTCGCGCTATCGCCGTCAGAAGCCTTCGACGCCCAATTTAACGGATGCTCCGCCCCTTCCAATGACCACCGAACAATACGCAGTGCCTCGAACACAACCCACGACAGACGCCTACGACGACTATGCTCCGCGGCGCCCTTCCACCAAGGACTCGCATAGTGTGGATGCGACCAAGCCACGGGGAAGATTAATGGGTGCGATGCGGTTAGATACACATGGGAAGGGGTTATTTGGAGGGAACGGCAATACCTCAAGCGACACAGAGCAGGATGAGCGGGAGAGAGATAGGCAGGCGGCTATGGCAAGTCTGACGGGTGAAACGCCCGTTGCGCCTTCAGGCTACCAGCGACCAGCCACCAGGGGGCGAGCGGCCACTGATCGCGAGGTTCCCCGCGTGACTGACAAGCGATACCAAGTTGACAGCGCCGAAGGACGACGCCATTCGCTCAACGAGCCGAAACGGAAATCATTCAAGGATGCGATGAAGTTTCCGCGCTCAAAAGAGAGGAAGAGGAACGGCCCGTCTGTAGATGCTGGTGCCGAAACCAATGCGCCTACGCTGTTCCCTGGAATTGATGCGCCTGTATCCGCTGTCAATGCTGGTGAGCGGAGAGTACTGGTGCAGTATAAGAAGGAATGTTTGAAGCTCAGCGTCAGCCCATCAACTTCAGCGTATGACTTACTAGTCTCTGCGTCTCGGAAGGTATCCGAGATCGATCCTCCTCGCTTTATTCTCATGGAGTCCTTCACTGCACAAGGGTTAGAGCGTCCTTTACGGCAGTATGAGTGTATTCGAGATGTCATGAATTCATGGGCGCACGACACGGAAAATACCTTGATCATCGTCCCAGCCCCGAGTGTCTATGCACTTGACTTTCTCGCCGCTCCCAATGTACCGACAAACCCGCCAATGGACGCAACTTTTCATATTTACTATTCTCAAAAACCACGGAAATGGGACAAGCGCTACTTGACTATCCGATCCGATGGGCAGATTGTTCTGTCCAAGAAGGAGATGACGAAAGAGCAGACCAACGTTTGCCATCTTTCAGACTTCGACATCTATTCCCCTACACCAGGCTTCCTGTCTCAGAAAGTGAAACCTCCAAAGAAGATCTGCTACGCCATCAAGAGCCAGCAGAAAGCGAGCATGTTCCTGACAACCGAGAACTTCATCCACTTTTTCGCGACGAACGACAAATCAATCGCCGATGGCTGGTATAGAGCTGTCCAGACATGGCGCAGTTGGTATCTGGTCAACAAACTAGGAGCTGGCCAGGCCGAGGACGAACCGGTGCCAGTTGAACCCGCCCAGATCCGCTCATTCAAACCCCTCCTAGCATCCATCGACACCAGCATCGAGGAAGAGAGCTCCACTGAGCGCCCACAAGCGCGCCAAACATCCGCACGAAGGGGATCATCGCGCGAGCACGGCCCGCCCCCATCATCCTTCCCCAAATCGCTAGCAGCCGTCCCAGACCCCGAGCCAGCAACAACCCAGTCACCAGAAGAATCACCCTTCTCCGCTGGCGGCCTCCTAGGCCGGACGTACACGCTGCGCCAGAAGGCCATGAAAGAACGCGAAGACCGCGAGAAGCGCGAGGCTGAAGTCCTCTTCAACCAGGGCCTCGTCGGATCCGCCACCACCACTGTCCCTGCCTCGTCTGCTGTACCTCGCCAGACGCGGTCAGGACCAGCAAGCCGCACGAACAGCATCACCTCTGCCCAACATCAACCCGAGATCGACTCTCTACTCAAGCGCTCGCACTCAATCAAACAAGGCGCTGGACCACAAGGCAAGCCCCTCGTCGACCTCACGCCCGTCTACCAAGAACCCCCGCAACATTCCCGCAAAGGCCGAGGCGTCGCAGTCGACACAGGCGGCCCCCTAATCGACGCCGCCACAGGTCTGAGCAATGAACTAGCAGGCGGCATCGCGATCCCACCTGCAAAGACCTGGCGTCGACCAACACTCACTGGACCTGGCCCGACTCTCCCAACGCCGCCTCCAGAGCCGCAGTCTGGCACGGGCGAAGTGCGCTCCCGCAACCGCTCCCGCTCGAATACGGCGCGCAGTCGACACCACAATGCCGCCGGTAGTCCGGCCTCGCCCGCCTCGCCACCTGATCTAGCGTCTCCTCTTCAGGAACAGGCTTTCGTCCCGAATAGTCTTCTTGCCCGCTCGGGGACAATGACGGCGGCTACGGGGGTACCGATTGGGCATGGTGTTGCGACGGGAGACCGCAATGCGACGAAGCCGATGCTGGATGTGACGCCGCAGAGTCCGTTTGCCGAGGGGAGTCTGTTGCGTGGATTGTAGAAAAGCGCTGGATTGAGCAGGATGATTTTTCTTTACCGTACTTACCACTTGACGATTATGATGACCTATGTGTGATTTTACGAACCTGTTTCCTTTTCTTTTTTCTTTTCCTTTTCCTTCTTTTTGTTGATTTTACAGCCTTATATAGCTAGCTTTTCTAGTTCTTATCTAGCGCTCATGCATTCGCTTATACCCTTCATTGTGCGTAAAGGTATATTCTTGCTCTCTGTGTGTGTATCAGGGCAGTGCGCCCAGGCGCAGAATTCGGTCTGTATCCGATTGTACCCAGCAGGTTGTCAGGCTCGGGCCCGTGGACAGGTCTTATATCCCGCCCGAAAGACCATACCTCAAACATTCATCGTGCACACAGTGGGGTTCGACGCCCCTAACAGCGTGCAGAAGGACTGGTTCATAGTCAGTCAGAATATGTGGAATGCTGCTACGCCGTAAGGTAAGCAGGAACAAAACAAGGTACAGGGCGCCCCCCTCCTATTTCAAGGTGGCCGCGCCCCGATTCCAGCTCATCTCATTCGGACGAGTTTCGTTTCAAAGACCCTATGATGAAGTCGAGGCGCCATTGCGCTGCCAGTCTCAGTGAGCTGATTGCAGAGCCAAAAAAAAAAAAAATAAGCTTAGACTCCGCATTTGCATTTGCAATGCGTCGTGTCAATCCAACACTGAAATTTACGGACCCGGTCCGTGATGTAGGCGAAAGTCAACGCCCTTTGTTGGGCACAGCGAGTGCAGCTCAGCTGTCATGCTGGTGATCTCGGGTTTGAGCGGCAGCTGCTCCTCGCCTGGGGTTGTTGCCCATCCCCCGGAGCGGAAAGAACCCCTGAATTCAAGCTTAGACAACTTCGAAAACGCTGTTTCGTCCTTTTGGTGCACGACATCCGTTGCCTGCTCTGTTATTCCGTACAGTACCTCGATATGATTGTAAAAGGACAAGTCTCCCACGGTGAGCTCCTGCAGTGAAGCGGGCAGGACATCCATGATATGGTTTACGGCCTCGTATTTCCTTTCATCCTCATCGTATTTCCAGTTGATGATGTTGTAGACTGAAAGATCAAGCTTTTTAAGGGCGTTAAAGTCCTTCAAAGAACCAAAAAATGCCTCAGTATGTGGGCCATAGTGCCTTAGACTGAAACTGTTGTAACCAAGCACTAGGTTTTGGAGAGTGGTTTTGTGTCTGCAGAGATGCTTATGGAGGGCCGGAGGGTTGAAAGGCATTGGCCCATACTCGTCGCCGAACTCATCATACCCGTAATGCCCATTGACGCTTTCATCTGAATGAGTGTAGACGAACGACTCGAGTCCCGCACACGCCCTGATCAAGTCACGAAATCCGCTCCCTGAACTGCTGTTGAAGAAGTTTATATGCGTGACATTTGAGAAACCCAGCCTTTTCTGGCCGACTTTCTTCTTTTCGTATTCGTCACTTCCGTCCGTAATGACTTCGCCAGTGAAGTTGCGTAGAGAAGGGATCCGGAAGAACGGCAACAATTTTTCTGCTTCAATGCCTGCACCAATCCCCTCCTGATCATCCCACCGCACAATACTCACCCGCTTGAGTCGGGATAGAGCCATTTCCGCGCTGAACGGCTTCTTCATCTGCGATGCCCGTCCCACCATCATTGATGTATAACTTAGCGCACCGCTGTAAACCTCGACCTCGAGCTCCTCAAGATTAGGCAGGAATGGCAACAGAAGCGCTAGCCAGGGATCTTCCCATAGTCCTCTTTGCAAGTGCGCTTTCCAGAGGGATGCCTCTCTTTCTGACTCTGCCATCTCCTTCACGACGGGAGAGATCGTGTCAGGCTCATACCGAACTGTCCAGCCCCCGTGCCGGCTATAGACTCCAGACCGAATAGATAAGGAACGGACATGCTGAGCCAGTTTGGGTTTTGGAATCAGCAAGTTGGTTAGACGGCTGAGGGAGCGGACGCCATTGTGTCTCAGCTTCGGGGATCTAAAGATTGTGGGTTGGAGGAGAGATTGCAATAAGCGGCAGCAACGGGCGAGATTGATGGTGTCTCGCTGTGCTTCAATATAGCCAGCGATAAGCAGCAGGATCTCCCTGGGGAGAGTTGAGAGCATCGTGATTGCCAGAAAGAAAGAGGAAGGAAGGGGATGAAGTTTGCGTGGGAAAGTGCAGTGGATTGTGGCTGCCTCAGGCAGGTTCAGGCAGGAACATTGAACAATACAATGAGCTGCCCTAGACCCAGCACCTACCAATCATATATGATTGTAGAGAGACAAGCTTTTATGCACTGGAAGCCACGTCGGTTTCCTTTTTAATTCGTGGAGCGAGACAAATGCCGCAATAAGCAGTTCTTCGGCCGATGATACTGCGATGGGTTAATATTCACTGGTATCTACCGCTATATCAGTAGGCACTAGGCACTCTTACCATATTCCAACACCATGGGACAGTTCTAAGGAACTGGTTGCTAATCAAGTACTATCAACGCTGCTCCAGACCAGAAGATAACCAAATACGTAGCTGAGGGGAAAGGCTGAATCATGGGCCGTGGCCTGACACCTCAGTTAGTTAGCACGACTCCAATGACCCACTGCGCTATGTACCATGGGGGCTGAAAGACATTCAGCTGAAGAGTCAAGCAAGAGCTAGAAGATTATCCAAAGACGTCTGATTGGAACCGGATACCTCGGAACTTGGAAAGAGGATACTTACTGCTGGCACTATGCTCTGGGGCTGATGGGCGGTTTTAGTCCATTGGCTGCGTTGCAGATCAGTTGCTGCTCAATGGCCTTGTTCACTGCCATGCTATGAATCAAGGCATTTAGCTTAAATACCTAGACCATTGTCCCGGAGCGTACCAACTTTCCCTTCTAAATCCCAAGAACCGCCATAATGCAACCGCCTCTCCCATCCCTCACGAAGACATGGCACAACGACACCTACGCTGCCATTTCCCCCACACGTCCTGAGCTCAGTGCCGCTGGAAAGACAGTGATCATAACTGGTGGTGTATGCTCGCCATCCCTTCGCATTCTCCCTTCCACTGTGCTGCCATACTGAGTATCCATAGGGCAGCGGCATCGGCCGCGCAACAGCCCACTCATTTGCCCGCGCCGGCGCAAAGAGAATAATCCTACTAGGCCGGACAGAGTCAAAGCTGCGCGAGACCGAGCAACAGCTGTCGTCTGTCGCCTCTGAGGTGGCGGTGGAAGTATACCCGACCAGCGTGACAGACGAGACCACCCTCCGAACCATCGCAAAGCAAGTGGGAACATGGGACATCCTCATCCTGGGCGCTGGGTACGCTCCTGCCCCGGTAAACATCCAGGATGCAGATGTCGATGAGTGGTGGGGTGTCTTCGAGGCGCGTATACCGACCTCCCGACCTCCCTTCCTGCAAGTGCTAATGTTGAATGTGCGTGTAGACAAACACGAAAGGCCCGATGGTGACATCCAAGTCATTCCTCCCTACCGCAAACCACAAGCATTCCGCCATAATCTCGCTCACGAGCGGACCCCTTGTCCTCCCGCCCGCCGCAATGCCCGGCCTCTCCTCGTACTTTGCGTCGAAGCTAGCCGGTATCAAAGTCCTTGAGTTTATCGGCGCTTCGAACCCGAATGTCTTCACGGCGAGTCTGCATCCTGGCTGCGTGGAGACGGAGAATTTCCATAGGTCTGGAGCGACAAGAGAGACGGTTCCTGTTGATACGCGTGAGTACCCTAGCATCCTGTCAGATGTATTTTGAGTTGGCTTGACTAATTGGTCGTAGCGGAGCTCTCCGCAGACTTCACTGTCTGGCTCGCGAGTCGCGAGGCATCATTCCTGAATGGGCGCCAGGTGTGGGTGAATTGGGATGTGGAGGAGCTGAAGGGGAAAACGGAGGAGATTCAGTCCGGACTGCTGCTGACGGCGGGTGTTTACGGGTGGCCGTATGCGCCATAAGCTGTGAAGGTTCAGGAGAAGAAGCTTATCAAGCACACGGAAACGAGAAGAAGGGGCTGCGGAACACACGTCCGCAACAAGAATTGGTAATGCAGGCAACAAGAATTGGTAATCAAGACAGCAGGCCGGGGTACAAATACCAGCCTGATCGCTCTTTCCTCCTCCTCTTCTTCTTCTCTTCTCCAACCACCTAGTTGCCATCTATTTGTCTTTTAGCTCTATAGAGATATCTGCCATTTAGTGTCATTTAGGTGTGTTACCGTGGCCATCAGTTGTCTGCCATCCACTATCGGCAGACAGCCTGGTCTATCTTTTTCCAATGGATCTCTATAGATCCACCTACCTCTTCTCAGAGTGCCGATAAGAGTAGTACCACCCTTCCCTCTTTATATCCATCCGTACCTTGTAGTTCTCCTCGGCAATGCGGACAAGATCCATGTTCATGTCTGTAACTAATACACCCTCCTCGTTGCCCATCTTCGCGATGGGCCCGACGACGGGAAGAACAACCCGCGACATTCCGAGGAACTGCTCTTCTCCGGAGACGTTGGCGAAGATGATGCCGCAGGTGTTCTCGAAACACCGCGCTGTTAGCACGGAGTCGAGGAAGAGCGCTTCGGAGTTCGGGTTGTGGTTTAGTGCGTCTGGGTTCGCGTCGTAGCGGCCCCCTGGTTATTATTCAGCATATTTTCCCAACTCGCGAAGGGAGTATTGGGAGCGTACAATAAGTAGGCACAATCACGATCTCCGCCCCAGCTGCAATCAGCTCTCGGAATGCCTCGGGGAAGGCAACGTCCCAGCAAATCAATAATCCGACCTTCCCAATCGGCGTATCAAAGACTTCATGTTTTTCCATGCCCGAAGAAGTCAGATACTCCCGCTCGGGATGCCAGATGTTCTTCTTCCTGTACCGGCCGAGGATGGCGCCGGTGTTGGAGATGAAATAGGCCGTGTTGTAGAGAACGTAAGCATCTCTATCACCGTCTTGATCTTCGGAAGATAGCGAAGAGTCCGGATGAGGATGCTTCTCTACTAGTGTCCCCGGAACAATGCAGATGCTCAGCTCTTTGGCGAGGGCTTGGTATGCCTCGAGGTACTTTGTTGTTTGGGAGGCTTGCTCGGCGAAGAAGGGATCTTCGGGGGCCCAGCCGAAGAGGTGGTATCTTTTTTTTGTCAGTGTGCTGATCTCTATTGTTTGGGATGAAGTTGTACTCAGGTAGAACGGCCAGTTCCGCGCCCTGTGCGGCGGCAGAGCGGATGTACTCGCATGCCGTGGAATGGTTCTGTTCCACAGCAAGGTTCTAGAGCGGTTAGCGCCAGAACTTATAGAGTAGATGGCGCAAGGTACCTTGATCGACCACTGGATAACGGCAACGCGGGGCATAATGGCGAGATATGTATGAGTGTAGTTGTCGGACCAAGTGGCGGGACGGAAGCCGGAAGGTTGGGCCTCGGCTAATCTCGGCGGGGCGGGGCGGATATCCGATGTATAGGAGGCAGGTATTCTCCGCATTCTTTTTTACTATCTTATTTTTTCAATCTGACCATGCTCGGCAACTCCGCTCAGTTCCGAGCACTCACTCGTTCTATTAACTTGTTCCGCAAACACATGTCCCATTTCCGGGTCATTGAGCATACAGTCCGGGCCCATCATATCCGAGAGCGCCTGGGCGCTGTCAAACCGGGCCATGAAAACGAGCTGAGACTAGCCGTGAAGCAGTATATTCCGCTTGACAATCCAGATCCGAAAGATGGTGATGTCACCATTATCGGGACACATGCGAATGGCTTCCCGAAAGAACTTTATGAGCCTCTCTGGGAGGATTTGTATCAGCGGCTGCAGAGCCATAATCGCCGAATAAGGTCAATCTGGATCGCAGATGTCGCACAGCAGGGGCAAAGTGGAGTGTTGAATGAGACAATCCTCGGGGACGATCGTGAGTTCCCTCCCTCCTTCCCAGACAGTCAATTCTGACCGGCAGCTAGCCGACTGGCACGACCACGCTCGTGACCTCTTTTCCATGATCAACCATTTCCAAGATCAGATCCCGCAACCTGTCGTAGGGGTCGGACACAGCATGGGAGCAATGCAACTAGCGCATTTGTCCCTAATGCATCCAACCCTATTCAGCGCATTGGTGTTGGTCGACCCCACAATCCAGCGTTCAAACCCGGGGACGAAATTCGCGCAGGCTTCCACGTACAGGCGAGACATATGGCCGTCTCGCGCGGAGGCTGTGGAGAAGTTCAAGACAAGTCCGTTCTATCAAGCATGGGATGAGAGGGTCTTTGAGAAGTGGACGCAGTATGGCCTTCGCGAACTCCCGACGACGCTGTATCCTGTAACGGAGCAGAACGGACCGAACGCCGTGACTTTGACGACGACGAAGGCTCAAGAACTGTTTTATTATGTCCGTCCCTCGTATATTGACGAGCGCTCTGGCCTTGCACTTGGGAATCCCAAGGAGGATATGCACCCCGACGATATCGACGAAGACAGTCCCTCCTATCGCCCTGAGCCGGCACTGATGTTCCGTCGATTACCGGATCTCAAGCCCCCAGTCTTGTATCTCTTCGGCGAAAAGTCTGAGCTTTCAACTCCAGATGCGCGGAGGGAGAAGATGGAGAGCACGGGGACGGGTGTCTGTGGGAGCGGTGGTGTAAAGGCTGGTGCTGTGGAAGAGTTTGTTCTGCCGGCTGGCCATCTGGTTCCGATGGAGCTTGTGCGGGAGAGCGCAGATGCCGCTGGAGACTTTATTCACTCGAGGGTTGCTGAGTGGCAGAGAAAGGTGAGGAAGCATCGAGAGGCATGGAAGGGCGTTCCACATGAAGAGAGGATTCGGGTCGACGAGCAGTGGGAGAAACATATCGGGGGTTCTAAACGGTCCAAGCTCTGAGTCTCGGACGGCTCTGCAGGTTAAAGTGATAAATAGAGAAGACCAGAATAGACGGGGGAGCATATTAGAGAAGTGCCAGGGTGGCATTTCAGCAAGAACCGCCGGGCTATTTGACGCCTGGGTCCTGGAAAAAGGGGCGGCCTTTATGTGTAGAGAGCCATGGACTACCATTAGTCGCCCAGGCAAGGTTCAATAAAGTAACCGGATAGTACTCTTTCTGCCTGGGAGATCCATAGGATCATGCAATGTAGGCAGAGGCAATGGAGGTGCCTGGCATGCATTCAGGGGAAGCGCAGTGTGGCCAAAGTCCTGAGCCAGGCAGATAGGAAAGGAGCTGGTCGTGATCTGCGGTCTCAACTGGAGTGGATGACGAACAATGAGAGTTAACACACCGGATAGCTGATTGCTTGATTGACAAGCTGGGAGGATCGTTTGCTTAGTCGCAGGGCAACCCACGTTTATATGATTCTGTCTTTGCAGGCAAGGCCATGGAATGATGCGCCGCCTCTTGGCTTCACCTCTCGAATTGACAGCTTGGTAAATGGAACTTGTCCTTGCCTCGTTAGGTCGCGAACCGAGAAATCTTCTCGGTTTCTTTCTCAAGGCCGCGCCCAATGCAGGGGGGATGTGCATGATGACAGGAGGCTACATCCAGATTGGGGCCTGTAGCAGTGATTTTGGGTTGGTGCTTGCATCTGCCGTAACGGAAGAGAACATGCCAATGGCAAGTTGGCCAGCGACGTGCAGCAAAACAGGGTTCATAGCGATGAAGAATCCAAGCCGACCAGTTGCTCTGGGCCTCGCTTTGTACCACGGTCAAGGTATGTTCCAGATGTTGGATCTGATGTGCTGGGCAGACCTTTCCTCTGGGTTCCCTCGGTCCATGCCTGTACTACAACGAAGCTCAGGTCTTCCAACTACAGCTGTGTACAGAGCCTGCAGCCAAGAGCAGGGGAATTTTCACATAGTATCTTACTCAACTCTGGGACAGAGACCGTGATCTCAACAGTATCCATCCTCCATAGTTTCGGGATCATCTCCATCTGTGCCTCACTTTTCTGAGCAAGACCAAGCAGACGATGCTCCAATCCGTTTCTGCACAGGAAAAGGAATTCAGATGGTTCTGATTCAAAGGGTATTCTTTTCGGAGGACACGGTCTGTTTGATGTGCCTGCAACAGCCCAAGCTCCCCATGTCCGAGTAGCAACCTCCCTTGCTGCAGCCCATACAGGGTGGTTAACGAAACAGGCGGACTCTGTGTGCTGACTTCGACCCATCCCTCTCCGATTCCGATGGCCAACGGTCACAACGCAACCTCCGCTACCATTATCGTTGGCATCCCACACTTCCATCATAACACTCGAAGCAACCGAGTTTCCGACTACCCCAGCGGCTTATGTACTCCACACAGCCATCCACCGGAAGTGGTAGGCGAGGAAAACACGAAGCTTCCGGGCTCGCCGACGCAACAAAAATATGAATGCCGAGGTTATACCAAATTCCACAGTCGTCGGTATGTCGAGTGGAGGACACAGAGTGGAACGGAAAATCATCAGCATGCTCAGACACGCAAACGGCAAACACCCCGCCGCCGGGGAGGTCGCCGGCGGCTCCTTCCCCGGTTCCACTGGCCCTGGATGAAACCGTTCGGCATTCACCCATCTTTTGTCAAAGAAAGAGTGCAGTGGTGCACTGAGGGCTTCCTGCCAATGGAATATCCTTCTTCATTGACGGTCGGCATATCAATGTGGCTGGCCTGAAAAATCGCGCTTGACACCGGCTGATCTTTTCCAGTCCGCGTCTCTTCTTGGATACTACATAGAGTTGGGCCAACAGAGTCTTTTTGAAAGACCAGGGTCAGAGAAGGTCTTTTCGCTATCCTGGATTGAAATTTCCGCCGGACTCATCCCGTTGCAAAGACCGAAAGCACGATGGCCGCCCGAGGCAACGCGATACAATGGCAACACAACACAATTCGAATCCAGCGCTGTCAAATGCTCACCAATGGCCACGCCACGCCTCCAACGGCAAAAATATGATAGGGCTCGCATCCCCTTAAGCCAGGACGACACAGAGGGGCGGATACCTGGCGCCTGACTGGTCACGGTATCAATGCCGCCTCTGTTGGACGGCGAAAACACACACGCTGTTCGCGACTAACTAACGCTTGCGACATGATTCTCTACGAGGGGGGCGCTCATGTGGTTGACAACGCTGGCTCGAGCTAAGATGTCCTTCTTTTGGAACAGTCTCTCATTTGAGTCAAAATTTGCATTCAATCTATTCTATCATAAGTCAATAAATCAGTCGTCCGATGCCGCACCAGTCTGTTAGATACACGACTAATGCAATTGCATACTGCATCGTTGCCGTGCGCTGCTAATTTATACATCGTTATTAGCACAAGACCATGCCGACGAACCCCCGCTCGCGTTGTACGAATCAATGATGCTGACAATCGATCCGTACGTCCCGGCAATAGTCAAGAAACAGCCGGCCAAGATCATAAAGAAGCTCCACCCTGCCTTGAGCCACCAGCTCAGTGGCTTTCCAGCTGTTCCAGAGCCCCAGTTATCATATAACCACATGCAACCAAAAGGCTGGAAGCAGATCGGGGTTCCAAAGAGGGCACCGACGAACGAGACAAGACTACTGAAGACGGGAATGGCGCTGGCAATGATGTAGGCGACCAGCGAGACGGCAAACGTTGATCCGAGCCAGGCTACCCAGTGGATTAGGGTATGGGCTGTGAGGTGTTTCGAGCCGCGGAGCATGCGGACGAAAATTTGTTTAGCGGGTAACTGCGGAATGGTCAGTGACTGAAAGTGGAGTTCGTCGAGAAAACTTACATGGAGCAGGAAGACCATCGAAACAATCAGGCCGGGCAGGGCTATACCGTAACAGACCTTCTTGATCACGGCTCCTGCCGAGCCCAGTGCCGGCGACGCAACATGGGAGCCGCAGTAATAGTATACGACCGTTCCGCACACCACATAGATGACCGTGATGATGGTCTGGGAGACCGCCAAGGACCGAGTGTACAGTCTGGGGTCCCTCATCTCAGCAGCGATGTGGAAAAACGCCGGCGTTCCGGCATAGCTTAGGCAAACGGTCGAGACGGCAGCCATGGCATCGGCAAAGCTAGGGTTGCCGAACAGTTTATAATCGGCCTCGGGTATGACGCCGTCGACTGCGGGAGGGTGGCCCTGGACTCCAACGGCAATGGTAACGGTCGATACTGAGACCAGTCAGAAGAGAGCGCTACAGACGGCCTTCCTTAAAGACTCACCCGCGACAATGATGCATCCGGTACCTATCCAAGCAAGCAAACTCATCTTTGCCATCGTCTGGATACTCGAAAACGCGAACCCGAGCGCGGCGGCAATAATCACATAGATGGCCGTGCAGATTGCATGGTTTGAGAGGGCATTGAGAGCAATCGAGATACTCAGCATACCGGAACCGCCCACAAAGATCCAGACTGGCGCTATTAGAAGGGGACTTGTCTCAAGATAGGTCTGACTTACACAAGGCATACGCAGCGCCCAGCACTTCGAAGCCAACACGGCCGAATATCTTCCTCCCAACATCATCGATCCCGTACACCTCCGGGTGACGCATTTTGAAGACCCCCACCATCCAGTTCGACCAGCAGGTCATGCCGGAAATGGCAAGCACGATCAGAATCCCCGGTATGATCCCCAGAGTATCAAAAACCTGGGGAATGGACAGAACCCCCAGACCCATCTGGGCTTTCATCATGAGAACCGTGGTCCCCTTCCAGCCAACCTGAGCATATCACGATTAGGCCGGTCTTGTCCGAGAAACCCTGATTGAGACAGACTTACATCACGGTAGTTGACGCCGCCCTCTTGGATCTCACCAAAGACGGCATCTTCCAAAATAGGAGGCTTTCCGATATTGTCGTCCGGCATTTCCTTCTCCATTGTGCAAGACCAGAATCCGAATTCCAGAGACAGAAAGAGATTCCGGCCGATAGCGGGCTGAGATATGAAAAACTCGTCCCGATCACCGGCCCGGGTACTGTGGGCAGCGCTGGGGACATGCCCCGTAGTATTGCCAGATGAGGCAAAGTCGGCTCCATTCCCAAGCCGTGGGTCCGGCACCGGCAAAACCCCGGATGTTCCTGATCGTCACTCGCCAGCAGATAGATAAGCGTTATTATGACATCTACTTACACTAAGCGCCTGGTCGGGACATCGAGTGTAGCTGAACATGAGAAGCACCAGGTAGGACTGATACTGCAGCGGAGGCTATCTCCACGTCAGTTACGGTGAAAGAAACAGAGCGAGCTGCCATCTCCATTGCAGCTGGGAGCACAGCCCCGTCTGGCGGGGAGAGTTTGCCACCGTATATGACGCATAAGCCGTGTGCATGATTGTCTTCATTTCATGACGTTTGGGTTGATCAAGGTATACGGAGACGGTGATGAACGTAAGTGAGCACAACCTCGATTCAGAAGCCCTTAGATGCAGCCGGAGAGCATGAAAATAGAAACATCAGGATCATTAAGGTTTGGCTTCGCTCCTTTCTTAGCTCGAAACTTCATCGTCCCCAACAGGTCGAACTGGTAGAGCTAGATGGGCTATGTTTGTGACTGCCTCGATGTTGAGGATTGAGATCGACACATTTTCCTAAATAATATATAATGGCTTCGACGACAACTAGGGGAAAGGAAGAAGTAAGGCAAACCCCGAAAACCAGGAAGCCTTGGAGAATTGCCTTAACCACCTAAGCACTTTACGACGGATTATTATCCGTATGACACCGCCACATATGCTCCTTCAAAACCTCTCCTATTAAATGCTTTCCGCCGCATGTAGGCGCGGAGCACTTGTATGATGATGGTGCAATATGCCTCGTTCCCACATGGCGCCTTATATCGTGGATGCGAGCGAATCAGCCGCCGTAGGTGCAGTCGGCCCATTTGCATCTCAGGATATGGAGGCTTGGTTTGTTACGACGGTTAGTTTAACGCACCCACGGGCATCGAAGTCAGAAGTTGGTGCTGGCTTCGGAGGGCCGATGATAGATCTCCTTAATACGGACCTCGTTCACGGGGCTATTTTCAATAACAGGGACAAATAATGGAGTCTTGGAATTGGAATTGGAATTGGTATTGGTTGCGTGGGTAGTCTAGGTGCAGGTGGCATGTCGAGACTCCGAGAGGGCTGGGTCGCTGCGCCCATTGCCCTTGGCCTTGGCCGGAGATCATATAGCGATTAGCCATGTGGATGGCTGGGGCTGCGTTGAATGGTGACTTGATGGATTTGGAGAGCGCTTGAGTTGAACAGGCGGCTATCGAAGAAGACTGCTCTGCAAGATGAGTGCCCGGATGGTTGTACGGCGGGGTGGCTATGGTGTAATCGTCGCTCTTGTATATGGAGAACGAGACGTAAAGGGGTCGGGGAGTATAGAGCACCGCCTACCCCAGTGCTTGAAAGGTGGAGATAACGCGAGATCCTGTTGTAAGGAGGAAACCACGACGTGATTCTGCAAACGACAGCCTGGGCAGAGTAGCCAAGGGCAGACAGGAGCTTGGAATGACAGAGCGAAACATTTCGAGTGAAGGCCGAATCTGACGGGCTTACATAGCATGACAGGAGTGCTCATCAGCCGTTGCTTCTCTATGCTGTAATGGCCTTTGGGCCATGCCTAGGCTACTAGGCGTTGTTTCGTCGATCCGTAGACCCCATCATATGAGGGTTTCGGAACTCCCCATATCCTTCTTCAAGTTCCTTCGGGGCTTGCCATCCCCCCTTCATCGAACTATGTCATGGCCTGAAATGTATCAAATGGGCTTCTTCTGCGCTCGGCCGACCAATTAACAAACAACATTCACCAAATTCCCCTCAACGAACCCCTCGACCCCCTCAACTAGCAAATCCTGTAGGTTCCGTATCGTCGTCTCGGAGAACCACGCAACATGCGGCGAAAGCGTCAGACTCGGCACTCCCTCCTCAAGCAGAACAGACTGCCCTCTGACCGGCGGCTCCCCATCAAAAACATCCGTCGCGGCACCGGCAATCCAGCCCTCTCTCAGCGCTTTAACAAGAGCAGCCTCATCGACAATCCCCCCTCTTGCGACATTAATCACCAGTGCATCCTTCCTCATGCTCTCCAACTCCTCCCCACCAATAAGCCCAATCGTTTCCGCGCTCTTCGCGACCGTGACCATAACGACCGTCGCATGCGCTATGGCAACCTCAAACGGCACCCGTCCCTCACGGACATCAGTCCCCATAGCGCCCTTCCGCTCCGCAATGAGAACCTGCATCCCGAGCGCGCGAAGGACACTCTCGATCCGCTTCCCTAACGCCCCATACCCAACAACCGCCACTACCTCCTGCAGCGTCGTATGCGGCGGCCCATTCGGGAACCGCTGAACGAGCGTCCGTCTCTCCGCATACTCGTCACTCGACACCGTGATATTATGTAATTCCACGATTTTCCTTCGAGCCGCAAAGTATAGTGCGAGGGCGTGCTCGGCAACCGTGCTCACGTTCGCGCCGGGACAGTTCACCACTTTCACCCGGCGTTCTTGGAAAGCGGGGATATCAACCCATTCGACGCCCGTTGCCATCACGACGACGCACTGGAGTTTCGGGCATGCGGCGAGAATCTCGGGTGTGATGGGGACGAGCGTAGTGATTGCAATCGTGGCATCGTGGAGGCGGGATGTTATTTCGGGCGTTGAGAGCGATGTCGAGGCGTAGCCGGTGTAGGTGTGCGGGAAGGAGAAGGTGGGGACTGCGCAGTGGCATTCTTCGAGGCAGACGATGTGGTGCGGTGGGCTTGTGCTTGTAGTATCGTTTCCAGTTTCCGTCCCTTTAGAGAATGTCATCTTGGAGGATGAGGTTCGAGAGGATGAAGAGGGAGGTGGTGTTAAGAGTTGGAGATGTGTTTGGCCGCTTGGCGGCTGCCCCTGGTTTGCCTAAGGTAAGCTTATCGGGTGGGGTTCTGCTTGATTGGTGGTGCGCTCCACTGGCCCCGGCCCGGGTTCTAGATTGATGTCAGTGACAGCCACATTCCATAGATACTATACAGTGACACAGTCAGAAGTGTGTCTTAACGAGAAGGCCGAAAAGAAGGTAGGTACATATTATTCAAAGTTTCGTAAGAGCATCCCGTACTCTGTCATAAGAAATCCTCGCTCAGATCAACCAGATCAACGAAACGACAAAAAATAGCCCCGCTAGAAAGCAACGCAACCCAATCCGGTCTATGTATATTTTATAGAAGACACAAGAGAAACGAAAAATGAAGCAACCATATTACTGCTCCTGCTGTTGCGACCTTACAGTCGGCGGCCTCCTGATGGGCATCATCTCAACGTTGTTACCCGTGTTCATCTCCGTATTATAGCTGAGTTCTCGATTCCGGCCCGCCGTGTCCAGCGCGGAGGAAACACCGATGCTATGAGTTTCTGACCCAGCCTGTGACTGGTGCATGCCTAGCGAGCCCATCTGGCTGAGATTCGACGCGCGCCTGCGCATGCGCCATTCTGCATCTTCAACTTCCTTCTGATGCAGAGACTCAGAGGGAAGCATAATCGCGCGGTCAAGTCCGTGCGGTAACCCACGGTGCCGGCCTCGGATTTGCATGAAAATGATTATCAAGACCGAGCCGGTGTGCAGCTGGCTGGTGAAGGAGGCGTTGACGCCGGGGTAGCCGAGAGAGAGGCCGACAGTGCCGTAGGCGGAGACAACCTCGAAAAGAATGGACCAAATCTGGAAGGAGTAGTCGTTCCTGTCCTGAAGACGGGCGCCTTCAATGATTGTGATAACGAACAGGCCGGCACAGACGAACCAGAGATCATGACCCAGTTGCCTGCGCAAGTGAGTACTGATGTAACTTGGTGGTGTTTGATTTTCGTCGTCGATGCATTCTTCGTCTGGGAAGATTCCGAGACTCTTCTCTTCGTACACGTTTGTGCGGCGGAGGGAGATGGCGATGGGAAAGACGGAGATGTACATCATAATCATGTAGGAGATTTGGACGGCGGGGTGGACGTCGGCCAGCGATACCACGGAGAATCCGGCAGTCCGGGTGTTGGAAGCCTGGAAGAGACCGGCCACAAATCTGTTTCCGGGGGACAATGAAGTGACAGTGCCATCGTGGAGCTGCAAATGACGATTAGTTATGAACAGAAAAATTAGATGACGTCGAGAGCTTACATCCAAGATAAGGAAGAGTATCACATCGACCCCGTTCAACAGGACAAGAATCGCAACAAGCCACCAGGTCGCATTGCGTGGAAATAGCAGCGTAAAGCACCGCCGTGGGTGATCCAAAAGAAACTTCAGCTCTTCCCAGAGCGGCGTTTCTTTGGAACAGACTTTCGACGTTACCCAGATGATGAAGCGCAGCATACAAGGGAAACCCGTGTTGCCAATGATGATGAGGTATGTCATCAACAGCAGAGGCCAGGTCGCGGTCTGAAACGACACCATCGAGTCCGGTGTGAGCGTGAACCCTACATCGTTGAAGGCTGAGCCAGCAGAGAAGATTGCCCACCACGGGCGTCCTTGGCCTGCCTGCTTCACAACCTCTCCCCCACTCGTCTCCATAATCCACGGCATCAAGCCGAATATCCCGAAGAGATGGAAGCATACGTAGTAAGAGACTAGCACGAAGGCCAGCGTCTTCAGCGCCCGGTACTCAATGCCTCCCAATTCATCACGCTGTTCCTCGGTCAGGGCAATAAAGTTGGAATTGCGGGCAACCGTGGCCTGATAACTAAGGTATGGCAACGTAGTTCGGTCTGGGTCCTCCGTCAAAGTGCGGCGAATGCCGGTGAATGTTGACCTGCGGGTCGCCTGGGTCATCGCATCGGCCTCCTTTGTCTCGTTCCTTGTTCTCGACGGCGGTAACTGGGGCTCGGTGAAGGTGATATGCGGTCCGTCCATGTTGGCTGTGTTGTTCGCATCGACGTCTCTGGGGCTCCGCGGTTCGGATTGCCCAGACTTGGTCTTGGTAAGATTATTGTTGGCCTCATTTTCCTCCTCCTCAAGGACCTCCGGCGCTCCACCACGATCGTACTCTCTGGGACTAGGAATGCGCAGGGCACCTTTGGTCTTCCTTTGTTTCTCTAACAATGCAATGTGATGCTCGGGACTGAGCTGAGCAGGTACCCGAATGTCACCAAAATCGCGATTTATCGTAGCTGGTTGGCTCTGGCTTTGCCCCGGTATGACGCTGCTAGCAGTGGAGGTTGGGGAGCCGGATTCGGCGTCGGTCTCGTCCGGGGAGACAGGAGCGCTCTGCGGAGCATCCCCTTGCGGCGGGTTGGCGAAATCGTTGCGCAACACCATAATCGGGCGACCACCTATCCCCGCTTCTTCCCTGCCAGATGACAACGAGTATTTTGATTCGCTGATTGTCCGATTCCGTGATCTAGTCGAGCGGAGGGCGCGGGCGTCCCGAACAACGCGCTGAAATCGTTTCTCGAACCAGTAAAGCCGGACAAAGACGAGGACGGTGTTGATGAATATCGGGGTGGTGATCATCGACACCCAATAGAGAATTACCTGCTGGTAAGTCTGGAGTAGGTTAAAGTCCACCGTATTCAGTCCACTCTGGGTAGCAGCTCCGGATGAGAAGAACAGCGCATCGATATACGCCAAGTTATTGCCCGGATAAATGATAACAGATGTAATCAGAGCCATCGAAATGATATAGATATGGTGAATGACAATGAAATTCAGGTGCAGGTGCCTCAGCCAGGGTAATTTGGCCTTGTACCGCGACACCGGATCCAATAGCGTCCTTGGGATAAACATTCCGGGGAGGGCGACGGTTGCACCGTCGTGGCACGGCGATCAGCGATTGGGTAACGGTGGTATAGGTACGTTATTGTTCTCCGAAGAGAATTCCCGGAGAATTCGATGAGGATTCGAGAAGACGAGGAATGTCGATCAGCGAGTGCCACGCGACTTCTCGAATATGTACCTTGCTCCAAGTGCCGATCGTCAAAGAGTCGAGTCGAGTCGACGATTCAAAAGCCGACGTTAGCCTCTTTTGCTGGTCATGATAAAGGAATGTTTTCGGATGGCGTTTCGAGACGACATGGCTGAAGAGAGAAAAGTGAATGAATGGTTGAAGAGCGCCGGAGCAAAGACGAGAGGTGCGGACTTGAATAGCGGGACCGAGCTAGGCAACAGAACAATAGGAAAGAGATTGCCCTCAATAGGACATCCTTTCAATAAATATGGACAAGATAACAGAAAGTACGGTCTGGAATTTTGCTGCAGAGTTTAGAGCCGGGCCAAAAAAAAAGAAAAAGGGAAAAAAGCAAGCAGCCGGAAGAAAAGAGGATTCAGAGCTTGCAGGGGGTTTGCAGCGCTAGGCAGATGGGCGCATTTTATTCGAGGGCTCTCTAACACCCATGCCGCCATGCGCAGCCAATATGAGTTAGGTCTTATTTAAGCTTGTTAACTCGTGCTGTAAGACGGGAGTGCTATGATATACCTATATTTGACGTTCGAAACTACTGTCGCAGGCTGCATCCGTCCAGGCGCCAAGCTTTTCGATTCGATCTCGAACGCTTGCGGCAGAGGTGGCGGTGCAGTCCACTCTGCTCGACTGTGTGGTTGCGATTGTTATTTTCCACTTATCATTGTTCTAGCATATATTCAGAGTTGTATTGAACCTGTTGAGCCTATTGAGCCTGTCCCAGTCACCTGGGCAGGGTCCCAGGCGGAAAAAGCCTGCAAAGAGTGGTCATCCCTTGGCGGCCTTCCTGCAGGACGGACCGATCAGCCACAGACTGTGCAGTCCTGCTGCAATCAAAGACTACGATAAATCTCGTGAGGCATCTATTGGCTGTCGCCATTGTTCCGGATATCATGACACTTCCCGGAGTTTCCCGGGCAATTCTTCTTTCTCGGGCGGGGACTCGAGTTTTGTGAAACGAGGAGGTCACACAGATTCTCCAGATTGAGGCAGGGCTGGCGAGCTGAGTTCAGCTGGTACGCTTGTGCTGCAGCGCTGACGTTAGTCACTAGTGCTTATGATCGCCAGTATACGATCTGACAGCCGACGCATCTTATTCTTGACCGTAACTAGACCGTGCTTTATATGATGTGAGCACAGAGGATTGGTCCACGCATTACCATATTAACCTTCTTAACAGTAATTCGCCAGAAATTGCACAAAGCTGGTATCTACAATCTACTAACTCTAATTGCATCGCCGCACAAGCTCGTCTACCAACTGGTTGAACTCACTCTCCTTCTCCCACGGCAACATATGCCCACTCCCCTCCCAGACCTTATACAGTATCCCCTCCCCAATCTCTTTGTTCAATAACTCGCCATGATGGAACGTCAACATCCGGTCGACAGTTCCATGCAACACCGCAATCCTCTCCCTCCCCACCTTGTCTCCCAACTCCTTCAACTGAGCAGCCGACTTGTGATGAAAGTTGCACGCAACAATTTGCATCAGGAAACCCTTCTTCGTGAATCCCTCGGTATCCTCGAGCTTCCGCAGCCGTCCAGCGGCAAATCGGTCTCGCCTTGTCGGGAAGTTCTTCTCGGGATCATCATACTCGTCGTCGGGTTGGGCCAAAAAGTCATCAGGGAACAGCGAGTGCGCCAACCGATTCAGTTCATGGTCGATATTGCGCGGAATGAACATCTGTGCGCGCTCGCGCAGGTTCTCCAAGAACGGCGCCGTCCGCTCAACTCGCGGGGCTGTGCAGCAGAGCGTCAAACTAGCGAGTCTGTCGGGAATAAGCATTGCGACCTCCTGCGAAATCATGCCGCCCATGCTTGCGCCGACGACATTAAGATCTCGCTTTGGCGGCGCGGAGAGATCGAGCCAGCCGATGCTTGTAAGGAGGTCTAGCGCATCCTGGGCCATCTCGGAAGTAGAGTAGTAAGAGATGGGCTTGTCGGATTTGCCGACGCCGCGGTTGTCAAAGACAAGTACAGAGTATTCGTCTGCCTTGTCGTGACCGAAGAACTTGGTCTGGCGCTTCCAGTCGCCGTGAGCGGCCATGAGGCCCATGATGAACTAGCAGAGATGTCAGTATTGCTCTAAGAAACCACAGGCGAGATACGTACGACTAGCTTTTTAGGGCCGTGGCCATGAATCTCGTAATAAAGGTTGATAGGGCCTCCGCGGCGCTTCCCGGCGACTGGGACAGTGGCGGAACTCGTCGGGGGCAGTTTCCAGTCGAGGTGCTTGTAGGCCGGGTGGGCGACCACCTCGGCAGCGGTTAGGAAGGCCATATTTGAGTAAAGAGCAGAATATGTGAAGAGGCAAGGAAGCAGAAATTGAGTGAGATTGAACCTTGGAAAGGTGGCCAGGGCAGTGCAGGCAACCCGCCAAGCCTGCCCGGGAGGTGCCGAGGCTGATAGGGGCCCGTCTCTGATTGGCCCACAGCCTGCCCGAGAGCGCCACGGCCTATGACGTAATCCCTCCCTTTACGCTGCCTGGCAGTCGGTATAGCTTCACTTTTTCAAAGATTCCACAATGAAGAGCGAGAATCATAGCCAAGAACTACTCTCAGCTGAGTGCTCCGGATCCATGATCATGGACTGATGAACGCTGATCGACAATCTTCAGTGTTCTGTTGATCTAAGTTTTGAACACATGCACTGCATGGGTGTTACAAGCTCGAGCACGGCCATCTGAGCGTAAAACATGTGCTACGGTCACGGGCCAGTACTACCTTTGGGGTACTACGGAGTACGCACAACCACTCTGAACGGCATTATCGATCTGCGCTATGGAAGTCATGGCCGACTCGCTTCAACCGCTGTCTCGGAGCCGTGGTCAAGTCGTCTCTACAATCAAGCAGAAGCGCGAACAATCCCCGATAACAAAACGACATTGGGACTTTCAAGCCACGCGGCTCTGTTACCAACTTCATTGGATACAAAATGGACCAATCAAAGACGTCAGAGACACAACGCGGGCGAACGACCGTTAGCATGCACATCATTGCTACTAAACGCATTTGATTCCGTTGCGATGGATGATTACCTCTGCTGGCACGGCCTAGTGGCTAGAGTGATGCGTACCGAGTCCTCAGCGCCACTTGCTCGCTCAGCATTGGAACTATGACAATGGTTGATAATAGCAGATGTAGAAGCTGATGTTGTGTTGTTACGAGCAGGCGCTTTACAAGAAAACAGGGACTTCAATCGTTTATGACCAACAGGCCACGTTTTCTATTGCAGACACAAAGGATGGCTTTGGCTTTGATCGACACCGAGGGTTGCAGTTGCCGAATGTGAAGTTTCAGCGGGATAGACACTGATACCCAAACATCAACTCAGAGACAACCTGATCCGATGATCAATCACCGGCAGTGGCTCGCCATGCTGTTGGATCTCTTACTATGAGTGGTCCATTGGCCACTAATCTCGTTGGTCACAACTTATACTATACACTGCTTAGATGCAAAAATTGGCCAAAGGGAACTATATTCATAGGCTTCTGCAGTGCGTTCAAAAAGCACTGCACTTCCTATAGTTCTGGTGCACGTCCTCTCTTTTCTCCATGAAGCCATCAACATGTTCAAATAGTGGCTGTCCCGTTGCTTACCAGGTTTTAGTATTATCGCTCTGCTCGTTCTCTTGCTGAGATCGTGCGATGCCATCCCCGGAACATGGAGGGGCCCGACAAGGGACAAGCACGACCTTGAACTCAGTCTGGCGCAGAAACTATTTATTGCGTACACAACTTTGGTGCATCTGAATACTCTGCTCTTCACCGGGCGTCTCTCATGGTCTCTGTCCCACGCTTTCGCTCAAACCTCCAAAATGCTGAAGCGACGAGCAGACCACTCACCAAGTGGTACACTAGAGCCAACGAGCTCTCTTGATGCCTACTTCTCGTCGACACTGGCCAAGAATAGTACTCAGGTCTCCCTTGCAGAGGTTGTAGGCGAAGTAACGCACGCTATCATCATCCCGAACTATAAAGAAGACATCGGAACTCTGCGAGAGACGCTCAACGTCCTTGCTAGTCACCCCCGGGCTCGATCACGATATGAGGTACGGGTCAGCCAGATGGTTGGAGAGTAGAGCTAATTGAATAGGTCTACCTGGCCATGGAAGAAAAGGAAGTCGGGGCCGCTGAAAAGGCCGAGAGACTGGTATCTTTATACAAGAGGTCCTTCGCCCTAGTTCAAGCAACCTTGCACCCACCCGGCCTACCATCCGAGATAGTGGGAAAGAGCTCCAATGTCGCCTTCGCTGCACGTCACATCGGCCAGGTTCATCAAGCCGAACTCGAATCCGGCAGTTGCAACGTGATCATCACCGTGATGGATGGTATGACATACCCATACCTATAATTATGCCATCTAACCCGGCTCTAAACAGCCGACACAAACCTTTGGCAAGACTACTTCACTGAGATCCGCCGTCTTCACTACTTCCACCACAGCACTTCCGAGCAAGCCCTCTACTCTTGTCCCATTATCTTCGACCGCAACTCCAACGACAGTCCTCTCTTGGTCCGCTGCGCCGATCTTCTCTGGAGCTTTGCCGGCCTTTCGACCATGTACCCAGGCTCCAAAGTCTCAATCCCAACGTCCGTCTATTCGCTCTCGCTGACCCTCGCATCCACCGTTGGCGGCTGGGACAGCGACCCGACTTCTATCGGTGAGGACTTGCACATGATGCTCAAGTGCTACTTTAAGACTAATGGCAACCTTGTATCGCGGGTGATCCATGCCCCGGCCAGCCAATGCAATGTCTCCAGCCATATTACAAGACCGGGGCTACGTCGGGATTTGGATACTTGTATCGCGCGGTACCGGCAAGCCCTGCGGCATATGTGGGGAGCCCTGGACTCGGGGTTCGCGGCTAGATACACATTTCGCTCAGCACGATTCAGTTGGCATTGCCTAATTCTCAGATCAAGACATCTGTCCCTCATGCATCTTCTCTGGGAAGCGCATTTCCTTCCTTGTCACTTCACAATCCTCCTTATCTTCTCCATGGTCTTTGGACAAGCGACACTGTATACCTCCACCCCTCTCCCTCCTGCTATAACATACACATTCACCATCACGGCCTGGATACGAGCACTATCTTTCATCTGCATGAACATCTGCATCTCGCTGTACAACCGTTGGTACAAGCTCTGCCTTGAGACGCGCAAACAAGACACCCTGCTCGGCAGCAACCTTGGTCCTTGGTCTGAACCTGAGTTCCGAGAAGGGGGCTTTGGATTCTCAGACCGTGCGCCCTGGTACCGCCTCACATTTCTTCTGGAGCGGGTTGCTTTCCCCATTGCGGGCACCGTGTTTGGGGCCGTCCCAACGATGCATGCCGTGTTTATGCATTTCTGGACGGACCGACTCGTATATCACGTTAGCAAGAAGCCAGCTTTTGGGGCGGTGATGGTTTAGACTCTGTGCGGTGGTGATATGATTTCGCTGCTTATGATGTGCGATGGTCTGGTATTGGCTATGTCTAGAATACAATTAGTTGCCTACTAATTCAATTATGCTACTTGCTAATAATCATCAGCCATGGACATACAGTATTCGATCTTACCTAAGAAACTCATCCAGTCTTATCTTGTTGCCATTTTCACATGAGGCAACGTTATGTAACTGCCTCTACTTCCATTCCTGCTGGATCTTACGATTCGAAGAATGCAACCTTACATTAAGCAAGCCCCTTTGACCAGGCTGCCTCCTTGCATGGTGCTTAGTGGGTAGGGCTGCATTGCACGGAATAACATGGCTGCCTAATATATGCCAGGGGCATCGGGTCTCTCCGGTTTCATCCCTTACTTCGCCCATTTCCTGCTCTGGTAATGAATTGCAGTCGCTTCATGAGTTCTGTAAGATATGAACATTGAATGAAACCAAGTAAATCCTGATTGAAAACATAAGGTACTCAGGTATTCTGTATTAACTTAAGCACATAGCGAACACAGTGCAATGTGGGCTTTAGATCTTCCAGTGAGAAGTCTTATTTCATCTCTTCCCTGATCACACCTCATCCAAGTGTCCTCAAAGGCACTTCCTTTCAGCTCAACCACATCTCTGTCAAGCGCCGGTGACGCCTATAAGGCCCGCCATACCTAGAGCTCAAAGACTCCTTTCAGACCCCGCCAAGCCCAACGGAAACCACCAAACACATTGCACTTCGCCTTGGCCTTCGCCTTGGAATGAGCCTTCGCCATCGTCTCCGAGCTCGAGCCATCGCCATCCGACGACTCTCGATCCCCGTCCAGCTTCTTCCGCTCCTTCTGGCGCTTCGTGATCTCTCGAGTCCGCGCGACGTTTCTTTCCTTTCTCTCCCTGGCCCGGCCGCGCTCCTCGTCCTCGTTCTCGTCCTCGCCATCCCGGGCCAAGCTAATCAACACAGACTCGGACTCAGACAGCCCGGCAATAACACCACTGCCGGAAACGGTGACTTCTCGACGCGAGGCGCAGGTGCGGTACTGTCCCGGTGAAATGTTGTATTCGAAATCGTAGTTCGAGCGGGCGTAGTCAGCGAGGGCGGCGAAGAACATCAAGGCTTCGTCGGAGTCACGGTACTCTGACGCTAGGCGAAGGAGCATGGTGCGCTCTTCAATGATGGTGGTGATAGATATGGTGCTGGTAGATCCTTCCTGGACATTGGACGTGGACCAGTACTCGAGGGTACAGCGGACGGTGATTTCGTATGTGGTGGTGGAAGGCACGGACATGGTTCCTTCTGTTTCTGTCCGAGGCGCTGGGTGAGTTGGACCTCCGAGTTGAGCTTGAGGGGCAAAGAGCGAAAGCTTACTCAGAAAGCACCTGCAAAAAAAGATAGATTTCCTTCTTGGATGCCCTTTTGGCAATGGACGTAAAAGGGAAAGTTTTTGAGGAATGGGGTTTGTGGAGGGGTGGGAGGAGAGCAGAAGACGGAGGGGAGACAGCAGGAAGGTAGTCTTGTGTTGCCCAGCCTTCTACCTAATTCCGCCGGTCCCGGTCATGACTCCGACCTACAAGTGGCCTACAAGTGGCCGAGTAATCCCACCATCTTTTGTCTCTACACTTTGTAGCAATTCCGTGCAACAAATGGACTGTTGCTGTATACTTGCACACAGCTGCACGCTCATTGGCCTGTTGGCGCTAACTTCGGGCGCTAAAAGAGCTTATTTGAGCCGTGTGTGGCACGTGCACGCTAAGCTGGTTCTGGTGTGGCGCTGTGATTCAGTCATGTGGCTCAACATGTGAATAAACCAGCCTCAACAGAGTAATACTCTAATTGTCTATCTTTTGTTAATTGCCACGTCTCGAGTATGTAGAGAGCCGGAAATGGAACGAGTTGTATTATAAAGACTACTGTACATTTGTACTGTACTCCTGATCTTATTCTAGCATAGCGTCATCATTAGGCGATACAAATTCGTGAGAAAGATTCAGATCAGACCCGACATCAGAAAGAAATGCGGCCGTAGCAACCAACCCCTTGCTCATATCAGGAAGAGTATACGGAGACCGAGGGGAATGAACATAAGGCAGAAGCCCCAAGCAGAATCCCGTAAGTGAACAAAAGAAAGTGTCGAATCTTTCCCGCCGAAAACCAAGAATAGATAAGTAAAACGATTTGGGAATCACAATTCGCGTTCGTCTAATGCAATCACTGCACCTGGCTGACAATCTCGCTGGCGCGGGAGAGACTCTCCACCATTTGCTGGCATTCCTTCCGCCGCCGGATGGTGTAGTCGCTTTCCTTGAGGAGATCGTCAAGCTCGGCGTTGCGGTACATGTTCTCGAGCAGCTCCCGCTGCATGCCTTCCTTGGAGAACCTAGGGCTGTTAACCGACGTCTATCGTGAAATCGGAGGCTACATACTGCACAAGGGTGTACATGATGGCCTTGGGGACCATGTCGATCATCGTGCGCTTCACGATGTTGAAGTACGAAGTAATAAGGAGCTCTGGGTGATATTAGCATTGTTCCATTCTCTAGTATAATATAGGGCAACCTACTAATGACTTCGACTTCGGTGCTCTCACGCTCAGAAAGAGCCGCGGACGCCTTCAGGTTGGGCGGTGGAGCCTCCATGGCGGCCATCTTCTTCTTGTTCTTCGACGCCCAGAAGCTGCCAAAGAACCCGCCTGAAGTGTTGGCATCCGCCGGGGTGATCGCCTCAACTGAAGGACTGTTTGCGCGGGGAGGCAGAGGCTTGCCTGTCTTCGGGTCAACCTGGGTCGGCTTGCCAGCGGCATGGCGCTCGTTGACAATAGCCATGGCCTATGCCGTTGTTAGCTGAGAGCCGAGGTATAAATTTGAAGGACTTACGCGGTGGCCGTTAAGGAAGTCAGGATGGGCGGTGTTGATGTAGGTAGATTCCATGGCAATAAGATCGCGAACCAGCTTGTTTGTGGGTTCCATGGACTTCTTGAAGAACGCGATAACGACGGCGTGGAACTTCTCCTTAAGCATCGGGTACCGTCGGAAGAGCTGCTTGTTCAGAAGCTGTCCGAGGATGCGGACGAGCTCATCGTAGACCAAAGAGATACACTTCAGACTGGGATCCTCCAGTCGGGTGATCTGTTGCTTGACGATAAGTTCAAAGGCGGTGGTTCCGATGAAAAGAGCGGGCGATGAACCAGACGAGTTGAACAAGATGGTTCGAATGTCAATGTCCTTCACTTGGTCGAACGGGTCGACCGCCTTGATACCGTTAGAGTAAAGCTCGTGGAACACGAAACTGATACGGGCACCGCCAGACAATTCAATGCTGGAAAGCTCCTGGTTATTACCCTCCAGAACTGTCCGGTACTCGTTGCTGAATTCTGTGATGATGTTGAGGATAATGTTGGCGCTGTTGCCGAGCATCGAGTCGCCGAGCTGAGACAGTTCAGCCGAGTATTTCTGCAGTGAGGACGAGATACGAGATTTGATATCGGGAAGCGTTTGCTTGATGTGCATCATAAGGATCTACTGAGGTTAGTATGAAACTCGGGACGGTGCAAAAGATAGCTTACCAAATTGAGCTTCCTGGCAAGGTACGGTGTTCCGCAGTAAGAAGCCTTGTTTCGGTATGCCTTGTGGCCCTCAAAGAAGTTCTTCTCGTGCTCCAAGGCGTAGGAGATAGGCCGCTTGTTCTCGATATCGCGCTGTCCACGGTTGACCACAGGAACGTAACCAAGACGCAGAGGAATAATCCTGCCAGCAAGAATATCCACCACGTCCGTACCCTCGTCCATCAGATCGACCTTGGTCAACACACCGATGGTGCGCTGGCCCTCCGGGTCCACCTCCCGTGCAAGCTTCAACCCGTCCGAGTTCGCAAGATCCTGGTTGGCAGCAGTTACGGCTAGAACGATAGCGTTGGGCTTGCTGATGTACTTCAAAACCATGTCCCGGATCTGCTTCTCGATGTCCTTCGGCTGGTCGCCCACCGGCACCTTGGTCAAACCGGGCAGATCGACGAGTGTCAGGGTAAGGACGTTCGGAGAGTAGATTCGCAGGTTGATAGGGGCGGCGGAGATACCGGCGTTGCGGCCGACCTTGGTTTCGGTTTCGCGGACAATCTCATCACGGATCTTGTTGAAGTCGTAGAACTTTTGCCCAGGAATGTGCAGGAACTCGCCATACTCGTCGAGGTTTGCTTCCGTATCCGTCGTCTCGAGCTTATCGTCCTTGACACCGTTCGCTTGTGATGGCTTGTTGATGAGCTGCAGGATAAGGGGTCTCCGAGTGACGATTCCAGAACCACGGGGCAGGCTGTACGAGAGCTCCGTTAGCGACGCGCGGCCCAGCCTGCAGTTGATGTCAGATGGCCGCCACTTACAAATCCCGGCCAACGATGTTCTCTAGCACTGAACTCTTTCCGCTGGACTGCGATCCGACAACTGCAATCTGAGGCAAATCGATGGGGTTTTGCACCTAGCAGCGGGTCAACAAGCGGTGTCGGGGAGAGGGGTCGCCGTAGGGAGACCGAGGTATAGGGCGAGGAACTTACTCCGACCGTTGAAAAGACATCTTGGAGCTTGTTCACCAGCGAAATCAAGGTAGGATCATTGACGTTTATCCTGTTGTCGCAACGCAATCGGTCAGCTAAGCTCGGGGGTCAAGCACGAGGGGTGAGGGTCACGCACGAGTAGCCGGATGTTGGGCTTGCCATGCTGGCAACAGTGGAATAACAAGTTTCGCTTCAGACTAAGAAAACCAAGAAAAGAAGAGAGATTATGGGTCATATAAAGGAGGCGAGAGGAAACTGAATGTGGTGGAAGTGAGGGAGGCGGGATGGCAAGCGGCCAAGTTTCCAGCCGAGTCGAATCCAGAGGCAGCAGGGCACAGGCGGTGCGTGGCCTTTGCATTCGGCTGTGTTCGTAATCTCGCCGCCAGCCACCCGCGAGATCATGCGAAACCTCTAATATTGATACCTAATCTATGAAATATCATCTTTAGGTAACTATTTATTTTAAGACACTATCTCTATAGGTCCGTTAGCTGTGAAAGGACCCTGAGTAATATGTAGTATGGCAAAAGGGATAACTACAGAAAGCTGCTATGCTACAAGCTCTCGACTATAAACAAAATAAACATCATTCAGGTATAATAGCAATGTACGCTGGCTCTCTACTCATCCGACACGGAGGCAAACCGCTCCGACATTGTCTGCAAAATCTTCTCGTACTGTTGAGAGTTAGTGGGGTTCCAATAATCATTCGAGTAGTTCTTACCTTCGAGGAGACTTCCTCCTGGTTATCCGGTACTTCGAACTTCATGTTTCGCAGGGAGGTTTGGATGTCGGTCGTAGCATCGCGGACCTTGGGCCAACTCTGGCCTTGAGCGATCGCCTTCTGTGCTTCATCGTGGTAGCCCATGAAGGCCTTCATCATGTATTCTGTCTTCCAGAGAGGGCAGAACTGGTCGTAATCACTGTATCCGTTTTGCTGGAGGAAGTCGTCCTTCACCATTGCAGCCACATCCAATGTGATCTTGTCGGAGTCGCCAAGCGCAGCCTTTCCGACCAACTGGACGACCTGGTCAAGGTCCTCGGACTTGGTGAGGAGCTCTCGGACCTGTTCACGGAGACGGGGGAACTCGGGGTGGTGCTTCTCGTAGTAGCGGTCGAGCACTGGCGTGTACTTGCTGTAGGAAATGCCCGTGTTGATTGAGGGGAAGTGCTTTCGCTGCGCCAATTTCTTGTCCAGACCCCAGAAGACCTGGACGATACTCATTGTACTGGTAGTGACAGGGTCTGAGAAATCACCACCAGGGGGACTGACGGCGGCGACAATACTGACACTTCCCTCTCGCTCGGGGCTTCCCAGAGCGGTACTCTTACCGGCACGCTCGTAGAAAGAGGCAAGCTTGGCACCAAGGTACGCGGGGAAACCCTGGTCAGCGGGCATCTCTCCAAGACGACCGGAAAGTTCACGGAGAGCCTCGGCCCACCGGGAACTAGAGTCGGCCATCATAGCCACGTTCTTTCCCTGATCACGGAAGTACTCCGCAATGGTGATACCGGTGTAAATGGAAGCTTCACGGGCAGCGACGGGCATGTTGGAAGTGTTGGCAATCAAACATGTACGCTTCATGATAGGCTCTTTGCGGCCACCAATATCGATGCTTAGCTGCAGGCACATTAGTACAGTAACAACCGGCGATATTCACTAAGCCATACCTCGGGGAAGTCCATCAACACTTCAGCCATCTCATTACCACGCTCACCACATCCGACGTAGACAATGACATCACTGTTGGAGAATTTGGACACACTTTGGGAGATGACAGTCTTGCCGCATCCGAAGGCACCGGGAATACAGACGGTACCACCCAACACACTAGGGAAGAGAGAGTCAAGCACTCGCTGACCGACAATGAAGGGCGAGTCGGCAGACTGCTTCTCGTTGACCGGCCGGGGTACACGAACGGGCCAGGTGTGCATCATTCCGTGTGTTGTCTTGACTCCATTAAACTCAATCTCCAGCAGTTGTTCCTCGACGGTGTAGCTGCCGGCTTCAGCTATCCGTGTGATCGTACCTCGTGCGCGGGGAGGAAGGAGAATTTTGTGGTCGTTCAACAAGCTGTTCTCGAAAACGGTACCCCAGATATCACCGCCTGTGATGTGATCGCCGACCTTGTATTTGCCGGGCTTGAAGTCCCACTTCCTCTTGCGATCCAGCGCATTGACCTTAATACCACGGGGAATGTAAATACCGCCCGACTCGTCGGAGATGGCTTTGAGGGGACGTTGGATACCGTCGTAGATCGTTTCCATCAAACCGGGTCCGAGCTCGACGGAGAGGGGCTTGCCGGTTCGCATAACAGGATCGCCGACCGTTAATCCAGCTGAGCAACGGGATAATTAGATACTGGTTGTATTGCTTTGGGCGGGGGCGGTACCTGTTTCCTCGTAAACCTGAATAGTGGCCTTATCCTGATCGATACGAATAACCTCTCCGACAAGCTGATCATGACCGACTCGGCACTAGATTCGCAGATGGTAAGCGAGAAAGCCGATACAACAGCCCTGCCTGTGATGACAGAGCTTGGGAGATAGCTCGAAGAAGTAGGGCTCGACGCAGGTAACTCACCAGCTCGTACATGGCACATCCAATCATGTTCTCGGCGACCACGACGGGACCGGAGACGGAGAAGACAGCACCGAGCTGGGCATCTTCAGAGCTCGAGGAGCCCTTTCCAGAGGGGGCCATGGTATGAGAAGTCGGAGTTTGGATGGAGGAGGTGGACGAAAAGAGGGGCTGCGGGATGGAGGAGTGGTTGCTCGAGCTGATGCTGTCACTGCAGGTGGAGGACGGAGTGGTGGGCGAGACGGGGAGCGGTGGCAGGTCGTCCGGTCTGGGCGGTGATGGCGGGTCTGGAGTCTGAGCTGCAACACCACGGTTGGCTATGAGATCCAGCAACGATGGACGGGACTTCAGTCGGCGGACGCCCAATCCCAACATTCGCTTCTAGAATTAGTTGTTCTCGACGGGACATTGAAGCGAGCTAGGATATCGTGGCTGAAATTGCTTAGTTAGGCTCACGGCGCTGAGTAAGTTCCGAGGCTTTGTGATGCTAAAGGCTCTAAAGACTCGGCATTTGCATCTTACCGGAGCAGGCAAGCCCAGATTGTGTCTTCGAAAAATAAGCCCTGGAGGAGCTAGTGGAGGTTCATTTACAGCCTCAAGGTGGCTATGCCGTCATACAACCGTTGACTACAACTTCACGGATAGGGGCCCATTGGCGACCAGCTTAGTTTGTCCACCCGTGAGATATCAACATCTCCAGACTAATCTGCTTGTGGCTCAGTACGGCAGCTGGTGGAGCTGTGCATCTGGCCTCATAACACGTCCAGAGTCATATAAACATAGGTGCCACTTCTGGTGATGACTCGCACAGCATTGGAAGCGTCATGTGTCTTCCGCCATGATCCTCACTAATGCTACCGATAAAACCAGCGATCCCCGCACTTTATATACTATGGTGTTATTGATATATCATGGTGCTATTGTTCAAGAGGCCGTTCAATGTGACAGCAGGTTCTCACATGCCTAGAATGCTTGACTAAACTTCCTCGATCCGTGGATTGGAGGCCGAGAGGCGGCCTTTGCCTCTCTAGGAATGGGCTTCCACATGGGACAACATCGAGGATGCAGAAATGCTAGAGATCCATCAGAGTTCTGAACAACGCCCAGAGGACAGATGATCATATGCTTTGTCGCTCGGATCGTTATGGTATATCATATGGCCTGTTGCCCATCGGCATTCGAGTGCTGTTCTGCTCTCTTTTTGCCGTCTGCTGCCCTGAAAACCAGGCCAAAATGACCCGCCGAGACATCCATACTCACTGGGATTTGTCGTTCGAATGGACGCATCTCCATCGCACGGCCGAGCAGCTGCGGCCAATGATGTTCACCTACGACAAGTTGGCGGATGATTGCGTTGCAAAGCTGAACGAGCTCTCGCCTCCGGAGAAATATCGTCCAAAGGCTGGGGAGCCAGCAACAAAGGCACCTAAACGAGATTTACTGTCGCTACTCGAGAAGCATGCAAAGGATGATTCTAAGCTCCAAGAGCTATGGATCGAGGTCAACACCGTCCCCGACTGGGTCGCCTGGGATCAGATCAAAAGAGGGCAGGAGGTTTTCTTTCGGTACGGGATGGCCATAATGAATGTGGTACGCATAGCCATCAATCATATAGGTACTCCGCTGATGTTTTTAGCTTAGCTTCCAGAGCCTATTAGGCGGGATGTGGGTGCTCCGGCCGGCTTGAATCAAGGAAAGTTGGATACTGATCAGCGTATAGGGGTGCAAGTCGAGTCGTTGAGACCTTGTCTAGGACCGGAGGGTTCTCTGCAGAAGTTGTCCGCCGGAGACTCTTAGAGACCCTCCAGCATATCCTCCAGGTGTCCCTGTCCGTGGACTCTATGAAACCCGGCGGAGCTGGTCACCAGTCCTCGGTTAGAGTGAGGCTTCTACACTCCTCTGTCCGGACTAGGATCCTTAGTCTCATCGAAGAGAAGCCCGACTACTATGACCTCGAAGCTTTTGGTATCCCTATCAGCGATCTCGATTGCATCGGGACTATCAACACGTTCTCGACTAGTGTCGTCTGGATTGGTCTTCCTCGCCAGGGTATCTACCTCCGGGAAAGAGAGATTGAGGATTACATAGCCCTTTGGAGACTCGTGGCGTATTACATGGGCACTCCACACGAGATCTTTGCAGACAAGCCCACTGCCAGAGCCTTCATGGAGTCGATGCTGGAGTTTGAAGTCGACCCTAAGCCTATCGGGCAAGTGTTGGCGAAGAATATTGTCATCGGCCTTGAGAATACAGCCCCTAGCTTTGCGTCGAAGGAGTTCATGGAGGCCATGGCCAGGCATCTCAACGGGGATAAACTCGCCGATCGCCTTGAAATCCCGAAGACAAGCCTTTATTACCAGACGCTCATCTACGGCTACTGCTATTTTGTGATGATGATAGCTTATTCGAACAGGGTCTTCCCGCTCTTTGATCAAGCATGGATTGCAGTTAGTCCATCCTTACCTTCCCCTTTCTTCAGTCATTGACCAATGCAGTTCCGGCGAAGAATGTACTACTCAATCATCACGGATAAGGAGCACGGTCTCGGCGGCGAAACGGTCTTCGACTTCAAGTACGTCCCCTGGTTTACGCGCACCACGAAGCTAGGAACGCGCAAGGAGAGAAGAGTGTCAAAGCCGGGCATTGAGACCTTCGCGCAGTTGGGTGTTCTTGCTTTCTGTACTTCAGCGGCGACTGTGGTTTACGGAGCCGTGGCCGGCTTACGTTTGTTCCTTACGGAGTATTCATAGCCAAGCCTAGAGGTATCCTTCGCTTTGAAGTAGCTAAGTCTGCCTTCTAATTATATTTCGCTTTTCTAGTTAAGTCAGTCAGGAACAAGCCCTTGGCTGAAGTCACTAGTGCAGATATCAAGTTGTCAGTCCTTTGGGTGGATCTAGACCAAGACCCTCGCCATCATGACGACATACAACACGACCCCCAGTCTCGGCACCAAACATTCAAATCTAGCTCGCGTGTCTCTTTTCCTACTCAAGTCAATACGCGGATAAATAAAAAAGTGGATTTCGAAAATGGCCCAAGGAAGTCTTCTCACCTCATTCCTCGGCGCCCTGCAAGCCTGTGTCTCTGTCCTCCTGACCCTAGCATACGGCGCTGCAGCCCGCAAATTCGGCCTCATCCAGCGCTCTTCTATTCACGATGTATCCAGCCTGGGTATGAAAGTCCTCCTACCTGCGCTGATTCTAGTCCATCTGGGCGAGCAGTTGCAGCTGGACAATGTGTTGAATTATGTTCCCGTTCTCGGTAATAAACCCCCTTATACCTTTCCGAATATTCTGTTGGAAATGGTTGTTAACGAGTGCTAGTTTGGTCAATAACATATACAACCTTCTCGATTCTTCTGGCGCGGTTGGCGTCGAAGTTCCTCAGACTACCTGACTGGGTGACCCCCACCTCGGCGTTCAACAACACGACGTCCTTGCCGCTACTCCTCTTGCAATCGCTGGAGGGCGTCGGAAGCCTCAAGATGATTGTCCCAGAAGGCGAGTCGGTGTCTGATGCTGTGGCCAGAGCACAGAGCTACTTCTTGCTTTGCGGCGTCATCAGCAAGACGATTGGATATGTTGTTGGGCCGACGATGCTCATCAGTGAGAAACCCGGCAACGATAACCGAATATGCGGACATGGCGATGAGCACGAGCAGTACGATTACTCGGACCCCTACACCGGTACAGCAGACGAAGAAAGCCCACTCCTCAACAACCGGCAAAGCGCAAACCACGAAGGGAAGATCAAGCGCTGGACCAAGAAAGCCTTCGTTGATCTTCCTAAATGTCTCAAGCATAAGACCCTCAAGAACGATACGCCCGTGGCTGATATCGCGATTTTCTGTACGATTATCGGCGGTGTCCTTGGTCTTGTCCCGCAGTTGCATAAGGCGTTCTTCAATAGTTATGAGGATGGAGGAATCTTCAATGCGTGGTTGACTTCGAGTGTCAAGAATATCGGCAAACTTTTTACGACGCTGCAGATCTTCATTGTTGGGTGTGAGCTCGGGGTTAGTTTTGAGAAAATGAAGAAGGATTCCCATGATGGCGATGACGACGATGACAGTGATGGGAGTGGAGGTTCAAGCAGTAACCCCGGTTGGAAGGCGATTTTGACGATCTTTATGATCAGGCTTGTGGTTTGGCCTGCGTGAGTATTCCTGCCTGATATTGTTGGTTGGGATATGTGCTAATCATCTATCTGCGGGGAGCAGCCTCAGTATCTCCATCATATACGGCCTCGCGAAGAAAACCTCTGTGCTGAGATCAGACCCTATCCTCTGGTTCAGTATGATGCTTATGCCCGCCGGCCCTCCGGCATTGGTTATCCAGGGACTTGCGGAGCTGGCAAAGGCGTCAGAGACGAAGAAGATGACTATTGCGAAGACGTTGACGGTATGTCATCTACTATGATCCCTGGGTTGAAATATTGAACTATGACGGCGCTGACCTTCCAATGGCAGATTATGTACATTCTTTCGCCTTGTATCTCGTTTACAATCACCGGGGCGTTGAAGGCGTGCCAGGCTGTGGTAGATGCCAAGTGGGCTTGATTGATCATTGGATTCACTTTACTTGGTCTTGGGGTACTTGGTTACTGAGTTCCAAGATAGAATTGAAGAGAAGTAACTCGTTCATGACATTCTCTTAACACTTAACATTGAACAAACAAGCTACACATTCCACATAGTATCCGAGATCATATCCGAGAAATCATCGCCCGTCTCATCGTCGTCTGAGAAACATCTCATGGTAATATCGCCGAAGGCAAGGTATTTCTTGGAATGCTATTTACTTCTGTAACAGAACAGTTAGCACTCTTCCAACCGAGATGTCGAATATAGAAGGGATGTACACACTCCGCACTCCTTGCATTGGCAGTCCTGACCGCAAGTACAGGTGTTGGGTCCGCTGCAGCCGCAGGTGTTTCCAGTTCCACAACCACAGCCAGCCATTTCGATTTCGTAGAGGTAGATTTAAAGAGTTCTGATGTTAAGTGTGGATATGGTAGGTTTCAGTGCCACGGATGCAAATATGGAGATCAGATTGCGTGCCCAGATGAAGCTGGGGGGCGAGCATTTATAGCTCCGGGGCTCTGTGGTAAGTGGGGGAGCTGGATCATTATGAGGTCAGGAGGATCACGGTTTACGGCGTTCCACGGTACGGCCGCTCATGCTATCGTGCTTATGGCATCGAATCCCATAGGCGGTTGACGAAGAACCTGGACCGCAGCTGTAACACTATGACGGCACTCGTGTTACGAGAAGCTTCGTCCGGTCGATAAGAATCATAGGATAGGATGGGATTTGAAACCTGGGGTTCAGACGAAATGCGGATGATGCCTTGCCTCGCCTCGCCTTGCCCTGTTCGTATAGAAAATCCTTATCAGCTGTCAGTTTGGCAAAGGGACCCCGCGGAGTAGATCTGAAGGTCTTATGGGCACCGCATCCTTGTAAGAGCTTAGGAGGTTCAATTTTTGACAATACCGATGACTGTTCAAGAGCCAATAATATCGGTGAACAGGCAGACATGGTCATGCCCTCGACATCCCTTGAATATCCGGCCTCTAACAGCTTCCGATGGCGTCAGGATGTCCTTGCTTTGGTATGGATGACGCCCCAATCAGTCAGCTGGATTGCAGCCCCAGGGTTCCTGGTTCAGACGATACCAGTCGAGACCAAGCTGATATCGAGTCTGCTGCGTTGTTCTGGGCCTGCTTTGTTGTAGGCGAGCTGGAACATGGAACACATAGTGATTTGGCAAGGATTTTGTCTCAAAGCCTGATGAGATTAGGCTCTATAGTCAACAATAGCTTCCAGATTGGACATAGTGGTGTTTTTTGGTTGAAACGAGGGTTGCAGGTTATATATTGCTGTAACGGCGAGTTGAAGCCATACCGGTAAAAGTTGGGGGAAAGGGACAGAGCAAATGGCCGGACAATGCTGTTAAAATAGCATTTCTAAAGATCAACTTGAGGACCTTGATCGCTTGAACCTCCATAGTAATTCGGCGACATCGTGGCTCAAGGCATTACCGACGAGTGACGGGGCCCCACGGAGAATAGTTCTGTCCATCCGAATGCTTCAACCTCATCTCTCTTTCTACGCTTCTACCTGGAGCTTTCTCTCACCCTTCCACCAAATACAGCTCCTGTTCATAATATTCTCGCAGTTGACATTTGCCTTTCAAGTTCCAAGTCCGAGTTTGCGTTTCGTCTTTCACCTAATCGTACTCTCACACCCCGTCTTCTTGTCTTGTCCGGTGGAGCTTGGCGCCTTCCCCAGCGTTTAAGCCCGATAAGACCTCGCTCACTCCACCCGATCGAGGTCTCCCCTCGCACCTCTCAGCTGGCATCTCTCAAAGCTTCATCGCCGCATCTCGCTGCAAATACTGAGCATTTTACCTCAGAGGTAAGGTTTGAAGGGCTCCTGATCTGGATCGAGCTCAGGGAAGGGTACTGAGCTGCCACGGGCATCAGGACCCACCACTGATATAGCTCTGCTCTCCTGGTTCTTCTACAAGAGCCGGGCGGAAAGGGCAGATTGGAAATATTCGATCTGGCAGACGCCCCTCCTTTATATACGCCCTCGTCCGCGGCCCCCGACCTCCCCAACGCTTCCATCCCATCCGATTCCCTCCCTTCCCGCCCGAGCGCCGGCTCCTCCGATAGCATCCCCCCCCAACCGCAGCGAGATACTGTCAGCAGCCACCGTCTGTCCGGCACCGCCGAGCGTTTAACCTCCAATAACCGTCGCCGTCGTTTGAGCTCATCTGATACGCTTGATTCTTATACCTACGGGACAGGAGGTCGTGCGGGAGGTCACACGGCGGCAAGCGAAGTTAGTCCTCAGGAACAAACAACAAATCAGTTTGGCGCCTCATCAGAGGGCCATCCTCCTTTGCCCAAGCGCAGGCGCCTGGCGAACATGCGACCAGATGGAATATCGAGTACGAACAACTTCTCCCAATTGTCCAAGGGCGGGGCCGCCTCGCCCGCTCAGAAGGCGGCCCTATCTCGAGCTCTAAATGGTCAAGCATCGTATTCTAGTTCAAATGGAGATATGAAGACGGACGGACTCCAAAAGCCATCGAAAACCTCCTCATATTTCAACCATGACCGTGAAGAGGTCACTAGGATACTCATCCAGAGTCTCTATGAGCTTGGCTATAGCAATTCGGCAGATCTATTGAGCAAGGAGAGCGGCTACCAACTTGAGAGTCCAGCGGTTGCTATCTTCAGAAATGCAGTTCTCGAGGGACGATGGGCCGAGGCTGAACGGATATTGGTACAATCATTTCAGGGACACGTCGAGGACGAGACGACGAGCAAAGAGAAGCTGGCCTTGGTTGACAACGCGGAAAAGAGCGAAATGCTGTTCTATCTCCGGCAACAAAAGTTCCTTGAGTTACTGGATGCTCGGGATCTCGGGGCGGCCTTGATGGTGCTTCGCTATGAACTTACGCCTTTGAACTACGACGTCGGACGCCTCCACGCTCTTTCTAGGTATGGGACTTGGCTTTTTACTGCTTCCGTTCACTAATAATTTACTAGTCTGCTCATGTGTCCTCCGGAGCATCTACATGACCAGGCCAGCTGGGACGGTCCCGTTGGCTTCTCTAGAGAGCGACTGCTATCCGAGCTATCAAGTGAGTCAAATTGCCTAATGTCAAATCATTCTAGACTAACCAAAGCAGAATCCATATCTCCATCCGTGATGATACCTGACAACCGACTTGCAACGTTATTAGATCATGTGAAACAGAACCAGATAAATCAGTGCTTATATCATAATACGGCGCAGTCTCCATCCCTTTATTCGGATCACATGTGCGACCGGGATGACTTTCCCCTCGGCACGAAACTCGAGCTCAATAAGCACACCGATGAGGTTTGGCACTGCCAATTTTCTCACGACGGCACAAAATTAGTCACGGCAGGCAAAGACAAAAAAGTTTTCATCTACGACACAAGTACATTCTCTGTACTACTTACGCTGGGAGAACATAAGGAGGGCGTCGCCCATGCCGTGTGGAGTCCAGACGATACCAAGTTGATCACCTGTTCTCGTGATTCTACAGCTCGTGTCTGGAGCACAGAGGTAAGCTTTGACTTGCATGTGTTCGCTTTCTCGAAACTAACCGAAACAGACTGGGAGATGCATCCTCACCATCAACAGCCACCAAGAGCCGGTGACCGCAGCTGTTTGGGCCCCTGACGGTGAATCGTTCGTGACAGCTTCTCTGGACGTGACCTCTCAGCTGTGCCATTGGAACATCCGGGGCCAACCCAAGTATATGTGGCATGGCGGTTTCCGCGTTTACGACTGTGCCATTACCCCCGACGGCCGGCGTCTAATTGCTGTGGACGTCGAAAAGAAGATCCGCGTCTACAACTTCCATACCCACGAGGAGGAATATATTCTCCCGTTGAAAAGCAGGGCGACTTCCGTTGTTGTCAGCAGAGACTCGCGCCACATGCTGGTAAATCTGACCGAATGTCAAATTCAACTGATCGACATCGAGACGAGTGAGGTTATCCGCCGCTTCCAAGGCCAGAAGCAGAGCGAATTCGTCATCCGGAGTACATTCGGAGGTGCTGCAGAGAACTTCGTCGTCAGTGGCAGTGAAGGTATGATATCTTCCTCGTCAGTTCTTCGCCCGGTTTGCTAACTCAAGAAGATTCTCGTATCTATGTATGGCATAAGGAGAACGGCACATTAGTTGAGACTCTTGAAGGACATATCGATGGGTGTGTAAATGCGATTTCATGGAACCCTGCCGATCCAGGCATGTTCGCATCAGCAGGTGATGACCACTTGGTTAAGATGTGAGTCTCATCGCCAAAGAAATACATACATCCCGTACTGATCTCGTACTAGTTGGACTCGAGAGCGCGATGCACATCCCAACAGTACGCCAGGGAAACGACGAACGGTGTCTGGAAACGGCTATGCTCGAACAAGTGCGTTGCGGTCAACATCAAGCTTTTGAATTCGTCTCTTCACATGCATACGCCCGCTAAACGTGTGATCGTCGCCGTCTATGTCCATCATTCTACGTTTTTCACGCTCTCCACCTCCTGCATATACAACCCATTCCCCACGTGTCCATGTTCCATGTTTTATTCTATACAGGTCGCAGGCGCCAACATTTTGGTATCTCAGATTGTCACATATTTTGCATTCCTCCCCTGGCGTTGCACCTCTCACCTTGCTATCTCCATCTTTATCACATAGGTTCTGCATATCCATACACTTGCTATTTCTCCATTTTGTCAATTAATCGATACACGGTCTGGTATTTGTTTATATCGTCTGTCTCTATTTGATCTACTCATTCACGCAATCATGGTTTTTAGTGGTCTCAATAAATCCGAGGAGTGTTGGGTGTACCTAGTGGACTTGAACCTGGGTTCTCATTGACATTGTCATTCTTTTTATGGCTCGTTCCAAACATACCTCCGTCTGTCCCATTGGTTTTCTGCACATGCTCTGGCTCAACTCCATCCATCTTTCTGTCGATCAATATCTACCTATCTTAGACTTGCGGGCCTTGTTAGGGAGTTTGGCTAAATACTGAATAGTTGCTAGTTATACAAATGGATATGAACAGCTACGTTTCCCACTTTGAATAAAGAAATCTACAACGAAGCATAAATGGCAACGAGCTAGGATAGACAATCCACCTTAGGGTAGGTATAAGGGGTATATTTAGCCTTTACATTGCCCCAAATATACTAGTTATACCGTTCCGTCTGATTTTACTGATGGGCCCTGGTCCATGGTTCGGTGTGTTTGAATCTAGCAGGGTGCTAATGATAAAATGCAGTAACTAAGAGGGAAGAACCAGGGGTATTAGTCTTCAGTGCAGTGGTTGAGATTGGAAAAGGATATGTCTAGTACAAGGGGCTTACCATTCTGGTTATTTTCCCATTTCCTCCACTCTGCGTTGCGTGCCTTTTGCGTTGCAAGTTCTTTCCTGTCCTGCCCTACTGTTGCTGTTCCTAGATATGCCTAGCTAGGCAGAAGAAGCGTTGCCGTTGACGAATGGGTGGACTCGGTGTGCGAGATTACGATGGCGCGTAAAAATTTGCGATCATATGAAGTAGCTGGCTGAAACCATTTTGGCATTCCGAGGTATACTGAGATCGTGATAAGAAGTAGAGGAGGCATATCGTTTAGGAGAGCAGGTCGGCAACTGAGAATTTGTTAGTCGGATGATCCAAGAAAGTCTGACAATAGGTGTTCGGCTTACCATTCATGGGCATCTCATCGATTTGTGTGGAATAGTATAGTTCGATATCACGCAGAATGCGCACGTCATCGCTCGTGACAAAGTTAATCGCGACACCCTTGCGGCCAAATCGACCACTTCGACCGATACGGTGGATGTAGTTTTCACGGTTTGTTGGGAGGTCGTAGTTAATGACAAGCGAGACTTGCTGAACGTCGATACCACGGGCCCAGACATCGGTGGAGATCAGCACTCGAGAGTTACCCTGGCGGAAATCTTGCATAATACTGTCTCGTTCCTTTTGGGGCATCTCTCCGTGCATGCTTGATACTGTGAAGTTGGCCTCGCGCATTTTGTCGGTGAGCCAGTCGACCTTTCGGCGGGTGTTGCAGAAGATGACGGCTTGTGTGATGGTGAGGGTATCGTAAAGGTCGCATAGGGTATCGAACTTCCACTCTTCCTTTTCGACGGCGATGAAGTATTGCTTGATGCCTTCTAGTGTCAATTCGTCACGCTTGACGAGAACGCGGACGGGGTCGGTCATGAACTTGGTCGTCATGTCGAGCACATCGTACGGGAGGGTAGCGGATACGACAACCACCTGCGTGGCTGGCGGGAGGTAACGGTAGACGTCATAGATCTGTTCACGAAATCCGCGGTTGAGGAGTTCGTCTGCTTCATCAAGAACCAGCATCTTGATGTGGCGCGTGCGCAGGTGGCGTCTCCGGATCATATCCGCGACACGACCGGGTGTACCTGAGACAACATGCTGGCCGTAGTCGAGCTTGCGGATGTCTTCACCAATATTTGTGCCTCCGATACATGCGTGGCACTGAACGTTCATGTAGTCGCCTAGGGCCATGATAACAGACTGGATCTGGGTCGCAAGTTCGCGGGTGGGGGAGAGGACAAGCGCTGCAGTAGGTTAGATTGGGAGCGCGGCGGTGTCTTTGACCGGCATACCTTGAGTTTCGCGAACGACTGTATCGATGACTTGCAGGGCACTGATCGAGAAAGTAGCCGTTTTACCGGTACCGGACTGCGCCTGAGCGATTGTGTCGCGACCCTTGCAAATTTGGACGATAGCGCGAGACTGAACGGCTGAGGGCGATTCGTATCCGTACGCGTAAATACCACGGAGAAGGCTTTCCTTCAGGTGCATATCCTCGAAGGTGGGAGCAACGGTGACCTCCCTGGAGGTGTTAAACTCCATCTTGTCTAAAGTTTGCGCCGTTAGCATTCGCGCATCATGCTTACAGTCATTAACGTACCATCCGCTCGTCGATCGATTCCGTCGGCCATTTTGGTTATTGAATCTGAGTACTGAAAGGTTCAGTGAACAGGACTGTTTGTTGGTCGAGATTGAGCCTCGAGGCCTTTGGCAGCGACTTTTCCGCCGAGAGTGACCGCCTGGGTCACGTGCCAGAATCTCGCCGCCGCAGAGCTCTGGCACAGCGCGGACAACCTTGTCAAGCCGACACGGATAATCCAGATTGACAATCTGACTCTTACAGAATGGTGCTCGAAGATCAGCGGTTTATTCATGAAGACTTGGAGAGATTGGAGCAAGCCATAGCGGACCGCGTCGCAGAAGAACCCCGCAATGTGAGTTGAACTGGCAGTTTTTCTGTCTATTTATTGCTAAGGAGTGCACTTCAGATACGTGAACGTCTGTCTCGCGACCATGAAATAGCGCATTTTCTAAATCGCATAGATGAGCAGTCTGAGCGGTTACTCGATATCTACAAGAACACCGAAAGCGAACGCGAGAAAGAGATCCAGGCCATCTCCACCGGCGACCAGTTCGAAGAATTCTACAAGCGACTAAATGAGGTCAAGGACTTTCACAAGCGGTACCCGAATGAGCCGGTTGAGAATCTTGAGCGGGCGTACAAGCGCCGCCAACCAGGCGAGGGCGAGCAGACGGGAATGGAGGTCGACACGATGTTTACTGGAGAAGAAGGATATGGACAGTTTCTCGATCTTACAACCCTGCATGACCAATACCTGAACTTGCCGGGCGTGAAGAGACTGCCATATATACAGTACCTCGACATATTCGATGCCTTCACACCCCCGCAACTACCGATCAAACGAAACAACAAGCTCTCGGACAGGTATTTCCAATATGTAGGGGAGCTTGCGAACTATCTTGAAGAGTTCATCAAGAAGGCACGGCCTTTACAGGATCTGACCAAGATCTTTGCTAGCTTTGATGACGATTTTGAAAAGCAATGGGCTGCGAACGAGGTCCCTGGCTGGACTGAAGAGAAAGTCAACGACGGTACACTGGGTCCGAAAACTGAGGGATCTGGGGAGGGCATCTGGTGTGCCGACTGTGAAAAGGAGTTCAAGAATGAGAACGTATACAGGAATCACTTGACGGGCAAAAAGCATATCCGCGCCGCCGAGGCTCGTAAAGCTGCAGGTGACTCGGGCGAAGGGCCTGTGCCAACCAGCAATGGGCCATCAGCAGCTCATCGGTTGAAAGAACGAGCAGTCGCTGAACGCGAACACCGTGTTCGTTCCTTGGCAAGAGTCCTCATCAATGAGCGACAAGCGACCAAGATCAACGTTGAGCGAAGACAAGGTATGACAGAGCGAGAGCGTCAAATGGAGCTGGAGGCAATGCTCGCTGAATCAGAGGATGTCGGGGGTGACCGTGGGAATGAGTCTGATGAGGAAGGGGAAGATCGCGTCTACAACCCTCTCAAGCTTCCCCTCGCTTGGGACGGCAAGCCTATTCCGTATTGGCTATACAAACTACATGGTTTGGGCGTGGAATACTCCTGTGAGATCTGTGGTAACTATGTTTACATGGGTCGTCGCGCATTCGACAAGCACTTTTCTGAGGCGTTGCATATCTTCGGCTTGAAATGCCTCGGCATTACATCGAACACCAACCTCTTCCGTGAAATTACTAAGATTGATGATGCCATGCGACTCTGGGAGAAGTTAGACCAAGACCGCAAGAAAACCCGAGACCTTCAAGACAACGTGGTACAAATGGAGGATGCAGAGGGCAACGTGATGCCTGAACGGATATACCTTGAGTACGTCTCCCCCAGGCTTCATACACCATTGCTGTGCTAACGATTACTAGTCTCCAAAAGCAAGGTATCCTCTAGTGGGCGCTGGGACATTTACAATCATTTTCTTCATCGTGTCGAAACCTGGCGTTGTAGGTATCTTTTATAGCTTATGCCAAGGTTGTTGCTTATCTAGGGAAAATTGAGTGTCCAGTGCGCTGACTAGAGCATCTACCTAGTGTGCCTGGTATTCGGCTAGAGTATACAAGTCCTCCTGGGTTGGCCTGGTTCCTCCGTAGTCTTTGCCAGCAATCCAATAATGTCACGTGCTTTCGTGAAACCAAGGGTGCGTCTGCCCCGCTCGCGTTTCTTTCACTTCACCAATGCCTTCACCAGGGCTTTTTCACTGTGGCCCTCACGTTCAAGATCCAAGACTGCATGGGATGCAATATATTATCAACTATTATCCCCGATGAGAGACACGCAACAGTGGAAAGGTGTCGCGCTTAAAAGACACCCCATTCACCACGGGCACAATCCATGGGGTTCAAGTTCACTTTCCTATGTGATCTGCTCTCGTCTCTCGAGGACAACAGGATCCTAAAAGCAGCTACCGAAAATAGGAATCGAAATCCGGATGCCCGCACTGTTACACAATGGTTTGTTCGGCATGACAAGAAGCTGCGTGATCGCGAAACCGACCGACTCGCTCTCCTTTCGTGCATGTTCCCGGAGAAGCGAACGGACCGCGTTTATTGGTTGAAGGATGCAAATTTGGCCAGGGTCATCGGCAGATGCTTATTGCTCGGGCTGTCCCGTCGCGAGGAACTTGAAAAATGGCGAGTGGCTGGTGGAGCAGACCTCGGTCAATGCGTCGAGAATGTAATGCGACAAGCGGAAAATCATGTTGTCGGAGGTCAAGAGGTCACTGTGGAGGAGATTGACAAGGCACTGAATATGGTCGCCTCGCGCTGTCGATTCTCTGGACCAAATATCCGACGCCAGCGTTCTGCTGTCGATGTGGAAGGGACGCTCTCACCGTTATACCGCCGGCTCAGCAGCAGGGACGCCAAATGGCTGACGCGGATGATCCTCAAGACGCACTTCTCCGATATTCTGCCGGAAAGGTTGACGCTGAAGAGCTTCCATTTCTTGCTGCCGCATCTCTTGCTCTTCCAGAATTCATTTGAAGCCGCCGTGAGCTTGCTCTCGTCTGAACCAATCATACATTTCCCACCTAGGCCTGAGATAGGGTATGCGAAAGACTTGGGCAAAATAGCTCTGCATCATCTCACTCCGACAATTGGGATCAAGGTCGGAAGACCGGAGTACTATAAGGCACGAAGCATCAAGCATTGCTGCAATATGGTTGGACAGCAGAGGATGAGTGTTGAGAGAAAATATGACGGCGAATATTGCCAGATACATATCGATCTCTCGAAGCATTCGGGTTCCATTCAGATATTCTCTAAGAGTGGCAAAGACTCCACCTCAGACAGGGCAGGCGTTCATCAAGCCATTCGAGAATCCTTGAGAATTGGTAGGGATGCCTGTAGATTCAAAGAACGTTGCATCCTTGAGGGTGAGCTCCTTGTTTGGAGCGACAAGCACCAAGACATCATGCCCTTCCATAAGTTGCGCAAACTGATCTCTCGATCTGGCGTCTTCATTGGGGCAGAGAGCGATTCTCCGTTAGTTACGTCCAATTGACCTCTGTGTGGTGATACTAACAGGAACAGGCCCCAGCCTTATGAACGCTTGATGATGGTGTTCTTCGATATACTCGTCCTCGACGAAAAGATACTTCTTCGGAAGCCGCATCGAGAGAGGCGGTTGCTTCTCAAGGACACAGTACAAGTGATTTCGGGTGTCGCTGATATCGCTGATCAGCGTATCATTGACTTCTCCCGCTCCGATAGTCTATCTAAGCTTGAGACGCTTTTCTCCAAGGGAATTGCTGAACGATGGGAAGGCTTCATTCTGAAAGGATGCGAGGACCCATATTTCCCGATACTGGTTGATTGCGGAACTAGCTGCGAAGGCCGCTGGATCAAGCTCAAGAAAGATTACATTCCAGGCCTGGGCGACACAGTAGACCTTGCATTGGTCGGTGCAGCTTACAATGCTTCTGATGCTTCCATGCTAAAGCTCGCAAAGAAGGAGACTTGGACACATTTTTTCGTGGGATGCCTTGAAAACAAAGAGGCTGTCTTGCAGTCCAATGCCCAACCTAGGTTTCGCGTTATAGACGTGATCGATCACCATGGCATCAGCCAGAACAATATGCAGACTCTCAACAGTTTTGGTAAGTTTAGCGCTCACAGCGTAGACTCTGACCGCGGGATCGACATCACAGACATAAGACCGGGCATGCCTCACATCGATGTCGTCTTCAAAACGCCATTTGTTGTTGAAGTTCTGGGAAGTGGTTTTGAGAAGCCGTCAGGCGCCCGGTATTACACGCTCCGTTTCCCCAGGATTCTGAAGATTCACTCAGATCGGTCCCTCGAAGATGCTGCTTCCTTCCGAGAGCTACAAGTTCTGGCTGAGGCAGCGGTATCCGTGCCCTCGGAAGAGCTCCTCGAACAAGAAGCAGAGTGGGCGAACCGCATTAGATCGGGTACGTCCAAGCCAGAGTATCAATCAGATGATTCACAAAGCTCGTCTACCATCAGCTCTCCTGCTTCTGCGAATGGTATCCCCATATACGTTGATCGTCCGACCTCCTCTAATTCGTCAGATGGATCGGAAGGAGCTGCAGACAGTGTCCTCACGAGTAATGAAAATGTGTCCTCACAGGCAAATACTAGAAAGCGAAAGGCAACGGCGTCCGCACCTGAGCCATGTCTTAAAAGTGCCTGTCGAGAATCAAAGAACGCCCAGTCAGTGGACGAAGGCATAAATTTGACCTTGACTGTCACGTCTTCATCACAGTATATGGCAACCATAGAAGGCAGTCTTCTCAATAATCCCACCACCACAAGCGTCCAGGTGATCTCAGTTATTGGGCATAAAGGGAGCCTTGATGAAACACACCGATCTCCTCTCACCACAGTTCCCATCTACATCCATCCCAGTTCTGCCTCTAAGCTCCAGTCACTAAATGGTCTCAAAAATATTGCCAAAACTATAGAGGAGTTCCTTCTCATGTTAATATCCGAGGACCACGAATCCGATTCAAACAAACCTAACATCGGTCCAGTCTCTCAAAATATGACTCTGGGAATCATGTTCGCTGACTATTCCAAATACCCCCTGGGTCCGGCACTTCTCCAATTAAACGAACAAATCTCCCAGGCCTTCGCCGCACCCTCGTCCAAAAATCACTTTCAAGGCCGGATCTTCCTCCTCAGCTCGGACTTTCTCCAGCTAGACTTCGACTGGACTAACAGCAAATTTTGCCTTCGCAAGACCTGGGAGAAAATAAGCAAAGCCTACTTCTACGCTTGTATAGCCTGGGACGCCGACAAACACGTCACCCCTGGAGAACCTCTCGATGAGATTCCCAGCACGCCCTTGGATAATGATGATGTCGTTGGAAACTCTACTATTAATACCAATGTTGCCAATACCACCCGACGGCCCCGTCCGAGCGCGATTCTGAGACGAAATTGTGTATCCGCACCTATACTCAAGCCAAAGCTCAAGATATTGTTCGACAGAAAGCTGATTTTGGAACTTGGGCAACTTACCTCCTTAGACCCCTTGGTGAGGGCTGATACGCGGGCTGGGTAACTTGCGTCGTTTCTTGGTCACGTTTTGTCTGCAATGGACTTTCTGGATTAGAAATCTGGTGGATAAATGGTTTGATGCTATTAATTTTACGCTGTTATGGCATAATGGGAGAACATTGGCGCCTCTTAGGCAGATACATTCTCTACCTAAAATCATGTGCTAAAAATGACGAAATATATCTTTCCCTCGACCTAAGCTACCTAGGTACAGAGTATGCCAGCAAAACATAATAACCATGGTATCAACGAATATCCGCCAAACAACATGACAACGCCGCGCTAGTCGATAATGCGTTGCAGATAAAACAACTGAAAGCAACTAGGACAAATTTATGCAGAGAAATGGCCACCGAAAGCAAGAAGCGAAGAAGTACTTCAAAAGCTCATTCGCCCGCCTCCCTTCTCGCCCGAACATCCCTCATCAGCGCCTTGGCCTCTTCAACCTCCACCCCATCCTGGCATAACTCCCCTGCCAGCTGATCCGCGCGCTCTAGATCTCCATGACGTAAAGACCACCGGGCAAGCCATAACCGCGCCTTAGAGGTCGTAGCCGTCGGCCCGGTGCCGTGATATGTATCCTCCTCCTCATCATTCTGGTGCCTCCTTTCGCGCCGTTGGTTATTCCCGGAAGTTGACTGGTCGTCGTCGTTTTCACTATCCGATAGGTCAGATCCCTCATCGTCGGGTTGCCCACCAGTTTCCTGCTGCAATGTGAGTTCCATATAAGCGGCCGCTTCTTCTTCGTCCTCCAGGCGCTCGTGGAGCGTAGCAATCTGATAGAGTGTCTCCGGATCGAGGATCTTGCGCCCGTGCGCGCTGCCGTGTTGCGAGGGGTCTTCAGCGTAGTATGAGCCTGCGACGAGGGCGCGTTTGAGAGCCTTGATGCTGTGCTCGATGCGGCCCATTTTTGCGTAGCAGGATCCGACGGCCTGCCACATTTTCGGATCGTAGGGGCGCAGCGCCGCGGCGCGTTGGTAGTAGAAGAGGGCGTAGAAGGACATGTCTAGGACTTCGTAGGCCTGGCCAAGACCGTACCAGGCACGGTAGTCCTTGCGGTTAACGTCGACGGCGCGGCGGTAAGATTCAATGGCGGCGTGGGTATTCTTCATCTCAATGTACTCATGGCCCATCAGAGTCCAGGCGGAGAGGAAGTTGCGGTCTAGGGTTAGGGCGCGACGGAAGTACATGACGGCTTTTTCATGTTCGGACTTTAGAGAGTAGTAGTTGCCGACCACGCAGCATGTTTCAGGGCGGAATTTGTCTGTGGCGGTTGCGACTTGGGCTACGAACGCTAGTTGCGGCCGCGCGCCCATCACGTAGAGGATGTTAGAGTAGTGGTCGAGACTGTCGAGGCGGTGGGGAGATGTGATTAGTATGTCTGTGAAGATGTGGGAGGCTTCCTCAAAATCTGTCGGATGGTTAGTGGCTGTTACGCCGCAATTGGAGCAGATGTACCTTTCGAGTGATAGTAGAGTAGTGCCCTTTGTGTCTTCAGGAAGGCACTGGAGGGAAAGATGCTTTCAAGTTCGGCAAGCGATTGATAGGTATCTTCGGTGGCTTGATACAGCTCCTGGCTGCAATGAACGTGGAAGATGAGGGTCATGATGTTTCGGGGTAAATGCTCGACGACTTGTTTCAACTGCGTATGGTTAGTGACAGAGATACGCAACGGGGTTGAGAGACGCACGTCTTCGGTACTCGCAAGCAAGTCATTCAACTCTTGCCATGCTCCCCAGTGAAACGGATTCAGATGGACACTCCTGATCAGCCACTTTCGCGCCTCCTCTTCGTTTCGTCCTTTGATGAGGATGATTCCGTAGAGGTACTCGAGCCATCCGTGGTTTTGATCCTCGACCCCTTTCTCCCGGCGCTCTGCAAGCCAGCCCTCTAGGCCGCGAGCAAGGTCTGGAAGTTCTCGATTGACTGTCGCACCGCCGTCTGCCGGACCTAGAACCATCTCCGTCTCCTCATTCTTTCGCTTTTCTCCGGCGAGATACTTGGCATATAACGCGAGGAACAATGATTTTTGACTGAGGCGCGGGTACGGATTTCGTTTCGCATCGCTGTCTTTCGTTCCAGATTGCGGAGACGCCTGTGATTTGCCCTTCTTTAAAGACGACTTGGCTTTCGGTTTCGGCGATTGGGTTGATGTTGATAATGATACGGGCGGTATAGTCGGAGGAAGGAAAACCGAGGCGCATCGATCGTATTCACGCGTGTCAAAGTACGCCTTTGCTAGGAGGTATTTGTGAGACTCTTGAGCTTCCAGCGCAGCTTCCACCGGGTCCTGGGTGCGGAGGTAAGGATTCTGCGGAGGATCTGTGATTTCCATCGGGGACTCGGGATCGGTGTCATAGTTGTCGATTGGGAGGACCGAGTCGAGGATTTCGGCTGCCCTGGGAGCATATAGAGTTAGCTAGAAGATAAGAAGCGGAACTTCAAGTGAACTACCATTTAGCCGACTGATAGAGACAGCGCTCGGAGCATTTGACAGCCGCGTCCTCCAGTCGGTATTTGAGATCCTTGATGTCGTCCTCGTTGAGATTGGCGGCCATTGTTAAGCAAGGTGAGGCGACGCAGCTCCGGCAGCGTATGGTATCGACAAGAGAGGCTGCTTGCGCGATCAGCACCTTGTTGTCGGACGTGCAGGTGGCCGCGGCAGTCCCGATTTCCCGATTGGGCAGGGCCAAACAAACAATGCAAAACGAGGCTCGGCGGGGCAGCCAGGTACTGGGGCTACCGAGTAGCCTTCGTACTCCTTTTTCGAGTTACTCCGTCCCCCCAGTCGCAGACAAAGAGATCGTCGCGCTGGCTTTTATTTTATAGTCCAGGGATCCCACCTGTCTGACACTTGCTGCTGACCTTTTGGTGTCTGTTCAATTGCTCTGGTTGAAGTGATCTTGTACAATTTGTCTCGCCGTGTACTCCGCAATGCCTTCTACCACGAGCCGCGCTGCCTTCGAGGCGGTCTTCCCCTCCCTGTCTCAGGCTATGCTTGACCATGCGAAGAAGTACAACCTGCCCGAGAACGCCCAGGAGTGGTTCCGCAAGGTATCATGACCCAATGGCTTGCGATCACTGCGAAAGACTAACCCTTTCCCGTTGCTATAGGCCATCGACACCAACGTTCCTGGCGGCAAGCTCAACCGCGGTCTCTCCGTCCCCGACACCGCCGTGGCCCTCCTGCAAAAGGAGCTGACTGAGGAGCAATACAAGGACCTTGCCACGCTTGGGTGGCTGACTGAGCTGCTTCAGGCATTCTTCCTTGTCAGCGATGACCTTATGGACGGCTCAATCACCCGCCGCGGCCAGCCCTGCTGGTACCGTCACCAGGGTGTTGGTCTCATTGCCATCAACGACGCTTTCCTCCTCGAGTCCGGTATCTACATTATCCTGAAGAAGCAGTTCCGCTCCCACCCTGCCTACGTCGACCTCATTGAGCTGTTCCACGAGACCACCTGGCAGACCGAGCTGGGCCAGCTGTGCGATCTGATTACCGCCCCCGAAGACAAGGTCGACCTCGACAACTTCTCCATGGAGAAGTACATGTTCATCGTGACCTACAAGACCGCCTACTACAGTTTCTACCTCCCCGTCGCCCTTGCGCTCCACTACCTTCAGCTCGCGACCGAAGAGAACCTCCGCCAGGCTCACGACATCCTCATTCCTCTCGGCCAGTACTTCCAGGTTCAGGACGACTACCTCGACGCGTACGGTGACCCCGAGGTTATTGGAAAGATTGGAACAGACATCCAGGACAACAAGTGCTCGTGGCTGGTGAACCAGGCTCTGCAGCGCTGCAATGCCGAGCAGCGCAAGGTGCTCGATGCCGCCTACGGCCGCAAGGACGGTGAGCAGGAGGCCAAGGTCAAGGCTCTCTACCGCGAGCTGGACCTTGAGACCGTCTACAAGGAGTACGAGGAGAAGATCGTGGGCGAGCTCAAGACGAAGATTGCGGCTGTTGACGAGAAGGGTGGGTTGAAGAAGGAGGTCTTCGAGGCTTTCCTCGGCAAGATCTACAAGCGCAGCAAATAAGTGATGGCCATTACGCTATTTCGAGATACCTCATACTATAGACTAATATAATGATTTGAGATTGTTGGCAGCTTTGCGGCACGAACATGCGCATCACTCGTGACCATGGCCAATCTTCTTGCTAATTTAGGATTGCTACCTATTATGCTGTACCTATGACTTATGATCCGCCGTGATCAGGATGGTTCCTCCAAGCTTTTCCATTCAGCATATCTGCCTTGACACCTGGCATTTATCCAGTCTTTTCTCAATCTTCATCTCCATCCGTTGACAAAGAAGGCCGTACAGAATTGCTCACGGCAAACAAATGTATCGTTGGTCTAGCTATCGAACGGCCATGCTTTTTCCCACGCAACTACTTCGGCTTCGGAATGTGCTAGCTGGTTAATCAGATCCGCTTTCGCTTGCCTTAAGAGCCTTTTTACATCATCATATTGCTCAGGCCGGACAACACATTTTTCGGGCCACATCTGACCTAGCGATTGCTTTAGGCTCTGCATTAATTCCATGCCTCTGATGGCCCCACAGGCATCTTCGTTGATCCGAGCAACCTCATCTGCGGAGAACTGCAGAGGGTACGGCGGATTGCCGGACGCTTGCACACCCGGAAGAGCTGTCCATTCCTCTTCAAGATCAACGCATCGAGACTGATACAATGCCTCACCGTCTATAAGGAGATTCTGAGCAAGAAGTAACATGTCGAAGCTGGTAGTCTCGCGAAATTCGATGGCTTTGTATAAAGTCCTGTTAGTGCTGTAAGCGAACCTCCGGTATAATGCCGAAAGTGACACCTTGAGATATAAGTCCTGCGCTTTGGCTTGCTCGGCAGGATTGAGTTTGTCAAAGTCTGCTGGGAAGTCTGGCGGATCGAGACCTGTTGATGGGGGGCCATCGTAATCCAGGAAGTATGGCTGGCGAGCATGCTCAAAGAGAGGTAATATCTCACTTGACTGCCAATCTATGATACCCAGTACATCATCTGCTGGTCTTTCTGGGTGAACGAAGATGTTCTCCGTGTGGAGGTCAGGATGCCATAAAATGGCCGCCACAACTGAAGCGTCTGTTGGCAGGGGGGAGTCTTGAGAAAATGCTTGGCGCCCAGAAAGGGGTCATCAAAGGTCCTTCAGTCCTTCACATTCTGGGGAGAACCGAACTGGACTATAACCTGGATTCGCATTAACAATCAATCCGTCAAGAGTTGAGTTCTCGCATCCAGGGTTCAGGTGTTGCTTGAGGTTGGAGCCTTGGATGTTTCAACCTTTGCCGATCGACGGTCGCTCCAACTAAAAATATCATTCCCGTTACGCATGCTCCTGTCACAGCTAGATGACCCTGGGCGGTTTCCTTCCGTTCCCTGAGTTTTCTTCATTTTCGACATCAATTACGCCTTTTCTTTTATTGATATCAGATGTCGCTTCAGCATGTGGCGCCCGTTCATAGCAATAACCGCATTGCTTAATCTCGCGGGTGCTTTTAGGGATTCGGAGCCCACCGGCGAGTGGCCGACAGAGCTCTACCGTACCTCTTCTGTTCTCGGCACATCCGTATATTCTGTACGGAGTAATGCAGCCTGCAAAGATGGTTTGTACACGTTCCTTTCGCCGCGCGGTGAGGGCGTCGCAGCACGCGGGCCGACAATTCTCGATCAGGAGGGAGAACTTGTCTGGACGAGCGAATCCACTACTATCGGAGCCGCATATAATCTAGATGTTCAGGAGTACAAGGGAAACCAGTACCTTACTTTCTGGGAGGGAGATGATAAGCTTGATGGCCATGGTCGTGGCACAATTCACATGGTAGGAGTCCTTTCCTCCTTTTGCTTTCTTTAAGGCTAAGCCCAAACAGCTTGATCAACAATATATCAAGCGCTATGAAATTCAAGGTCCAACTGGTGCCTCTGCGGACTTCCATGAATTCCGAATCACGCGCGATGACACCGCGCTCTTCACTATCTATGAGACCGTCTCAGTTGATCTGCGCGCGGTCCGTGGCCCAGAGAGAGGCTGGGTCTGGGACAGCCGGTTCGTAGAGATTGATATCGAGACGAACGAGGTGCTCTTTGACTGGCGCGCTTCGGAGCACTTCAATGTCACCGATGTCGAGAGACCGTCTGGCAGTCCGGGATGGAGTTACGGCGACCCCTGGGATTTCTTCCATCTCCATAGCGTCGATAAAGACGCCAAGGGCAACTACCTCATATCGGCCGTTCACACTGACCATCTCACCTACCTTAACGGCAGTTCTGGAGATATCATCTGGCGGCTTGGCGGAGAGCATAGCGACTTCGAGGACCTGTCTGAGGGGAGAGGCTCGACATTCGCATGGCCACACGATGCCCGCTTTCAAGATGGCGACAAAAAGATCACACTTTTTGATAATACGACGCCAGGCGACAAGGTCAACCGAGGCCTTCTCCTCGACGTGGATCAGTCAAGCATGAAAGTCAGCATCCGCAGCGAATTCCGTGCATTCGGGCATGCTGGGGTTACCCCTGAATCACAGCCGCAGTCAGACGGCTCCATCCAGGCCCTGAATAACGGGAATGTCCTCGTATCATACGGCAAGAACGGCGCAGCATGGACCGAGTTCACTAAGATGGCAGTCCCCATGTGCCACACTCAATTTGGCGCCATATCCAGCTTTGGCACGGGCAACCCGGCGTCTTATCGCGTTAGGAAACATGCCTGGGTAGGGAAGCCAGACACGACGCCGGCATTTGAGCTCAACGGGTACGAAGCGGCTGTCAGCTGGAATGGCGCGACTGAGGTCGGGAGATGGGTCCTCGAAGGCTCGCAAGTTCCGCTTCCCATCCACCATTCTAATCCCGACGATGCCGACGGCAATGACCCGAATCCGAATCCGAACTCCGGCAAGTCCGACAATTTCTTCTCGGCTATCACCACCGTCAAAAGAACAGGATTCGAGACGATCATCAACATCCCATTCCACACAGACCAGCCCTTCCTCCGAGTCCGCGCGCTTGACAGGAAGGGTCAAATCATCGGCACATCCGCCATCCTACCTTTTAATGCGACGATGAAAGGGTCGAACAGTCCAGCCGGGCCACCCAGCGAATCCGGATCACACCACCCTGCGGCTCTGATCTTCGCGGGTGTCTCCGCTGCATTAGTACTCATAGCCTGCATATACTTCTTCCGCCGCTACTGCTGGGCGTTCTGTCTCCGGAGCTGCCGACGGGCTCGGCTGGGCCGGTACCGATACCTTCCAGGCTATCGAGGCCGAGACGAGGAAGAGAACTGGGAAGAGTACTATGCGAATGGAGAGCAGGAAGAGGGACTACACATTGCTACTGATACTGAGAGTGATGACAGCGACGTTGAGGTCTCAGAGCTAGATAACCCCCGGCTCTCCCCGGCTTTGCTGTCCCCGGCTCTGGGCAGTCGCCTGAGCTGGCAGAGCTCACTGGGTAGCCCTGGTAGTAGCATTGGGAGGTCGGTGTTGGTCAGGACGCCGAGTACGTATAGTAATGTGAGCTCGAGGGAGAAGCAGCAATGACCGGCTGCGTGTATCACAAGCTATCTAGCGGATGTAAAATTTGACGTGACTCACAACATGTATAAAACAACTCGGCTGGCTCTGCTGTAACTCCGGGGCTTTATACAACTACTCCGGAGCATCCTAGCTGAATAGCGAACTGCCAGTGGCTATATTTGGCTGCACGCTATCGAATGGAGCAAGAGGCAGGCGAATTTCCAATTGGCCCTGTCCAGCCTGGGCTATTAGCCACCGGTTATTTAGCACCGGGCTCATTCAACCTTGGAAGGCTGGCCTCCAAGTCGATCTACGCGCGGAGTTGGTGGTGTGGTGTGGAGGAGGATCTGATTGGGTTCAGTTGACAGGTGGGACTGGAGAAATGACGTCACGGCTCTGGAGCTTTCCCCAGACGTCGTGGACCGCGTCATGAATGGTTGCCAGAACTCAAGCCTGTCGAGGAAAACGCTATCAGCACTGCATGGTTTGATGCTCTGTCGAGCTGCGGCTGTGGGCCCCGAACGCAGGCTCTGTAGACAATGAACCCCTTTTCGCCGCGTTTCAACCGTTGTGCTCAGATCCCAACGGTACGGTCTAGGTACGGAGCAGGGCCATCCGCCTGCAACGCGACGCCTTTGCGAGGAAAAAGCGTTTCATTGCATGAATGTATGTAGACCGGTGGGCAACTGGTCGGGTGATCTCGCAATAGTCCATTGGATAGACTCGATGAGGGGTTGCTATGCTATTCCCTCCAGGGTATCGTCACTGAGCCATCCAGAGCCAGGGTCTGAGTCCGTGCAACCGCGCCTCGGCCGCATAAAGCCAGCTCCCCCGTTCCTCTCCTCGCTTTCTTTCTCTCATTTTACGACCTCCGCAGAGAGTCTCCGAGGAAAGAGATCCGCGATTGCTCTCTTCTCCAGCCAGCTGTCCGCCCCTAGCAGGTTTAGTGTCCAGAGCCAGGTTCTGACCCGTCTAGTCTAGAACCAGTTTCCCCCGCCACCCGGTTTCGATCTTCCCCCACACTCCTGTCCAAGGCAGCGAACTCCTAAAGTCGCCTGCGTGGTCTGACAGAGGGCATTTCTGTCGCTGATTTCTCCTCCCCTTTTTTTCTCTTCCTCAGCTTTCCGGCTCAATTGCTGCTCAGCATTTATCCTTACTGCTTCGGAGACCGTCATCATGGCTAGTGAGGAGAACGACCAGGATCCACCCAGGCGCGATGTCCGCAACCACATGCTCTTCGAGATCGCGACTGAGGTCGCCAATCGCGTCGGAGGCATCTACTCGGTGCTGAAGTCCAAAGCGCCCGTCACAACGGCAGAGTATGGCGAGCGCTACACTCTGATCGGTCCGTTGAATCGCAATTCGGCCGCCGTGGAGGTTGAGGAGCTCACGCCGTCGAGTCCCGCTATGAAACAAACAATGGCGACGATGAAGGAGCGCGGCATCGAAATGATCTACGGTCGCTGGCTGATCGAGGGTGCGCCCCGTGTGCTCCTCATCGACACCGGCACTGGGTACAAATACTTGGACGAATGGAAGGGTGATCTGTGGAATACCGCTGGGATCCCGTCTCCTGCGTCGGACCACGAGACGAATGAGACGATCGTCTTTGGGTACTTGGTGGCGTGGTTCTTGGGCGAGGTATATACTCTCCGGAACTGTCTTTTGCAGCTACTAACTTGAGCAGTATATTGCTCATGAACGTCGTCGTGCTGTTGTCGCTCACTTCCATGAGTGGCTTGCTGGTGTCGCTCTACCTTTGACGAAGAAGAGGCATATGGACCTGACGACTATCTTTACCACTCACGCGACGCTACTCGGTCGGTACCTGTGTGCGGGCTCTGTTGACTTCTACAATAACCTGCAGTACTTTGATGTTGATGCGGAGGCTGGTAAGCGAGGAATCTACCACCGGTACTGCATTGAGCGAGCTGCTGCGCATTCAGCGGACGTTTTCACCACCGTCTCTCACATTACGGCGTTTGAGAGCGAACATCTCCTCAAGCGGAAACCGGACGGTGTCTTGCCCAACGGACTGAACGTCAAGAAGTTCTCTGCGGTCCACGAGTTCCAGAACTTGCACTCCCAGTCGAAGGAGAAGATAAACGAGTTCGTCCGAGGACATTTCTACGGGCACAACGATTTCGACTTTGACGATACCCTCTATGTATTCACCTCCGGTCGATATGAGTTCCGCAACAAAGGTGTCGACATGTTTATCGAAGGATTGGCGCGTCTTAATCACCGGCTGAAGTCCAGCGGATCGAAGACAACCGTTGTAGCCTTTATCATCATGCCAGCGCAGACCTCGTCGCTCACCGTCGAGTCGCTCAAAGGTCAAGCGGTCGTCAAGTCGCTCCGCGACACGATTCATATGATTGAGCAGGGCATTGGAAAGCGCATGTATGAGCGCTGTCTATCTTGGAAAGAGGGCGACAACATGCCGGATGAGAAAGACCTCATCACCAGTCAAGACCGGGTCCTTCTCCGACGCAGACTATTCGCCATGAAGCGGCATGCTCTCCCCCCCATTGTCACCCACAACATGCTCAATGACCACGAGGATCCTATTCTAAACCAGATCCGCCGCGTGCAGCTCTTCAACCAATCTTCGGACCGCGTCAAGATTGTTTTCCACCCCGAATTCCTCAACTCGTCTAACCCGGTGCTGCCTCTAGACTACGACGACTTCGTTCGTGGCACGCACCTTGGAGTCTTCCCGTCTTACTACGAGCCTTGGGGGTACACCCCTGCGGAGTGTACTGTCATGGGCGTCCCCAGCATTACGACCAACCTTTCCGGGTTTGGATGCTACATGGAGGAGCTGATTGAGAACTCCTCGGACTACGGCATCTACATTGTGGACCGCCGGATGAAGGGTGTAGACGACTCGGTCAACCAGCTGACTGAGTTCATGTACAACTTTACGCTCAAGAGTCGGCGACAACGGATCAACCAGCGTAACCGCACGGAGCGTCTTAGCGACTTGCTGGATTGGAAGCGTATGGGCTTGGAATATGTCAAGGCTCGCCAATTGGCTCTTCGAAGAGGTATTCCACGCCATAAAGTGAATAAATCTACACATACTGACTACGAACAGCGTACCCCTCGTCCTTTGAGAACCAGGAAGACTACTTTGATGTTATCGGCGGAACCGAGCAGAAGATCTCGCGGCCATTGTCTGTTCCCGGGTCTCCTCGGGATCGCTCTGGAATGATGACTCCGGGTGATTTTGCATCTCTACAAGAGGTCAAGGAAGGTCTCTCGACCGAAGATTATGTTGCATGGCGCCTCCCGTGAGTTTTGGCCCCTGCCAACAGCAAGCTTCAGCTAACCCCAACAGTACAAGCGAGGAGGACGACCCTGAAGACCACTTTTACCCTCTCACCCTGCGGACTAAGAAGTCGGACCGACCGTCTTCACCTCTGGATCGGATAGCCATAAACGGGGGCCAGGCCAGCTAGCATCTTTTATTTTCTTGCATTCGCACACGCCTGTCAGCGTACTTGTAATTTCCTGCGCGTTTATATTGCCTTCGAACAGAGCTGGTTTCCAGCCAGTACAGATGTTAGTCATTTGTTATTCTTACTCAATTATCCATCTTGCATTCGGCGACTCTCAATAGGCTCAGCACTACCGATATCGGGCAGATCAGGGCACAGATCGCTGTACTAGCTGTGAAACATGGCGGATCGCAGTCGTCCGACCGGACCGAGACAGGAATGACGAAACCCATGGTTCCAATGAGATGGGGTGATCGGCCTCGTAGTGGTTCCCAGAGTCCCAGACTTTATGAAGTCAACAGTGGAGGCCCCGTGACCGCGGGGTATTTATTGCTGCCCCTCGTCTGCCTCAACTCTCCATCCTCAACCCACACTCTCATCCATCATTCTCTCATCTCATCAACAATCGCTATCGGTACGCGCCATCATGTGACGGACTTTCGCTTGGGTTCAGACGGGTCAAGGTATCGTACAGAATATCCAACGGTCACTGCCTCCGCATGACAGGTGTTCGGCCGGGGTCACTCCCGGCCGTTCTGAGATTATACTGTCACAACTTGATCTAGATAATACTAGCGAAAGGACATGCGTTGCATTGGTTGCCCCTTTTAATGAGGAAGAGAGCGCCGTCTCTCATGCTGACAGCTTCCAGTACCGTCAATTGCTTGACTTGACCTGAATCTGCCAAGATGTCTACTGATAAGATCACCTTCTTGACTAACTGGTACAGCTTGCTGCCTTCGTTTATTGTAAGATAGTGCTAAGGCCCCTGCTAGGCACGCGACCCCGTACCACGCCCCCCTGTACCTCGCCCAGAGCAAGGGATTCTTCAAGGAAGAAGGCCTCAAGGTTGCTCTGCTCGAGCCCAATGACCCCTCCGATGTCACTGAAATTATCGGCAGTGGCAAGGTTGATATGGGCTTCAAGGCTATGATCCATACTCTTGCTGTATGACTCTCTTTCTGGTATGATGCGCTCTGCTAATAAGAGTTGCAGGCCAAAGCCCGCAACTTCCCAGTCACCTCGATCGGCTCTCTCCTCGACGAGCCCTTCACCGGTGTCGTCTACCTCAAGGACAGCGGCATCACCGAAGACTTCCGCTCCCTCAAGGGCAAGAAGATCGGCTATGTCGGCGAGTTCGGCAAGATCCAAATCGACGAGCTCACCAAGTACTACGGCATGACCGCCGACGACTACACCGCCGTCCGCTGCGGCATGAACGTCACAAAGGCCATCATCAACGGCACCATCGATGCCGGTATCGGCCTCGAGAACGTGCAGATGGTCGAGCTGGCTGAATGGCTTGCGTCCCAGAACCGTCCCCGCACAGACGTGCAGATGCTCCGCATCGACCAGCTCGCTGAGCTCGGCTGCTGCTGTTTCTGCTCCATTTTGTACATCGCCAACGACGCCTTCCTTGCGGCGAACCCGGAGAAGGTCACCAAGTTCATGAATGCCGTCAAACGCGCGACCGAATACGTCCTTGCTGAGCCGGCGAAGGCTTACGAGGAGTACATCGACATGAAGCCCATAATGGGCACCCCTGTCAACAGGAAGATCTTCGAGCGCTCGTTCGCGTACTTCAGTCGCGACCTGAAGAACGTTCAGCGCGACTGGAACAAGGTCACCAACTATGGCAAGCGCCTGGGGATCCTGGAGAAGGACTTCGTGCCGAACTACACCAACCAGTACCTGTCTTGGACTCTCGACAAGGACTCGACTGATCCGCTGGGTGACCAGAAGCGTATGGCGAAGTTGCAGGAGCAGGTTGCTTTGGAGGGTGGCTTCCATCGTCTGGGGGCGGCTTCCGCTTAGGGCCATTTCCGTAAGGATGTCGCAGCCCTCAGGGCTTTGCCTACCCTCTGCTCAAGGCTCTGTTGAGGGTGTATCGGCCCACAAATGCGATGATTAGCTAGCGTATCCCAGACACTCGTTCGTGTACGCTTCCCGAATGCCATTATGAATTCAAGCACTTTTGATCAAATCCTTCAACATTTCCTAAGTAGAGACACAATCAGTACGCATCACATTGCCTACAACTCAGGTGAACTTCTCATTACAGTTGGGCGATATATTCTGCTCTCACTCAGCCACGTCTCCATCTGCTATCAACCATCTCCTGAGCCCCAAAACAAGTTCCTGATCCTCGTCTGGTACGACCCCAATCCTCGCATACTGTTATATTTCTTACTAAAGGTATTATCCTCTATCATCCCAAGAACAGCCTCAGCCGAATGCAGCGGCGTAAATAAGTCCCTCTCAACCCCTTGTTGCCTGCGCTCCCTCGCCTCCAAAAGCAGCAGCGTCGAGGGCACCCCCTCTCCACGACCAGCAGTAGGCTCAAGTGCCGCCTGCAAGCGCTCGTGCTTGTAATGCGGGTGACGCAAATAATCATTCTCCCGACGCAGCTGCTCAAACTCGCACTCCTGCACGGCATCCAACTCTCGACCCCGGCCAAGAGCCATAAGCACACGCTCATACCTCCTCTCCTCAATCGCCATATTCGCATCCCTCCACTCAAAACACTCCTTCACGTACGCCGCCAGCTCCTCTTCATCCGGAACAGACACCAACTGCACCATCCAGCGCGGATCATGCGGGGTCATCAAATTCCCAAGCGACCGCTTCACATGGAGCACGAGTGTCTTCCACCCAGCTCTTCTTCGACTGGACTGGTACTCCCACCGGAAGGTCGTCTTGCACCCCGGGAACCTGCAGCGCGCGTCGGAGTCGTCGGAACGCCACATATCGATGTCGACGTCGATGTCGACACTGACGTGGTTTCCAGCTCCCATGGCAGCCCGGGCCCGCCGCCTCATTTCCTCCTTCTCAGATAAAATCACGGTGTATCGAGAGCTTGACAATGTCTCCCGATAACTCCTCGCAACCGTGCCATCGCCCAGCCTCGTATGCGGACACGTCGGGATATCGAATCCGCGCAGGAGGCGCGTGGTCTCGGCTTTGCTTACAGTAAACTCTTGCTTATCCGGGAGCGTGGTCAGCTCGTACGAGGCACACAGTCCAAACTCCTGTGTTCTCAGTCCATGCTCCAGACCGAACCGCACGATGAAGCCTGAGCTTCGCTGCGGCTGCGGCTGCGGCTGTTCGTGGTTGTTGTGGTACGCCCGCGGCCACCAGGACTCGCGCTTCGATGCGTCGTCGTGGCTGATGATTCCGGGCCCGATGTAGAGGCACCTTTGGGTGGATGTGCATTTGCGGATCGTGGGTGCGAGGGATTGTTGGCTCGGGGTGAAGAACTTGTGCCTGTGCATTGTGCTGCATGCCGAGCAGTAGGCGTGGCTGGTGAAGCGCAGGCCATCGCGGGCGAGGCGTGAGCGCAGGGCGTATGTGTTGTCTAGGGATAGTGGGGGGCAGAGGGGGGTGAAGGTGTGTTTGAGGGGTTGGCAGGATAGGGAGAACGAGTGCTTGTCGAGAGGTGGGAGGAGGTGGAAGATGGCGAGGAGGAGCTCTGTTGGGAGGGAGAGGAGGGAGGCCATTGTCGCAGTTATGATTTATTTGTGTTGTATAGAGCCAATGTTGTTGCCTGCTAGTTGACAGTCATGTGATGACCAACAGTCTTCTTCCAGCTCTTTCTCTGTCTGAGTCTTCCAGTCTTCCAGTCTTCCATGTCCTCATAAACCAAGCTTCATCCCGTCAACCACCGAATCAGGTGTAGCTTGCTAAAGATGCCGTCTGAAGAAGCTCAAAGTCAATATTATGGTTCCCCGGCATGAGATGCAAGGACTGCACCTGCTCCGAATCTTCCTGCATCTTGGTGGACTCAGTCATAAAACGTTCAGTCACAAAACGTGGATATGAACGCTGGTAGCTGATGGCAAGCACCCTTCTGGCTTGGAAATGGCTGTTCTAATTCTGGAATTGCAGTTATGTCGATAACCTACGGGACGAGATTAGATACTACGAACTCGTGCGACAGAGGACATCGCTGCCACGGAGTTAAGGAAAGAAAGTCGTCTTGAGGCGTGGACACCGGATACTGTGCAGCAAAATCCATCGTCGCCCAAGTTCCCCATCCAGGACCCTCGCTCCGGCTATCAGAGAGAAGGTAGTATTGCTACGTACGTCTTTAAGCCGCTAGTCTTTGAGCTGGAAATGCTGACCAGCGCCTAGTATTGCCCAACTGGCCGCCGCAGCTGTTACATCCAAGACAAGGGTCATTTCTTCCATCCCTTTTGGCAAAAAGATGGCGAGGGAGCAGGATCAGCTTGACCAAAGCCATGCAAGAGAAGCTGCTCAGCCTACCCCTGCCGTCGCTCAAAGCCTACATCATGTCTAGTAGGTGTTACCGTGTCCACCTTCAGCAATACCTCATATCATTCTGTTCAATTCTAGCTTAACTGGTCGCCACGTCTTGCACCCGTTTCTTCTACGATCTGAAATTACCCAGGATCTCCAGGATTGTCAGCTGGCCTTTCCCTTAGGTACCCAACAGTCTCTATTTTGCTTCTACATGGTATGCGTCATCGGAGCTCTGTATCTGCCGTACTGGCGTTCATGCTACCACAGAAATTTATTATTGGATGGCAGCCATGTCCCATTAAAGGGAGGCCTTGAGAGCCGGAGGACTGGAACTAGCCCAGAACATCCCTCTGATCACGGTGTTCTCTGGGCAATATGAGATCAGAAGCACGGCGAGTCCTTCCCATGCATTCGACACCACCATGAGTGATGAATAAATGGCCGGAATCAAGTGGGAATTGACTCGACTGGCTAGCCGCATATGCTTCGAAAATGGTTTCCATCGAAGCCATACAGTCACCTTCCACCGATGGAGCAGCAAATTTGCAGAGGACATTCTGGGTAGCCTACGTCAAGAAGAGACACGCCAGTTCGATGTTGTGAAGAACGCTGGCCGTGCAAGACATGGAACTGGCGTGTCTCTTGATTATCACAACGCAGCTGCCCATCGATGTGGATGACAATCTCATCGAGGCCGGCCAAATCCATTTTCAGCAAGATAGGGGAGTCTCCGAAGTCCCTGTGCAGAACCGTCAGATCAAGGTCCCCACATCACAGCTCGTATCCATGTCGCATCCGCGAAATCCAGCATCATAAATAATTTCGGCAAGTCGGTTTTCTACTCAATCCTTGGTGAACAGACCAAATGGAGGACGATCATGGCCACGGCAGATGATTCCACTTGCGCATCCCGCACACGTCCATGGATAGACTTCAATTCCTTCAAAGAAGCACTTAGCTTCTATCAAGCAATTTTTATCCCGTCACCAGGTCGAACCAGAACCCGAATCCGAACCTCCCATAATAGCATAGTAGACTATATACTGAGGTATGCCGAGAGCACGATCCAGGTTCCTTGATGCTACGGCAATCTGACATCTTCCTTGCTATACTGAAAGACACGGAAAATGCCGCGTTTGTAGTACAGAGGACAAGCTCTAGGATCTGTCCGATATGGGACAAGGTACGCTGAAATAGGCCCTGCCCGAGTCTCGGATGCCAACTATAGATTCGGAATTCTCCTTCGTTCATCTCGACCGAACTTTGAAGTCGAGAATGTGTCTGCGTGAACAGTGCTTACATAGGTACCCTTCTGTCCGATCCCTCATATGCAATCAACAACGCATTGCCCTACATATCATATCCATTGCCATACAAGATCGCCGCCACATCCCTCCAAAACAATCGAACCATCTCGATTCTGCACGCCGCGAAGGAAGGCAATATGCGATCGGCGCTTCCAATTGGTAGGCATGCATATGCATAGTCGATCCGTTTGCATCTGGAGAGACAGGGGCACTCCCTGGTCACTCGCCATTTCCGCCTACTCATAGCTACAACGACGACGGGGTCATCGCCGTAATCCGAGCCACCAAAGCCTAGAGGTCACCCGCTATCATCCAGCTCTTCTTCTGGATACTGCGCTTCCAAGGTGGCGAGTTTGTGCGCTACGTGGTCAATGCAGCACGCGGCTACGGTCCCAATGGCTGTGCATTTGGACCACTGCATCAAGACCGCAGATATTGAACTGGCGCTAACGCTCCCTTTGACCCGATTATGATTGACGGCTGAGGCAGAGAATGTGGCGCTGTGCGCTGAGACCATCAAGCGAGCACACGAGCTCGGATCAACCATGAATCTACCTACCTATGGAAGAGATTACGGTACGTGATCTACTCCAAGCCGAGGGACTTCCTTCTCCAACAGCTCAACTGCCAATCCACAACACCAGCCTGCCACTGCCGCAAGGCGAGAACCGACTGCCTCCCGCCTCAACAGACCCTGACAGACCATAGGATACCTCGGTAAGGCACCCTAGGCTGACCTTACTGAGGTTTAGGTTGATTCTGACAGCCTCTCCTTTACCTAGACCCCTCACCCGTTCATGGATGTGGACACATCTACACGAAATCTCCCTGCAGCATTACTCGGCACGCTGTATGGGCTGTTATTATTACCATCACCATTAGCCCTGGGTAGTATCCACCTGATGGTGTTAGCGATAGGCGCTCTGAGGCAGGACACCCTGTCTCTGGAGCGCTCATGCCATGCTACGCTGTGTGTGCGTGCTGCCCGCCACAACATGGACGCAATCATCAAGAATCAAGAAAGAGTCGACCGACACGTTATAGTTGCTTCATATGCTTACGGTCTTTTCTCTCTACGGTCCGTGCAGTGGGGATTACTGGCAGCTGGTAGGCTTAATGGTGCAGGTTGCCATTGCACTGGGCTTCCACTGGATTCCTCGCAGTGAGGTCGAAGACCTGAAGTCTGTCCTGAGCCTACGCGCTTTTTGATGTGCATATTTGTTGGGCAGGTTAGCATCCCTACCAAATGACGCGTGGGAGCAGACTGGCTGTCACCAGGGGCATGTCTGTTGCAGTGGGTTGTGAATTGTCCCTGTGGGATACATTGCTTCGCCCATGTTCTTATCTGTGGGATATCAGGACCCAAGGATGCTTAGCTATCAACCTGCACAAGCTATTGCAAGTCTCGCCGGATTCTAATGCTACTTCTACTTCGAATCCATGGCAGCAGCTGGTTAGTCTCTCTTTGCTTACTTGGATTATTTCGCACCGAAGCAATCCGAGCATGAGCATGACGGAGTCTCATGGTTGCACTCTGACTACGTCCACTTCGCAAGTGCTGCGGAAGGCCCACGAACAGAAACAGTGATAAGGACAGTGACGTCTTGCGATATGGGACCTCTTTTAACCCTGCACCTGATAACCTGGTCCTGGGCCCTCCGTTCGCAGCACCAGCACCATAGCAGCTGCAGTCGCCTGCAGCCGCCTGCAGCAGCTCACCACGCGGCATACGTGAATCATGCTGGCCGCCTAGATGCAGAGGTTGTTCGACTGCCGTGGATCACAGGCTATTTGCTTGTGCCTTCTTCCTTCCACTAGTTCTGGGAGCTTCTCAGTGACATAAAAAGTACGGAGGGAAAAAAAAGAAGAAAAGAATGCATCAGCCGGGAGTCGAACCCGGGCCATTCGCTTGGAAGGCGAAGATCCTACCGTTGGACCACTGAAGCTCTTATTGGTTACTGCACTGTTATTTGTATAGATAAAGATTTTGTTACTGGCGAGAGTGTTCTCCGCTTAAGGTTGTTGGATGGCTGACGGCACATGCAGGCAGCCAGCCAATGATCGCAGTACCGCAGCCTATTGCTCGTATAGATGGAGCTATCGGGGGAGGCGGGAGCTTATCTGACACTGCGTTTGAGCCTATGGAAGCTATAGTATTTATCAAACTTCATCTCGTATTACTGGAAGTGCAAGGGCCTGAGCCCTAGCTACTAGCTGTTTACCACCGACAGTCTGTCAAACACAGGTCGCTCCCTCGTTGCCTTCCCACCAGCTGGAACCAGCCCCGACCCGTGAGCATCAACTCCCTAGTTGTTTCTGGCGACCACGGTGGCTCCGGTTCATACACAGAAGGGCAAGGGGGCCATGGCGGGCATCACGGAGGACAAGACAGGTAGACGGGGCTTGGGATATGGTGGAATCCATCGAACCAATCTAGGTAGCGTACTATATATTTAGTTAATGCCAGCCAGTTCTGTTTTATATTTTGGCATACAAAGCCAGGGCAGGGCACTGTTATTTGTACTTGCAGATCGGTACCGATAGTCATATACAAGGACTTCCTGAACCTACGATGAATAACTCTCACTCCGGCCGTCCCGTCCGCATAAAGATATTCGACGGCTGCTCCCTCCCCTTGAACTGTTCATCAACAACATACTCGCACTCCCCCCCATCCTGCACAAACCCAAGCTGTCCATACACATGCCGCCCCATGCTCGACGCCTCCAGCACAGCCTCCAGCCCACCGCGTCTCCTCGCCTCGTCAAGACCCCACTGCACCAGTTTCGTCGCGACCCCTTTCCTCTGAAACGCTGGGTCAACGACACACAGATCCAGCACCATCACCGCAGGACTGGGACTGCATGCGATCTCCTCGACCACCGCAACCCGCCGTCTATGCAGCGAGCGGTCGAGCTGCAGGAGGTACCTCTGTTCCGTAGGATCACCCGGGTAAACCGCCGCGGCGTCGATGTCAAGGGGAACATCCCCGTGCCCATCGAGCATAGACGCCTGCGCCAAGATCGCAACGCCGACGATGACTTCGCTGTTGGCGCTGGGGCTGGACATGGTCGCTTTCAGGAAGACCGTATTCGGGTCCCCGGTTCGGTTGCGCGTGGTTGACGACCACCGCTGGATTAACCGTTCGACTCCCTTCTGTTTCCCTTCGGCCGTGTTCCAGCCGGGATTCATGGCCATCCAGACTCCATCGCGTGCTTGGGACCCGAATGCGGAGGCGGAGATGGTGAAGAATGCGGTGAAGTCGGATGGGTCGGTGATCGGGGTGACGGTAACTGTTTGGATTGGCATGGTGAGGGCACTTGTTACTAGGGATGTATAGGGAAGAAGGTGCACTGGAGTGGATTGCTGTTATGTCTCCAACATGCGGGGCAAGGCTTGGAAGTAGGGTCGCTGCCTAAGCGCCTTCTCAGGGCAACACGAGCCTAGCCCTACTTCCGACCGCTAGCCCTAACCCAGCTCCAGACCACCATCGAAGAAGTACCTGTTCTCCTCATCCTGTAATATAGCCACATAGGCAACGTTATGCACTCCTAGTGCAGGTAGCATAGGATCTGCACTTGAGGTCTTGTATTGGAGAAGATAAGTACATGGTAGATGGACTATGTTCCGCCGATCGTCGTATACTATTAGTATGCACCAAACCAAGAACGCAGTCGAGTGCAGCACTCATGGGATCTATCTCCGTCTGCTCCAGCCGAGCTTATTGTAGGTATGTATACAACGGCCTCTAAACACTCGGCCACCCATCCGCCCACTGCAGCACATTCCACCCAAACTGGTAATCGGCCGTCGACAGCCCGATCGTCGGGTTCGCGTAGTGGTAATAAAGCACCCAGCCCCGCGAGCTATCCTCAAAGACGCCCTGCCCACCGGGGCCGTAGACGTCCCCGTGCGAGGCGAGGATCGTCGTGCCGCCGTCTTCGGTCAGGCAGGAAGCGCCGGTTTTGTCGACCTACCAACCACATTAGCATATTCCTCGGACAATGAGACAATAGTGGGATAAGTGAAAGGGGAGCATACGAAATCCCCGGTCCCCTCCGCACTCCGACAAACCACAATCCGATACTCCTGCCCCTGGGCCGGGGGATTCGTATCGTAGCTGCCGGCCCGTCCGCTCGAGAAGGTAAGGTAATACCACCCGCGTCGATAAAAGATGAATCCGGCTTCAATGGCGTGGTTCCCCGACGAGTTGTACGCGATTTGCGTCGGTGTCGCGCCATCTGCCAGGCTCAGCGGGCCGGATAGCGGGAGTTGGTGGATGCCGTTCCAGTAGGAGCCGAATGTAAGGACCGGGGAGCCGCCGATGGACGCCCAGTTCGCGTCGATGGCGTTGTAAGACCCGCCTTCGGCTGAGGTGAAGAGGGCGCCGTGGTCGGTCCAGTTTGCGGCGAGGTCGGACGAGGTCGCGACGCCTATTACGCTGTCGCGCGAGCCCAGGGTTGAGATGGAGTAGTACATGTAGTAGAGGTCTGTCGCTTCCTCGTAGTGGATATCTGGGGCCTGGGGAGTCATTGCGTCAGTTTATTTTGGTTTTGGGTGAGTCGAGATGGATTATGGATGGATCGATGGATGCGGATGCAGGCGATTAGGGCTCATCTGCAAGCCACCCCCAATCACCCACCCCGTCTGTCCAACGGAAAGAAGCAAAGCGCCTGCACGGCAATCAAACAAGACACCGCCAGCCTGCTCCGCACATACCCAGAGATTCGTGCTCCCCGCATGATTGACGCTCGACCCCCCGGGCAGCGCCTGGCCCGCGGCCTCCCACGGCCCCTCCAGGCTCTCCGAACTGTGGATGTAGATTCCGGCACCGGTCGAGTAGCGGAAGTACCGGCCGTCCGAGACTCGCTGGTAGAAGCCCGGGTCGTGGGCCCAGCAGTCGCCGGAGCAGGCGCCTGGGTCGGAGTACTGGGCGAGAACCCCAGCTGTGAGGAGGGAGAGGAGGGGGAGTCTCATTTTCCTCAAAGTGTAGGGGAGTTGCGGAAGGTGGAAGGGAATGATATTATTATCCGGATTGCGAAATGAGACGGAGGTTGACTGGAATGCAGGAGGGAATGACCGGCTGGCAGGGCATTCTTATACCTCCAGCTGCCTGCCATGTCGTCCTTGGCTCTGCTCTTGTTATTCACCTATTATTCAGTCACCGTCGCTTGATGTCACGCAAGGGAGGAGGTCTGTCTTCTGGAAGCTTTGCTAGTCCGTATAGCCTCCTTCACCGGCCCAGCTCCTGCAAGGATGCAAGTGACGTGTCACAAGATCCGACTCGATGGTGTGATTACTTCTCCTGCTAGTCCGTTTACTCAAAGTACTTACATCGGTCGTGGAGGAGATCGTCATCGATCGTCGTCTGCGGCTGTCCTGTCTTCTAAGTTCTTGGTCTCCCCAGGGATGCACTACTCACCTCTGAGGTCATGATTGTGCCTGACTTGCTTTTGCTTTTCTCCTGCCCGACGTCACACAGCGCCTCTTCCTCGCTGTTCGTCTGCTGCTTGTCCTACCGGGTTGCGCTGCATCGCACTCCTATAGGTAGCACCTCAGCCACTAAGCTTAAGCCCCTTCCTGCAGCTGCATCTGCATAGCCCGCTGCCGGTCTCTGGGCTGACCTAATGCCCGCCCGACAGGCATGTTGCGCAAGGCATTGGAGCCACGTTTCTTACTTTACTTCCCTGCGGAGTAGTCGACTGGTCGTTGCCCCGTCGCAAGAGACAAGCAAGGAAAGCAGCTGATCTCCAAATCCAATAAATCCGACCGGGGCCGTGCTTAGCGGGGTAGGTACACGGGACTCGAACTAAGGTATTCTCCGAATCAGATGAGATAGATTAGCTGCAGATCCTCTAGCTGTTGCTGGGATGGTCACTCTGGTGGGTGGGCTTCTCCGCACACTCGCATTCGCCGGTCGCGCATCACGACGGTTTAGGGAGGAGCACACCATCACCACCACTCACCTTTACAAGGTAGTAGATGTAGCCTTGCAGCTAAATAGAGTCGGCCATCGGGCAGATGCGGGAGTCTCGCCGCAAACAAATCACGCACTGGCCGCATGACATCGCACCTGCCGACCGCTGACTTACGGTCGTCGGTAGGTTACCCTAGGTTAGACTGACAGCCCGCAAGCGCTTACCGACGCCATGTAGGACAAGCGCTCTCATTCAACGACATTATACTTTCCACATGAAAATAAGCTGGCCAAGAGCCGTGCACAAGGCTCGTGGCGTGGCGGTGCCAGCGAGCGAGACACATTGCATTACCCCACACTTTGGCTGCGGGAGGTGAGATGGGAGGCCTGTGACGATGAGGTCATGTTGCCTATGGAGTGCAGGGATGAGTGATTCCGGTCGTGGATTGGGTGAGATGTGGCCTATCGGGTTGGTTGTTTGTGTTGGTACTCCGTATACACTGCATATTTAGTCTCGGCTTAGGCATGTCGACATATACGGAGTAAGGCGGAGGTAGTGAAGGAACGAAGGGAGAGAATCCGGGAGGCAACGAGTCGTATTAATAACGACTAAACCACCTAAACCAAAATTACCTTCGGATTGCATGGCACAACTGCCATGCCCGACTTTTGGAGACAGAAAATGACGGAATCTGCAGTTCCCGTCTTGCCTGACATTCTCACTCACAGAGAATCTAGTATTCCTCGGAGCCGCCAGAACCCTTACCACCCGGGCCCGAGTCGTTGGCCGAGTCATTGATTGCAACGCACTAGCCACAGTTAGCTCTCCCCTCGTCCATCAGAAAGAACAGAAAGGAAAACACATACAGTTTCCACTCATCAGAACAGCACGCAATGATGCTCTTGCAGACGGGGCCGCTCTCGGTGTGGTCAACCAGACCTATAACGCGTTAGCAACCGCACCCTTCCAGAGCCCAAGTAGACATAGTAAAGGCTGTACATACCAAGAAGACCCAAGTCGTTATTCAGACTGGCCTTGGCAGGCACAGTCCTCATTACCGTTGAGCTCACTGAGGAAACGCTTTTTGAAAAAGAAAGACAAAAAGTTGTCTTCACTGGTCTCCTGGGCAGAGCTGCAGCAGGAGTAGGAGCCTACACCGCAGGAGGAGCCTTCGCCCTGGGCGCGGAAGACCTCCGAGGTCGCGAGCTTGATGTTCGAGGAGGAGGCGCGGAGGGCCGATGCGGTGGCCGTGGCGGCGATGGCGAGGAGGGCGAGAAATTGCATTTGAGATGGGAGTTTAGATTGGAAGCAGTTGGCTTTGATTGCTTTAGATGATGGAGATGGATGAGGATGGTGATGAGTGAGGTTGATGCCGAGGCTGAAGGGGGTCTATATCGCTTTGATGTCTCTACCTCTGAGTCTCCCGAGGGTCCTCGATGTATGCGGAAACCGCAGAGATGATACTGATTGTGAATCCAGGACACGACGATTTAGATCACGACGCTCGTTTTCAGCATCTTGTCGATCGATGCTACATCTCGAGGTCCACTATACCGACAGGCCTCAAGCCACCGACCCTGTGCGCAACCGTGGTTATGCACGCCAGGCGCAGGGCCGCGAGCAGCTGTTTCGCTGAGCCCTGGGCTGCCGGGTGGGTCTCAGGCACGGGGCGACCGGGTGGCTGGATGACGGCTTGATCATTTATAGCGAGGCGTTGGATCGGCGTGGGCTAGGGTTGGTGGGCTTGTTGTGTTCTTACTCCAGCTATACCTACTTGCATCTGGAAGGGGTTAGCTATACAGTAGGTAGAGCATTGAAACACCTCGTACCTTGTTATCCATTGCAATATCGCAGAGTACCGATGTAGCTGTAGAGCCACTTGTCCCTTCGCACCTGGGCATCGATTAAGTTGAGAGAAGCACATTCCAGCCCCAGACTGCCATCGCCGGAATAGGTAGCCGGCACAATTCAACTGGTCTATGCAACTAGGTACCCACAACACGAGGATGACACAGCCGATCTCGACGTGAGCTGTCAACTGTCAGCTGTTGGTGGAGTCAGATTAGAGCATACTATAGTAGTTGGTGGCTAGTACCTGGAAGCCCTAGGACATGCCGGATGCGGCGGACGCCGCAGGACCACAGCCGTCCCAGTCGGAATGCAAGACGACCAAGACAGCGCATAGGAAGCCAAGTGAACGACGATATTCGTGTTGAATAGTGAGGTCGTTATCGCCGGAAGACACTCACTCGATCTAATTCCGAGCTCCGGTCCCAGACGCCACGGTGGTCCGGTCCAGGCGAGGCGTCACATTCCTCAGGTCCATTCCGACAGGCACACACATTTGGCAGGGCATTCCGTACTAGTCTGCCAATGTCTCATGTCAAGCACGGACTGATCAGGTCAATGATGCTTTCAAGCGCAAGCTCTGTCTTGAAACATTTTGTCCTGGGGCGAGTTGGAAGTAAATAGCATGGGCTAGGCCGGGGGTAGGACTTGTTTGTAGACAACGTAGAGTGTAGACGGACGAGATGGAATCCCTAGTTCTGGCGGCGTCTCTGCTGGCGTAGGTAAAGCCAGAACTCTACCATCCAGTAGTCTAGGTAACCGACCATCTCTCCCACCAAAGTCCGACGAGACTAGGTATGACCCTGGTCCGTCTCCCGCGAGCCTCGAAGTTCATCGTATTGCCGCGCCCGTCGATAAAGTATACTCGCAAGAGACGAGACGCGATTCAAACAACCTTCCCCTCTGCGCAGCCAATCTTTGACTCAAGCATAATAATTTATTCCATTAGAAATGGCACTTCCCGAGATTCCGATTCTCGTCCGCCCCCAGTCAAAACGCGTTGTCTAAAGACACAAGGATTGCGCGATCCCGCTTTTGCAAAATCAGGCCGAAGTACGAAGTGCAGAGCCTCATGCATGTGGAAAGATGGACAAGCATTGTCTACTGCAGCGCCGATCGAGATGGTGAGAACTGCGTCGCATCTTGCACCATCGAGAAAGCGTAAGGCGACCGAAACCTGGAGGATCGCTATCGCTATCGTTATCGCTATCGTTATCGCTATCGTTATCGCTATCGTTATCGCTATCGTTATCGCTATCGTTATTGCTATTGTTATCGTTATCGTTATCGCTATTGATGTCAAAATTGTTATCGTTATTATTGTTATTGTTATAGTTATCGTTATCTCTATTGTTATTGTTATCGTTATTGTTATTGTTATTGTTATTGTTATCGTTATCGGACTATTGGTAGTGTAGCGAAAGCCGGACTAGGCATTGCTATAACTTTCGCCATTTGCTGTTGCTATGTCGGTGTTAAGTATATGATCTTTGGATAGACCAGACTTACCCACCTAATCTTCAAGCGAGCCCAAGTACGTCGCAATACTCAAAAGAGTAGCCATGAGCAGCATAACGCAAATCCGATTCGTGCCCGGGATTGAAGGCACAGCCACAGTATACGAGTAGCCAGACAGGGCGAGTTTAAGCCGAGAATGGTGAATAATACCGATGGCAGCAGTCAATGAGTTTGATGCGATTGAGGAGATTGTGGATGGGAATTGGCCATTGCTCCGTGACACAGTGGAAGAGGTGTCGGATCACAATCGTTGCGTCGGCCGGCGGGTACTACAGCCTGGACGAGATGGACTTTTGGATCATCGGTAGACCCCTAGCAGACAACGCCGTGAAAATTTCCAGCTTAGAGCCCATGTCTCTTTCCTGGGCCAGTATTTTGCTCGCCCTGTCCGCGCGTCTTTCACCTTTCCCGTCAATGAATTGGCACAAGCAAGGTAGTGATCGGAATCGCCGCAGAATAGAGCACCAAGACTGCTAGGAAGGCGTTCGTGAAGTGCAATGCATGGCTTGACCGAACAGCTACTGACCCGCGATCCAGCCGAGATCAACCCCGACGACGACCAACGCAAGGCCCAAGCTACGCTTGCGGGGGTTGATATGCGTACAGGAATCATTAGGCCGGCATGCCAATGAATTGCCCGCGCCTAGCAGTGTGAAGATCGTGTAGCCGGTCCTTATCCTACCTGCGATGGTGGGTACGCCTGACAGTGTCCTGGCGAAGGCGATGGAGTAGGCAAAGACTGGGGTGCGCCAGGGGACCGCGGAGGTGTGCTCTATCTGAGCCGAGGGAAATAGGTAAGGTACGAGAGGAGGATCACGGGGGCGCTACTGACGGCGTTGAAAAGGTTAGCGTTTATCTTGGAGAAGCCCAGGGAATTAATTACGGTTGGCCCGTAGAGCAGCAACCCGCTCTCGGGGTTAAAGCTGATGATGGTGCACGGGGATCATGTGCAGCCAGATGCGACGGTCGGGATTGCTGCTTCTGAGTGGTTGCGGAAGGACGTGACGTCCCTGCTGTTGGCTTTGTCGCGTTGTCGGCTACGACAAGGTGCCAAAGCGAAGAATGTGACGCTCGTGCTCGGTAAAGAGCCCCCAGTAGCCCTAAATCAATGTTGCATGGGCTGGATTGCGCGGGACGATCGCGAGGAAGAGAAGGAGGATTAGAAGCGTCACATCTGTCTCGGTCGTCAGAAAGAGCCACTGCCAGTCTGCCGAGTTAGAGCCCCTGGATTCCGGCCATTTTGAGGACACCGGCAGCGACCAGCGAGACGGTTGCGGTGGCGGAGTAGTTTCTAAAGTAGAAGGCGGCGGTTCTTGACCTAGCTCTTTCTAAGTATAAAGAGTGCAAGATATACAATAGGTAGGCTCCGCGGATATAACTCCCTTGAGAAGACCGAGGAGGACACGCGTCTCGTAAAAAGAGTGGATGTTGTTGTTGTTGTTGCACAAAGACTGGGTTAGGGCGGTGATGCCCCAGACTGGTAAATCGTCCAGACTGAAGCTTCGAGCCTCAGGAGGACGAGATTCGTGGGTATTCCTGCAACCGCAATTCCAATTGACATCAGCTGGCCGCCGAAATTGACTTGATCGGAACTGACATTGAGGTTATCGGCGACGGAATCTGTCGGATTATTGGAGATGCTGTTGCGGTCGAGGTGGAGGACGACGGAAGCGGATATCAACGGTGGCGTAAGAGCGAAGCCGCCTCTGCCTGTCTTGCTGGATGTTAGCGTGAATGGGTCAAGGCTGGGAAAATACTCACTTTCGCAGAACGGTGTTAACTTCGGTATCTGCTCACGTTGCAGAAGTATCAGCTGGACCATCTTTTCCATGGCAAAACGGCTTTCAGGCCATCCTTACATCTTCGCAGGCTTGTGTTTGCAACTTCAACTCGCTAGTTATCCCGACAATATCTCTTGCGACTTACGCAGTCTGCGAAATGACGATACCTAGAACCTCTCGGTGCATCGCGTCGGAGGTGAGCGTCCGGGTTCACAGAGTCATCAAGAAGTCGCGGAGTCTGCGATTAGTTCTTCCACGGAAGGCTGAAGCAAGTACTTATCAGATACCTCACGGTCCATCCGTGCAGGAGAGTTGCGCTTCTCCGTGCGGACTGTTCACAATCTTCCGAAAGTTGATACGAGGTACTGTACCTGCAAGCTACTTCCCATCCCCGTGTGATACGGTATGTCCCAAACTAGGTTCTCGCGGCTCCGTCAAAGGTAGGTCGACATTCAAGGTCGCTTTCTGAAGCTAGCGGGATACGGTGTTTTCCGGAACCCCGAAGGTGTCGGTGTGACGTGATCGATGTGATGTGATCGATGTGATGTGGTCGTTGTCCTGGCCAACGCGGTAGTTCAGTTCCGCCATCGGATCAGCGAAGTCCTCTGGCCGGCTGTCCCTGCAAAGTCTCTGTGCGGTAGGATCGGGAAACGAAGACGGACGAGTGGGCGATAGAGGAAGGAGACTTTCTGCTCATTGATCTGTTGCGTCAGCAGGTTCTTGGTCTGGTTTTAACAATCCGCCGTCGGCTCAGATCATAGACGCACATATTTTCCAAATGACTTTCTTCCGGCATTTTCATGATACATGGAGGCTCCGCGAATCCAGGCGTATATTCCACCGCAGAGGTACACAGTGACTTGGCGTTGTGCGAGGTGAGGCCGAACCAGGTATCAAATCCGCGACCTAAGGGATACCGACCGCGGATATCGCCGAAATGCCATTTGCCATGAAGCACTGTCGGGAGTCGTTGGCTCCAGGTGTTCGGCCAGAGTCTGCTCCCACTCCGCAAGTCCTGTGGGAAGCCCGCTAGGACTAACTGCCTGCAGCCGGTACCGATTGAGCGTCGTTCCGTCATCGGCGAGCGGATAGGACTGACAGTCGCTTTGACATTGAAGTTGTGGTTCGTGGAGGATCTCTTTGTCGATCCGGGGAACGCTGCGCCGCGAAGAATGCCGCTGCTGTACCGGTAGCACAGCCGAGAGTGTCAGCGAGAACGGGTACGATGTTCGATTGATTCGGTTGCGGGGCATTGCCTGACTGTAGCTGTGCTCGCGTCCGTTGCACTTCGAGAGGTAGCCGAATCGTGGAGGGATGGGTTGGGAGGATGGCAAAGATGGGTCATGGAGGAGCACGAGAGTCTGATACGGTAAGGAAATATGAGTGAAAAGCAAATGCAGTGTTCAAAACAGACGCCTGCAAGCTTGTTGGTGGTCTCTAGTCGCTGCATCGGCTCGTCAGGCGGCGAGAATGATTGCATGGCGGAGGCGGAGCCCCTGCAGCGCTGATCTTCCAATGAAACGGACCAGAGGCAACGGTTTATGCAGTTGAGCCTTGCAAGGTGCCATCTTCAGAGGTCTGGGCGCAAAGATCAACAAACAGCTCCGATTGAGCGATGACATCGGGAACACACTGCTGCCCTGACTTTGCGGACCTTTTGCTGGGTGCATCAGGCCAATGTTGTTCCTTTACTCTTAGTGGTCTTTCTCTGACCTCTTGCATGCCTGCAAATGCTGTGTGGTGCGACAGCCAGTGTAGTAATCCCAAGTTGCCAAAACTAAGAGCCTACGGAGTTCTCGTAAAGCACTTCTGCATGATAGCTCACTGCTCCTTTGGGCTTCACAACCATAGATTCCGATCATGAGTCTCACCCAAGGTGTATTGTGGACGAATCATGCTCAGTAAAGAGGCCAGCGCCGGATTGGTATTGGGAAAGCAGAATTGCTAGCCTGAGCTTTGCCCGCATGTTGCGCCTCTTAGGGAGGCAAGAAGGAGCATGTTGGTGATGCGGCGGAGGACGTAGATGGAGTTGAATGACTTCTGCTACTTTCCTGCTTGGGACTCCTACGACTCTACGACTCTACGACTCTACGGCTCTACGGCTCTACGGCTCTACGGCTCTACGGCTCTACGGCTCTACGGCTCTACGGCTCTACGACCCCACGACTCCTACGGCGCAATGGAAACGGTCTTTGAAGATCCAAAGGAGAACGCAGCAACAACGATCCAATTTAGGTAACAAAATGAACAAAACAGACAAAATGAATGTGCAATCTCAGTACAAAAACAAGCAAAACAGAACTGGGTTTCCCAAAAGATAAAGGCTCTGGCGCGAGTTCACGGCGACAACGACCGCTCAATGGAACCTATAGTTCTGCTGGCTGGCACCATTGGCGCCGTTGTTGGCGCCGTTGTTGGCACCGGTGTTGGCACCGGTGTTGGCACCGGTGTGGTGGCCGGATCCCAGTTCTCTTCTCGGGAAGGTCCCAGCAGCGGAATGGGCAATGGCCGACTGGGTGGCGGCAGACTGAGTCCAACTGCCGGAGAAGCTTGAGGCAGTGATACCGGTGTTCGTGTAAGCATTGCCAAATGGAGTGACTCCAAGGAACTGGTTATTCATCCCGGTTTGGCTGTGCGGGTTGCGAACGACGCGGTCCATCTGGGCGGCGGGATAACTGGTGGGCGCTTGCTGGGCGGCGTTGGTGCTGCTTAAGCTGTACTCTTGCCGGGCTTGATAGAGCATCCTATTGCCATCTTTCTCGTGGATGTCCGTCTGGCTGACGGAGGCCCATTGTGTAGACCCCTCATTGTTGTTCACAAAGCCCCGCTCGTAACTGATTTTGGAGCCTACCCTCTGTGGGGAGCGGCTGCGTTTGTTGCCACCGGCATTGGAATTGTTGTTTGACATATTGTTTGGCGTGCACAATTGGACGATGAGCTTGGACGAAGGAGGGAAGGGAGGAGGGTGATCGAACGTTTGGAAGGGTACGGATAAGAGTGGCAGATGGTTGAAGCGAGAGAAGCTAGCAGTGAGACTGGATAAGTTAGCCAATGTACACGAGAGGAAATGGCACGGCTGATGATGGAAGACATGAACATACCTGGAATTGTTGGTTGTGAGGAGGAAGGTTGATGTTGAGAGGAATTGGGGGCAAGCCTGGCAATTATTTATCAACCAGATAGAGGGAGACTTCGCATGACCCAAACTCTGCATAGTCCTTGGGAGATGCGGATTTAATGACAGCAAGACATGGCGTTGCGGGACCGCATACACGTAGCAGTTGGTAAGACATGCAACTCAGTGTTGGTGCTGCTGGAGGCTTCCTTGGTCCCATGCTCTGCGGCCCATTCTCTGCGGCAACCCGCGCTGCGGACATGGACATGGGAGGCCTTATTCCAAAGTATTTTTCCAAGGACAGGATAAGAGCACTTCCCTGAACCGTCATGTCTTAGCTGTGCATTCTAGAGCAGTCCATTATCTCATGAAGAGTCTAGGAAGGATGGTAGGTGGGGGTGATATTTTCCAGATACAAGCCAACACAGATAAGATGAATATGAAGTAGACTAACTCAAATGTACTAGACACAAGACTAAACAACAAAGCTCCCCTCTTCTAGGAGGGTCTTTGACAAGGAATGGGAATCGCAAATCGGCGCCTCCGTCAAGCTTCCGCCTTAGCTTCTGCCTCAGCTTCTGCCTCAGCTTCCGCCTCATCCAGTTTCAAGAATGTCCAGAACCTTTGCAACGCCTGCAAGTCTCCCTCCTTCGTCAGCGCGAGCTCATCATCGATCCAACCATCACTCACTCCCCCTTCGAAATCGAAAAGAACCGCGTCACCGTTTTCGTCAATCATTACATTGTCCGCTTTGGCATCTCCCCAAATCTTTTTCTCGCGATGGAGAGTGTGGACAGCATCAGAGATCTGCTCGTACCACCGTCTGCGATCAGAAAGGCTCGGGCTTAGCTCGAAAGACTCAGTACCATAATTCCCAAGCAGATGGCAAATCGGAATCTTGGTCATTAGTAGCCCTCCCCATTCGGTATCGATACCCAGGAGGCCTATAAATCTTGGTGCGCGTATATTGGCGTGGGCGCAGAACAGGAGGCCCGCTACCTCACGCATTAAACTGTGATACGTTTTCGAAATTTTGTAGATCAAGGGCTCACTGATGCCGTCAATCTCAACTTCGAAGATCAGCTCCTTTGCAGTATTGACGCGGAAGTTCTTGACATCTGACAGCTTCCATACCGGACAGGTGATTGGATGGCGTTCTTTGACCATGTCCCAGTCGATAGGTCTGCGTTCCGAATCGGCTCCTGCAGGTGGGTGGGGCTCAAGGGTCGCGGTTGCAGGCACGAGGCGGAAACCGGTCAATCCGCGGTGCAAAAAGGTCTCTAGGTCATTCCGGATGGGATTCTTCTTTGCTTCTTCCCAGAGCGGCTGGCAGATGGGCTCGAGGAGGACTGCAAGGTCCTTGTCGCGGTCACGGACGTGAAGATCGATAAATTCGTGTGCAATCGTGCGCTCCAGCTCTTGATCTTTGTACGGATTTTCGATGACGATGCAGTATAGGAAACCCCTCGCCCTCAGGGTAATGTAAACAGTTTCCAGAGTCCCTTTACTTGCTAGATGTCCTGCGCGTGCCATTTCAACCGTGTCGTGGTCCATCTCCTGGAGTGACAGAAATGGCCCGCGACTAGATAACACGTAACTATGCCAATTTTCTACATTTCCTTAGCCGCAATGTCAACAGGTCAATTGACATCGAGGTACTTACCCCAGTGTTTTTCGCGGACAAACTTCGAGATTGATTCGATCTCGTCTTCAGAAGCCTCGGCTCTGGTCGTCTCCGGGTTCTCCGTAGCGGCATCGTGGGCAGGAGGGTCAGCGGTTTGCTCCAGTTCAGTGCCAGTCTCGGCGGAAGACCGTTCGATCTTCGGAGGGGAGGGAGTTCGTGGGTTATCCAGAGCCTTTTTTGCCTTTCTCTTTTTGCTCGCGTCGGTTTGGGCTGAGGGACTGCCATCACAAGGCGCCGCCTGGGCGGCTAGAAAGTCTCATTAGTTTGATTCCCGTTGCGCGTTGGCGAGCAAGCGATGAATGACTCACTAGGTGTGGTTTCTCTCGATTTTCTCGGCATTTGATAGACAGCGAAGGGGGGCGAAATTTGGATTAAATCGAAGTATGCTAGATAGCAGAGTTTTGAAGGTTGGATCGAATGATAGAGACGAGGCAGGGGTTTCTATAGAGTCGGGCCGTCGTTGATGTGCGAGGATAAGACCAATTCTTTGGGCCAAAGACTCTCCACTGAAACGAAACGGAAAGAAGATCCAAAACGGCTTTGAAGGAAGACTTGCAAAAGGCCTCGAGCTTTTACGAACAGAAATAGACCACCGTGCTTTGTTAACCGTGGACCGAAGGACACCAGAGATCGGCTCTCAAAGAACAACAAACCAAACTGAAACGATGGCTTTGACAAGACAAGAGAGGAGAAGGAATACGCAAAGCCATTTCGTTTCATTTCACTCCTCTGGCACCGGCAACTGCAAATAGTCTATCATCGCTGGCAAAGGTGCGGGTAAAGGTTCGATGCAGTGGCGTCATGCCTTGTTGCTCAGCATTCTCACTTCTGGTTTTTTTTTTTTTTTGTTTCTCCTATCGAATTTCCTTGTGATTCTCTATTTTGGGGTGTCTTTTTTTTCTGTTTCCGTCCATTCAAACACCTTGTCACCATCGTTTGACTTTGATCAACGTATTGGCTATTTTTGTTTTGCGTGCTGCATGCACCAACCAGCTGATTGGTCGGGGCGCCAGACCTACTCACTATATCGGGAAGGAGCAGATGTTAGCTACAGAGCATAGCAAGCGAGGAGTAAGACATAGCCGACTGATGGAAAGCCGAACCTGGTTTGACCGTTGAACAGCGCGAATATATACCCAATCGGGGCCGTAAGGGTGCGTCCTTTGGGAATCTAGCCACCAACGGGTCCACAACCATCACGGCCAGACCGTTGAGGTAAAGAAGGTTCATGGACCATGCTTGGACTGGTAGCGTACCTAGCGGTGGCCTCTGATCCTTTGCGACAAGGTGTACTGGCAGTATGTAGGTGGCTTGCGGCCACGTATGTGAACCAGACCTCCAAGCCCTCAATGATGGATTAGAAGGCCTCGTGACACCACGGCTGAATGCACCAAGTGGCTCCATCTCATGAGCCTAGCTGCCGTATTCAGGGTCAACCCAACAGTGGGGGCTGCAGTTGAGACCTGACCTGGTGACGGAGTTTTGGAATTCGGAAACGAGGATCGCCACCTGCAGCGCAGACGCAAGCCAGGCTGCCAGAGAAAGTCGGCGTGTTAGGTTGCGGACATCCACATCGGTGAACCTCCAAAGGCTGCTCATTGGAGGTGTCTTGCAGTGATCGTTTGGCGGCTTCGTTTTCCGGTTTCGGTGGAAGTGCGCTGTCAGGGGAAGGCGCGTTGGGAAGGAAACGAGCACCAGGTCAGAGACCGGAAGGAACAGGCGCAGCCATGGTCATCTGCTATCCGAGAAATTAGTCTAATTGATTGGGAGTAGATGGACCTTTCTCAGGAACGGATGGACTTAGACCGGTGAGGCTGAGAGACAACACGCCTTCAGAGGCGGCGAGACCATCTCAATCCAGCCGGAAGAGCCTTCACATTTTCAGACTCCTGGTCCCAAAAACGCCACCGAACGCTTCTCCGCTGAGAGGACATTGCCTTGTGGGGCTGTGTAACTCATCGCTATAAGTGATTGGGTCACTTGGCCATCGCGAACCGGAGATCGGTACTTGTCTGCTTACCGTGGTGAGAAGAATCGGGCAGTAGCACCATTACATCCGGCTGCCTGGCTGGCAAGCTTGCTCATTGAGACTCAGCACAGCCCCAGTACGGCGGCCGATAGCGAGGGAACATACCCAAAAGTCTCAAATATGTCTTGGGACTTTTTGTGTCACATCCCCGGTGGCATATGCAGCCTCGTCCAAAATCAGGCAGTGGGGGTCTTGGGCTACCTAGAATAGCTGCACGGCTCCCTCTGTGGTTGGGTGCATTAGTCCAAGCTTGTAGTATGATAGCAGAAGAGATCCGTACCATAGAACCGTGCATTGCTCTTTGCCTTGGCTCGACCAGAGTCGGAGGGTATCGAAGATGAAGGAATAGATGGTTGTCGCATGTGGGATTCGCACCTGTAACAAAATTATAGAGGCGGAGAGTAAAAAAGCTCGCAACCCAGGTATTCATGGGGTTGCTTCACGCCCTCTAGGGCTACCTGGGCGACGGTGCAAAAGGCATACAAGTAACAGGGATATTCCATAGAAAGTCAAGACAGTGAGGCTGCAAGGCAAACATTATTCATCTCCACTAAGCAATCATATAGATATCTCATCGCATCGAAGCACATTGCAACGCATAATCAACGCAAAGGCTCAATTTACCAACCTCAAACTGGACCGGAGCCCTACCCCCAAACCAAGACTCAACTCAAGTAGTCACACCGCAGCCCGCGGACTCGCAAGCAAGTAGAAGCCGAGGGGTCTCGTACTGAACGCTCCGTTATAGTTGACGCCCTCGTTACTCACCTTATATCCCTTGTCCGCGAGCTCGAAGTCCACCTCCTTGATCAAGCGCGCTAGAACCAACAAACTCCATTCCCACGCATATCTTGTTCCAAAGCATTGCCGCTTGCCATTGCCGAATCCCTTCTTCACGCCGGAAGGAAGGGCGTCGTACTTCTCACCAACCATTCGTTCGGGCTTGAAGGCTTCGGGATCTTCGAAAACGGCGGGGTCGCGGTTTACGGCTGTGAGGAGCGCGATGAGGGGTTGTGTGCGCGAGACCTGGTATTCGCCGCCGGCGAGGAGAACGGGCTCGTTACCCGGTGACGGGAGCGGCTCGATGTTGAAGCCGGGAGCCGTGGCCGAAAGCCGCAGGGTTTCGCGGAGGATGCCCTCGGTGTAAGGGATTTGGGATAGGTGGGCATGTTCGAAGGGCCCGGTGCCGACGACGGTGTCGAGTTCCTCGCGGGCTTTGGCGATGGCGTGGGGGTTGTTCGCGAGATAGTAGAGGCCGAAGGAGAGGAGGTTGGGCGCTGTTGCGCTGCCGATGAATATGTTGATGATTTCGTCAAGGACTTGGCTTTCCGAGAGTTTTTTGCCGGTTTCGTTGTCGACGCCGTGGAGGAGGGCATGTAGCATATCTTTGGGCCCTCCGTCGGGGTGCTCTTCGCGACGCTTGCGCACGATCTCCGCGCCGTAGTCGCGCATTATCTTGATGTCAGAATCATAGCGCTTCTGGTGACCCATGAGCCAGGTCAGGAACTTCGGTCGCGAGCTGCGCTTCATCGCTTCCATGGTCGCATTCTGGCACGAGGCAATGACGGCCGGCTCAGTACCGTTCATGATAGCCATCTTCTGGTGGAAAAACGCTAGCATATTCGCCTCGTGGTTGCTCCGATCGAGATCATTCGTCACGTTAACGCGCTGCTTCGGAGAAGCCGTCCACTTTCTGATCAAATCATCACTTGTCTCTCGCATCTCGTTGAAAACACCCTCTATCGCCTCTGGAGAGACAAGCGGCTTCATGATACGGTGCGCAATTCCCCAGATTTCGTTCTCGGAGTGGTAAGCCGTGAAGAGCGAGTCATGAACCGCCGCGCGGATTTCGATGATGGGGCCCGTCACACATTTTCGGAATCGCGTCTCGTCGCAAATCTCTTCGAGGAGGGCGGCGGAGGTCACGAAAACAATATCGTGGCCGAGAATACTGATTTTGAAGATCGGGCGGTTCGATGGCGAAGCTGCGGCGAGCTTGTTGAATGAGCCCCAGGGGTTCTTGGAGTCGAGGGCGAAAAGGTTGCCCAGGACTGGGAGGCCTTTCGGTTGCGGGATCGGCGTAGGCATTATCGCAGTGAAAAACTGTAAACAGAGAGTCGTCAATTAAGTAGTAAGGTATAGATGGGATGGGCGCAAGCGAACCGTGGAAGAACAGACTTCAGATCTCGGTTCCCGGGGCAGCTCAGCTTTAAACCACAGCCATGACGATGATCATGCAGAGCTCGAATAATCAGCGGCTTGATTCGCCCGGCCTCGCTCGGTGTTTCCTGAATCTTTAACTCGGCCCTTCGCATCATTGGGCGGCCAAGAGATCGTCACACAGATCATGGGTTCGTCCGGGACGAGTGACGCTTAGCGGCGTGGGTCGAAGCTGCAGACTCTGCGTGAATGGCCGGATGGCGGCGCTGGCTGGCTGAGCTGTCATCTCGGCCCCAGTGATCGATCGACTATCGATGAGCTGAGGTTTGGAAGGAAGAGCTCAAAAGATCGCTGAAGAGGGGCTGGTAAGGAGGTAGACGTGACAGCCTGAGACTTCGGGCAGGAGTATTGGATTGGGCTTAGCGGCATCCTGCCACCCTGTCCAGCGAGAAATCCACAGCCGATCCCAGTGACGTCCTCGTACCACCTCAGCATGCAAGGGGGCCTGGACAGTGCTCTGATGCTTTCTACCCCAGGTTCGAGGTGGTAGGAGAAGAGAGGGCGTGAGCAGCCAGGAATCAAAGCAAAAGTCTTTAGTGCCGATTCCAACACTGTTCTCGACATATGCACCAGACTTCCGCATCAAACCATGGGCGAGTTTCATCCCCGGCATGCGTCTCGGTGACCGAAGACATTGTGACAGTACATTGATGCGCACGGTGAGTGGATGTACCAGTCGCTAAAATGGCCAAGGGCCAGGTGTGGCAGTGGTGGAATAGTCAGTGTTTGAATCACCGGTATGAGCCCGTTGGTGTTGGTTCTCGCTTGTCGCGGCGACTGGAGGTAGCGTACGCTTTTCCCTTAGCCCTCCACCCTTCAACTAAAGCACCTCCTTTTCGCTGTCGCTGAATTATCGCAGGAGCCAAGTAGCGCCGACAATACCCAAGGAGCACCCGGCAACCGGAGGACGTGGTAAACCTCCATGTGAAGCAATATACGCCCAAGAACTAGACCCAGTCCCAGCAGACGCTGTTACTGTCATTGCCACGCATGGGGTTGCTCTGCCGAAGGTGAGCTGCAGTGCATTCTACTGATCAAGTCAACCGTCGCATAAACTGGAGCTTACCATACTATCTGAGGTACCGTAGGAGCTATACGAGCCTTACCCATTCCACTCTCCTTCCCGGCACCGTTCCTAAAGCAGAGCTATAGGGAGGCTCCTGTCTAGACCAGCCTGCGACCTCTTAATGGTCAACCACTTCCGCACCGAGATGCCGCGCCCTCTGGTCTCGGCCATAGCTTCGGTGGGACCATCATGTTCGTGCCCCCAACCTGTCCTCTTCGCCCTGAGTAGCAGCCCCAACTAACCAACCCACCCCAGCACAAGCCTCGCCTACCTCCACCTGCGCCTCTTCACACTCCTCCTTGTCGACCCAGTAATCCAGCTCTCCCCGCCCTCAATGGCCCTGGACACCGACTCCAACCGCCCCAGCGTAATAAACTACACGCTCTGGCGCGACGACATCTGGGTAAACCGCGACGCAGCAGTCCGCGCACACGCCTCCTTCCGAAAGAGCTGGGATCCACGATGCGTAGAGCGCAGGGCGCGCTTCGGGTTCCGCGAGCTGCCGACGGCGCTGCATCCGGATGTCGACGCCGTAAGGGCGCGGATGGGCTTTGGACTATGGACGAGGACGCCCGTGACGCTGTCCACGACGAAACAACACGAGCTTCTCGGGTAACTCAGACAGAACTTCTCTGCTCGCTCGTCCGTTACCGGGCGGAGGGAGATACCGCGGTACATGCACGCGGATCTGGACCCTCTATTCGCGGGGAGGCCGCTTTATCGATCCGAGGCGCGGAGTACGTTTCATCGTTTGCTGGGTTTGCGGCCGTCTGTGCTGTGGGTGGTGGGCGTTCGTCGTTTTTGAATCTGGATGAGATTCGTGAGGGGGTTCGGCCTTGTAAGACAGAGATTGGGGGGAATGGGGGCTTGGCGGAGGAAAGGGTGAGGGAGGTGTTTCTGCCGGGGGTTATGCATCTTATGCCGTTTCAGGAGGCGAAGGCTGTGATGGAGCCTTGTGTTGAGTGGATGGAAAGTGAGATAGAGAGGTTTCGGGTGCTGGAGAGGGAGTTTGAGGGAGAGAGAGAAGTCATCTTGTGGTCGAGGAGAAGTGGTATAGGGTGTTGAAGCCGTTCCAGTCTTCTGTTGGGAGGGGGAAGGAAAGCTGTAGTTTGTTGTTCGGGTTATGCTGTCTATGTTGAGTTTTGTGTCTGCGCGGCGAAATGGGCAGAGCATAAACCAGCCATCATATTAAAGGCCATCCAAGGTAGATCAAGAGTCCGGACTGCAGATCGACTTTCCTTGTTATCGATTTCCCGATGAGTGTAAGTTTCACAGTTCACAAATGCAACGGCGCGGAATAAGCAATTGGTGCGTAATATGATAAAAATCATGATGGGCCCTGATCTGCTAGCCGCCCATGGCCGGTATATCATATCCTAACCGTTGAAGTTGACGTTGACGCCCTGGACTATTGCAGTACGCCAGAGTCCTGGACCTAGAGCCATGAAGAGCGACTTCAGTATCTCTGGCTCTTAGGGCATGCTTGCCAGGCCAAGCTGGACAATTTCAGTTTTTTTAGAAGTTAGGGTCTCTTCCAGACATCCGAAGAGCTCGTCCTATCCTGGTCGTCCACAATATGTCTGTCCTTGAACTCAGCGGCCGGGCAATATGAGAACAACGAGCCTGGCGCGAGGGGGGCTCTCATCGAGCATAGCAGAGCGTTGATCTCGGCTCGTGAAACTCCTCAGACCTAGGGAGACGATGCCGATTGACAGAGGACGCAGACTTATCTCCAACTTATAAAAAGAGAAAGAACCCAGACCACAAAACACAGTCTGTCACCATCAAACTAGGCATAAGTGATTTCTGGAATGAATTCCCGTTGGTATGTATCGGCTATACCTCACTGGAGACAAGAAAGTGAGTATGACTTTCATAGGAATGCAGATATATGGCTTAGCCAATAGACATCTGGTTAAACCAATAAGCCTGGAACATCGGCTTCAGGTTCTTCGAGGTGCCGAGTGGGATTGTCCTCCAAATCACCTAATGAACCGGATAACTTTCTTAGCGCGACTAAGTAAATAAGATAACTTTTTAATAGAGCCCTGTTTCGGCCCTGTTATATAACTTGCCTAGTAATTTACTAGTAAAATTATTTTTTAAGGCTTAACCTTAGCTAAATAAAATAGTATTATTATTTAATAAAATTAATTTTTTATAATCCTAATTAAACTAAGTATTTTAAAGCTATTTTAAATATTTAAAAGTTATATTTATGTTAATAAAATGTAGGAATTTTATTAATTAATTTAAAAAAAGGTAATTATTTAAAATAAATAACTTTATATATGTGCCGCGTGCCTGTAAAAGCTTTATATATTTATTAGTTTTTTTTAATATAGCTAAATTAAGGCTATTTAAAGCTAATATTATAGTAAAGGTAATTAAAATAATAATAATTTATAAATTTTTTAATATTTATTTTTTAATTCTAGGGATTTTTATAAATATTAAGTAGGTAATAATATTAATATATAAACTTAATATTAAAGGCTATTATAATATTTTTATTATATAATATATTTTAATATAACTTTATAAAGCTTTAATATTTTAGCCTAGGTATTTTTTTTATATAAAACTTTTATAAAATAAAAATAATTTTTTATACCTAGTAATATTTTTTTTAATAATTTTTTAATAATTTTTTAATATTTAATTTTAGTATTATTAGCCAAGCGGCCTTTAATTTTTTATATTATTTTTTTTATATTTTTTTTTATTATTTTTTTTAGTTTTTTATTAGTAAGTGGTGGGAGATTTAACTTTATAAATTTAGGGGGAACTTAAAAAGGTTTTAGTTTATATAAAAAGCTTAAAAAAAAACTTAGTATTAACTTTAAAGGTAAAAAAGGCGTAAAAGTAGGAATTTAAAATAAAAAAGTAAAAATTTAAGGTAAAAAAAGTATAAAAATAAAAATTTAAGGTGGAAAAGGCATAAAAGTAGGAATTTAAAATAAAAAAGGCGGAAAAGTAGAAATTTAAGGTAGAAAAAGTATAAAAGTTTATAATAAAAGGGTAATATATTAAAAATTATAAAAAGTTTTTATACACCTGCTAGCCTTTAAAATAATAATATATTAATTAAATTTAAATAAAGGGTAATCCTAACTATGCTATGTATAACTAAGTTTATAATATTTATTATAATAAATACTTTTTATTATTTTATACCGGGCGGCGGTAAATTAATTTTTTTAGTATTTTTAATAATTTTAATATTTTTAAATTTATTTTATTTTAGGCCGCCCGTGGTATATTAAATATAAAAATACTTTATATTTAAATTTTTTAATTATATAACTACTAAAAATAGGCTTTAAAATATTAGTATAAGTATTTTTATAATTTTAAATATAGTAATAGTTAAAAATAAAGTTATTTTAATTTTTTTTTATTTTATATATAGCAGCCAGTGTATAACTATAAAAAAACTAGGTATTTTATTATTTTATATAATTATAAGTTCACGTAGTAAAATTAACTAAATATTTATATTTATTATATTTAACTTTTATAAGGGTGTTGCTTAATATAATAATAAATAATTTTTTTATTTACTTATTTATTTTTTTAAAAAGGCCTATAATAAAATTAATAAATATAATTAATTTAAACTTAGCCCCGTGGTGTTAATAAAAGGTTAATATAAATTTTTTTTATATAAGTTATATAGCTTTAAGCATAAATAGCTTATAATAATAAATTTATAAAAAGTTTAAAAATTTTATAATATTTAAAGTTATATAATTATATTTTAATATAGGGATAGTGTAGTAAACCTAACACTTAATAAGTA